TTGGTTAATATGTATTTAAAATAGAATTTAAAATCGTATACTATATTTAGAAAAAAAAATAAGGAAAACGATCAGCTTAAATAAGTAATTGATAATAATGCTAGTACTAACCCTACCTATCTTATTTTCAAATTGACAATAAGTTCTAGAAATTTTTATGTCAGATCAGGTCAAATAAAATGAGTAAATTATTTTTTGTATTTAAATTTAGTTTGCATAACAAAATTACAGTATAAAACCCTAATAATTAAAAGATAATTCATTTTATAAAGCATTTTTTTAAAAAAGAATAATTAAATTAATAAAATACCAATTATAATTCTAAATATTAATCAATCAATATCATAAAAATTAGTAAGCTAAAAATTCCCCCCACAAAATTAAAATATACTTATTTTTATAAACATAATTCGAGTTTGCTTATTATCCTAAATTATAATGTATTAAAGTGGCATATATATAGGTAAGTATACTAAAATCAATGTAACATCTAAATAAAATTAATAAAATTTGAAGATCAATAACAAGTATATTTTTGATTTTCCTATTTAATTACACTGAACAACTGTAAATTTTATAAATTTTAAATAAACATTCTATTTTTAATAAATACGAAATTATTTTTTTAATTTTTAATTAGCAATTTAAAATACATAATTAGCTATGCGTTATATTTCTAAGGTTTATTCATATGCTTAAAATATCTTGAGTGTTTATTGCTAATTACTTAAAATTTTTGACGTTACTGACTGATTAAGCTATCTAATCTATTGTGTTTTTATTTATTCTCCTAACTCAATAGGAATTTTACATTAACAAAAAATGAAAAGATATTTGCAATATTTTATTATTAAAAAAATAATTAAAATATTATTTGTTAATTATTGTTCTTATAGTATTATTTTATGAATGTCACAGCTAAGCTAGAATCAAAAATGCTTGCATTGAGTCTGTTCATTTTTATTTAAATAAAAATATTTTATCAGATAAATTTAATTCATATGAAAAATTTAGGAAATAATTTTTGGTTATTTTGTAATAAAATTATTTACACATCAAGATATAAATGCATCAATTATGATTTATTTATTTAAAGGTATTAATTAATATCTCTTACACTTCGCTTCATCTAATATTCATTAATGCTAGTTTTTAAAAAATCTTACTCTATGTTGTAAAAATTAATCTATTTATTTGAATTTCAAAAATAGAACTTCTATATTATTTCCTAAAGACAGACTTTCAATAACTCGATACAAATTATTAAAGGAATCAGTGTTAACAAATGTTAAATCTTTTCTTTTAGTTTTATAAGTATAAATTTAATTATAATTAAATTACTATAATAAAATACTCAATTGTTATGAAAAGCCTCTTTATATTTATATGAGTGAGCTCTTTTAAAATCTAACTCAAGTTATTGAAATATTTTCCAGTTAGTTATACCATAGATGTGAGTTCAAATGGCATTTAATTATTATTTTTTAATCTATGTAATCACTTAAAGCACTAAATTAATACTTTTGGAAATGTAGCTCTAATTCCTCTAAATTACTTAACTACGCAAATGTCTCATTTCGCCCCATATAAAAATCTTCACTAATTTGATTTAAATGTCTATCATATTTGTGAATTAATAATATTTTTTATATTTTAGCTTTATTATGAATAATGCTTACACTATCTTTAGGTGGAGGCTTTTCAGTTTCGTGAAATTTTTTAGAGAATGTAAAGACCTAAATGATTCTTCTTTACATCTTCTAATCAAAAAATTCATAAATTATTAATCCAGTAAGTAAAAAGTGTACTTACTATATATTATACTAAGATTCAATTTTTCTAAGCTTATTTAAGATTATAAAGTTTTTCTAATGTTTATAATCCCATTCTTGCTAAAGCAAATAAAATATCTAAATAAAAAAACAATTACTTATTTATAAAATTGACATTTTTATTTACTTAAGATTAATTTTTAAGTATTTTGGCTTTTTTAATGATTCTACAAAATTATATAAAATAGTTAAGAATGAATCTAGCGGAATCTAGGAAAAGCAACATTAAATATATTAATTCAATTTTTTTAATTGATAAATGCTTTTTTTTTTATTCAAATTGTAAATAAATCAAGGCTAAAACATAAAATAATTTATTCACTCCCTAAATTGGTTCATTTTTATTTTCCTAATTTTTTATTTGTTTTGAATATCAATTTTTTTCAATAAAAGATTTAGCTACTAGGTATTTTCGATTTATTCAATCTTATTTTTCAGATAAAAGAAGTTACTCTCTTGTTAATGAAAACTAATTAAAATAATAACTTTCTATTAATTTTACATATGATTAGATTTTAAACAAAAATATAACAGCGTTATAATATATTGATTTATTTAATTCATATAACTAATTATTTTAAATGATACATAGCTTCTAATTAACTAAATTTCTTATTCAAAATTTTGGTAACATAATTTTTTTAGGAAAAATTTCAATAGATTTTATGTTGGTTGTGTTAATAATATATATTTAATAAATAATAATAATTTATTTTTTTAAATTAGTTGCTAATTTAGACTTTAATGAAGTTTAGCTAGCTCAATTTAGTGCTAGCATACTAAATACTCTGTTTAGAATAAAATAATTGGAAATTAGGTTTTATTCCAATTTTTTGCATAATTAAAAAACATTTAACTTGTCTGCTAAGATAAACTTTAATGTGTTGTTAAATTTAGAAAGAAATATTATCCTTATCATTCATTATATTTGTCTAAATTAATTTTAATTTCCATCTAATTTTGTATTTCTTAATTTTGCAATTTGTTCTTATAGGATACTTAATAGACCATTCATTTTATAAATTCTTTTATATTTCATATGTTATCATTCTTCTGGCTCTTGATTTATTCGATTATCAACTGTTGTAGATAGTATTGGATATCATTTTGAGTGAGTTATACACTCAAACACTAATCGAATTTGTGTATTTGTTTGCTCTTTACCAAAGCCGAGTAGCAAAATTGTAATTTGAAGTAGCTAGCGTTAAATTAATTTTATTTAAAAAAAAATTTTTTTTCATACATTTTATGATTTTTATTTGTTCATATGTAAGGCAAATATAGTTTGCTGAAAAATAATTAGATCATTAAATTAAATTTAAATAAGATTTTTAATTTGATTTATTATTAGATAATTTGTTCTATTTGTTGTTTTTTGGAGTAAATAAAATTGTATATTTTTTAAATTATGTGATATTTTATTTTTGTGAAATATTATTCATTCAATCTTAATTAAAGTAAATATAACTCAAATTCATAATACTTAATTTTTGCATCTTTATTTTCTTTTAAATTTAAAAATTATAAACTAAAAATCTACTATATGAGCTTAAACCTTCCAAAAATTCATTAAAATCTTGAAAATATTAATAAATTTTTTTAAATTAATATTATTCATAGTATTTTATAGTAATATGTAAAGATCTTACAGTACATTTTTTTTAAACTTAATTAGAAGTGCTAATTAAGAAATATAATTAAATATTAGTTGGTATTTTAAGACTTTTTGATATTCAATCAAATAAATTCTTTTATAAATAGTTAAATCGCAATTAACGCTTATAATTAATTGTATTTTACAAGTATAAAAAGTCTATCCTTAATCAATTTTTATTATTGATTTGTTTTTTTTAAAAAAAGTTAATATTTTGTTTGTTATAGTTATTACTATTGTCATAACAAAAAATTTTTATTTTCCTTAAATTTTTATTAATTAAATTACAATTTATTTTAAGTCAACTCTTATTATTTATTATCTATTTTTTGACTTTAAAAAATTGAATATTTGAAAATATTTTTTACAAGATAATATGGTATTTCTGCAATTTTCTAAGATAAAAAAAATGCAGAATATCAAAAAAATATATGTTTTAAACTCAAATGAAGCAGGTTGAATTTGTAAATATGTTATGATGATTTTTTTTACTATTTTATTATAGATTACTTTCTTAATATCTATCTAAGTTTCTATTTTTTTTCAAGATTAAATTACAATCAGTTAACAATAGATAAATAATCTAATTAAAATTGATGAATTCTGATTGCATCACTGAGTTATTCTTTATTGAGTTGCTAATAAAGAATTAATTTTAATAAAGCTAAAATTCAGATTTTTTAGAAGTGTTAAACTAAATCAAATTTTATTGAATAAGAAAATTCTGTTTCCATTTTTATGAAAAATATTTATCTATAAAGAAAGGCTTAAAATAATTTTGACTGTAAGCTAGAAATTATTTTATTTTAAATTAAAATTAAATGAAGATCATATTTTATTTATTTATATTGATACCAAACCTTTTTAAAATAAAAATTGTTTATAATTTAAATTTTTTATTTCTCGAAACTTTGGTAGAGTAAAATGAAAATGTTAAAAATGAAGTAAAATTTTAGATAATAGATGAATTCCAAAAATTTACAGCAAAAAATTTGTTTCCATAAAGTACTTGATTCATTAAAATGTTTAATTATCAATATTTTCAAGATAAAGTCAATTTAACAATTAAAATATAAATGACGAATTTAAATTACAATAAGGTGATTGATTTAAATAAAAATTTTTCTCTTAATTTACACTATTTTATATATAAATTTCCTTAATTTTTAGGAGGTTTTAAAACCTTTACTTAAAATAATGAATGCTTTAAATACGTGATTAAATTAGGTATTATTAGAACAACAAATTTAATACTTATTTCCTTCTAGTAATACATTTTTATTATTTTTCTTTAAATTTTCCTTGAAATTTGAAAGAAAAATAATTTTCATTTTTAAAGAAGTTAAATATAAAGGAAGCTCATTCAATTATTTTTAAGATATTTATTTGATTAGTAATTTAACAATAAAAATAAACTAGTATTAGTGGAATTATATGTATATATTATTATTAGTTCAGGTTTGTTTATTTATTTATTTCATATTAGTTTGTTTTTATTTATTTATTTTTCTTTTTCATTCAAATTAAATTGATGGATAAAATTTATTTAAGAATAAGTCTCTAGTCATACAGTACTCTATATTGTCTGAGGAGTTGTATTCGGTTTATATGCTTGATTGTTTTCTGAGTTTTTATGTTTATTGTAAAATATCATCGCTTATGGAAAAACTCCATATCTAAGCGCATATATCTTCTTTTCCCATCCAAGATGGAATTTTAGAGGGATAAATAAAATGTATATTTGCTGAGCAATACAAATCTAAAAAATCTAAAGATTGTAAAATAATTTAAATGTCATTAACATCTTCATCATAATTGTTCATAGCTTCCATTAATTTGATTTAGGTATTTATTCTTTGCTCTCCATTATACTGCTTAGTTATTTAAATTAATCTATTATAATATTAAAGTGGAAAATTTTAACATTTATCCTCACTATTTGCTAAAACATTTAGTAAATCATAGGAAATGCCTATCTATGTGAGATCGTTTGACTTAGATTAATAATTAACTCTTTATATTTTGTATAAATAAAATAATTTTTTGCTCTTATTGTTTGAATTCAATTTTTAGCAATATTATTTAACTTATTCTTTAACATCGAAGTAAACAGCACTTGATGAATCCAATACTTTTTAGTAATAGCTTTCTTCTTTTTAAATTTATTTTGATATGCTATTGAGTCTGCAATACATAGAACTAACAGTAATCTAATACTTTTACAAAAATTGATGCAATCTTTGATATTGAGGTTCAAGGAATTTACTGAAGTGGTCAAGCAAAAATTTAAAAGTATATAACTTGTTTTGTAACTAGCAGCAGAGATTCAATTCTAATATTCTTTATGTATTATTTTTACAGATAGAGGATACTCTGTTGATTTCTTGTGAGAGATCATGTATTTATTATGGTTCTAAATCATCATAATATGCTTCGATTTGCTATTCATTAAAAAGTACCAGTCTGTTCGAAATTTCAATAGCCGAGGCATTAGCTGAGGTAGCAATAAATTTCTTGCGTTTCCAGTATTTAGATTTCATAAAAATTCCATTTATTTTCTGTTCTTTGGGTATTAATGTTTGATGAACCTTGAAATTTTTTAATGTTGATTTGCGAGTTCCATAGTCAGAATGATTTTTTATGTTGGTTTTATTCTTTTGAATTTATTTATTTATTTTTATCTAAGGAGTTTAAGAGCTTAGCTAGAATGAGTCTTCTCTTTTAACCTCTGATGATGTGCTTAGTTATTCCATTTTTTAAAGTTAATATTTATATTATTTTTTAAATATACTATGAATTATTGGTTATTGTCTTAATATTTATTTGAATAAATAATCTTACTTATACTTATTCTTATCTCTAAATTGATGTTTTTTATTAATTATGGAATTTGGTTTTCATCGACTTTTTAAATAATAAAAAAGGTGAATTCTGTTATAATCTTAGTTAAAATGTATTAAATTAATATTTAAAATTATTTGCTATTATTAGAAAAAAATTAAGGTAAATGATAAACTTAATTGAGAAATTGACAATAAAATTAGTACTAGCCCAATCAAATTTTATTTAGAAATTGACAACCAGTTCTAGAAATTGTAATGTCAAATCAGGTCAATTTTTAAAAAAATAAGTAAAATGAGTTTATTATTTTTTAGTATGTATTAGAAAATTACAGTTTAAAACCCTAATAATTAAAAGCTGGTTCACTAATATAACATTTTAAAAAAAAGCTAATTCAATTAATAAAATATGTAAATGCTACTTAAAATATTAATCAATCAATATCATCAAAGTTAGTAAGCTGAAAATCCCCCCAAAAAATTAAAATATACTTACTTTTTTTAATATAATTTGAGTTTACTTTTTATCCTTAATTATAAAGTATTAAAGTGACATATATATAAGCAAGTATACTAAAATCAATGTAACATCTAAATAAAATTAATAAAATTAAAAACTAACATTAATAATAAGTGTATTTTTGATTTTCTTATTTAATTGCGCTGATCGAACAACTGTAAACTTTATAAATTATAAACAAAAAGTCTATTTTTAATAAATACTAAATTATTTTTTTACTGTTTAATTAGCAATTTAAAATACATAATTAGCTATGCGTTTAATTTCTAAGGTTTTTTCATGTATGCAGAATATCTTGAGTGTTTATTAAGAATTACTTAAGATTTTTCACGCTACTAACTGATTAAGCTATCTAATCTATCGTGTTTTTATTTATTCTCCTAATTCAATAGGAATTTTACATTATCAAAAATGAAAAGATATTTACAATATTTTATTTTTAAAAAAATAATTAAAGTGTTATTTGTTAATTACTGTTCTTCTAGTATTATTTTATGAATATTTTTGATAGATACTACCTAATTTATGAATGGCACAGCTAAGCTAGAATCAAAAATGCTTACATTGAATCTGTTCATTTTTATTTAAATAAAAATATTTTATAAGATAAATTTAATTCAAAGGAACAATTTAGGAAATAATATTTGGCCTTTTTGAAATAAAATTATTTACACATCAAGATATAAATGCTTCAGTTATGACATTTATTTAAAGGTATTAATTAATGTTTCTTACACTTCGCTTTATTTCATCTGTTCGTCATGAATGCTAGTTTTTTAAAAAAATCTGACACTATATCCAAAATCAAATTAATCTATTTACTTGAATTTCAAAAATAGAACTTCTATATTATTTCCTAAAGATTAACCCCCAATAACTCGACACAAATTTTTAAAGGAATCAGCGTTAACAAATGTTAAATCTTTTCTTTAAGTTTTATAAGTATAAATTTAATCATATTTAAATTACTATTATAAAATACTCAATTATTATAAAAAGTCTCTTTAGCTGAGTCAGCTCTTTTAAAATCTAACTCAAGTTATTGAAATACTCTCCAGTTAGTTAAACCATAGGTGTGAGTTCACATGGTTTTTAAATATTATTTTTTAAATCTATGTAATCACTTAATGCACTAAATTAATACTTTTAGAAATTTAGCTCTAATTCCTCTAAATTACTTAACTGTGCCAATGTCTCATTTAGCTCCATATAAAAATATTCACTGATTTGATTTGAGCTTCTATTATTTTCACATATTTAAAGTTTTTTAAAAATCTTCTACTTATCTTAAAAAATGCTTACACTATTCTTAAGCGAAGACTTTTCAATTTCGTGAGATTTTTTAAAGAATGCAAAGATCTGAATGATTCTTCTTTATATCCTCTAATTAAAAATTTTATTAATTTTTCGATCCAGTATGAAAAAATATACTTACGATATACTTAGATTCAATTTTTCTAATCTTATTAAAGTTCCTAAAGATGTTGTAATATTTTTAATCCCCTTTTAGCTAAAGCAAGCAAAGTCTCTAAATAAAAAAAATCAAATTAAATTTATACAAGAATGACGTTTTTTATTTACTTGAGGTTAATTTTTAAGTATTTTAGCTTTTTTAGCTATTCTAAACTATTGCTTAAATTAGCTAAGAATGATTCAGTGATGATCTAAGTAAAGTAACTATTAATATTAATTCATTAATTGATAAATGATATGTATACACAAATTGTAAATAAAAGATAAATTAATTTTATTAACTCCCCTTAATATGTGCATATTTCTAAATCTAGTTCTTTAAGATTTTTTAAATCTCCAATACTTTTAGATAAAAGTTTTAACTGCTAAGTATTTTCAATTGTATCAGTCCTAATTTTTTATAAAAAAGAAGCTATTTGGTTATTACAAATTAAATGAAAAAAAAAATTTACTGAATTGAGATGCTGCATTTCAATAAATTGGTGTTTTTTTGCAAAGCTTTTTGCATCTAATTAAAATAATCACTTTTTATCACTATATTTTACCTATTATTAGATTTTAAATGAAATAAAATATTATTGTAATAAATTAATTTACCTGATTGATATTACTAATTATTTTAAATTATCCATAGTTTCTAATTAATTAAGTTATTCATACAAAGTTTAATCGAAGTATGGGTTATCACTAGTGCATAAAAAATTTTAAATAAGCTTAATAATTAATTCTTTATAAAAATTATTTTACTTTATTTTTATCTCAAATTTAACTTAATTTTAATTCTATGCTGATGTTTATTTATTACCATTATACCTATTTTATTTATTATTTACATTTTTGCTAATTAATTATGTATTTTACTAATTTAACTACTTATTCTACACTTTAACTAAGTTAAACTAGCTCAATTTAGTGCTGGCTTGCTAAATACTCTATTTATGGTTTTCAATAATATCATTATAATTGGAGATTCGGTTTGATTCCAATTTTTTGCATAAATCTAAAAATATTTAACTTGTCTGCTGAGATATGCTTTCTAATTCTTTAATGCATTATTAAATTTAGAAAGAAATATTCTCCTTATCTTCTTATTTTGATGATTAATTTTCGTTTTCATTTTCGATTTCCATCTAATTTTGTTTATGTTCATTTTGAATTGAATAAGTAAAAAGCTTAGCAATCTCATTTAAAGAAACATGATCTATTTCGCCATTTTAATACTATTTAAGCTATATATAAAAGCTCTGAATTAATTTTTGTTAGTCTTAGGTGTTAGAATTTTCATTTTAAAGTAATTGCTCTATTAATGCTTTTTTACATGATCTAGCTGCTTGAGAAAAGCCCTCGATTATTTTTTCTATCTTAGATTCTATTTAATCGGGCTGAATAGAATTTATATTTTCTTCCCTTAGAATAGTTTGGTCTTATTACAAAAAGCACTTCTTCAATTATTCTACATCTAATAATTCTGAAATATCATATACTTTATCAATATGATCTAAATGTTTGTGACCTCTAACCGCACATCTTAAACAGATAATTCTGCTTTCCTACTAACATTACCCATAAAGACAAACTAGGCACATCATTCTATCATTATGGATAGAGCAAAAAGATGATTAATTCATAGATTTTTACTATTAGCCTAAATTCAAATTTTAACCCTTTAATATCAAAATTAGTATAATAGATGAAAATGATATTTCTGGAGTAATCTGTCTTATTCTAAAAATAATGAAATTTTTCCCGCAAAATTCTCACAATTACAACTTTAACATTGATTCAAATAAATAACATTAATTTTCAAAATCAGAAAATATGTATGCTAGCAAAATTAGCAATATCTAATTTATATAGCTTGACTACATATAATTTAAACTATTCTATAATATATAATTAATTGATTATACATAATTCAAATATTTTAAATTAAAAAATTATTTTAAGTAAATGATATTAATTGAAAAAAAAATCAATACAAGTTTAGAAATATTTTTTTTGAATTGATAATTTAATTTGTTTTTTTTCTAATTTTTACAAATAAATCAAATAATTAATAAGAGTAATGTTATAGAAGTTTAATTTAAAGAAATAAAATTTAATTTATTTCTATTATAATTACTTATTTATTTACTTAATTAGTTTATTAGTTTCTTAAGTATTTTTAAGATTAAATTATTTATTTTGAATAATAGTAAAGATCTAATAAATGCAGAAATATAAATTATTTTTATTATTATATTTTTTGACTCATATAAATATGTTCAAACAATAATCGATATCTTACTTACTTAGCATGTTAAGAACTATATAATTTTGATTATGAATGTGTATTTATTTAGTAATTTATTTTTTAAAATATATTAATTTTATATTATTTTATATTTTCAAAGAGTTAAGTAACAATAAGTAAGTGCCTTCATTTTATTAAGTAGATAAACTAATTATTAAGAAACCAAATAAATTTATCAAAAAGAAATCAATAGATAAAGCTAGTAAGTTAGTATTTAAGTTTATAAGTTAGTCAGCATTACTCATATTTATTTTTGACCCACAATCTCTCAACAATTATGATTGATGTTTAGACCTTTAAGCTTAAAAAATGTTTCAGGATAATATTTTTCTAAAAACACTTCATTCATGACTGTATTTTCGATGTAAATACTTTCTTCAAAAAGCTCTTTGTATATTCTAACAAGCTCGTTTCCTCTTAATTTAATAACCTTTTCAATTTCTCTAATATCTATTGAAAATTATTAAATCACACATTGATATTTAAATACTTCTCTAAGATCTTCAGGTATCTTATCTGTTTTAATATATTGCATATGAGTATCTGATTCAATTATAATTTAATCAATTGTTATGATAGGAAATCTTATAGTTAATTAGTCTTATCCACTATTTATAAACTCAAACATATTTAATATATTATCAAGTCTTCTTGCTCCTGATGGATCCATGAAGCTATTGCATTTTCTTAAAAATAGCTCAATATTTTCTATTTAAACTCCTATCAAGTTCAATAAAGCAAAACTTGTTCCGTTACTGATGGGTTCTAACTATTTCCCTTTAAAATTATATTTAAATAAATTATATGTCATAAATTCATCAATAGAACATGATTTAATATATTTTTAACATTCTTCATAGTATATCTCATAATAATTATCTAGCTCTTCCTTAGAGTATTTTTCACTCATTAGCTTATATTAATAATCTAAGTTTTATATAAATTCTTCATACTTTTTAAGGTGAATTGATAATTACCTTTGCTGAGAATTGCAATAATTATCATAATATTAGCACAAATTATTGAATTTTTTCATAAGGTTATCAACCGTAGGAGTAATTATGAAGCTAAATAATTAGCTTTGGTTATCTTTTTGAAAGCCTTATATACTCAAGTACTAATCAAATTAGTTAATTAAATTTGAGTCATATTATGATTAATAGTCAGGATAATTGTCTTCAATAAACATAAATCCATAAATCAAAAATTTACTGTCTAACTTTATGTTGTATAAAAATAGATTATTTATAGGCTAAAAGAAAAGTTTTTTTTAGCGAATGTGTTGACCTTTTTTTATTGTTTATTTAACTCTCTTAATCCTAATCTATAGCTACTTTTAATAGCGATTTTTAATGATTTGTAGTTATCCTTCCTCTATTTTACTTTATTTATTTTCTGATACTAAAATATCTGATGTAGATTCTGCAATAATTTGATTTTGACTTTAATAGTCTTATTATTTATCAATTTAGCTACTGCTATTAGTTATTTTACAGTTATCTTACTCTAAAGAAAATTAATCATTACAATTCATCATCATCATATGGATAAATTAATTATTTTGATTTTGAGATAAATTGTTTTGTATTTTCATGCTTTAAGCGCTATGAAAATGTTAGCAATCATCCATTATTACCTCCATTTTACTTGCGTATTTTAAAAGTTTTTACTTTTTTTTTATTTCCTTCAAATTTTTTTTTTAACTAATTAATTCTCAACTTTTATCTAAAGCTATTTGTAAAAAAGCATTTGGTAATGACGAAAGGCACAATAATTTTGCTAAAAGAAAATATAAATTGTGATTTTCTTCTTTTGATTAGAAATTTATGACTAATAATGAATGAAAATAAAATTAATGAATCGAAATCATTATTACCAAATTATAATTATCTATTCTAACTTTAAATTCAAATTATTAAACATTTTTTGATAAAAGCCTATCTTATTTGTCTATTTTATGCAATTTAAAATTTAAGGTTTACATTTAGCTTAAAATATAATATTTGACATAAGTTTGTAAAATAATTTTTTTATATTTCTTTTATAGTGCTGTTTTATTTTAAATTGTTTTTGTTAAAATTGTTAATTTCAATTTTAATACAAATTGATAAATAATCTAAATGCATTTCGAAAATTTATTATTCAATTTAAACCAAATAACGTAATGCATATTTCTTCATTTTTTTTATTTAAATTAAACAAGTATTATCTTCTAGCGGGCTAGCCTATTTTTTTTCAAAAAATGTTATAATGGATGAATAAATTAAAATAACCAACAAAGTAATAATTTTATTATTTTGATATTTTTTTGAGTAATTTAAAAGAAAGCACCATAAAATAACAAATTAAAATTTTAAACAAAGAATAAAATTGATTTTATAATAACATAAATATAAGCAATGTATTAGTATTATTTTTATTTTTTTAAAATCATAAACTTAAATGTACCATCATTCCTCATTAATAAATCTAATAGAGATCTTTTTTAGAAATATTTTTAATTTTCTTTTTAAATAAGCTTAACAGTAAAAAAAGTAAATATAAAATATCGACTTTAGAAAAGTATCTATGGTGGATTTATAATTATTTTTAAAGTTATAATATGTGTAAAAATCCAAATTATTAATAAAACAAAAAATAATTTATATAAGCAAATAAATATCATTTGACATTTTTTTACATTATTTATTTATTTAATTGAATTTAATCTGAAACCTATTTTTGTTTTTCTTTTGAATGCTTATGTAAAAATAAAACTAAAATATAATTAGACTTTTCTTAAGTTTAAATTTTATTTATTAAAGTTATTAATTTTTTATTGACATTTATCATCATATGTTTGTTTGTATTCATAATGATTCTAAAATTAAATTTATAAATTTATTGTAAACATATTTTGATAAAAAATTAAAACTCTAAAAAATATATTAAATATCTGAAAGTTAATTATTAATAGTTAAATATGTTTGAGATAGTAAAATCAAAGCTTTATAATTATTAGTGAATAGTTGATTAACAAGACAAAAATATCTATGAAACTTCAATAAAATTTATAAATATTAATTTTTGCTAATAAAGTCTATTATATAGATGTAATTAATTATTTTAACATTAATCATTCTTTGAAATTTTGAATTGAGCGCTTAAATAAATAAGAATAGAGTAAAGCTCCATTTAAATCAAACCATTTAAATTAAGTTAAATATGGAGGGGTCCTCAGTTTTTGATTAAGTAAATGTGATTAAATTATTTCTTATATAAGAATAATAAATTAAAAAATTATTAATCTCAAAAATTTAAGCAAGAGATTATTTAGATTATCAGGAAATTTCTTCTTTAATAAACTAAAGGAGGTAACTATCTCAAAAATAATACTATTTAGATAAAATAAAGAGTCCGTATTTCAACCCGAGATTTCAAAGGCTGACACAGGAGCAGATAAAAACCGCAGCAAGCTAAGTTAAAGAAGCACATATTAGATAAAGTACCATCTTAAAATTAATTCGCCCTGACCACTATTACTACCACAAGTATGTTTTTTTATTTTTATTTTTCAAATTTAAAAATGAATATTTAATGATGATAAGAATTATTATAAATATTTTTATATCTATTCTCATCAAATGATATAAAAATAATTAAAACATTTAAATTATTTTTAAAATAAATTATTAATCCAAAAAAATTTTTAAATAGTGAGCCAGACTGATAAACAAAATTCAAAAAAGTCCAGCAAGTCTATGAAAAAATAAAGTTTATAGACTAACGAGGACTTTAAATAAAATAATGCTGCATAAATTGATGAAAAAATGAATAATTAACACTAAAAACTAAATCTTAAACAAGAAACATGTTAAGAAATAAACAAATTATGTGTAGATGATGAAAAAATTAACAATTAATGCCTTGTTTGCATTGAAGAAATCAAAGATGAATGTATCCTGAACCCGTGTCAGCACAAGTATTGCTACCCATGTATTTTCGATTGGATGAAATAGAAGTAGCGTTGCCCCCTATGTAATAATGAGGTTGTTGAGATTATCAAGACCAATTAGAATGCAGAAGCAGATAATTTGATAACTAAGGTATCAGATATAGCAGACTCAGTAGCTTTAGAAAACTTAAAATCAAATAGCTAATCTTAAAACGAACACATTGAAAGATTTGAATGTCTTGACCACAATTATCTCAAAAATGAAGTTGAAAAACTTTTAAATAAACTAGATTTTGTTCAAAAAAAAATGGAATAGCAAGCAAACAAATACGATGACTTTAATTGGTTTATTATTGACACAATTGATGATTAGATTTACGAGCTAGAAAATATTGTTGAAGATTTCATTGAGTTTAATCCTTAAGAAATTGCATAAAGGTGCTTCTTGTTAGAGGAACATCTTGATATTATAAGAAACAACAAGTGGGAGATTATTGAAGAGCACTACTCAGATTTATATGCCATATAGCTATAAAAGGAAGAAGAGGAGATCTAAAACTACAATCAAGGCAACAGTAAAAATAAAAATAACAACAATAAAAACAAAAACAGTTAAGCTAACAGTAAAAATGGTAATAGTAAAAACCATATCGCTGAATTTGAAGACGATTTCTATTATGATGATTCAGATGTTTCTAGCTTTCCAAGCAGTTTTAAGGATTACTCTATAAAAAATTTCAAGCCAAAAGCTCCTAAGAAAAAATTTAATAATACTATTCCATTAAATACAGCTTCTGCTATGACAAAAATTTGAGAAAAAAATGAGCACAAAATTAACACAAGCAAACAAACAAACTAGATAGATAGATAGGAAAACAAAAAGAAAAATTAATTGATTTATGACTAGTTAATAAATAATATTTACTTTATGATTGATTGATTAATTATTAGGATTATTTTTTTTTTAGGAAGATAAATTTTTGGTTGATAAGAAACTTAAGAACTCAAAAATAGATCAAAATTAATTTTTAGTTTTCATTTTTACTTTAAATTTACTTTACTTTATTTACATTAAATGAGAAATTTATGCTATAAAAGATATTTTAAATCATTAAAATTCAATTCAAATCCTAAGAAATTAATCTGTATGCTTGTTTGTTTGTTAATGTGTTTTTCTCGCTTTAGTTTAGTTTATTGTATTTATCTAATCTAAGTGGTTATCAAATAGATATCAAATAAATTATTTATTCTATCAGCAGCCAGTCAATCATCTATTTCAGTCAAACTTCGCTGTTTTTATCCTATTGTGAGGTCTATTCCTTATTTTTTTGTTCCTACTCTTCCTAGATTTTCTCACTTTATATATCTCCTTATGCTTTTAAAAATTCTTCATTTTCTCTTTTAATACTCTCCTTCTTGGATAAAAATTGCTTTCTTATCTTCTTGCAAATAGAACACTTTTTCAAAAGAAACACTTTATTACCTTATCCTAAAAAAATAAAAAATATGATCTTCTTCTTACAATAAGGATTAAAATAATTTATAAAAGCATTTTTTATTTTTCAAAATTTTCGAAATGTGTAGATATCAATGTATAAATATATGTGTATGCTTATGTATGTAATTGATCTAGTTATTAAATAGAAAAAGAGATCATATTAAAGACAAAAGTTTTAATTCAATTTTTGCCTAAGGAATTCTATTGAAAGAATTTATTATAAATGAGTAAAATAAAAATAAATCTAAACAGAAAATGAAATTACTTTCTATTTGGAATTTACTTTTTTCATAAAACTATAAGCATTTTCTACAGTAGTCCTTAGAAATTTCCTTATCACTTTTTCATAAAAAATAAATATAGGTCTTGGCATTTATAAGTTAAAATAGAAATTATTACACCCTAATTACTCTCTTTTATGCATTGAGAGCAAATTCTTTTAAGTAAAAATTAGAAAGATCAGCAGATTGTTCTTTAATGGCCAAGGATACTTAATAAAGATAATTCATTTTTGATAAAACTTCATTATCTTTCACTTTATGCAGTTCTGCAGGGTTGTATGTTTTTATTACAGTTGCGGTGTTTTAATTTATCATCCTCTACTTTACAAATATTACTTAAAAATCAATATTATAGCTTCTTAGATTATTTTTATCAAAAAATAACAAGAAAGAATCAAATCAAATAGTCACTTTTCTTATTGCTTTCTTTTAGATTAATTTAATATTAATTTATTTTAAAATTAGCAAAATATTTTACACTTAATATTTCATAAATAAAAGCAAAAAACTAAAAACAAACATTAAAATTTATTAGCTTATTAAAATCAATTATTTTTTTTGTAAAATCTGAAACATATTTAGAGTTTATTTTATAGCAGTAAAGTTATTAAATTTATTGCTAACAGAAAGATATATACAGTTTTTCTAATTATAAATAATTTTTTAATAATCTTTAATTATTTTTTAAACACTAAATATTATCATTAAATAAAATTTCATTTCGTTTGTTCAATCTTAACCAGACTCAGCCTATTCAATAGCTGCAATTAAAGAATTTACTGTTACAGGTTTTTCCATGTAGGCATCTGCTCCTGCTAATTTAGCATTTTCTCTATCTTTTAGAGAGCCAAAAGCAGTAATCATCACAATTTTTAGTGGGTTCATCTTTCCTTCCTTTACTAAATTTTTAATTATACGAGTTGCTTCTATTCCATCCATTATAGGCATATTAACATCCATTAGAATGAGATTTACATATTACTGGCTTCTAAACTTTTCTTTGACAATTTCAAGAGCTTACCTACCATTAAAAGCTTCAAAAACCTCAGTCTAAGTACTTATTTATTATTTAAGTAATAGCTTAAGAGCCAAAATATTGAATCCTGTATCGTCTACTATTAAAATTTTTTTATATTTGCTAAAGACAAGCTTACCAAGAGTATTATTTTAAATTAAAACACTTTAAGTTATTTTTCTACCTTTTTTTCTTTAAATATTTTATGTAATGTTTTGGTTTAAGGGATTATTTAGAGCCAATAACTAAGAGTTGAAATTATTTTATTGACTTTGTTAGAACTGATTATTTATAGACTTTGAGTTCTTTTTATTTTTTTTATCCAGATTGAATTAATCACGTTAATTTGCTTTAGTTAGTTATTTAGCAAAATAATTAGAAAATAAATTACATAAATAAATAAATAAATAAAAAAAATAAATAAAAAAAATAAATTTACATTATTTTGTTTGGAATAACTACTGGTAGTATTAGTCTTATGAGTCATCCTTTGTTACATTATTGTTAGAGTGAACAGGGGAGTCTTATGTGATTATAGAATTGTTTGATTAGTCCATAGGACTCTTATCTTTCAAATTATTTCCAATTGTTTAGATAAATTTAAATTTACTAAATAAAGGTGTTTATACTTTATTTTATAATTCAAGTCTATTATCTGAAGGAAATTAATGGTTAATATCCAATTCATCTAATTAATACTATCTTTAAACCAGCTACTAACTGCTGAGATCATTTTTGAGTTCTATTTAGCTTTGCTAAATCTTAATGTTATTAATGTTACTTTGATTTAAATTGTTGAATCCATAAATGCCTGCAGTTTAGCATTCGTTGCCTGAAGGCAATATTTCAGATACAATATTAGCTAGTAGTGATTATGATCTGTTTTTTTAATTTCTAATATTTATTTTTTTATCAAGCTTAAATAATTATTTGAATTGAGAGTCTATATTTTAAAATTATGAAGAGCTTTCTCTATCCATTTTATTTTACTTTAATTACAGATTTATATCACTAGTTATTCTTTAACCACTCTGCTAACGCATATTTGCTATTTTATTGCTGCCCTAATTTGATGCGTGTCCTTCTAAAATTTCTAAGCTTAGAGTTCCACTTGGTAAGTGTTGTTGAGACTTACAATTAGGAAACCCAAACATAATTTCTTTTTTCTTTTAAATTTCTAGCTGTTACTGTTTCTAAAAGGATTCGCCTAAAGCTCTAATTTTTTTTAAGCTTGAAAGAGATTCTTAGAGTTAGTATTTACTCATAGTCTATTATTCTTCTAAAAATCTGTGTACAAGGAATATAAAAGTACTACCTTATCCCTCTTTACTAATTAGCTCTATATTTCCATTTCCAACTTTTTGAACTAGCTTTTGGCAAATAGCTAAGCCGATTCCACATCCTTATTTAGAAAAAAATAATTTCATAATTAATAAATCTGCTAAAATTAAGTATGCATTTTAGTTAGTATTATTTATCTATTTTTTCTTTTTATTTTTTTAAATTAAAAAAGTGTAAAATTAAATATTATTTACCATGTTGATAATTTTTCTTTTGCTAATAAGTTCCGTAGGGCTGAAATATTTTTTTTTATAGCTAAGTACTAATACCTATTCCTGTATCAGCAATGGCAAATTTAAGATACTGATTATTTAATTAAGTTATTTCGAAAAAAACATAACCTTTAAAAGTAAACTTTAAGGCATTACCAATTAGGTTTAATACTATTTATTTAATACGATTGAAGTCATTGTAAATGAAAGTATTTTCTACACTGATTGATGTCTTAAACTCAATCCCCTTACTCTTCGCTTAGTATTCAATCAATTCTTTGATTTCAATCATTAATTCATTTAGATTAAACTTTTGTGGGTTTAATTTGAATTCTCCTTTTTTCATATTTTAAAAATCTTATATATCATTAATAATTGCTGTAAGCAGAACTCCATTTTTACGAGCAATTTAAATACATTTCTACATTTCATTAAAGCTAGTTAATGAAATAGCGCTTTCCAATATGCTAATAATCCCATTTAAAGGAGTTTTTAAATCATGTGTAACTGTGTTAATTAAATCATCTTTGTAGTGATTAATTTCTTTATAAAAGTCATTCTTTATTTTATCTGATATATTAGTCATTAGTATTAAAATACATAGCTCGTTCTCCCAAATACACTCAACAAGTCTCATTTCATAGTACTCGACATGACTACTTTTGGATTCTTTCCTTGATGTATCATTTAAAGTCATGCTATTAATATTCTGATTTTAATTATAGACACTAGTTATATAACTGTTGTTTTGATTATTATTGCTTATTGTGTAGCTATTACAATTAATATTTTTATTATTTATTGTATTGTTGTTTGATTCTTCATTTAGATGATCGTCTTCATTATCTTCACTTCTTTTTTGGTTTAATTATTAATTGCTTTATTGCTTTTTTTTCAAAATTGGCTCATTATGCTTAGCATTTTCTTCCTATTTGATTTTATCTTTCTAAATTTAAAGATGAACGTTAAGAATGCATTTAGCGAAATATTCTTCTTTTTCTAGTCTCAAATAGTTAGTATTTTAATTTTTTAGATTGTTTAGACTTTAAAAACTCTTAGCATTTCTGTAGTTCTCAATTTTCTTAATTATCAATTCTTTCAAAGGAGCATACTTTTATTATTTATTATCATTTTAATCGTTTTTATTCTATTTTGCCTAGCTATCTTTGTTGCATTCCACAATGCTATTAAAATGGCTTTTTATATTTAAAAATTTTAATTATTTTTCACTTGTTTATCTTGCTGATATATTAGAGGGCTACTCTCTTTTTATCTTTGGAAACCTAAGCTAAATTTCTGGAATTTATTATAATTATTATTATTCTTAAGACTATTATATTTGATTTTAAACTTTACTACTTTATATTTATTGTGAGAACCCTTGGTTTCTAGATTAAGCTAACTCAAACTTTTAAAATGTAATGAAATCTTAGCCAATTAAATTTTTTTCTGAAGATTACTAATTTTGTAATTACTTGGTTTTGGTAATTGATGACTTTAAAGATTATTTATAATGGTTGCTGTTACCTTGCTTTTGTTACGGTTAAGATTCTTCCAAAGGCTAGACAATCTTTTAAGATTAAAAGTCATTTAACTAATTTTAATTTACATCTTTTATAGTTTAAATAAAATTTGCTTTATTAAAAGAATCTATTTGTTAGGAGTTTTCTAAAATACTGTTTTGGTTTACATATATGTTATTCATAACCCAATTTATATCAACATTTCCTATCCGCTTAAACTCGTTTTTTGTATTTTTATTTTAAAAAACTACAGAAATTTCTCCCTTTTTTTCCTCATTTTCTTTCACAACAAGCACAGGGCAAGGTAAATTTTAATTAACAAGCTTTTACCATCCTTCTTACTCCATTTGAATATTGTAAAGAAAATAAAACTATAGCTTTTTGAGCTTAAAGTCTTAGTAGAAGTACCATATTGAAATAATGTAAGAAATAATCGCCAAATATATTAACTATTTTAATATTGTTTAAAAATAATATTTTAATCCAAAGTTTATTTACTGCTTGTAAATTAAATATATATTTATGAAAATTTACCCTTAGTAGAATTTCATAATTTAAGTTGATCATTAAACTTGCCCACATAATGCTTATACTGATTATTTTAAAGTACCAAATCTGAATCATATAGACTAGCGATGCGGATTAAAAAGAGAGAAGTACTCCAATTATAAAAAATAATTAAACTTTGTATTAATAAATTTGTTAACTTAATTTTAATTAACCATCATCAAGCTAATATTTCTGCTAATTGTCTTGCAAATCATATTATCCTAAAAAATAAAACATAATACCAATAAGACTATTCATCAATGTTAAAGTGATATCCTTAAACAATTCTAAATTACTATTGATTATAAAATATTTAATTTTTAAATAATTTTAATCAACCTTGCTATTTATTTATTTATAAATTAATTTCTTGATTTGCAAAAACAAAATAATTTGAATTCAATGATTCCATCATCTTCATCATATATAATATTTAATAAAATTAAGCTATTGCAAAAATTTTGGTTACTTTTTATAAAGCATATATAAGATAAGTATGAGGAAAGAAGGTACTATCCCAAATATTATAGAGTAGGTAGTATTTTTAAATGCTAGCATTTCAATGGCTAATATAATTACATAACCTAAGAATTTTATAAGTAGAAATTGCTAAATAACAATGTTATCAGTTGATGAAAAAACTAGCTGATATCTCCTTTCAACATTCTTGTCTTTAAATTTTAGTGAAAATTTTTCTAAAAAAGGGAATAATGTAGCTTTCTTCCAGTTAAGAATAATATCTTTGACAGCTTCACTAATCATTACTTTAAAAATTTGATACAGATGATTCTACCTACACTGTTATTTCTATTATTCTACTAAGCTATTTTTACTTTAAAAATAATTTCTTATTCAACGATTAATAGCCAAAAATTATAATTATTTGCCTTATATTAAATAAATTTACAAAATTTTGAATGAAATGGAATATAATAAAAATAATCAATCTCACTCACTCAATCAATAACTCACTCTAAAGTGTTAAAACTAACATTTATCAACTTATTATAAAAATAAATAAGTTCTTACCAAAATTCCTATTTAATATGAAGTATGTATGTATTTCATATAAAAAAATAATTAATAATATATTTTATTATTTTACATGGGTATTCTCATTATATTGAATTTTCAAAGGAAGATTTTAAAATATTTAATATAAATTATTTTGCACCTCGATAATATTTTTTAAATATTTTAAATTAATAAAAATAAGAATTTACTTTATCTACTTTTTATTTACCTTTATTATCTATAAAAGATAATTAAATTTGAATAAACCATATAATTTTGTTAAACAAACTAATATTAATATTTAAATAAAAAAACCATTTTAATTTACTATTTTAAGCTTTTTAACAACAATTATATAAATAAATTATTTTATTATGAAAATAATTTGGATTTAATTTATTGCTCAATATATAAACAGATATACATACATACAACAAATCGCATATAACGCACTTAAATTAAATCATAAAATATATAGTATCATAGAACTTATATATAGGATGGGAAAACAATTTTATAGGTAATCCTTATTTTATTATGTAATTTTTTATTATTTTTTTTGTTATAATTTCAAAATTGAATGAATAATGTTAAATTGCTAAAGATCATTTCAAAACCATCTATCTTTTAAGTTTCTTTTTAAATAAAAACAGAATTATAATCAATTTTTTCATTTGAATCATTTTTATGTAAAATTTGTGAAATTATAAATAGTAAGATACTGTTTTAAATAGTTATTTTTACAATTAATTTTCCACTTTTGATTAGAGTTTATCAATAATTCTAAAAATAAAATTTTACTAACTGATTATAATTATTATATTTTAATAAATATTGCCTGTTAAGACATACACTTAATTATTAAGAGAAGAAGTAAAAATTATTAAATTTTTTTTGTTTTTTCAAATAAAAACTAAGTCGATAATTTAATTTTTTTAATGTATAATTTATTTATCGATAAATAAGCAGATATGAAATTAACTAAATATAAATTAAAATAAGGATATTAATAATAATTTAAGAAAACTTTTAAAGTTTTGTTCATTTTTAATAAATGTAAATGAATATTAATATTTTTAAAAATTTAACTTGTTAATTCAAATTAAACAAACTTAACTTTTTACTTTTTAGTTTTTTTATTGGAAATTAAGAATTTTCCATTTACCATTTTAACATATTAGGGTAGTAAAAAAAAGATTCTTTATCACTGTAATAAGTACACTAACTAAAAAAATAAATGTAAATTGTTAAGTTTTATCAAAAAATCAGCTTTGTTAAAAAATTAAAAAAACAACATACAATTAATTTGTTTTTTTCAACTTATATATATTTTTTATTATAATTTATAAATTTCATTTTTTTTATAATTTTGTGTTATTCAGTTATCTTTTTTTTCAATTTATGTGCAAACTTAGACAGCACTTGTAGCAGCATTGAAAATATCCATAACATCCTTAGCTGCGTTGATAATATTGAATTCAACAGCATCAACATAAATATTTTTAAGAGCATTTACAGCCTTAGCAACATCTGAAACACATTCAACAGTAGCAACAACCTTAGCATTTGTAGGAATATCAGGAACTTGAACCTTGATACCACATTCATCAAAGAAAGGTTAGAAATCCTTCAATAAGCTTTAGATACTTTAGAGTTTTTCGAGAGGACTCAAATCTTAGTTAGTTAATTTTTGATAGAGTTCATAAGAATCCTTACCAACGATAGCGAGGTTCTTTACACATTAGATATTCAAACTAAGGGCAGTTTTAAGTGTGTTAATCTTCTTAGGACATTCAGCAATATCAGTAGTAATAGCATGATAAACATTCTTAGTGGCATTTAAAAGTTCATTAAATTATCTTTCCTTTAATAAAGAGATAGTGTTTTCAATAGCAGTAGCAGTTTCACTGATATCCTTTACACAAGTTGCTATTTAATCGATATTTTTGATTTCAGGAAGATCGAGCTTTTCAATTCCGCATTCCTAGTTAAGAGCATAAAGGTCTTTGTAAATTTATACAGCTTCATTAAAAAGTTAAGGAATATTGTAGTTATGGCTTTTGTAGTCATTTAAGAATTATTTAGCATCGCTAAATAATGCCTCGCTGTCATGAATACAACTGAAAATATTAATTCCCAAATCAGAAGAAGAGAGTAAAGTAGCATCAGAAGAATTTTTTTCAATCAATTTGCAGTCAGCATTGGTTTCTTTATAGATCTTGAAAGCTTCAATAATTCTAGGTAAGTTAATAATCATTTTATCAACCAATAAGTTAGCTTCTGTATTAGCAACATCGATAGCGATATTAACAATTTTTTCAATATTGGCTTTTTTTTTAAAAAAAAACTCATTAATATAAAACAATTGTAATTAATTAAAGCATAATTTTCAATTAAAAGCCAAAATAAAAATTTATTTTTTCATAAAATTTGACTATTTTTTTAACAATTTGTCAATTTGTGTATATTTATTTTTTAATGTATTTGATAATTATTAATTTTATTTTTTAGAATTGCTTTTTTATCAGCTTCTCTAAATTATTTTTTTAAATATTAATTTGGTTATTTCAGATTAATAAAGTAATTAATTAGATAAATTTTATTAATTATAAAGTAAATCTATGATATTTTTATCAAATACCATTTTCTTATATTTCTTTTAATTTTGGTAAAAAGAAAGATTTAGAATAGGAAAATTAAATTAAAAATTTCATGATATTATTTCAAAAAAAATATTATTTTAAAATTACCAAAGCATGATGTGGTATTAGCAGGCTTATATTAATCAATTATGTCGAGTAAAGGTAAATCTAAACCGCAGCTATTGATTAAAGGATCAACCAACTCAAAAGTGTCATAAGCATTTGCAAGAATGTTTGAAACTTCAAGGGGTTAGGTTTTGGTGGATACAAGGAATAATTTAAATTAGTGTGTTATAGTAACAGCATTTGAGAAACACAAATCAGGATCAAATTTAGCCATGCTACTGCTAATAATGCATAGCATAAGTACAGCTGTTAAAGCTTTGTTCATTTTTAAATAACTTTTTGTAATTTTTTTTTTTGACTTTTTTTATTTGTTTATTAATTATCAGTTTTAGATAAAAGAGAAAATGGGATCTATTTAAACTAAAAATATGTCTTAATAATTAAAAGAATAAATGTATGCATTAATACAAATTAATCTATATCATTTGATTTTCATTAAATAAAAATCTGAATAAGCTAAAAAGTTGAAATTAATAGTTTAATTTGGGTTTTTAGCTAACAAAATCCTCAAAATTAATTTTATCTCTCTAAAAGGTTATTGAAAGATACATATTCTTTTTTTCATTAAATTTTATGTATACTTTATTTTTATTAATCAATTAATTAATTAATAAATTAATCCTTCAACAAAGTCTATTTATAAATTCCAAAAAGGGAATGTGTGTTTTAATACTGCTTAAAATATTTTGTAATAGAATCAATACTAAAACATTTACTTATTCATCAAATAGAGTTTTTCTTAATAAAATTGTTTATTTATAAAATAAGGTTAAATTATTGCCTCTGTATAAAATTTAAAAATGAAATCCCTACAAATTTACGAAGGTATTTTAGTATTAAAATCATCAATCAAAGAATTTTAATAAAAGAAAATTAAATTTATATTTGTAACTATTTTACTAAGATACTGAAGAAAGAAATACCATATTTAAAATGGTAAATATTATTTTTACTTCAGATTTGATCCTTAAGTCCTTTACAAATTACTATAAAGAAAATTTTCTTTACTAAAAACAGTAAGTTATAAATTAAGAATTTTACTCCATCAATATTTTATAAATTTAGAGTTTTTATTTATTTTACACTTAAAGTTTATAAAAAATATTTTTGTACTGTTGTTGGATCAAAAATGATCTTTAAAAGAAATTTAATTCTATTTTAAAATAAAAAAATAAAAAATTATTAATATATTTTATTAAGTAAAATTTATAAAATATTTAACATTTTTTATCAAGGATTTTCACTAATTTTAACTAAAATAAGTTTATTTTTTATATATAAAATATCTATTTTATCTTTTAGCTTTTAATTCTAATAAAGTTGATTTACGTTTATATAAATTTTATGATGTAAAATTAAAAAAATAAATAATTTTATAATATCATCTTCAGAAAAAAAATAATTGAAAGAATTTTTAAAAATTTTGTAAGATCAAATTTATAAATAAATAACTAAATTTAGGTCTTAGATTACAAAAATATAATTAAATAATATTGATAAAGTTTTTTTCTTCTAAGTACGCTTTATATTTTTATTATTATTATTATTAATTATAATATGCTAATCAGTTTTGCTGGAAATTAATTTACAAAAATATCTTTTTCAACAATAAAATAAATGTAAGTATATAGATGCAAATATTTATTTTAATTAAAATTTTTTATTAAAGTTTGAATAAAAATGAAATTTTTAGTAATTTATCCTTCCTTAGAAATACAATTTTTATTTTATCATAATATCAGAAAAGTCCTAATTTAGGAACATAGTCACGTGTTGGCATTTGGCTTAGATCTTCGAATTTCATTTCATAATAGTTTCCAGCATTAGAATGCTTTTCATAAAGTTTTGCATATAATAACCAAGTCTATTATAACTCATCATCAAATTCGATACCTTTCATATCTCTATATAACTTTTTCACATATTAGTCATGGTTAGATGTAAAATTTGGAAGCTTGAGTATTCCAAGATATCCCTTTTTACCTCCATTTTTTTTTAATTCATCTTCAAAATCTTGCATCATTTCTTCTTTGGTTGGTAGTGTTAATTTTCCAAGGATGTAATGTGTAGAATAAATAGCTTAGCGTTCATAGTGCTGTTAGCTGCTACCATTTATGCTTCCTAGGAAAATTAAATTAGGTTCGTTTATTGATATTATTTTATTATAAAGAGGACCAATAGATCTGTTATTTTCATAATATTCTATACAATTATCTATATGATTGAACTTATTTAAATAATGGAAACAAAATTGATAACCTGTGGCAAGAAGAATTGAATCAATGTTTTCTATTATTTTACCACTCTTAAGCAATAAGGAATTCTTTGAATTGAATTCTTGGCATTCATCTTAAATGAATTCTATTAATCCTTTTTTAATAACTTCTTAAAGTGAAGTGGCATTTTTCAAGTGTTAAACACTGTTTCTACCTATTACTGTTATTTTTTTAGGAGTTATTTCAGATTCAAAAAGCAGAAGGGAGAAAATATCTTAACAAGATGTATTTTATCCAATAATAACTAAATTTTTGTTAGCAAGTTATTTTCCATCGCGTTCACGAAAGTGATGGGTGTGATCAATTTTGCCTTCAAATATTTATTAGTTAGGAATCTTAATTATATTTGGCTTTGAATAATGTCCCGAACAACAAATTACATAATCTGCCTAAAAGTGTCTGACATCTTTTTCGTAATTATTGTATGAAACTACTTCAACTAAAAATTTTTTTGTTAAGTTAATTGGAATTTATTCTTTCTCAGATTAGGTCATATTCCCAACAAGTCTGACATAATTAACATAAGTTTCAAAAGATATATAATTTTTAAGTCCATAGTTATCCGCAAATCCTCTCATATACTATAAAAACTCATCCTATTTCATGTATTCATGGAATTCTTTAGGAATAGGATACCCCTTATACATAGTTTTCATTTTAACACTATTCAGTCTTAAATTCTCATAGAGTGAGCTTTAGACATATCCATTATCACGTATAAAAGCATTTTTAGAGGTGTTAATTTCGCTATCTAATCTGTCATAATCATCTAAGTACCACATGCCACCTATATTATTTTTAGCTTCAAAGCAAATAGTATTAAGATCTGTTTCTTATGATAAATACCTCACAGATAAAATACCTAACGGTCCTGCTCCTACAACTATTACGCTTTTTTAAGAATAGTTATTTTTATATTAATCTTCTCTTAACTGATTGAAAGCAGACATTTACTTTTTAAATTATTTATGTTTTTATCTTAAAATTTATATTATATATATTTTAGAATTTGGATTTATAGTAATTTAAATTTAACATAAACAGACTTAAAGCTTTAAATATTAATTATGTTTTTACCATAAAAATAGTCAGAATTAGAAATTATAAAAAATCCAAATAGTTTCTTATGATTTACGACAAATTCAATATGCCATTTCAAAAGTAATCTGAGTTTCTGGAAGTTTAATAGAATAAAAATTACAGAATTGATATTTAAATCAAAATTTTCAAGCTAAATTAGATTGATTTTTAAGTTACTCAAATAATAAAGGTAGTAAATAAAATCAAATTTCTCAAACAATAATTATCTTCTACATAAAACTGCTTTCTTAATACCCCTAATTAAAAAAGATATATTTTTGAAAATTTAAACAAAATTTGGAAGAAAAATTAATTTCATTTGATAAATTTTATTTAAAGTAGGTTCTCCATAACTAACCCCTCCCCTAATCAAATATTTGTAAAAGCTTTGGGTTTTTTTCTAAAAAATTTTCAAAATTTATTTTTTTCAAAACATATTTATTATTTCAAGTTAAACATTTTGTGAATTTAATGATTTATAAAAACTCAAAAAAATAGTTGTTTAGAATTATTATTTAGCTTTATTTGTTATATTATTAAGATATATTACATTTTGCCTTTTATAAATTAAATACGCATTTCACAAAAGACTGTTCATTTATAAGATTATTCATCAATATATTAATATATTATTTTTTGCTATTTTTTTAATTTGGTTATTTAAAATTCTAGAATCATGATTAAGTATTTATTTTTAATTATCTTGATTATAAATAATCTAAATTTTTATGTTAACTAAAAATCTTTGGTAGTAAATAAATAAATTATTATTATTATTATTAAAAAATCAATACTATTAAAATTATTTTTAAATTAAATTAATCTACAAAGAAATTTATGAAAAAACAAAAAATCAATTAGTTAATTAAATTCAATCATAATGACTCTCTTCATCTTGGTTATCAGTAAAATAGTTATGTTAATTTAAATGATTGTAATTTTGGTTATTAAGATGTTAATGATCTTCACTATCTTCATAATCTTCACTTTCATTTACGTTGCTGTAATGATTAACATTTTTTTTGTTGCTAAATGAAAATAGATTCATAAATTTATTTTCCTTTTCTTCATGGTCTGACTTTGCTTTGGAAAAGTCAATATAATCTTTACGATGAGAATAAATTAGAGGGATCAAAGAACTTAAGTAAATTAACAAGCTAGAGAGTTAACTCTTATACTGAATTCCATAATAAATAGCTGCAATAGCTAAAATCAAAAGAATCAAATTTTTTAAAGTATTAAAGCTAAAAATTGAATTTCCAGGGCATCTTCTAGTTTCCGCTGAATAATTTACACCTCCTTAGCATGTATTGTAAGGAATTTTTCTATAACCTCTACTTACTTAATAATAATCAGTACATATTTCTGGGATCACTCCTTCATATTCTTCATCACTAAGTGTTCCATCCTTTACACATGGACCATTTTATCCATTTCTAATATAGCCGATATCACACTCCCAGTCTTCTTCAGAGCAGACACATGCTTAAAGTTCTATTTGTCTTTCATAATCCTTTTGTTACAATTTACTAATTTAATTTTTTTTTTTTATATCTAAAATATTTTACTTCTCCATTTAAGCAAACAGATTCTTGTTTTTTACGTGAGTAAGTCACTTTCTAACCTAAGAGACATTGAGATGATTTATAGCTATGAGGTATCCATTTTTCATAATCAGAATCAGGATCATCTGGACTTGTTGCACCAGAACAGTTTCTATTAAACTGATTAGCAAAATCTATTGTTATAGCTAATCCATATTATTTTTTATCTGTTGATAGTGTTTTTGCAAGAACCATGAATGAGGTTCCAGTATTTGATGGCTCTGTTATTATATTATCTATTTCGATATCAGTATCTGATATTTAAACTTGGTTCCAAGTAATACCTTCATCTAAAGTATATTCGATAAATTTAGTGGTTCCATAATCCTTATCTTTAGCCATAACTATTATTGAACCATGATCACCTATTTCGAAAACATAAGCTCCTCTTTTAATCTTTTAAATCATTGAAAGAATAAATAAATATGAAGTTAAATCTTAATTTTAAATTACTTATTTCCAAGTTAAACCTGCATCTCTTGAAAGGTAAGTATTAACTTGAGTTGGACTATGTGAAAGATACTTACCAACATTTCCATTTGCTAAAACTAAACCTACAGCATTTTTTGATGAGTAGAATGAATTATATAAGTCATTAGAATTAGAATGTATATTTAAGAAGCAGTTGTCACCACATTTAATTTCTTTGTTTTCCTAGTCTGTGGTTGGAGCATTAATTCTACTCCACATACCACCTTTATCGAAAGTAATCATTGTCTATATTTTTTGGGTGACCAAATCTTTCATCTTTACTGCTTTTTTATCCTATTTAATTGATGTATTGCTTTTTTTATTTTTGGAGTCTTATCCTTAATTTTCATCATCATCATTTTATTCGCTTGCATACATATTCTCAAACTCTTCTCTTCTTTTTTATTCATAAACATTTGCTATATAAATTCCATAAATTCCATGTAAGCGCTCAAAATCTGTATCACCATTTTCACTTCTAAGATGACCCTACAAGCTTGAGGAAAAGCGAGCACCTAATGAGTCTGATATATAAAGAGTACCCATAGGAGATGTTGAACCTAAATGATTTACATTTAAGAAAACCTATCCTTCACGAGTATCTAAAATTGTAAACTTATGGTTTTACAGCTTCTCGCCTAACTAAACATCCCTTAATTTAATATCTAAGTCTTAAGGATTAGCAACTTTTAGGTTAACTTGCTATGAATTTTATTCTAAAACTAATTTATTTTAAGATATTTAAATTCGCTAAGTATTGTGAATAAAAATATTTACGTTGAACAACATAAAGGTAATTATAATCAATGTAAAAGACATTTCCTTTGGTCATGAGTAGCTTCTTTGAAGCTAAAAAGTCATCGCTGTAATAAAAGTTTCTTTTTTCATGCAATCCATATCTATTTTGGTTTTGCTTATCTAATTATTAAAATTTTATTTGCTATTTTTGAATTTATTTTAAAAATTAGATTACTTCCATCTTCTTAAACCCAAAATATTCTTTGTTGAGGAACTTAGCTATTAGTAAAGTTTAAATTACCCCTAAATTGATTTTATTTTTAAAATAAATTAGTGATGAGCTTTGTCTTTATTATTTTGAAATTTACCATTCGAATTTGTAAACATATTGAGTAAGCTTCTCCCAACTATTTCCTAAATCTTTACTTAACCATAGTATAGCAAAAGAAAAGCATGGAGCTTTTTAGCTTTTGGCACAAACGTTATTAGTGCTTGCTAACATCCATGCTTCTTAACTGGGATGCAACTTAAATGTGTTTATTCTTAAATAAAAAAGAAAATTCAGTCAAATTATTTCTAGTCTAACAATTCTTGTAAAATTTACCTATCTTTCTTTCTTGAAAAGGCTCTAAATGTATTACCGCAGTCTCTTGTTACCCAGTTGACTTCATTTTTGCCTTAAAGAACAATAACATTAGGATTAGCTTGACTTCTTATCATTCTAATAACTTCACTTTCTACCTTTAAGTTGATTATTATTATAAAGTTAAATGTAATAAAACCTTTTTCTGAATGTAAAACTTACTATTTAACTATTATCAGCTACATATTTGATACCAGCATTAACAAGATTATCGCTAATATTTTCGAAGTGTACCATTTTGTTTTAAGATCTATAAATGGTTCCACTATCAGTTTGAACCAAAACGTTTTAGTCATTCTATGTGTCGGTGCCACACCAAATGACATCAACTATTTCAGAATCAAGAAAGTTCTTGCTAAAAGAAATATCTTGCTATTTAGCTGTTGCAGTGAACTGTAGAGCTGAAATAAGCAATACAATACCTATGAGCTATAAATGCTTGTACGCTTTCATTAAGTCTAAATATTAATACTTTTTCTCAATTTTTTAATTAATTTTTTAATTATTTTAAAATCTTTCAAAGATATTTAATCACTTAATAACTAAGTCTGTTTCTCATGCCAAGAAAAATTCAACTAACAATAAGTTTATCAAAAATTTTCTATTTAGATGTAGAAAAGAAAAAGAAAAAACAAATCTAAAGGTTATTAGCATATTTTTTCTTCTTAAACAAGGATTAATTTTTACGTTTTTAAATTTCAGACCAATCAATCAATCATGAATGATAATAGATATTTTTAAAATATAGCTTTAAAAAAATACAATATTTAACGAGATTATAATATTTTTTTTTAATACTAAAATTCTTCGCTTTGCTGAGCAATTTGATTTGAAAAAGCTAATCAACTTTATTAATTTTTTTCGGATTAGGTTTTTAAAATTTTATAAGGAATAAACGTTTTTTAATGATATGCTATTTAGGATACTGCTTTTTTAAAGTAATTTTTTAATTTAGATTTAAGTTTACTCTAACAATAAGGATTTAAATATAAACAATTTACAAATAATTTTATATAGATTAGAATTTTAATTTATTTATTTATTTACTTATTAATTTAAGTTAAATTATTTAATTTGATTTAACTAAAATTTATTTTGAAGTTATATTACAAAATTTTCATTTTATGTTAAACTCAGTTAGTTTGATCATTGTTTCATACATCTGATTAAATATTTTAATATGATGAGGAACCAAACTTGTGACTTTAATTATTTGAATTAATAAAAAAATTCTGCATATCGTTGCTGTCTTATTTTAAGTTTAGCTTTACATTATATAAAAGACTATCTATTGGTTGGTATTACTATTATTTATTATTTAATAATGATGTTATTTACTAGCTGCCTAATCCAGACTGAGAATCGAAAGAGTCTTCAACAATATTATCATAAAATTATTCATCTTTTTCTAAGGTTTCATCTTCGTCCTTTCCGACTGTAATATTAGTTTACATTAATTCTTTTTTCATTTTTTTACTTCTATTTTTTTTTGCCTTTAACATGCTTTATTAAAGTTAATGCTAGTCTTCAAAATTAATCTGATTTTCAAAAGGATTGTTATAATGATCCAGCTCTTTTTTTAGCATTGATTTAGTCTTTTCTACATTCATTTCTTTTTAAATGCCAGATTCATAAGAAGAATGATACCTTGTTGCTAAATTTTAGCTTGATTATTATCTTTATTAACTAGTTCTATGAATTTTTGATCCTTATTACTCTTGTTCAGTGTCTGTTTAAACTTCAAATTCACCAAATTGCATCTATTGATCTTCTTAATACAACTTGCTTTTTTAAGCTTATTTGCCTGATTTGTTCAATTGACTAGTATTAAGATCTTTTATTTGACTTGATTAGCTGTTTGTACGGATTAAAGATTTATTTATGGAAGTTTAATAATTTTATAAATCTAATTAGGCACATGATGATGATGCTAATTTTTTACTTTCAGCTCTCTCATTTTTTTTACCATTTATGTCATTAGAGTTGGGAAATTCTTCAAATTTTTATATTTCATCATAAGAGTTTTCAAAGCCATTATGATCAAATAGTTCTGTTTTTTGATTTGCAGTCAAAGCTGACCTGTAAAGTTTAATACTTTATTCCTCATGCTAATTTCCAACAAATATGATATTTCTTAATTTATTATTTTGGTTTTCTAATATATAATGTTAACAAGCTAGAATTACACTGGCACAAGTTGACACTGTTCTTGTTTTTAATTAATTTAAAGGCAATAAAATTGTTTGACACTCAAGAATATCGCTTGCATGAGTTAAAGATTCAGTAATTAAACGTCTAAGATTATCACCATCATAATTTTCATTTGTATCCTTTATATAACCACCGTGTATTATGTATTTACAGTTTGCTTTTCCACCTTTAGTATGCATAACTTTATTCAGAATGAGGTCTTCATGTAGTTTTATATATTCTTTACATTCTTTTACTACGGAATCTCCCACATAATTCTTGAAAACCTTATCTGGAAACTCTAAGTGGCTATCTTGAATACACAATATTGCATCAACCTTCTAAAATTTTAAATATTTATATATATCTAAACTAACAACTGTCAAATTTGTATTGCTTATCTTCACTTATTCTACATCGTATTAGGAAAATGATTATGAAAATCTTAAGCTATTGCTTTTTTGGTATGAATCCTCATATCTGCAAAGATTACCCATTTACTTAAATCAAAAGTTCTTTCTATTAAATACCTTCAGATTGTAATTTTATCTTTGAAAGCAGAATTATATATCAAATATTTAGCTTCTAGCAACTATTTTTATTTCAGAATAAATGTTTCTAGATAATTTATTTGTTATTAATTTTATTTATAAATATGCTCTAGAGGTACTATAATTTTAAATATTAAATAAGGAATGCAAAGCTTATTAATCTATTATTTGTAGCGATGAGTTTTTAATTCAGAAAATTATTTTAAGTTCAAAATTATTTTTATAATTTTCTAAAAATCTTGATATTATTATAATGTATATATATAATAGAGTGTTTTTAGTTTAAATTTTTACTTTTTTTTTAATTAATATCTTTGGAGAGTATTTAGGATTATTGATAAATAAATTAATTAATTGACAATTATTTGTATTTGAAGATAAATTAATTATTATTCATTATCACCCTTTTTTCAAACAATAATACTGAAAATTGATTGTTGATATTTTGATTTTTAATCGAGAACTTAATTTCCTTTTTTTATTTTTAATTTTGTAAAAGATTTTGCTTGATTGCTTCTTTGCTACCATAAGCCAAATTATTCTTTGATAATAGCTCATTTTATGTATGAAAGTAAAGTAAAGTTAAGCTTATTTAAAGGAGAATAGTTTGACAAATATTAATTTTGAGTGAAAAATATCTTCGAAGAATTAAAGAACAAAAAATCATGTAATGGAAAATTTTAATATTTAATGGTGGTATTCCACATTAAACCATATTGAATGATATATGATTAAATTGTTATTATCAAGTTATATCTACATTCTTAGCAATTAAATTTCATGATTTCACTTTTTAATTCTTTCATTAACTTAATAAAAGAAATTTATTAAAAAAATAAAAGTATTTAAGATTAATTTAATTTTAAAGAAATTATTAATTTTAAATTTAATCTATTCTAACCTTTTTAAATTGTAAATCTAAAATTATCTTAAAGTAATTTATATTATTATTATTTATGATCCAAAAGTAGTTAACTTATCTCTGCAATCGTTGGTTAAAATTTTTTACACTTAACGATTAAATTTCTATTAAATATTATTTAAATTTTGCATAGTAATTGGTTACATTTAAATTAAAATAAAAATAATTATCTTCTTTTATTTTACACTAAAAAATTATCAAAAATTTGCTTTTAATCTATTTCTACTTTGATAATTAAATTTTTTAACAAGTTATTTTTATAGTAGTTAAAATCAACCATATCTATAGTAAATTATGAATTCTTTTAAAGAAGAGGATGAAAGCGCTTAGTCCATTATAATTAATATTGAATGCTGTTAAAATTGTGGGCTTCATTCGTGGTTTACTCACCATTAAGAAGAAAAATATGAACTCTACTTTAACTAGAGTATTTTAGTTTTGATTGCCCATGATAATAATATTATCTTATTAACATTATATAATTTATAAGTGAAGTCACTAATAGAGAAAGAAATTGAAAATGTCACTGTTGAAAAGAATTTAATCCCAAATAACCTAATTAAACTAGAGAACAGATTCAACTAAGAGGACATTAATTCTTTTTTAGACATCATTCAAAATAAACCAGTTTAATATCCAAGGATAGGCTCTTTTGAAATAACTATTTTTAATGTGACTATCTTCTCAAAGATTACTTGCTCAGCTTGGCCTCATTATGGGAGCATAATTTACACTCTAAAAAATATAATTTAAGAGAAAATTTAAAATAAAGTTGTCATCCATTACTCTGTATTGAAGAGTGATGATTAAGATAATTCAAATTTAAGAGATTCCTAACAGTTAAATGTAAAAATGATAAGCTCATAATAATATTAAGGTAAGAAGTCATCTCCTTCTTCTCCAAGAGCTCATAATGGAATTAAGATTCCTCCCATGTAAAATTTTTTTAACTTTAAAGGATATATATCTTTTAGATATTAAAAATATTATTCAATAAACAATATAGTTAGCATAGCTCAAGATCTAATTCTCCAAGAATGAAAAATTATTTATTGCCTTTAGAATATAGGAATGATGAAATATCTTAATAGCCTTAAGTCATCAATTCTTCTTTTCAAAAAGATAAAAGCTTAAATCCAATAAAGAATCTACCTCCTATTATCTAAAATCATGATAAAAAAGGCATTATAAAAGATTAAAAGAGTTATGTTGTTAAAACTAACTTCTACAAATAGTCAAATTAAGATGAAAAATTTAAAGCTTTAGCAAACCCAAGATACTAAAATGGTAGAGCAAATTCTCCTTTGTTAAGAGATCATAATATATACATAAGAAAAACTAATTTGCAAGGTGAAGAGCAAAATATTTTAATCAAATCGTAGTAATAAATGAGTTTAAATTTATATGGAAAAATTAGTTAAATAATAAATGAATTAAATATAATAGAAATCTTACAAATGATGATAGCAAGGAAGAAAACAGTGAAATTTTTAAAAGCATGCCTCCTAATTTTGAAAGAAAAACTAGAGATCCTTAGGTTTCAAGTCCAGTTAAAGTAAGGTTTAGCAATAGAAATGAAAATGAAAAAAGTTAAGAAAGGGATCAATAAACAAATAATTCCTCATTTTTAAAACCAATATAAAGAAAATAGGAATAAGAAATAAATTCAAATTCGAAAAATGGTGTGGGATTAATTTGTGATATGAAAATTAAAACTGTAAAACTTCCTTATAAAACAGTTTATTCAAATCTGAAACTTGCTAATAACAAGAATTAAAATTCTTTATCACCTAAATAAAATTCAAATTTACAGCCTAATTAAAAAAATAGGTTAATATTGAATAACACCAGTAAACCTACTGGATAAATTTAGAATTAAATAGAAACATTAAACGAAACTGGAACATAATAAGAAGAGCAATCTTAAGAGAATTTACAGAAACTTCAAAATTCATAAAGTAATTATTTAATCTGAAATAATTTTATTTTATAGGTATTTTTTTTATTAAAAAAATAGACTATGAACTATCCAATGATAAATAATAAATAAATTAAGAAAATATCTAAGAGGAGTAAAAAGGAGATCTACAATAAAAGCAAGCAATTGAGAATTCTCATAAAATTTAAATACCTAAAGAAGCATAAACAGGTTCAAAAGATTTGAAAAAAGTAAAAAAATCTAATTAAGACTCACCTATCAGTATTAATAAATCAAACCTTAATGATACACACAAAAAAGTTTATTCGCTAGAAAAAACTGAAATAATGTATAATGAACATGAAATGAAAAAACAAAATTTAACAATTCAACATAACACAAAAAAGAATACAATAAACAACCTTTCTAAAATTGAATTTATCAAAAGTGATGTCAATAGTTCTTGTTCATTATTTTCTAATGTTGAATAAAAAGAAGGTTTATAATAAAATTTGTTAATTAATGATGATGATTTTTCTCAAAAAGTATAAAAGACTGAAAGAAAAGACTCATAATTCAGTAAAGAATAAATGAATACAGACTATAAAAATGACACAGGTGTAAACTTTGGTTAATAGGAGGAAAATTGTTAACATAGTGCTCATGAAGTTGATTAAAAAAATAAAGATGAAATTAGTAAGCAAAATAAATTAGAAGACATTAAAGAAAAAATAGATTAATAAAATACTTTAAAAGAAAAAGAAGAAAATGAAATAAAAAACAAATAAGAGTTAAATTAACAAAGTTAAAATGAGAATTTGAGTGATTAAGAAATAGTTTAAATTTATTAAAATTAAATAAATCTAAAGAATGCAAAAGGAGATAAATAATTGGAAGAGGCTATGAATACATAAGAAAATATTTTTTAAAAATAAATAGAAAATGGAACCAATATTTAAGAATAAAACACTTTAATTAACGACTAACAATTTAATCAAAAAAATCAAAATGGAGATAAAAGCTAAGATGAATAAATTTAAGAAACTTAAAGTGAAAAATAAAATAAAAGTATATAAGAAACATAATAAATGCATGAAGATTAATCGAAATAAGACTAAGAATGTTAATAGAATAATAAAGTTGAAGAATAATCATAATTAGATGATTTTGAAGAATAAGATGCTGGAGATTAAGAATAAAAAGAGAAAAATGATGGTAGTGTGCTATCAGAAAAGAATAAAACAAATGAAAATGAAGATGACTATGATGAAGAGCAATTACATGAAAACAAACAAGAATAACTAGATAAATATGAAGAAGATGAATATGAAGAAGATGAGGAATAAGAAGAATTTATGGAAAGCAATTAAAATATTTAAAAAATAAAAGAAATAGTGTTTAAATACTTATTTAAATTAGAATAAAAAGCAATTAACTACATAATTTAACTACAAGAATAGTAAACTTAAGAGAGCTAGCAAGAAAACTATTAATCGAATATTTCTAAGCTAAAAGAAAATCATTAACACTTTAAATAAAACACTTTACAATTAGAAAATGACATTGATTAAACTACATAAATAATTAAAAAATCTACTTTTAAATAAGATTGATTAATTAATATAAATTTATGTTAACTTTAATAAAATTAGAATAAAAAGCAATTAACTACATAATTTAACTACAAGAATAGTAAACTTAAGAGAGCTAGCAAGAAAACTATTAATCGAATATTTCTAAGCTAAAAGAAAATCATTAACACTTTAAATAAAACACTTTACAATTAGAAAATGACATTGATTAAACTACATAAATAATTAAAAAATCTACTTTTAAATAAGATTGATTAATATAAATTTATGTTAACTTTAATAAATTTATTATCCAATTAAAAGTCAATTTTACAAAAAAAAATCATTTTATTCAATTTAAGAACCAAATTTATTAAAAAAATTTTTTGTCGATATTTTTATAATAAATATATATTATAATTTAATTAGAAGCATATCTTTTGCTTTACTGATGGTATGTATATTCATTCGTAAAACTAAATAGAACAATCTATATTTACAGAATAATTTGAATAATCCAAACTTTTAGCCAAAACATTCAACTTTATTATAGAACTTTATTAAATAAATTTAATATTAAAGATACAAAACAGATTAAATTGATAAACTGACTCATGGAGTAATTAAAACTAGAAGACCCTTTAACATACACCTTTTTAAAGCCAAATAAAAAGGCTTATTTATACTTTCCTAAGGGTAAATAAAATGTTTTATAAAATAAGCTTATTATCCATTAAAATAGAAAAAGATTAGTACATTGGAGAAGGAAAAAAATTAATGAGATTATTTTTTGATGGACCCGTCACAATAACTCAATTTGAAAAGGAAGAATACGAAAAGTTTGAAAAATAACTGATAGATAGTGGAGATGAATAAAAGCATTTGTAGGATAAATAGGTTTGGACAAAATCAAATAAGATGCGCTTTTTATAAGCAAGCGGATGGAAATATAATGTTGCAATAAATAATATAAGCTAGCATAATGATTGGAGAAAAAGTAGCTTACCTATTAAATTAGATGATGAAATTATCTAATTTTTGGTATTAAAAAAATGCTATTTTTAACTTAAATAAAAAAAATATTTAAAAATAGTAATCAGGTATTCTCTACTTGCACGGTCGTGATAACAGAAATAGACCTATTATGGTTTTAAATGCATATAAAATAGATACTAAAAAAATGAGTGAAGATAGTCTTATCAAAGGTGTTTCCTTTTTCTTAGAGGTCGTCGTTAATAATATGTTATTACCAGGATAAATTGAAAATTGGGTTATTATTCTAGACTTCAACTAAATGGGACTCTTTTCATTCCCTGTGATGGTATTGAATTCTTTTCGAAATCAATTAATTTAACTTGTTCTACATATATTTTTTATCAATATTTTCATAAACTGATATTTGCTTATAACTAGATATGCAATATTATTAAAGGGAATATCAAAAATCATTTTCTCATAAAAAAGAATTTTATTAAAAATAATTTTTGAATATAAAAAATAAACTTTTTAAATAGTTTTAATACAAAAATTTAAAGTTTTTTAATTTATTTATTTTTAAAAATATTTTTAAAAATTATGTATAAAAATAGTCATTTAAAAAGATGATTGGATTTTTATAATCTAATTACAGAGCTAGAATGTATAAGCTATATTGTGTAAATACTCCTAATTCTATTTGGGTACCTTGGAAAGCTGTTTAGATTTTCTTAGAAGAGAACACTATTTAAAAAGTGAACTTTTCTAAATAAAATACTCCAACAGATCTTTTTAAGCATTGTAATAAATCACAAGTTGAAGCTAAATTTGGTGGAAGTGCTGCTGATCTTAAAGAATTTTCATGGTAAATATTCAATTTATTATTTATAATTTGCTGATTCATATAAATTTTATGTTAAAAAGGCCTCCAAAAGTTATATAAGGAGAAACTTGTGCTGAAGGAGAAAATGAAAGTGATTTTTTAATAACAGTAGAAGAATACAAAAAAAAATATTAAAATAAAGAGCTATAGGGTTGCGAAATTTGTTAAGAGTATATTAAATGAGTATGTTTGGTCAGATAAATTTTAATTTTTAATTAAAGGTGAAATTCATCTAAAAGATTATTTCTTTGTTTCTTGGTCTTATTAATTAATAAATTAGTTAATAAATTTAATTATTATTAGTGGTGTTTATATTAATAAAGTAAATATTTGTTTCTAATTAATTAATTAATTGGTAGAATTTAAACAAATAATTGATTCTACTCCTTTTCTTTTTCTTATTCTAATAACAAAATGTTAAATAATTTTATTTAAGAAGTTACTTCTCCAATCAATTGTAATTAGTGCAACCAAATTCAATTAAAAAGCTTAAGCCCTATTCCTAATACTTCAAAAAGCTTTATTTTAGAGCGTAAAAAGCTAAAAGTAATTGATAACATATTATAAAAACCTTACAAGCTAGATACAAAAGCTTTATGCAAGGTGATCGAGCTAGGAATTAATTATAATAACTCCAGTAATACAAATATTAGATCAATTTCTCCTAATGATAATAGCCTTGTAACTAAAATTTATGCAATGAGTCCTAATAATAGCTAAAGACCATATTCTCCTTTAAATAAATGTATAATTAGAATTTAATTTACTTTTTAGATTTGTTAATAAATTCTATTCAAAACTTTAAAAATAAGATTAGACACCTACTTCTAAATCGAAATACTAAAAACATATATAAAATTTGAAGCCAGTTGGCTCTGAATAAACTTAAATATTTATGTCTAGTGAACAAGTTAAATTACAATACTCTCAAAATAGTATTAAGAGTTTGAAAAAAATAGATGAAATTAACTATAAACCTTAGAAATATTATTGTAATTAAATGAGTTTTTTGTTATTAAATGCAGAGAAATTATTTATATATAAAATAGAAAAAAGCTCAGCAATTCGAGTCAGAACGTTTCAAGCTCCATAAAATATCAGTAAATTGCTAAAAGAACCTGATAATCAAATTTGTAGGTATCTACCATTTTTAGAGTAGTCTTTTTTAGAGAGTTAAAAATTAGAATAAGAAGAAGATAAAAAACTTGTTTACATGATTTCTGATAAAAGCATTCTTAGTAAATATGTTAAATAAGCTTTAGATAATAGATCCTAATTTTGGGTTGATGCAAATTAGGCAAACAAGAAAAGAACCCCTGTTTTTAAGTATAAAATTTTAAAAATTTAACTTTAAAAATCAAATTATACTTTAAATATATATAAATTATGATAATTCAAGATATTTGAAGATACAAATCTATCAATAAATATTATAAACTATTGGAGATTTTATTTGTAAAAATTACATTCTATGAGTCAATAAAATAATATTTAATTTGTGTTTTAAAATAAAGATGGTCTGATAAAATAAATAATATCATATTTATGAACATGCTTTCTTTTATGAAGGAAAATAATGAATAATTTGTTAAAGCTGTGAAGATTAAAAATAGATAATTAGTACATTCTTAAAGTAATAAAGATAATTTTTTAATTTATAACCATTTCCAATTTGAAGAAGAACTAATGAACAAGTATATATTTTGGTAAAATATTGTAAGTCATCATCAATAAATTAAGCTTAAATATATGTTTGAAATGCAAGCTCTGTTACTGGTAAATAATAGAAAAATTAAAAAGTAAGTGACAAATTAAGAAGGAGGAAGTGGTGAAAGCAAAATTTCAAAAAAGAGAACAAAAGAAGGCAAGCTCTCGAGGAAAGGAACTAAAGGTTCTGAAAAAGAAAAAAAGAGAGATAAAAACTCTTAAAATCAAAATCTTAAAGATTAAGATGCAGATAACTAATTGCTATTAAATAGAAAGGATTTTGAACTCAAAGAAATAGTTGAAATAATTCCTCCTACTATAATATTAGATATGTTTAATTAAGATTTTATAGAAAATTTAAAGCAATTTTTTGGTTTATTTTCTAAAATTAAATCTTAAGGTGATACTTTTGCAAATCGAGGAGGTTCTTTTGAAACTATTTATTCAGAAATCATAGAGTTCTTTAATGAAATTAAATAAAACATGACAAAAAATAGCGAATAAGTTAAAGTTAGTGATAGAGATTTTAAATATAAACAAATGAATGTGTAAATGCCTAATTTTTTTACATCGTTTCCTTCTTCTTTTATCAGTCGTAAAAAAAATATTTGGATTGTGAAGCAGATCGATGTTCAGCGGTAAATAAACACTTTATTGGATTTTAAAAAATATTTTATTATTGTAATTTATAAATATTTTAGAATGGGTAAAAAATTAAAAAGTTGCTCTACAGTAATAAAATCTCATGAAAAACTTGTTAAAATTCTTAAAGAATGCATAAATGTGTATCGTAGAGAGCATCAACAAATATAGAAGACAGTTTGTATTTTATTTAGCAATTAAATTTGATAACAAAAATAATTTTTTGAAAAAAACTCTAATAATAGACCCTAAATTTCCATGGACTTATCGATTTGTAATTTAAAAATACCTTGAAGATCCTCTATTAGTTAATAATAAAAAATGTACTGCCAAAAGATGGGTGTTGCTATCATAATTAAGCAAGGACCTGAAATGTTATTTATATACGTATTTATAATCAAAAATATAATATTATTTATTAATTTAATTAATTAATTAATTTAGTAAAGGGATAGTTTAGCTTTAGTTTGATAGACATTTAGTAGATAAAAATGAGAATAAAAGCGCTGTTGTTTAACAAGACAATGTTTAAAAGAGCTAAACTGGATCTATAGCTCCTAAAGTAGCTACAATTACAAATATAGAAATTAAATAACCAGTTTAGACTTCTTCTTAAAATAAAATAATTTCAAGTAATTAAATTTTATCAGAATTTTAACTTTAGTAAGAGGACTAAGAGCAAGCTATAGAATATATTTCTTGGGAAGAGTTTGAAGCATATTAGACGAGCTTATTAAAGTAGCAAGGACTAATATATGTTGTTGAAAAGTAGAAACCAGAAAAAGAGTAACCCAATTTGAGTGTATAAGAAGAATAAATTGATAGACAGTTAAATGAAAGTATAGCTTTAGAATAAGAAGATAGCATAGAATTTACAAATGATTTTCAAATAATGAAGGAGGAAATGGAAAAAATAGTAAAGCTATCTATGCAATCTATAAAATATAGAATTAATGAAAAAAAGAAAGAAGGATCTTTAATGATTTTAGAATTTGATTACTTAATTGATTAGCAATACAATCCCTATCTAGCTGGTATTAATTATGTTTAGGCTTTTGAAAACTACCCACAAGAGTTTTTGAATTCAACATTGCCAGATTTGTTAGGTAAATAAATAAATAAATACATTAATTTGTTATAAATAGTGTAAAATAAATAAAAGATAATTAAATAATAAATTTTAAATATATTTTAGATCAAACATTTGCAATCACATTAGACAATTATCTGAAAGAAAGATATTAAATAATATCTTAAAATGTGTAATTAAGGGATATAGATAATTGGTAATAAAATCCTCCTAATTTCAATTATTAAAATTCTAATTAATATCATATTCATTTATTTTTAATCAAAATAGGAAAGAGATTAACTACTTAGAATGATATTATTTATATATAGTATCTAATCTAGTGATAGATAACTTTAAATACTTAAATGTGAAAAAGAGAGTTACTGTTAGATTTTTAATAAAGTATAATATTAATCAATCTAGTAAATTTGTTTATAAAGTTAGTAACGCAAATAATTAACTCACTGAATCTATTTTATTCAATGTAATTGACTTAATTTTAGTTAAAATATTGTTAAATAAATTTATATATTTAGTAATAATTAATTACTAATTTTCTTACTCAAATTTAGAAAATTACATCTAAATAAAAAATAATTAAGATTTTTTATTTTTTAGTTATTATCAAAATATTTCAATTTTGTTTGAACTAGTATTCTAAAACATACCAGAATATTATTCAATTAATTATTTATTTATCAATTAATGGTGATTTATTTTCAATTTATTTATTTATATGCTTGATAGCAAGGTAGCTAGCTTGATTACTTGCTTGTCTTTTATTCGTCCAACTTAAAAACTTTTACAAATTTTACTTTTAAAAATCAACGAATCAAATGAACCAATAATATTTAGTATTACAAATTGCAATTTACTAAAATCTATGGTAGAGTAGAGAGAGATATTTTATTGATGATTAATCAAAATTATTATAATTAATTGAAAATTTAGGAAAATAGATATAAAAAAGTAAATTGTTTCTTTACCAAAATGAATAAAGTTGCGATTAATAATAGTTAAAATACTGACCATTTTTAAAGGCAATCTCCCAATAAGAGCAAAACAGTTTAAATTAATTTTGGAGAAGGTTATCATTTTTAAAATTAAAGCAAGCGCTAATCTTCGAGCCATAAATATCTTAGCCCAAATTATAAGGCTACTGATAGTCCTCCAAAGATTAAAATTAGCCAAGTAAGCTAATAAATAAGAAGCTAGTAGTAAGTTTAAAAAAAGGAATACGATTCGCCTGATAAGGAACAAAAATAATAAAGGGTTTTAAATAAATAAAGTAGCTTAAATTTGTCTTAATGCAACCTAAGCTAAAATGGTTAAGTTTCTAGTAAAAAAAAAATAGAAGGAAATTCAAGCATGGTACATTTCCATCCGATGACTAATTAAAAATCTCCATAAGCTATTGGTTAAACTCCTAAATTCTTTTAAAATGGAAAATCTATGTAAATTAGCACAATCAATTCCATTCCAAATATTAGTCAGAGTCAAGTTAACTGGACAATAACAGAACTAGGAAGTCAGATATTTGGAACAACTAATGTAAACTATTTTTTCATTTTTTTCCAAGAAACAAAGAATACAAAATTAGCTAATGTTATTCTGAAAGCAATAAAAGCAAATACTTTCAGCAAAGATCAGAGCAAGCCTTATAAAAATTAAATTAATTCAAATTTACTCAATTCAAACAAAAATTTATAATAAAAGGAATAGGTGAATGAAAAAATGATTAAGATATGTTCAGAGAAAATTGAGTAAGATCCCACAAACATTAAGCTTTACCAAAAAAGATTTTAGCTATATTTAAAATCTGGAAATTATGAAAATGCTATTAAAGACTGCTAGTATATTTTAAGTAGGGAACCTAGAAATACATTTGCATTATTTTCAAGAGGAAATGCGCTCATGTAAAAAGGGGAAATAGAAAAAGCAATTATTGATTTTGAAAAAGTTCTAAGCATAGATCCGGATAATGTAAATGCAGCACTTGCAAGAGCTTCTTGTTGGAACATAAAGGTAAATAACTAAGTTTATATTATATTTAGAAGGGGATTTTGAAATTCGTAAAATTAATCTTTTTTAATTTATTTCTTAGTATTATTAGTTATGCATGTAGACTTTTTTAGATTATTCTAATCATTTCTTATATTAATTTATAATATGAATTTTATATAATAAAAGGGTGACTACGTTAAGGCTATTGATTAATACGAAGATGCTCTTGAAAAGGACATAGAAAAAACATCTATGCTGAATCTTTCAATCAATTTAAAAAGAAACTTTAAAAGCACAACTAGTTCCCAAACATGCCATTTAGATCGCTTAGAAAAAGAAGAACTTCAATTTGGAAGTGATTAAAAGCTTAGCTAATTCAATAGTCCATTTTTAGAAGTAAAGAAACTTTAAAGCTAAATAGTTAGCTCTCATTCAAAATAGAAGAGTGACAATTCTTATTAAAATTTGCAGAGAAGTCAATCAGATCAAGTTAACAAGGAATAAAAATTTCTTCAAACTGGTTTGTAGGTGAAATCTTTTAATGGCAGTGAGTGCTAATCGCCTATTCAAGAAAATAAATCTAATTAAATTGCACACTAATCAGCATTTAGTAAGATTAAGTCAGGTAGCATTACTGAATAGCAAGATATCACTAAATAGACCAGCAACACTGACAGCGAGGAAAGGATTAACGAATAAGCTAATTTTTACTTCACTAAAGGATTTTGTGCAAGATAAAGGAAAGATTACTGGAAAGCAATTGAATTGTATTCTCATGCATTATCACTTAAACCAGATTTCTTAAAAGTAAATTTTCAAAATTGAGAATAAAATATTTTGTTAAAATACTTAGAATTATTGTTTTTTAGTTTACATTTCCTATTATTGAATGTAAATTACTCAGCAAAAAAAAGCTACCAATAAAAAATATATAAAATTAATTTCCTAAATTTAATAATTTATTCGTCAATTAAAAAAGGCCGTATTTAACAGAGGATTTTTATTTGATAAGCTCGGACAATATGAAAAAGCATGTGAAGACTATACTCGCTCTATAGAAATAGATGAAAAATGTTCTTTTGCATATTTTAACAGAGGTATAAGCTTAAATAAGCTAAAGAGGTATGAAAAAGCTCTATAGGATTTCACTAAAGCCATAGAACTAGACAATACCAATAGCGATTTCTATCTCAATAGGGCAAACACCTATTAAAAATTAGATATGCATACAGAAGCTATCAAGGACTATACATTTTGCATTGATTTTTAGACTAGCAAACTCTCTTCTGTGCTCATTTCAAGAGCCATGAGCTATGAAAAAAATGATGAAATAGAGAGAGCTAAACATGATTACCAAAGGGCTATAGACTTAGGAACAAATTAAGCATAAATTTGCTTTAGCAGACTAGCAACTATTTACTTCATAGATAATAACTTTTAGCAAGCATTAACACTATACAATAAGTAATATTACATAAATTAAATTAAATTACTTTTTTATTCATACAAATTCAAAATTAATTATTTTTTTTCTATTTGATCATGTCATAAAAAAATTTTGATAGCTTAATTCTTTACTTTTTAATCATAGATAGTTATTATTATTTTTACAAATATTTAATAATATTCCATATTAATAATAAAAATTAAAAGAGCTTTAGAATTAGAGCCTCAAAGCATATACTGCCTAGCAAAGAGAGCTTAGCTTTATATAAAATTAGAGTTATATAAGCTTGCAAGTGAAGATTTATCAAATGCTATTTCGATTAAAGATAACATAGATGCCCTTTATTATTACCGTGGTAAAGCCTTTAAATTGATGGGAAAATTAATAGAATCTACTGAAGATCTTCTACATGCCTCAACTCTTAATCCCAAAGATCCTAACATCTTCCGCTTATTAAGGTATTACAACTTCTTAATTCACATAAAGTAATAATTAAATTTATCAAAAATAGTAAAAACATGCTTGATTTAGATTAATATGAGGACTCGATAAATTACATTAATAAAGAAATAGAAATTATAGGTAAATCAAAACAGTCTCTATTCAACAGAGCATTTTGCAATAATAAATTAAACAAATTTGATGAAGCTGAAAAAGATTTAAAGGAATTATTATCAGAAGATAAAGATAATCTAAAATTGTAAAAGAGTCTAAGTGTTTGCTTGCTTAATCTAAAAAAATATGAAGAAGTAACTTAGAACTTTTTTTTTTAAGATTAAAATATGAATTTTATTAATTATAAAATAGGCTTTAAGTTTATTGAACTCTGTTATTGAGAAAATAGATAAATCAGAGGTTTCTGAATATTATAAATACAGATCAGAATGCTTCTAACAGTAAATATTGATTTTAAACATGAATTAAATAATAATTTAATTTTCAAATAGCTTATAAAATAAATAAAAAGCTGAAGAAGATTTAAAAATGTACTAAAAAACTAAGAAATAGAATTGATATAACAATTATAAATAAATGATATTAACTGATTAATTACTTTCTTTCTATTTTCTAATTTTCTTAAATTTTAAAACAATTAATTACCTAATAAATAAATAAACAAGCAAACAAATAAAATAAAATAAATTAAATATTTGCAATTAACCAAATATTTCTCTCAAAAGCATAAAACTAATCACTAAATAAAGTTTCTGAATATCAAATGATTTGTTTTTTATTTTACTAACTAAGAACTAACAAGAAATAATCTCTGCCATATATATAAATTAAATTAAACTAAATTTTCCTATTATTATTATATATTATAAAGTTATTTTGTCTAAATATGTGTATCAATCAATCATTTAAATTTTATCAAACTAAAATTTCAATCTGAATTATCTCAAAAAAATACAATAAATATCGTAAATTCTCTATATTAGTGTACTATAATATGAGTAAGGCTATTTTTTGTGATTTTTTATATTCAACACGTTTTTATGTAAGCGTTTGTTAGAATCGAGGAATAAGGTATAGAAGAATTACAGTATTACATTTTATTTTAAATGTTTTACTTTAGAAAGTAAGTTTTAATATATCTTTGGGTTTAATATATTTTTTATTATATGATAAAGATAGTTTATGAATTCTGGTTAATTATATTTGTATAATAGTAGAAAAAATAATTGTTAAAGCTTCTACTTGAAATTACAATTGGTTATATTTTGTCAATCTAAATAAGAAATAAATCAAGTTGATAATATATTTATGGAAGAATTATTATAATATTATCGTGATTTATCAAAAAAACTGATAATAGTTAATACTAAAAACTATTTTTTCATAACAGCAATAAAAAAGCTTAGAGACTATTGATTATATTATCATTTAATCATTTGAAAGTAAAAATTATGTTTATTTCTAATATTAATTCTATATTTTATAAAAATAATTTAAATCATTATAAGATAAGAGTAGAAAAAGTGATACTATGGAATATACTATTATATGATTAATGTCGGTGATTGATACATAGGTTTATATCATACTTTTTTTATTATAATATAGTGATTTTTAGTGTGTATAAAGTTTTATAGTCCAGGAAAATTAAGAAAGATAAAAAGAAAATTGTTCTAAAAAAGATATTTTGATTTGAAATAATATATAAATATTAGTATCCACATTAATAAGTAAATAAATAATTATTAATTAATTAATTAAGCATATAAATATATGTATATATGACTTTCTAGTAAATCTATTTGTTTTTTAAAATATAAAAACTTTATTAAATTAAATTTCGCAAAAAAAAAAAAAATTAAAAAAGATGCAACACTCAAAAGGTTTTAATCTAGAAGAAGAATATAAGAAGTATAAGAACGTCCTTAAGGGAGCAAAGGAAGGAGAAGTCGTTACTCGTTTTCCTCCTGAGCCTTCTGGTTACTTGCATATTGGTCACGCTAAGGCTGCCTTGATCAATTATCATTATTCATAAATTTACAAGGGTAAAATGATCTTCAGAATCGATGATACCAATGTTGAAAAGGAAAAGGTAAATTAAACAATAATTTTAATTAGGATTAGCAGGAAAGCACAATAATTTAGGTTATATTAGAAGGAAAATTTAAAATTTGCTGATTATTTTAAATTAGTAAATATTATTTTAAATCTAAACTATTTATATAATTAGGATGAATATGTTAACTCAATTATTGAAGATTTAAAGACTTTAGGCGTAAAATGGCATGGTGATATCACTCACACTTCTGACTATTTCGACTATTTGATCGAAAAAGCTGAAGAATTAATCAAAGAAGGTAAGGCTTATTGTGATCCTACTCCTGTTGATTAAATGAGAGATGAAAGATTAAAGATGGTAGAAAATGCCTACCGTAGTACTACCCCTGAAGAAAATCTCAAGATTTTCAGAGCTATGTGCGTAATAGATTAAATTAATATTTCATGGAGCTCATTTTAAAAATTCTTAATTATTCATTTATTAGTAAGGACCCGTTGATGGAGTCGAAGAAGTTAAAAATGCTGATGACTACTGTTTGCGTGCAAAAATCGATATGAAGAGTCCAAATGGCTCTTTGAGAGACCCTGTTTTATTCAGAGTCAACGTTAAGCCTCACCACCGTACTGGAACCAAGTACAGAGTAAACAATAAATACAGAAATATATATATATTTATATTTATATAAAAATAAATAATTTTTATGTATTTTATTTAAAAAGTGTTATCCTACTTATGATTTCTGTTGTCCTCTTGTTGATAGCAAAGAAGGAGTTACTCATGCTATGAGAAGTAACGAATACTCTGATAGAATTCCCTAATATAACTGGGTCCTCTAAGCTTGTAAAGTTAGACCTGTTACCATTTTTGAATTTAGTAGATTAAATTTATAATACACTTTACTTTCTAAGAGAAAACTCTAAGAATTTGTTGATAAGAAAGTAGTTGAAGGATGGGATGATCCTCGTTTCCCTACTGTCAAGGTAAATTTTTATTTTGGGCAATCCTTTATTAATTATGCAAAGAAAATATTTTTTAGATAATATTTAAATTTTCTTTATAAAATACTCTAAATGTTTTTTATTTTACATTTATTTATGAATTTTTTATAAAAATAATGAATAATCAACTTATAAAATTTAATATAGGGTATCATCAGAAAGGGTTTGACTGTTGAAGCTTTGACTGAATTTATGTTAGCCTAAGGTCCTTCTAAGAATACCAATTTGATGGAATGGGATAAGATATGGTCAATCAACAAGTCTATCATCGATCCTTTATCTGGAAGATTCTCAGCTCTTTCTTCTAAAAATCTTTCCACCGTTGAAGTTACTAATGTTCCTGCTGGTCACGTAGAACCTGTTGAAACTCCTCTTCATCCTAAGGTAATTTTTAATAAAAATAAATCTTGGTCTAAAAGTAATTTAAAAATATTAGGAAGATCTTGGTAAGAAAGTTATTTTCTAATCCAGTAAGCTTTTGATTGATTACGAAGATGCTGCTGCTCTTGAAAAAGGTAAAATAAATAAATATATTAGTTAACATTAAAATAATAATTTATTTATTATATTTAGATTAAATCGTTACTTTCATGAAGTGGGGTAACTTCAAGATCTTAGAAGTTGTTAAGCCTGAAGCTGGACCTGTTGCTGTTAAGGCTGAATTCCTTCCTGATAACAAGGACTTTAAGAAGACTGTCAAGCTTAACTGGATTGCAGACGTTGATACTGTATAAAAATAATATTTTTTTAAATATATTTTTTAATTAAATTTTAATAAAAATTAATAAAGGTTAAACTAATTTTAGTTGAATATGATCATTTACTCAGAGAAAAGAAATTATTGGAAGAAAAGGAAATGCCTTTCGAAAAATAATTAAACGAAGTAACTAAGTACGTTACTGATGCTATTGGTGAAACTGCTCTTAAGGATGTTAAGCTACGTAAATATTTTCATTAAAATTGTTTAAATTAAAAATTTTTTACATATATTTAGACTAATACATCTAACTTGAAAGAAGAGGATACTACAAGGTTGATAAAATCCATGAAATAGATGGTAATAAGGTTCCTGAATTAATTTATGTTCCTGATGGAAAAACTAAGCCTGTCGTAAGATACAAAATTTAAAAAGCAAAAATAAATTTATTAATTGAAATATTAGGGTAAGTGATCAGCATAATACAAATAAGAACAAGAAGAAACAAAAAAAACTATTTAAACCATCAAATAAAATATCTAAAATATGTTATATGTTTTTTTTATTTTAAGTTAGATAATTAAATAAAATTTTCTTAAATCCCATACTTTATTAAACTTTTGAACGTATGTGTATGTATGTATATCTACCATCAAAACTTTCTAATATGTAAAATAAATAATATTTATTTTATTTTTATGGAGATTTGTTTTTAATTTGAAAATAAATCCAAAAATCAATATAATTATTGTTTACATACAATAAAATTGATTGAAAATGTAAGTAGATAAATTATAATGAATAGTATATTTTTTGTTACTGAAAATTAGTTGCTTTTAAGGTTTTTTAATTTTTTATTAAAAATACTTTGATATTATCTGTAAACTTTTTGAATCCAATTTAATTTATGATTCTAACATTTACATATTGTAACAAAAACTGAAATTAGTGACAAAAATCATTATTATTTTGTTAATTATTTTTCTTTTTGTTTTTATAATACTTATATGATAAATAATCTCTTTTTATAAGAAATAAAATCAAGATAAATAAATCAATAAATAGATTCTAAATTGCTTCGCTAACTAATTATTGAATTCATTAATAAGTAAATATAATTTCTTTACAATCAAAAATTATATATTGATCAAATATTCATATAAATATTTTAAGTAAGAGTTAAATAATAACTATGCAAATAAATTTTCTAAAATAGTAAGATGATGCCATATATAATCAAAATTAATATGGGTTAGAGCTTTAAAATGTTGGAGTTTATCCAACCACACCCATTAGTGAAAAAAAATAGAGACTATCAGTCGCTTTGTTGCATACAAAAAGAAAAGTTACTGCTCTAGAATCGATGACATTCCAAAAAGTAGGTGGTAGTAGTACAAGCTTAAAACCTTCTAGTACTGGAAACTAATCCTATCAATCAAGTATTTTCTCTGATGACTAGTTTCAAGATGCATAATCCTAGTTTGGGAATTATGGAGATAATTTTAGTAGCGTAGGAGGCTATCAATAGAAATCATCTAAAAAAAATAGTTAAGATTAGTAGGAATATGATAAAGATTCAAATTATTCTTCAAGCGATTCTGATGAAAGTTTTGTTACAGCTCAATCAGGTTCACCAGATATTCATTATGAACGCATAAAATAAGAATTTTTTAGTAATATTTCGAAAAAATCCAAAAGTGTTCTGACAAGTCCGAACTTAAAAAAGTTACCACAAAGTAGTACAGAATAAAAGGTTACAGCAGCTGATTTATATAATAATCAAGAATTTGAATTCAGTCTTAATAGCCAATAGAAAAACACAAGAGATAGCAGAGCTCAAAGTATTGAGTAATCTAGTAAGTAAAGGAGAAAATCATCTTCATTAGATAATAGTTATAAAGATAAGTTTAATATAATGCAGATTGTGAAAATAGTTTCAACTGATTAAAAGTAATAAGAAGACTTACATTAAATAGAAGAAGAGACTTATTCCAATTTCTCTTCTTCAATTTAAAGCAGAATGTTTTCAAAAGTGATACCAACAAATGAAAACTAAGGAGGCTTAGATGATAAATAATAAAATAAACAAATTCTATGCAGATCTTCTTGTATCAACTAATTTAACAATGGAAATATGTAATTTTATAAAATTAATTTGAACTTTTATAATTATTAGAAAAAAAATATAAAAGAAATTCATTACTTTTTAATAGATTAAGTTTACATATTTTTAACTAATTCAGAGCTTTTTAAATTGATATTTTTACTTATTTTCTACTTTTAAAGTTAGTAGATATTTTAGATTTTTTTTTGCATTTACTTTAAAGAGTGATATTATGTTTTGTTAATATTTAAACATTTTTATTCTCAGTATCTAATTTGACGAATACTGATTTAGTTTATTTTAATTTTACCAAGCCTTATAATTTAAAGCAATCTTAATTAGAGAAGTTGAAATAAATATACAATTTTTTGAATGACATATCTTTAAAATCCCAATTCAATAGTAGAAATAATTTTACTTTACTTAAAAAATTTATTTGGAACTACACTTTTTTATTTAAAAGAACTAAAACAAAAAAAATTTCATATTCTCAAACATCCTTTCTAGTTTATTAATTTTTGATATTGAGAAAGTTTTATGAAAATCTTTCAAAGATTACATAATTTAAAATTATTCAATCTCAAGAAATGAATTTCAAATTAATAATTCAAGAGTTTAATAATATAAATCCATTTTTTATTATAATTATAGGACATTTCAAAGTACAGTGGATAGTATCGATATTTCTAATAAACTAAATTAGAGTTATCTTAAAGATGATAACAGCAGCAGTATTTTAGGATTTGATTAATCTTATTAAAAAGTTTCTAAAAAGTAAAATAAAGAAAAAAATAGTAATGTTCCATAGCTAAGAACGACTTCAAACTACTTAGATAATAGGAGAACACTTTAATGCTTAACACAATTGTAACTCCCATTATCTATAGATAAGAATAAATAAATAAAAGAGCAAAATGCTTAGCTACCAGTTAATAACTAATATCAAATGAATAAATCTTTGAACTATTATAGATATCAAAAAAAAAATTCTTCAACACTTGCAACAAATAGAATACTTGAAATAAAAAAAAATTATAGATCACGTAATTAGGAACAGAAAGCCTTTAAAGAATTTACTCTAAATATCACTTACATATTGAGTCAAGAAATATAAAAAAACAAATTTTCGCTAATTTTATTTTAATTTTTATAAATTTGGAGCTTTTTTTTGAGATACTATTTCTATTTCTTTAGTCTTTACATGATGATAGCTGATAGCTCTTATTCTTAATATTTGCTACCTATGATTCTGCTACCAAGGATATTTTACATTTTTTCTATTTATAAAGTGATATTTTCTTACTAAAATCATACTAAAAGCTATCGCTAAGTAAGTCTTATTTTTAATAGTGGCTTTGGATTTGACGATTATTTTTAGATTATGAATATGAACTAATTGCTTACTTCTGACTCATTTGAAAAGCTCACCAAAGAAAAAATTATTGCACGCTTTTAATTCATTCTTTGTCCTTCAGAGCTAAACATTTTCACTTTAAATAAAGATATTGTTACCTTCTCAAAAAGAAAGGAATTGTGGTATCTTTCAAATTATATTCTGATTTCAATAGAATATATCAGTATTTATATCATAATGATCTTCTTTTCTATATACAACCATCAGTTTTAAAAAGAATTTTAGCTAAAAGAAAACTTTTCTTTGAACATTTTCACTTTCTCATTTATTTATAATGCTGTGAGTGTTATCTTTTTCATTATATACAATCTTTACTACCTTCGTAAAGGAAACCAAAAGTTGAAAAAAGATAACTTGAATGTTTACAACAAAAATAAAAGATAAACAAAGTGATTTAAAGTCTAAGCTCTTAATCTCCCTCCACCCAAATCTATTTATTTATTATCTCTTTATATCTATCATAATTAACTCAAATATTTATTTATAAATCAAATATTAAGCTTAGTGTATTTGTGAATACCACCATTATTTGTTTTGTTTCAGTTTATTAACAATAAAAGATATTTATTTTGTTTTTTATTTTTAAATTAATTAAAATTGATATTGATCAAACGTATGATAAATCCTATTTTCAAAAAGAAAAACTAAATAGAATAGCTCGAAAATAATATTAAATCCTTATATAAACAGGGTTCTTATAAGCTATGCATATAGGAATGCGAGAAACTTGCTAACATATATGTAACAAAAAAAGAAATAGTATATTTGTATCTTGGTAAATGCTACATGAATTTAGGAGATTATGAAAAGAGCAAATAGTCGTTTATTTATTGTTTGAGTATCAATCAGCTCAATCTTGAATGCTATATTAACTTAGGTACTATATACGCTCAACTAAATGAATATGAGTTAGCATTTGACTATTTTGATAAGTATGAGCAGCTTATAGAGAATGATAAGAAATCAAAAGAATATCCCAAAAGAAAAGTAGGTTTACTTTAAAATTTATGCAATACTTGTTTCATTTAGAAGGATTATGATAAAACTGAATAATACATTAATTAGCTCTTAGATATAGATCCATCAAATAAGGCAGCTAAAATTATCTAAGGTGATATTTTTTACATGAAAGAGGAGTTTGAAAAGGCTCTTGAAATGTATTTCTAAGTGCTTGAAAATGATAAAAATGCAATATCTGCTTGTTATAAAATAGGGATGACTAACTGGAAATTAGAAAAATTTACAGAAGCAATAAGTAATTTTGAGCTATGTTTAGCTCTTGATAAGTATTTTATTGATTCATATGCAGCAATTGCTATGATTCTCCATAGGCATTTAGAAAAGTATGATGAATCTCTATTTAATTTGAACTTATATTTATAATACAATAAGAAAGACCCTTTAAAGAATGTTTAGATATATATGGAGATGGGATAAATATATGAAACTCTGTTTAAATCAAAAGATGCTATTGAGCAGTATAAAAAGGCGTTTGATATTAATCCAAATAATGCAGATCCTTTATCAAAGATAGCAAATATTTATTTTGAAAAAAGGTAAGACTATCAAGCTGCTATCGAATATTATGAAAAAATTATAAGAATTAAACCTTCTTGCAAAACTTCCTTTATAAGACTAGCTAAATGCTACTTTTAACTATAAAAATATGATAAATGCATCTAAGTCTATAAAAATGAGCTTCTATTAGACCCATATAATTCGGAAACATTTCAAGCTATAGCTTTATGTTATTAAGAGCTAAAAAATTACAAAGAATCCGATTTATATTTCTAGCTCTCTCTATAAATAAATCCATTTGATAATACAGTCAAGGAGCAATACGAAAAGTTAAAATAACTGATAAGTGCCTAAAATAAATCAAATTAGAATAAAAAATGAAATTTATTTGTTTTATTATTTTAATAATAATAAAATGAATATAATAAATATTTGTTTTAATTGTTTTAATAATAATAAAAAGAATTATAAAATCCCTTTGATAAATAAATGATAATTTATTTAAATATGTATATAGTTAATTGTATTTTAATTAAAAATATGAAGAAAAAAGTTAAATGCATATTATTTTATAGCTTTTATGAACTTAATTATAATACTTTTTATTTCCATAAAACTCACTTTTTGTCTAAAAATTGTTGGAAAAATGATTTCTTTAATTTTGAATTAAACAAAATTTTAAAAACTCAGTTTTTATTTAATTTTAAAGATTGCTTTAATAAAATTTAAAAATAATATTTTCAATCAAATTTCAGTTTAGTGGAAAGTAGTTTAAAGTATAATATTAAATAAGTGTTAGTAAAGGCTTAGTTCAAAAAATAGATAATTAATTACAAAATCTAATTAGAACTAAATATAAATGGTTAAAATAAATATTTATTTATTGTATTAATATTTTATTATAATTTATAAATGTATCTAAAAATTTTAAAGCACTTTTTTTGAATTAATTGAGAGCAAATTTATTAACTCACCAAGTTACAAACTACTAATTAGCATTCATTTGCCTAAAATGTCTAGAATCAGAATTATATTTCTTTTCTTTAGTCATTGATTGGATAATGAAATTCTAAGTAAGATATTTGTTTGAGATCACTTTTTGGATTAAAATTTTTTTATTTTTCAATATTTACGGTTAGATTCTTTTTATAATCTCATCAAATCATTAAGTAAATCCTTTTCTCTAGCTTATAGAAACTCAACTCTTTATTGAAGCTATTGATTTTACTGTTATTAAAAGATAAGTGTTTATGCTAAAAAGATTTTGAAAAGCTTTAAAAAAATGCTAAATAATATCTAATGAATTAAAATACTTATTTTATTTGCATCATTTCCCATAAATCTTCTGGTGAGGAGTTTGTAGCTCCATTAAGGTTCTTTTTAATTATGCTAGATAATTCTATGTTTTTTTATTCTAATTCTGTAATCCTCTTTTTAAGTTCTGTATTTTCTAACATCAAAGCAGAGGCCATGTATTCTTCGCTCATCTTTTCTTTATTTATATCACCCTTATTTGCTGGGTTACCAATGAAAACTCTCTCTAATTTATTTATTTGAATTGAAATAATTATTTTAATCAACTAATTAAATGAAATACCTATGTTCTCTAATTTAATTTGTAAAGCATTATTATTGTTCATTACAACATGATAATTTTTTTCAGCAACTTCCCTTGCATTGCGAAGTTCTTCATTTTCATTTTTAATTCTATTTAATTCGAACTAATACTCCTACACAATCTATTTAAATACATTTTTATTTAAATTATTTACTCACTAGATTTAAATAATTAAATTACTTTATTAATTGGTATTTCCATTTGCTAACCATCGTTAGATATTGGTCTTGATGTAGACATTTTAGGATTCTTTGTTAAAGGAGGTAAGTTTTTAGGTTTTTGTGAGGGACTCAAAAAATCAGGTACTTCTATTGGTAAACCATTACTTACACTTAAATTTAAAAGTAAATTAAAAATTATTTCAAGTTTTACTATAAAAAAAGTTTACCGTTGAAGCTATTCTCTAAGATATTTATTTTCCATTCTTAACAAATCTATTTCTCTTTATAGATTGTAAATAATTTAATCTTTTTGATCCATCTTTGTTTTTTTATAAGTAAATAAATAAATAAATATATTTTTAAAGTTTAAAATAATGAATTCTTACTTAAACTACAGGCTTATTTTTTATATTCATTGTACGAGCAGCGTAATTCATTGTAGATAATGTTTCATCATAATAAACTCCTGACGGTGAAATACATGCAATCATAAGTGCCTTAGCAGTACCTCCCAAACTATCCATCAAAAGCATGGTTAGTTTAGAATCTCTATAAGGAACATAAGGCATTTTAGCTTTCTTATCTGATAATGATTAGATAACTTTGCCTAAAGTGAATAATGATTTATTGATATTTCCTGTTTCTTTAATCATATCTCCATGTGATTTAGACTCTTTAAGTCTTTCACTTCCTGCTAAGTCAACAAAAGAAAGTTTACCATAACGCTTCATAGTTTATTCTCCACTGACTAATTCAGAAATAAGATAAACTGTTAAAATAGAATGAGATCTACTAGAATCTTTGTTAAGTTCATGAGCACCTGTTTTTCTATGAAAGTAAATTCGATTTAGCAACTCAAATAAACATAATATAATATCTGGATATTTAAATTGTGTAAATATAAAAATAAATACCTATTTTTCATTCCTTCATGAAGCACAGCAATCATATCATCAACATTAGTACACTCTACAATCATTAAATCCTCAACGAAAAAACCATTTTTAACATTCCAACGACAATGAAGGATTCCCGATGCAGGATTAAGCAAATCTCTAATTTATTCATTATAAATTTCAGTAAAACTTGCTTTTACATAAAATTATTCTTCTCTCTATGCCATTGCCTACCACAAATATCTGACAGCTCTTGGGATAATACCTTCTGTTTCATCAGATATATAAACTTCTCTTCCTAATTTTTCTTCAACACCAGCCATTCTATTTTATAATCATCTTAAAAATAAATTGCTATTTAGCTAATAAAATTTCAACGTGTATGTTTTTCCTGATCCTGTTTGTCCATAAGCAAAAATTGTTGCAGAATATCCATCTAATGCGCTTTCAAGCAATTCCTATAATTAATTTAAAAAGGAGCCTTTATAAATTATAACCTCGGCTAATTTTTATATATTTTATATCATCTAATTACTCCAACATTGCAATTCAAAAAGCATTCACTTTGTGATGTATTTTCATCTAAAACATAGTTAAATTTATAATTTTTCTATTATCCCCTAATTAAAAAAATAAATTGTAATTATAAAACCTAAAGACAATAAATAAATAATATGGAAAATATTCTATAAAATAAGGTAATGAATCTACTTTAAATTTAATTAAATTGAATCTCCACTGCACTTTACACAATATTCATCGCCTCGAGACCTTTCTAAGTTATTCATGGGCCTTACTCTTAATGCTACTTTAACACTTTCACCTCCCGTATATTCTTCATAGCTGATATTAGTATTTGTATTGTTATTTGACTTAAAAGAGTAGTGTGTAGAAGGAGCTTCATAAGGATTTGGCTAGCCATTTATCTGGCTTTGAATAATTTGCTATTAAGGATTCATTTATTACTAAGACAATTATTACTATAATTGCTATTGCTATTACTGCAAGTTATATTATAATTGTTGCTACTACTATAACTGCTGCTACTAAAACTATGGGTTAACGCTATTTTACTACTTGACTCTTTTTTCTGGAGATTAATTTTTGGCTAATCCCTGTTAAGATTAGCTTTTTAAGTTTTTTCCTTTTACTGATTAAGACTATTTCATAACTGATAAGGAAATAAATAGTTGATTATATAATTTTTATACCTAATCAAACAATATTTAAAATTTTAAACAACTTTTTGTTTATAAGTAAAATTATAAACAATAAAATGCCTTTAAAAAAAAGTTATTAATAAAAAAGAATGCAAACTTTAATCTAAATTAAAACTGTAAAGCAAATAAGCAGTAGATTTCAACTTTTTATCAATCAACAATTAATTAAGAATAAGATAAAATTTTAATTACCATAACCCCTCTTTAAAAAAATCAATCATGTATTTGAGGGATTCAGTTTTTTTTAAATAAAATTTGCAAAAAAATATAAAATGCAAAAAATTGAATGGTTTTGAAGGAGGTAATACAGTAGTTTATAAAATTAAAAATATTAAATAAAATCATTTTTTTTATTTTAAACATAAAATTTTAATAAATTTAATAATGTAGATAACATTAATTAATTTATGAATAAAATTTTTTTAAAAATGAATGTTTTTCAGTAGTATTATTGTATTATAAATTTATTATAATTATTTTGTTTTAATTCTGATTTGAACAATTTGCCACCAATTATCTAAAAATAAGAATTTTTTTATTTGAAAACGCAACATGATTAATTATCACTAATCATTTAGAATTTTTCTTATGAGTAGCTACTTTTATCAAGTATCTTAATAGGTGTTACAGGTATATCTTAGTGTGATCCCAGAATTTTTTTGTTATCGTCAAATAATTATATATAATATTCATTGCTTGAATTTATTGGTACAAGCTAAAATTTTGTTGCCGATTTTTAATCATTTGTTTCAATTACTTCATAGTTATTTAATTTTAAGTATTACTTTGACCCTTAGTTTAGTATTACAACCTTTTAAAATTAATTTTTGATTTAATTTTATTCTTGAGGTTGTTACTAACCTGATTTGAATGCATCAACAGAATGTAGTATAGATCCAAATTTTTATTATTGAGATGAAAGACTTTATGATATTTAGTTTTATTATAACTATAAAGAATTATTCTCTAATGTATTCTTTCCTTGTTATGCCAAATAAGATTAATTTAACATAGAATTAGCTTGATGGTTTGAGCTATTAGAGGATTTAAATCTGTATTCTTATTTATTATTCATTTAATTTATGTTATGCCTTTAGTCAATATGATTTTCCTCTTCAATATTTTCTTCACTTGCTTATATGTAATCATTATTTTTATTCCTCTAACTGTAATCTTCTATCTTAAAAGACTGATTACCAGAAATAAAATTCGCTGCATCTAGTTATAATCCTGCAGGTTCAGGGATATTAGTTAAATAATTAAATACCTTCATAGATAAAAAGAAATATTCCTCTTTTGCAACATTTTTAATGATTGTCCATTCCGAAAGCTCTTTTTAGAAAGGTTAGTTTTAAACAATTTTATTTGTTGCAGTCATACAATTCTCGCCATTTAATTGTTCTAAACAGTAGAAATATTTTTATTAATCTTGAATTTTTGCTTTAAAAGCATAGTCTTGTTTATTATACATGTTAAAAATCTCTAATTCTACAAATCTTTATCCAGGCTTGCTAGAAATTGCATAATTAATGTTTTTTAAGCTAGTCACTATAATAGCTTTATTCTCTAACTCAGTTGTCTACTTTTGCTATTTTATAAATGTAATCTTAAATTCATAAATTAAAAAATAATCAAAATACCAAGAAGTACCACTCAAAACTTGGTTGAGTAGTTTTATCAAATTTGAATTTTTAATTATTCCAAGTAATGGTGTTAATAATTCTATCATTTTAAACTTAATGAATGCTAATTATGCCTTAGTCATTTCTCCTAATCGCTAAGATTAGTTGATTTTCATATCCTTTCCCTTTTTTGACTACACTACAATTACCCTCTAGGTTAAAAAAAAGAATTTTCTCATCTATAACTAAATGGCCAAAAAAGAAATCTTAATTAGGGTAGGTATTTATTATTTCAAACGTAAATGATTAGTATTTGTTAAAATTCATGTGGTAAAAGGAACCCTTTGGAGCATTAATGTCTATAGTTTTACCTAAATGTATATTATATATAGAAAATGGTTTTTTTAACTTTAGTTTGTTTTTAAATGGTGCATCTATGCTCATTTTTACCTTTTTTATAGTTTACTTTTGTTTATTTATTTAGTTAATTAATTTTAGAAAAATAACAATCAAAAATAAAAATCACATATCTAAATTATATCTATATTCTATCATCTAATCTCTTTTTTCCTATTTTCTCAAAATAAAAAAATCTTAACTATTAACTGATTTAATAAAGCCTGCTTTGCTATTAATTAGCATAAACTCTTAACTCTTGATAAAAGTTTAAAATAAAACTATTTCTATTTTTCAAGTCATTTTATTATCAAGCCTAAAGACAGAACGAATGATTTTTTATTTTGTTTTTAAATTGTTTTTTCTTTATTTTAATATACCAAAATAATGAAGGAATCTATTGAAATTTTATCAAAATTTTCATTTTTGGTAGATCAATTTTCTAAAACATTTATCGCTAAGAATTAGAATAATAACTTTCATTTAGTATAATAAATAAATTAGTCATTATTTAAATTAATTATTAATGCTATTAATATTTTAAAGCTTACTAGATAAATAAAAAAGGTTTCAATTAAATGTAAAACGCTTTGATAGTGATTATTAATATTAAGCTTTATAATGATAAATAATATTTCGCCTTTAGAAATTAAGTTATAAGGAAAGAAATATTAATTTGTTTGTTTTTTTAAATCTAAGAAACAATAAAATAAAATAACCATATTTAAAATTAACATTAATTAGTTTGAATTAAGGAGACTTTAAAATATAAGCATAAACATTATTGAAAACATCCGCTTAAAACTTAAGACATATAGTTTGCATCCCTTCATATATATTTCAAGAATTTTTGTTAAATGGCATTTGTATTTAGATCTGAAAAAAAAGCTTCACACATTAGGACAACCACTAATCAATTAATAGGCCCAGGTTCTTATGTGTAGCATTAATAGTATACTATTTAGAAGGCTTATGCCCCTTTTAATACAAAAGAAGATAGAAGTGGTAAAAAAAATAAAGATGTTGAACTCTTTCCTGGTCCTGGTCAGTATCAAATTGAAAAATCAAATTTGAATGAAAAAGTAGTTGTTTCTTCAGCAAACGATGATATCAAAATAGTTGAAGTGCCAAAACCTCAAGCTAATTTTAAATCACAAACAAAAAGGTAAAAAAAATCTGATTTTGCTCTCCTTGTTTACTTTCAAAAACAATTTTATGTTGTTTATTGATATTAATAAAATATTTGATATTTAATAAATGAGATTTAATGGAAATAAAAATATTCAAACATTTTTTTAATTATTTTAGATTTTAAAATAATGAAGTAAAGGCTAAGGAATAATTACCTGGTCCAGGCTAATACGAGTAAGAAGATCAACTTAAGAAAATGTTAGAAAAAGGATAGAGCTAATTTTAAAATTATTAAAAATAAAATATTATTGACAAGTTAATGAAAATGAATAGATATTAAAGTACTCCTTCTATACCTTCAAAGCAACACACTTTTGGATATACAGAAACTGAAAGTAATCCATTAAAATAATAATTATCTAATTCAAACTAAATTTTATTTATCTACTATTTAGATAATGATTTAGCTCTCAACAAGATTCCGGGCCATTAATATTTAGGAACTCAAAAAGATTCAGTAAAAATCAAATACTTATAATTTACGACTAAATATTTTAAAATGAGTATGTAAATATTTTTATTTTCACCAATAATACTAGGTAGGTCCAGGCCATTATGATCAGAAGACTTTCATAGAATAATAAAAATTAAAAGGAGTACCTTGGCATAAATTATAAGCTGCTAGAATGCAAAACCCTCTATCAAAAAGTACTTTAACAGTTGGCCCAGGTTCTTATGATGTTTAAACTTAGGGACTGCCCTTATATAAAATGAAATAAAGTCCTGGCTTTGCTTCCAAAACTCTTAGATAAATTGAAAATAGAAAAGGAGCAGTTGCCAGTTAAATAGTAAAGTAGCGCATGGCTATGAGTTAGCAAAGTAACAAAAATATTCCTTTAAATGAAGAGGATTCAGATAGTGAAGAAGAATATATTGAAGTAAAGCTATTATTAATATTGATATTTTTATTGAAAAATTTATTTAATTTTCTAGGATGCTGTCCCAGGACCTGGACATTACAATTTCGAAAACTCTTCTTTCATGAAGGCTAATAATACTCACTCTCACTCAGCTGGAAATTTTGGTTCTCTATCCAAAAGATTTACATAAAGCAACTTCTCTAACCCTATCGGTCCTGGTGAATACAATCCTGCAGTTGCAGGAATAATAGGAAAAAATCCTCATGTAATTTTAGATAATTTATGATCTTTCTTAAACATTTATAAATACATAACAGGAAGTTAAAGTAAGAAATCCACCTTTCTTGTCTTCAGATACTAGATTCCAAATTAAAAAAATTGAAGAGGTTAAACCTGGTCCTGGTGCTTATGAACCTCGTATAAATGTAATACTCAATTTTAACTAAAATTTGTTTTATAAATAGCTTTATCTAAATAAATTTTTTTAAAATTTTTATTAGTTAGAAGATAAACTCATTTAAAAAATCCAAAAAGGATATAGAGGTAACTTTGGTTCTACTGAAAGAAGATTTAAAAATGCTAATGTTGTTGATGTAACTAAAAATTATTTAGAAATCGTTTAATTAAAATATTATTCAATGAATTTTAGGAATAGCCGGGTCCTGGAGCTTATATTGATATTGCTACACAGTAAAAGTTTGATGAATTAGAAGCTTAACTACCCACATCAGTATTCAAATCCTCATCTTAAAGAGCTATATTTAAAAACTAAAAAGGTTAAATTTGATTATAGTCTTTTACAATTTTTTATTTATTTATTTATAAAATATGTAGATTAAAAACCTCCTGTTGGGTCTTATAAGCTAAATTATTATGATATTGAGAAAAAAGTAAACTAAGAACCTGATGATCCTGACATTAAAATTAAAGTTCCTAATTTAGGTTTTAACACTAGTGATGTAAGATTCAAAGGCCCAGATCCTAAAAAAATAACAGATGAAGATGAAGAAGAATTAAATGTTATTAAAGAAAAGCGTAAAGAAGAAACAAAATTTAAAAAAGAAAATAAACATTTCCTATCAAAAGTAAATTTTTGAGAATTTTATCAATATATTTTTAATAATTTTAAACTTTATAGGCAGATAGATTCAATTATAAACTTAAAAATTAAGGTCCCTCTCCAGGTTAGTACTACGATAATGCAGCTAATCCATGGAATAAAAGAACATTTAACATTCATTTTGCAGATTTTTGAAATCAGATTATTATTATTATTCTTAGATTATATTTAAAAATATTTACTTTAACAACTCAAATAAAAACTTCATTTTTATCTAAATTTCAGTTTATTTATTTAGGAGTTTTTCATTAATAAAAATTACAAATAATAAATTCATAATTGCTTTAAAAATACAATTTTTATTATTTTATATAATTTTTTTAATGTATTTTTTTGTAAAATTTGCTATTTTAAAATTATTTATTTCAAAGCTTTTAACAAATTTATTCTTTCATTTCTTAAATGTTTTAACTTAAAAATAATTTTAGTGAATAAAATATATAAAAATCAAATATGTGTAGATAAATTTTAAAATAAAATAAATTTTTACCTTATTTAGTAAATTAATTATAAACACAAATTAAATAAATAAATTGATTATATTATTTGAAAATTTTTCATTTTCTGGTCATTCCATGACGGATTAATTCTTTATCAGCTTTGTAGCACCCAAACAAAGCACACAGAACAACTGAACAAGCCACACCCATTCTTTTTCTGTAATTCTTATAATCAAATTCTCTTATTATTCTCATAAGCTCCTCTTCTTCCATAAATTTAATTTACTTTTATTTTTCCTCTATCTTTTTACATAACTATTCATATTACTTAACGAACTCTTCACGACTTTCATACTTAATATATTTTTAAAAAATTAAGACAAATAAAAATAAAAATCAATAAATTAATAACCTTATTTATTATGCTATTATTTTCATAAAGGACTATTTTATTATTTTGTTGTTTACTATTATTGTTGATGTTATTATTTTCAGTTGGGCTAATTATACTCTGGTTAGCATTTAAAAGAGTCAAGTTCTATTTATTTAATAAACTAAGAATAATTTAAATTATTCCAATATATTTACTTCATTTTCATTCTTTTCTTTATCCTTCATTAATTACTACTCTAATTGCTACTACCTTGCTTATCTCACAACATCCTTAATCTTCTTTTACGTCTTTTTTATTTTTTACAAAAAATAGATTTTAAAAATATTTTAATAAATTAAAATTACTTATAAATATATAATATCATTAGAAGTTTATTTAGATGTATTAAGCTCGTTTAGTGTTCTTTAAACTATATCTTACTAGTTGCTTTCTATTCCTTAAATTAAATCTTAGATATTTTCAATTTTTTCTTATTTTTTCTTTAAAGATTATTCATATTTAATCCTTTTTACATCTATCTTACTTAAATTTGGTAACATATTCCCTTTGTTCAAAATATTCCCTTTTAGAGTATTATAACTATTAATTAAATTGGTTTAAATTAGAATTATCTATACCAGCTGAAATTGATTGATTTGGATTTATGCTTGAATCATGCATAATTGATGGATTAATATTAGATTGTTCTTAATGATCTTCATCTATTTCTAAACCTTCAATATCTTTCATGTGGTCATTTATCATCATATTTGCTTTGTATAACTCTAATTGCATATTTAAAAGTGAAACCATGTTTTAAAGCTCATCTTCTTTGTGTGACCTCTATTCAAATTTATAATAAGATATTTTATATATTTTATCCAACTAAAAAATCTATACCTGCAAAAGGTATTCTTTTGCCTTTTAATCTAAGAAATCTGGGAGATATGAGTCAAAAACTTTTTCTTAGCTATTCCAGATGCTTCTGATTATCCAAGAAAGTCCTTCTCCTCTAGCATCCTTACCATTTTTAAGAAGTTCAAGCAAAAAGAGCTTTTTTCCTTTTTATAATGACTTTAATTCTTTCTTTTTTTAATTGATGTTGTCTTCAATTAAAATAATTTATTTATCATTATCCTTCATTTTCTTATCATATAAAACCAAAGTATTCTTTAGAGTTTATATTTCACCTTCAAGCTCATTCAGCTTCTAAACATTTGTCATTAAATTATCTATTAAATTCTATCTCGTACTTTTATCATTTCCAAGATTACTTATCGTCGATTAATTATAATTAAACTGTGGAGCTTATAAATTAGTAGTTGAAGGAGAATTTAAGTTAGTATCTGTATTTTGAGATTTCTTTTTCACAGATGAAGATGACATGTCAAAAAAGCTTTATGCCATATTTGGATTTTTGCTTGCTTTGTTTTGTTGCTCATTTAATTCTTCATTTAATTATTTAATCTTTAAAATAAAAAATATAAAAATAAAAATTAATTTAAAACAAACTTTATCTCAAACAAATTAAAATATTTCTTAAATCAATAAAAATAAATTACCAAATTTTTAATTTAGTTTATTTTACGAAGAAGTTAATAATTTTCCAAACGTAAAATTCTTGCTGTATTAACCTTATTGTTAATAAGAGAAATAGTATCCCTAATTTTCTAAATTAACTGTGATTCTATCAGACCAGCTTACTTTTCATAAAAACGAGCTCTATCAATCACACTAGAAATTCCTTCTTCATCATCAATCTTGAATAAGTCTTCGATTACTTACCTCATGCCTTCTGCTGTAAATTCCTAATTAGTTACCTACTCTCCTTTAATTTTAGATCCTTGCTCTGAAACATCTGGTACTGATTTTGTAAAAAATGGTAATATGCTTTTTGAATAAATAATAGTATGAATATTAAATAACTACCTTTTTTCATGTAATTCTTAATTGTTTTCCTAAGTCCTCTATCTTTATCATAAATGACATTAGGATCGCTACTTTTTTCACGCTCCTTTTCATTAATTGTTTTGAGAGCATCATGAAGAGCATCAAAAAATCTACTTTTGTGAGCTTCAGATGTTTTAGGAGTATTCATGCTATTTTTTTAAGTGTTATCATCTTCATGATCTATTTATTATAATTCTTCTTGCTACCTAGTCTGCTATCTACTTCTTGTTCCAGCAAAAGGACTAGTTACATCATTTTTAAGTAATCCGACTAACTATGGAAATTTAGAAAGTTCCTTTTTAATATTTTATTAATATTAAATCAGATCAAAAGTTTTATTTTAATCATACTATTTGTGGTTTATCCTCTTTCATGATTTAAGGGAGAGTTAAAGACATACGTTTTATAGTTTCTCTTCTTATAAACTAGGATGGAGTATTTATTGGGCCAGTTTTACTGTGCTCTCCTTTTTTCTTTTCTTTCTCTAATTGCTAAGATTTTTAAATTTTGAGCCAGTTGTCAAGACCCTCAACAAGTTTAATATCATTTTGCTTAGAAGACCTATCGTTGAAATGGCTTATAAGTTTTTATTCTTCTTCGTCCAGCGAATCTTCAAGCTTTTTATAACTTAGTTTTTTTTAATTAAAAATATTAACAAAAAACAATAAAAAGCATCAGTTTTAATTCACTTCATTCTAATTAAACACTTTTTGAATTGAATTAATTTCATTTGGCTATATTTTGCATAGTAATAAAAGGAGAAGAAACTATAATTAATAGGGAGAAGTATCGATTAACTAAAATAAATGTATGCATTTAATGGTATTGAAAATAGCTTACATTTCTCCTAGGAGTAAAACATTTTTTTAATCTTTCTTTTTTAGTAGATTTCTAATTTGATTTTCATATGGAGTAAGCTATATTTCTTGATACAATTTACTTTCGCCCAAAAGAGCTTTATCACTTATTTAATGCTATGTCCTAAAATTTGTATTATTTCTTTACTTAGCTCTTTTTTTATCATAATTAGGTATTTTATAGAAATTCATATCATTTTAATCGCTATACAAAAGCTTTTATTCAACACTCATACTTGCAACCCTTTATAATTCATAATGTTCATGAGGAAGTCTTATCAAATAATCAAGATTTTTTAATTCTTTTTTGTTATAGTTTTTAAGTTTTTCAATATCTTTTTCATTTATTTTTATCTTTTCTTTCCAAATCAGCGAGCTAGCTGTAGCATTCATCAAAATAGAAGATCCCCTTTCTAATTTCTTTTAAGTTTTCGATAAAGGATTTAATGACATGCTCGGTTAAACTATCTAAGCTTATGACTATGAAGCTTAAAATGTGCTCATTCTCTTTATATTTAAATTAGGCTTTAAATATACTAAAACTTATAATAAGATTTTTATTCTTTTAAAAAATATAGCGAAAAATCAGTTTTTATTAACAAGAATCTTAAATATAAAGCACTACTGAAAAATAATTAATTGATATTGAAGCAACAAAATAATCAATCACTTATTTTGATAGTTATAATAAAAGTTATATTTAAAATTAAGCAATATTAAAATTATTTTTATTTCATCTTAAAAACGGTTTTATCAATAATTCTAATAGTAATTTTTATTTTTCATAATTAGATATAAAAATATTAATTAATTTAAATTAAAATAATTTGTATCCCAGTTAATATTTAGACCAGTTATTTGCTTAATTATGTTTAGGCCATATAATTTTAAAACGATTTTTGCTTTTTAGAATAATTAATCTTAGATTGTAAATTAATTTTTGAATATTTGTAAAAAATATTAATTTCTAATTTAATTTAAAGTAGTATCATGAAATATTTATTTTTATTAAATTGTGATAGTTAGGATTATTTTTAAAAATTATTCACAAACAACATTTAAATTTTTATTTTTTTTATGAGAAAATAATAGTGAAAATAGAGTAGTTATCTTAAAAAATTATCTAGAACAATTATATTTAATGATGTTTTCTAATTATTTAATGATATCTTAAATTTGAGCTAATTAGAAAGATAAATACAATTTTTTAACATTTTTTGACTATTTTTTATACATTTATAAGTTTAGATAGAATGATTTAAAAAAAGAAATAATAATTTTAAGAAAAATCAACAAACAAATCAATAAAATTTTGAACTATTTATTTATTGCATTATATCATAATAAACTAACTAGCTTAAAATATAATTTTTTTTAGTTTTTTTAAAATTATGTTAAAATTATAAAATTTTGTAAATAAATTTTTAATTATATTAGAATAGTTTTAGTTAATTTATTTATTTATTTACTAATTCATACTAAACAAATTGAAATAATAAATAGCCTTTTAAATTAATTTCATTAATTACCTTGCTTCTTATATTAATTTAAAAATTTATAATATAGATGATTTACAAAATTGTATGATAATTGAATTGAACAACTTCCACATATCAGTATTGTTGTCAAACATATTGGGATTAAGTATTGATTCAAATAGAGAATATCTTAAAAACTTTAATTTTCGGCAAAATATAAGTATCCTATTAAATAAAAATAAATGTAAAAGCCTATAGAGCCTCCCATCCAAAAAGATTTCCATTACCACTTATAATACCCTCTGGATAAAAAATAGTTAAAATTAATAATTAATTTTATAAAAAATTTACCTATTTAAATCTTAATATGTTAAGAAAACTGTGATGAGAGAAATTTACAATATTATCAATAAGAATTAAGCTATGAGAGCTAACTTATTAACTGCTAAAATGTTAAAAGCTATAATACTATGAGCTATTTTATTTATAGGGTATATGACAATCCTATTAATTTAATGATAAAAGTATTATTTTAAAATCAAAGCATTTCTTAATTACAAAAAATTTAGAAAACCACTGAGGATTGATCTTTTAAATATGAATGTTTTATGATTTGAAGATGGAAGGTTAAGAAACGAAGGTAGGTTAAACCTGAGTTTAAGCTCCGTTTTAGATCTCACAAAACCAGCTAAATATCCTATTAAAATTGGAAGTGGGATCAGCATAAAAAAGCCTACAATTATAGAATGGCAATCTGAGTCTACATTTTATTAGTAAGCTAATCCCAAATCAATAAGTTTTAAATGATTTTTCTCTTCTAAAAAGAAGAGTATAAGTAAAAATAATAAATAATATATTATCAAGCAGGAAAATATTTGAAACTTAGATTACCCCTAATTATTTAACAAATAAGTATTTAAATATTTAAAAAATATATATTCAAAATATTTTTTTACTTAAAATCTAGAATAGTAAAGACTAGAAGCATATCCGTAGATCATAGAAGAAAAAGAGCTTGAATACAAATATTTCATTAAAATATCATCACTGTTTTTAAATAAACCTTATCCATACTATTACAATATAAATGAATTAACCAATTCTAGAGCTACCAAGGACAGTAAATTAAGAAACTATAAAAACCCAAATCCGATAAAACAAGCTAAGAGACCTTATTTTGATGGAGGTCTAAAGACTTCAGTTTCTAATGATTGCCAGCTAGTTAAATTTTCATCTATTTCTTCATCTTTCTATTAGCTCTTCTATTCAAAGCTATCTAGCTATTGATACTTTATACTATGTTTTTATGTTTTTTTTTGCTTTTCATTTGCAAGTTTACTGATTTTGTAAACAAGTAAAATTGAAGTAACAGTAAGTGGAATCCACAAGAATACAAAACTATCTATGTCTTATTTGATATATAAATTTAAAATTTAAAAAACTTTTTCTCTTTTTATTCTATCATTTTCGTTGTTGATAACATTGACATGAACTTGGTAGATAAAAGTCAATCTATTCCCTTTTATTTCTTATTTTTTTTCATTTTTCATTATGACAGTGTCAAAATCCTATTACTCCCATAAAGCAGATTCTATATTGTAGCTAATTGGATGTCCAAAAAAAGAGTCTATAATATGCTCTTTTGGTTTTATCTCATATGTGTTTATAAGCATGTATATATAATTGTTGATGTAATATTTATCTCCCTAGAATTATATAAAAGATTCCAATTAAAAAAAAATATATTAAATTTTTGAATTACTTCTTTTTTACCAAGTTATAAACCTATTTTATTTCCATCCTCAAATATTGGAAAGTCATCTAAATTACTAAATAATAATAAATAATATTCAAATAACTTTCAAAACTTTAAAAACTAAAAATAACATATTCATTTTGTAGTCTTAGTCTATAAGTCTTTTCAATAAGATGATTTCTTCATCTGTGTACTCTTTTGTACATTCAAATTAGTAGTTCTTTTTAACTTTAAGTTAAGCCTTTTTTAATGTATAGTCAGTTAGTGATATAATAAAAAAATTTATACATTAAAACTTGAAAGCTAAAAAAATCTGTAAAGTAAATGAGCGCTTAGTTTATCAGAGTCGTTTTCCACCTAACAAAAAGGAATAATTTAAGGATTAACAGGGAATTGGCTCTGACTTGAAAGCAATTCGTTGAACTCCAACTATAATCGTTATTCTTCTTAGAATATCTAAAATATGTAATACATATATTAATTTATAAGCTGATAGTTAAATCAAAGTATAAAGTAAACTACCTTTCTACTTGAAGATACATCTGTCTTAAGTATCGCCAAAACAGCTCTTGTTTAGAATAAAATAAAAACAAGTACCTTAATGAGAATACTAAACTTATAATCAGTCATAAACTATTTTTTATTTAGGATCTTTAATAATTTATTTTTAATTGATAAGATATCGATTACTTTTTTTTATAACAAAGCAAAATCATAAATAATAGCCTGAAAATAAACTCTATAAAAATTTTTAAATAAGATTATGTTACTCATCAGATTATAGATATATCTCCATACAATAAAAATGATATTATTCAAAATCTAAGAATAATACAAAAAATAAATATACTTACTTATAAAGTTGTAAAAATCTGATGGGATTGAAAAATAAAATGTTGACAACTAAATACGAAAATTTATATAAAATAGAAGAAATTTACAGTATAAATAAATTCATATTTATTTAAAAGATGTTTTATTATTTAATATAAAGTAAAAAAAGAGTGCAACTTACTGATTAAATTACTTACTAACTTAATAAATTGTTTGTATATTTATGATTTTGTTCACTAAAATAAATAGTTCAACTATTTATTTAGGATTTCTAGTGAAATTAAATAATAATTATTTGTTTTTGGTTGGATGTTTGTTCATAATAATACTATTTTCTATAAATATTGAAAAACAAAGCTTGATGGATGGATTAGCACTTCTTTTGATTATATTTTAGTTCATGAGGAAGATTGATTATTTTGAAATATCTATGGGCTAAACAACATTAAAGTGTTGCTTTTAACTAATTAATAATTTTGGTCTTTAAAATTTTATTTTTTTGATAATTTATAATTTTATTTAGTAGATATAATAGAATAAAAAGCTGATATTTTATGTCTGACTGTTGTCTATCTATTCATTCATTGCTCATCTGAACTTTCTAATTCTATATCTATTCTTTCACATATTTATGAAAAACTTATGGGATTGGTAATGAGCTTGTACTCAAAGACTAATTGTGATAAGGAGTCAGGACATAAATTTAGGTTATCAACTTCTTCATTAATTTGCTGTGATGAAGAATCTTTGTTGTTTGCTGATGCATAAATTTAATTTGGATCAATAACTTCAATAATATTTAAATCTTCTACAAAGACCCAATTCTTTTTTAGCTTAATTTCTTCTTCGATTGCATTTGAATCTTTTTTTTGAGGCTCAATTTCATGTGGGTATGATTCGAATTCCTAAAGTAGTTGAGTTTAGAAAGGTGTTAATTTTATAGTACTAATTTCTACCTTCACAATCATATAAGGTTAAACTCCATAGATTTTTCTTTCCTCTGAGCTAAGCTAATAGAGAATATAGTTATCTAAAGTGCCCAAGCAGTAGTTCTCATCACAAATTAAATGTGCAGTTACTTTTGGAAGAGCATTTTATTCTGAGGAAGTAATTGAAAGAGGAATTTTTTTGAAAGGTGAATTTTCAAAATTTGTGTCCTTCCAAAATAAAAAATTAGGATGAATTCCCCCTTTGTAATCAGTGTCTTTATGAATAAACAGAATTCCGTCTTTTTAGAAGTCGAATTTGCATTGATATACTTCCTTAAAAGATGAGCGAGTGCAGATCTACTTTGGTACTATCTTGAATTTAAATTAATTGCAGTCAGAAATATCTTGAAATTCGTTTTGACTGAATTTTTATTGAATCCAAAAGAATCTCATATCGGTTGAATTTTCTGCCATATTCAAATCTTTGTATATAATTACATCCATAATATAGTAGGTTTATTATTCTTCATTAAATATACAATCTAGAATACTGTAAAATTTAGATTTCTCTCCCAATTTAGAGCCTCCGGGAAGTATGCTCTAAAAATTGTGAATTAAAATACCGTTTTTATCTCTTGAAGTAGTAAATTAATTTTATGTAATCACTAGACATCTCTTACCAGTTGGGCGAGGCATAACAAAATAATTTGGTCCAATATCATCTGGTATTTCGATCATGTATTAAGGTTGTACCATCAAACTTTGTATTTCTTTTCTATATTATTATGCCAATTTTTAATTTTATTCTTATTTATTGCGCTCTCTTTCAAGTTTTCTTTGCTAACTCTTTGATAATTAGGGTTAAGCGAAAAAATTTCCTTAATTTTCGAATTTTTGATCATCTCTTGAGTTAGGTTCTTCGTTTATTACAGGATTGTTTTACAAATTTTAGTTTATTTCATCAGTTTTATTATTGCTTTCATTTTATTTAATATTATTTGCTTCTATATCCATAGCATCTATAAGATCTTCAAGTTCTTACTCTTCATTTTTTTACTCCAACTTTTATTATTCGCTAATTAATCTGAAAAGTTATCTTGATTTTTTTAATATTCTGTTTCTATTTCTTTGCTAATAAAGATTGAAAAGCTAGCGCTTACGCTCTAAAAATTGATTATGGTCATCAATTACCTCACGGTTCTTGTCCATTTGCATCATTTTATTATTTTATATATTTTTTTATATTTGTAAAGTATTTAGCTTGGTTTAAATTGCTAATTCCACTTTTATATTTAAAAAGTAGATTTTAAGACTTTGATTTATTTATATTCTATAACCTCTAACTTTGTTTTTTTTTCTTTTTTCTTTCTTTTTCTTTGTTAAAATTTTTTATTTTCAAAATATTTGTTTGTTTAAAAAGCATATTAACTATTCTAATGGAAAACTCCTTATAAACCCTAATTAAATGAAAAAATAGGTAATTGGCTGAAGATTTTAATATGCGAAGCAGTCTTTTAATTGGCTCAATTTAAAAGCTTCTAAGTTTTTGAAAATTTTACTGATAAAGAGATATAAGAAAAGAATAAATTGTTAGAATCTACGATCCTTACTATTTCACTAAACCCATGAGTAAAAATTATAAATTCTTAAAATCTTGTAATGAATTTCAACCCCATAATTTCCAAATAGAAGAAATTAATTACTAAACGTTCTCTGAAATAAGTTCTAGATATTTTCCAATACTTACTTAACATTCTAGAATGAAAGAAACTTACAAATATACTAAAAAAAATAATTACCCATATTAAATTTTAAAATTAGAAATTTAAAAAATATAAAATTAAATAAATAATTAAAAAACATCAAATTTGTTAATATATTTTGAAACCAATATGAAATTATTAGAATATTTGTTTTATTTATTTATTCTAATTAGATTTTTAAAATTTTACTTTTTATTTTTTAAACAAAATAATAAATTTTTAAATAAATTCTAAGACTATTTCTTCTGATTTTTAATTATTTGAAAATATTTTAATAAAATAAAATAAATTGTTTATAAATATTTGATTTTAATTATACCAAAATTCTACTTATTCTTTAAAAAACTAATATTAATTATTTGATTATCTTATTTATTTTTACTTTTAGAAGAAAACTTATTGTTTAAGCTAGAATTATTCATTTAAATCATTTTAATGTTATACAAATGATAAGGGAATACTCTAATTATTATTTATTCTAAAATATAATCAATTAAATAAATTATTTAGAGTATAAGAAAAAATAAATTAAAGCTAATTTATTCAATTAAATTATAATTTTTAATCAATTTATAGTTTTATTCAAATCTAAAATTTTAGAAAAAAAATTAGTTTTATAAGTATTAATTGCACATTATTTTATTTATCTTGAAATATTCTCATGAATATTTCTTTTTAAATTATACTTTTCTCAATGCGAAAGGAAATAAAAAAATATCAATATAAAATTTAAAAAGTAAAATGAAAATTTAAATATTTTAAAAATAAAATCAAAATTAACCAAATTACAAACAATATTACTTACTAATTTAGTGATTAGTTAAATATGTTTTGCAGATAAAATAACTATGGCTTTGATTTTTAGAAGAAAAAAAATAGATTAATTAGTATGTTTATAACAAATTAAAAGTTATTTAATTTTCATCCACCAACAAGCCTATAGAAATAGTCTAAAGAAGTTGTTTCTTGATTGAACAACTCATAGTTTGGATTTATTTGATCCAATTCATATAATCTTTAATCTTAATAAACTTCACTTACTATCTGTATTTTTTCTGATTCAATACCAATTATATCTTCAATGATCATTTTTAAATCTTCAAGAGACTCTTCTTAACATATGCTAAACTTTATTCTTTCATGTTTGAATTGATCCCATAAATCAACATAAATTTTTTCAATGCTTAATATAAACTTGCATTTTATTTTAAAAGAAGTTTTTTAGCTTTCTTCTTCACTTTATGATTCAACTTTTTACTTCTTTAAAATATCATTAAGAAAACTATCATAATCTGACATTTCACTATCTTCACTTGATAAATTACTTTTCTTTTAAGCTTAATTATTGTTCTAATCAGGATTACTTTACTTTTGAGAATTTATTTAAACAGATTTTTCTTTTTATTTTTCTTTCAATTCTTTTGCTTTTTTTTAATTATATTCTTCATACTTTTTCAGGATTTTTTTTTAAGATTCATTAGCAATCTATGTTTTTTTGCTAAATATGACACTGATAATATCATTTTAATTAGCCACTTTTCCTATCTTATCTTTCATGCAAACCATTTTATTATTGATTTTTAATTTATTAATTTATACAGGAAGATTTTCTACAGCCAACACTCCATTAAATTACTATTCTGAGTAAATAAAAGTGCTAAAAAACGATATGAGGATTTTATCACATAATTCTCCTTTTAATGATAATAAAAAAAATAATATAGTCTATGTTAAAATGTATTTTTGAATATTTGAGAGTACGTTAAAATAAACATTTAGAACTTAATCATGCATCTTTATATATTTTGATGAATCTCAAACTATAGGATATTTAAATATTTTTTATTCAAAAAGCATACCAATACTTTGCTACCAGCTTGCAGAGATTATTAACTTCTCCTTATCATTGATAATTACTTTAAATTTCATTTTTTATGTTGGCTAGTGGAAGTCCTAAACTAGTAATTTAAAATCTCCTAACGGACCTTATTATTGAAGAATGCTAGCTAATTAATTCCACTACAAGTATATATTTTATATTTTTCTGTCTTTTTACAAGCATTCTCTATTATCTTATGTTTGAATTCTATTTTCTAATTTATTTTAGTGGAGCGGATTTTTAATATTCTAAACTTATGATCTTAATATTAGGATAGGTAGAACAGCACTTTGCTTTAATTTATTTCTCCAAAGTAAAATAGAAGCTGATTAAATTTATTTAAAATTTTAGGCTTCACTGCTATTAAATTTGCAAAAATCTGCAGTGAGCATTTTCTATTAATATAATAATAGTTCTTTCTTTACCTTAATCTTAAAAAAATAAACCTTTAAATTAAAAATCTTAATTTAGTACTTTGATAATAACATTAAGATGTGGATTAAAGAATGAGCAATATTTGGTATAAAATCTCAATTATATAATGAATAATTATTTGAGCTGATTATTATAAAACCCATTTCAATTTAAATTTTGCATGATTATATTTATTATAAAACAAAATTTATTATATTTATTTTCCCAAAAATATTTTTTTTTAAATTATACATTTAATGTTAATTTTTTTAAACATAATCAAATAGATAGATGTCAAAAGATTATTTTAACATCTAAAATTATAAAATAAATAAATAAATAAAATGAATTCAGAGAAGTTTTGGAAATTTTGAATCATTAAATATTTAATCTTAAATACTATATATAATGATAAAATTATTATTTTTTATAAATAAATATTAATGTTTTATTAGTAATAAATATAGTAATAGGTTAAATAAAATTAAACTTTAATCATGTAAAAAATGATTTTTATAACTGTTATTTGATCAAAAAAGATAAAAAAATCACTACAAAATAATACTTTTTATAAAATTTTGAAATAAAAATATAAAATTATTTTTTAAATATTTTTATTGTTGATAAAAATGTTATTTTTAAAATTAAAAATATAAAACTTAATTTTAATTTAATTTCTTTTGAATAATTGAAAGAAAAATAATTTTAAATAATTTTCAATTACAATCTAATTAATGTCATTTATCAGAAGATCAGTAAAGTTGTATTTGTAAAATAGATAAATGCTTGAACATAAATACATTAATAATAATAAAAAGTAAAATAATTAATACAAAATTCATTCAAGTGTTTTACAATAATTTACATAATTAAATTAAATTGTTGGCGATATAAGAAAACTTTACAAAAAAGAGAATAGATAAAATTCAAATAATTATAATAAATAATGTAAGACTAAAATACTAAACATAGAAGTTTATTAACATTAATTTTTAAAAGGCTTAAGATCTCCAAAATATTATTTAATACTAAACCTGCAGTATTTTTTATGTGTCTTACTCCTAAAATCAATAAAATATCTTCATTAATTATTATTTATGTTTTCAAATTAGTATTTAACTTACAATCTTATGTTAACAGACATAATATATTCTTGCTTGTAAATATATCCCAAACAAAAAATAGTTTTTTTAAAAATAACTTTTATAAAATAAAGATATTAATATGTTTTTAGTATTTGAATATTAAATATTCTCTAAACATCTACCTTTTATGAATATTTTTAGGTTTCATTAAAAGCTTTTAGTCTTTTCTATATAATTTGTTTATGATTATAATATAATGAGTAATTAGTAATTAGATATTAATAGATTTTTTTTATATTGAAATTGCACTGGCTATGGTAAATAATTAAATCTAATGTTTATTTTTACCCACAGAAAATTTGGGTCAGTTCAAAGATATATTGGGGAAAAATTCAAAAATACTTAATTGATTTTGATTAATTTTTAGTGTGGGGTAATCAGCAAACATTTTATTAAATAATAACTAAAAAGTGTGGAAAAGTAAAAAAATGAGAAAAACCAAGTTACTTTTGATGTTTGTTTTTTCATATTCGCGCACTTAAGAATTAACAAAAAAAGAGTAAATATACAAATAAATAAATACAAGGAATATTGATTTCAATTTCTATTTTTTGATAAGGAAAAAAGAGAACATTAATTTGTTAAATATTGTTCTAATTTGCAAATATTTAGAGCGAGATATCTTTTCTTTAAATTGGTAGGATTAGAAATAAAAAAGTAAATTAAGATATTTCTAATAATATATAATTAAATTTCAAAAATTGATAAATTAGAAGTAAAATACAAAAAGAAACAAAGTTTAATTCAAGAAAAATGGTAAATTATTTTTCTATCCGCTTGTTAAATAAGCTTTATTCAAATAAGATAGATCATTTTTTACTTTATATGGACCATTGTGCACTTATCTAATCATATTTATTTTCTTTAAAATTAAGGACGACGATGAAATGGCTAGATAAGCAAAGTTAATGGAAGAAAGAATGAAAAAGCAAGGAAAGAAGAAAGTACTTTTACCAGGAAAATCCAATCAAGAAGTAAAATTTATTTTCATAAAAAAATTTTTTTTTAATATATAATATTTTCTAAATGAATAATTAGAAAAAGATCTTCGATTCTGCTGACTACTATAAAGAATAAGAAGAAAAGGAAAAGCATTAAAGTTGAAAGAATGAATCCTTGATCTATCTAAAACTAAACTATAATAAAATATATTTATAAGTGAAGGCAGCCTTCAAAAATAATAGCTATTATTACTCCTACTTTTTATTATAGAAATTGTTAATCAATAAAGCTATTTATTTAATTCTTTACCCATACCTGTAGGATGCAGACAAATTATCTAAAAATAAAACTTAAAGAAACTTTGTCTGTCTAACTAACTAAATAAAACAAACAAACTTGACAAACAAGCTGAGTAAATAAATGAATGTGTAATTTGATTATTCATTGAAAAGCAAATTATTTGTAAATTAAAAAAAAAAAGAAATAATATAAAATAAAATAAAAATACATTTTTATCTATCATATGAAGATTTGTATTCATTGTGTGTAAGATTTGTAATTGTATATATTAACCCAATACTAATATTAATTAATTAATTATTCAATCATTAATTAATTTATCTTTTAACATAAAATGACTCAAAGCATAAAAAAAAAGATTTATTTATTTATTCATTCATTCATTTACAGTTAACTAAATAAATATTATATCTATTTAATAAATAAATAAATACATGAGTAATCATCATTTATATTAAATTTCTATTTCTTAAATTTATTATTATTAATTAATTTAAATTCATTTGTCAAATTTTTTAATTTGACTTAACAAGGATTCTATTTGATTAATATTATTATTATTATTGGTTATTTATTGTCAGTCAGATTGATTAATAATGTCTTCAAAACAAATAAATATTTTCTCTACTTCATTTATAACTTATAAAGATAATCATAACCACTAAAACTACTATTAAGATAAATAGCATATTAAAATTGTTTTTGTTCTTTTTATCAAGATTTTATTTTGCTCTAACTAATTCTTTATTTGTATCTCTAAATAAATTTAAAAAATAGCCATTTAATTCTATTTTTTTTTGAATCAAAGATTTACTTTGTATTTGAGAAAGTGCTTTCAATATGTCCATCTATTACCTTTAATTACTAACTTTATTATGCAGTTATATTATCTATTTGCTAATAGATAGTATGAACCTATTTAATTAATAATAATATTTGAATAAACAGCACTTATTTATATTGTTTGCTTACAGCTCTCATTTATCTATGTGCATTTTCCATTCTCTCTTTTCTTTAATCTAATGTTTCTTCGTATAACTTTAAAAAAGTATTTGTTAATATCCAAATTAATATATTAATTATATTTTACAATAAAATCCATGTCATTCATAACTTATTTTTCCTATAAAAAACCATTTTCTTCATCTTTTTTTAAAATTATATGAATGAAAATCAAAGGAAATTACAATAAATTTAATTTATACCATCTTCTGCTTCTTAGTGCTACTATCTTATTAATTCTTGAAGTTTTTACTTTGAAGCATTTATTTTTTTTTGAAACATTTATAACTACTTTTCGCACTACAGTATATATCCTTTATTTTGGTTTTTTTTATCTCTGGCTATCTCTCTATTTGTATATGTGTGCTTTAATCAAATAAATATTTACAAAATATAACTTTCAATTTACTGTTATAAAATATTTTTTATTTTTTTCATTAGCTTTTCGTTCTCTTGAATAATTTGATTGTTTTCTTCTACATTACAGCAATCTCCATAGTTTTATATCTAAATGTTTTTTTAAATTTCTGCAAACAAACTTTGCACTTCGCTAAAGAATCCTATTTTATTTTTGATATGAGTACATAATATTTTAGTTAAACTAAATCTACCATCTTCCTAGCTTTTTTAATTTTTTCCATTCTATAAATTTGATGTATTAAGCCTATTTTCTTTTGAACTTTATTGGAAGGACATATTATCAATTTTTTAACTTGAAGATTATGATTAAAAAACACAATTAATTAATATTAATTACAAATTTAACTATTTTTTTTTTGATAACAAAAGATAATCAATTAATTAAAATACTTGAGCATATTATAATAATTTTTAGTTCTTTGGTATTAGTAAAATTACATAATTTTTACGAAAACAGAAAAGTTTTCTTTAAAAACGTCTTTCTGTTAATGATTTGAACAATTTGATGAGAAGTAATTCAGATTCTGATTAAATTGACAATTAACATAAAGATATTCTAATTTAAATTTTAAAAGAAATAAAAATTGAGTAATTAAATTAAATTATTTAGAAGAGGAAAATACATAAATAGAAAATAGAATATTAATTTTTGTAATATACTTATTTATTTATTTATTTATTTTAGATTATTTATTTATTATTAATTTATATATAAATTTTTGTTTAATTAAAATAAAGATAATACATTATATCAATCAATCTATCTATCCATCAATTTAATTTAGTTTCACTTTATTTAAATTTATCTTAAAGGGCTATATAGCCAAAGCAAAAATGGTATTTATAGCAATCAAAAAAGGAGATATCTCAAAATTAGTTCTTGAATGCTTACTTATTGTTTTCAATAAATATATTAGTTTTTTCCCAACTTTTCTTAATAGTTTAGCAGCTTATAGTAAATTTATAGGCAAAAATACACTAACTAATTATTTACCCTCACTAGAATTATATATAATTAAATGTTTTTATATAACTAATATATTTATATTTAGAAGAAAAGGAGTATTTATTCGTTTTATATTATAATTAGTTTAATTATTTATTAAAGGTTTAAAAATAAATGATCTTATAACTTATCATCTATCATTTTTATAGTAGGTATGGAGGTAGAGAGAGAGAAAGATGTCTTTTTATTTACAATTAAATTCATTTAACTCATACTATCTGTGCTTTAGATTATACTGTATCACACTTGGTAGATTTTTTTTCAATTCTTTTGCTTAATTTATACAACTTTTTATAAAAAAATGTATTAAATAAACTTTCCAAAATAAATTAATAAAATTTATTTAAATAATATTTTGTTTAATTAAAGTTTTTTTAATTTGAAAATTTTGTTTTTTTCAATTTTTTTGTTTCAATTTCCAATCATTATTTTAAATGCCTCAAAAACAAACTGTAACGAATTTTTAATTTATGGATTTTTAATAAAAAAAATTAAATTACGTTCACTTGGATTGATGTTAAACCTTGCTGCATGCTTTGTAATATAATTCACGTCCTCTTTTACCATTTCTTAAATTTTATCTTTTTAATTTAAAAACTTATTTTCTTTTGCAGTTCTGCGCATCATCATAACATCTGCTAAATAATCTCCACTATTCTAACTGTTAAATCCTCCATTTCTTATAGGCTGATCATAGCAATCATATTTACTTTAATTTTTATAAAAATCATTTATTGTAAGTCTTTGCTTTGAGTTATTGTTGTTATTTTGACTATTAGCTGCACTTATATAGTTACTGTTAGGTAGAGAATTCAAAGGAGGTCCTTTATTATAGAAACTATTTCTAAATGCTATGTGATTTTCAAAAGATGATGCACCGTTAGCTGCATCATAGTTATTTAAAATATTATTATTGTTAGGTTATTGAATCTTAAATTTTTTTGTGGTATTATTGAACGTTGTTCTCATTATTGGATTTTCCTCTGATGGAGAGTTAGGCTCAGCTATCTCTTTGGAGAGTCTTCTCTGCTGAGAGTGTCCTAAGTTAGATTGTCTTTTAAAAGTATGAAGTGGACTTTGGCTTCTATTGGCCTTTCTGTTTGTAGTATTTGCTGCAGCATATAAATACGTATTCGGACTATTGTTGTTACAGCTTGGTGGTAATCCATTATTTCCGTTTATATTTTAATGGTTTTAAGAATAAAAATTGTGACCAGTAGATGAAGGCTGATATTATGCAGTTATTTTTGTATGAATAGAACTCATGTTTGAAATACAATTGTAACCTCCTTATTACTAATTATTAGGATTATTCCCATTTGCGTTTATGTTATTAGATATAAAATTTGCATTTGTCTGAAGCTATCCTCCTTAATTTGCAGGCGAATTAACTTTTATGTTATTCTAAGTACCTACAATTTAACTTTAATTTTAGTTAATTTACTAGTTAGAGAAAAGAAGTGAATTATTGTTAGATGTAGAATTACTACTGCCAACAGTTGAAGCAATAGATGTATTTTATATTGAATGAGGATTAGAAGTGTTAGTTTTTTTGCTGGATTGACTATTTTAAACAATTTATTAAGTGACAAATGGCTTGTGCAATGTTTTCTTAAAATATTTATCACGAATCTTTTTTTATATTTGATCTTCATTTGAAATAGATATTTTAATATTCTCTGAACTCCCAAGTTTTTATGCAGATTTATTTTATTAATTAAGATCATTTTCTTTTTATGACTTATTTTATTCTTCTGGTTTTAATGAGTATTTTTATTTTAGCACTTTTCTTTAATTTTTATTGTCGTTAGTATCGTAATCCTCAAAATCATCCACAGCACTGGAAGGATCTTAATTCTCATTTTATAAACTACTTACTTCCTACTTCTATTATTTTTCTCCTGATAGCTAAGGACTTTTAGGATTAGCTCTGCTATTCTTACTCTCGCCTTCTTTTTTTACCTACTTTTTTGAAGATGATAAATTCATTTATCCTGCTAATCTCTTTTTCTTTCTTTTTTTGTTTTCTTCATCATCTTCTTCCTCCTCTTCATCACTCTCCTCATGAATTTCAAATTCATCAGTATCATATTCCTCTTCTACCATATTTTCATTATATTCTAAGTTTTTTTTATCGAAATTAGATTGGCTATTCCTTTTGTTTACCTATTTGAATTATGAATTATTTCATTAATCAAAAAAAAAAAATGTAAAAGATGCAAATTTGAAAGCAGTTTTCATAATAAATTTGCTAAAAAATGCCAACTCAGATTTTCAACTAACAAAAAATTATTATTATTAGCGAACTTTTTTAATTTATAACTATTCTAATGAAGAAGAATGAATAACTAAAAACAAGCAGATAAACTAACAAAAAAACTAAATTCCTATAAGGGTTTGCTTGTTTGCTTATTTAAGAATTTGATGAAATAAGAAAGAGAAGAATAATAAAGTTTTATAAGAAACTAAGAAGATTAAAAAATTTTGTAATAATTAAATTGATTTGATTAAGATATTGGTTTATTGAGTCTCACTTAATATTTCATTTAAAATTTAGTGATTCTATTTCAATAATATTTTTAATATTTTGTTTGTTTGTTAGTTTGATTGATTGTTTGTTTGTTTCTATTTATTTATTTTATTTACCCCATTTTCTAATATTCAAATTCATTTTTTGCAAACAAAAAATTCTTCTGCTTAAACATGTTTTGCTAAATATTTTACCTAGCTTTCAAATTTTTCAGACTTCTATCTTAAATTATTTTTATCTTGCAAATCATCATCTATTATTTTTATATCGCTCAGCTAGAAAGACTAAGGGAATTTACTGCGTGATGGTGCATTATTGCCATCAGTAACTTTTTAATTTACTAATTAATTTCCTTAACCATTTCCCTCTTCTTATGGTACTTGTTCATAATCTTTAGCATTTTAGAAGTATTATTCTAAAGTTATTCCCTTAGAAAACGAATTTTAGCGCTTATTTTAGTAAAATCCTTAAGACGTTGAACTAAATTATTAATTTTGCTAAATAACAATGGACTACTTCGGTGTTTTTTATTGATAATTTTATTCACTATTTTTTTAATCTTGATGCTTATTTTATCTGAAGTTAAAGCCTGTTATATTCATCATTCCCTTTTATTGCATCAAATTATCATTATACCCCATTGCATTTTGATATCCTTAAGTTTATTAACTCTAACTCTCATTATTATTACTATGAAAACCTGTTAGAGTTTTGTTGAATTTATTCTGAGCACCTCGCTAGCATTTTGATGTCTCAGGTCTCATCTTTTTTAATAAATAAAAAAATAAATTAGCTTATGAATTTATTCGCAAAGATTGTCGCAAGCTATTTTAAAAGTACTCAATTTGCTAAGTTTTACAAAAAATTGCTTTATCTCTTTTCAATATAATATATTAGATTTAATGCTTAATTCATAAATAATAGGCATATTCCCATAATTTCTTATTATAATGGCTAGCTCACTATGCTATAGACTCATATTAAGTTAATTTTTTTTGAATTTTAATGAGTATATTACTTCAAATTGAAATGCCTGAGCCTCTATTGTAGATGCCATATCTTATTCTTTTAAGAATTTTTGAATAACTTAACTAATTGTAAGGTTATCAAGAGTTTTATAGTGTACTTTTATATATAATTAAGCTTAAAAAAATTATATAAACTAATATTGAATTTATCTTCCTTTATTATTTAGTTTTTTTGCCTATTAACTCTGATCGATTTCTTTTTAGTGGTTATCTTTTTATTTACAAATATTCTTAATACTAACAATTTTTACTAAAATAAATTTTCTATCATAATAATATGATTATGTTAATTATTAGATTTCATCTGAAATCTACAAAATTTATAAAGAAATTAATCAATGAGTGAATGAATGAATGAATCAATCAAGTATTTTTAATTACTTTACATCTAAATATTACTTAAATAATATAAAATATTAATATTCTTTCTAATTACTTATCAAAATCTAACATACTTCATTTCAAAACTATTTTTTACTCCATTTTATCTAAATGCTACTAATTTTATTTCTTAAAAGTTTGATAATTCTAAACAAGTTTAAAATTAAAATAGTTATTAAAACTTTTACAAATCAAAATTTGCTTTAAAAAATATCTAAAATTAAATAAAATTCTATTATTTTTTATAATAAAAAAAAATATAATTGCTGTAATTAAAGAATAGGAATTTTCGAAAAAGATTTTGCATATGCTTAACTAATTCTACCAGCATAAATTATAATAAAACTCATTAAAAATATTAATAAATGTAAAATAAAAAGAAATAGTTTTAGGAAAATTTAAAATTTAATTTTAATTAAAGTTTATTTTTTAAACCTAATAGATTTAAATTTTAATTGATCAAAGATTAGTATCTTAAAATTCAAAATATGAAATTTTTTAATTAAACAAATGATTAATACACTACTATATTGTCTAGCTTAAAAAGTTTGGAATAGTATTTTTACTAAAAGAATTAATAATAATATTAAGAATAATGATATTCTATCATATAAAGTGTGTGTATATAGAAAGAGAGTACTTCTAATTTTTAAATATATATTATATCATTTTATTAGCACTCTTTAATTATATCGTAAAATGTATTTTTGATTTATTCAATATTCCACACGTATTGAGCTGATGATATATTATATATAATAATATTATTTTTAAAATATTGTAATTTAATTTTTATAAAATCGATCTCCCTACATATAGGTATTAATTTTTCTAATTTATGTCTCTATAGAGGAAGTATCCGTTAAATTATTTTATAGATTAAGAATAATTAAGAGTGACAATAAAAGAAGATTTAAAATAGAAGTATTTAAATAAAATTATTTTTAATTTCTAATTATCAAAAATTTTATAAAATTATAATTTGGAGGTTTTAAATTAATTTTTATAAATTAAAATTTTATGAAATAAATAATTTTGAATTTAATCAATAAAAAATTTAGATTTAAATTAAGTATAAATCCAAATTTGTTTTGCTAAATTAAAATTTCAGTACAATTTATTTAAAGTTTTATTTTGCTTTAAAATGAATCTAATTTATTTATTACTAAAACAAATAAATAAGTATATTTAAAGTAAAACTAAAAACTGTTAAATAATTACTTAATAAACTGATTAAAAACATATGAAAAAAAATATATTTTATTATTTTAAATAATAAACTTGAGTTAAATTCTATCTATATCAATTGAATTATAAAATTTCTTTTAAATTCTTATCAATCATTAATTATTTTAATGTAAAATAAATGTTCCAAAAATATTGGTATCTTTTGAATTTAATTTAAAATGAAATATCATCTAGTTACATCTCATTAATTTTTCAAATATCTTTTAACGCCCTACAATTTTTTAGTTAATTTTAATCATAATATTTTTATATTACTAGAAAATAATTTACAGATACAATATAAAATAAATGAAAATTACTAGTTTACTCCTCATTAACATCATTGTAATTTAGGGTTTTAAAATTTATATGCATTAAAAAATTAATAATATTCCATTTTAAGGTTCATTTTTTGATAAAAAAACTCCTTGTGTAAAATAAAAAAACTAAGAGTATCTTAATTAACTTTTTTCTGAAAATATCTTTTAAAGAAAATCTAAGTGATTCGTACTTAAACTTTTTGGTCTGAAATGAACAAATAAATATTAATGAAGAAAAATTTTAAGTGTAGATCGGAGAAAATTAAAGATAGAAATTAGTGTTAATCACAAATAAACAAGTTGGCAAATACGTTTTTTAAAATCAATGATATTGATTTACTTTATAAAGATATCTAAATTCCTATTTAATTGAATATCAATTAATATAATTATTAACTTTACTTAGATTAATTCAATTAATTTTATTACTTATCCATAGTAAAAAATCCTTGATTTCGGGCACTTATAAAGTTGATTAATAGGAAATAAGAAATTTTATTTAAAAGGATCATTTTTTGTGATTGATTATAAATATTTTGTAAATAAAATTGAATCTTTTACATAAAAATCAATAAAAAAATTATTCAATCAATAAAAAATATTACAAATAGCTTCAATAAAATGTCAGACTTAAACTTATTTTCCGAAATTGTTAAAACTCTTGACTTTTCTAACGCCTCTAAGGACCGTCTACTTTAGTTCATTTAGCAAAGAGACTAAAGAGTCATTTCTGCTTTGACAAGTTTCATAAAATCTAGAGAGTCAGCTGTCTAAGATGCTCAAAAGCATTAAGCAATGGTTTAGTTAAAGAGAGAATTAGAAGTTGTTTTGTTCGGAAGAGCTATTAATGCTTAAAATGTAACAACTACCTAAATAACTTACACTACCAACGTCTCAAACACTCCTTATAGTCCTTCATAAACACCTTACACTGTTCCTACTACCGCCGGTATTACTTATACTCCTACTACTACAACAACAAATACTTATACAACAGGTATTTCTTCTATTCCTGCTTCCAGTACTGGAAACATAGGTGGAGTGTCTTCTTACACCACCTAAACTTACAATATTCCATCAACAACTTTATATTCAAACTAAACATATGGAGCCTCAACCTTACCTACTAATACCGCAGCAACAACAACAACAACTAATTACACTGCAAATTAAGTAAGATAAGTAATAAATTTATTTTCAAATAACTTTTTTTAAATGCCAAGGATATATTAAATGATCTTCTTCTTTTTATAAAAAGCCCAACTCTAACTCAAACTCTGCTTCTAATGAATATTATGCTAACTTGATGGCTTAGTATTAGAATTAAGGTGCCACTGCAGGTAATGGTACTTCAAATTAAAGCTAATAAGAAGATGGTGATGATAAAGTAAAGAGAGCAGCAGCTAGAAATTAACTTCCAAATTACTAGGCTACTTCAGTATAAACAAAATCAATGAAGAATGAGGTGGAATACGATAACAAAATTGAGAGTATTAGAGCTTAACACAAGCCAAAATAGGATTAAAAAATTTAGGTTAATGTTAGACAAATTTAAAAGGAGTAATAGAGACTTAAAGAGTTTACAGAGAAATGGTAACCAGGCCAACCTTTACACAAAGATTTGTATGAACTTTTCTATAAAATTGTTAACGAACTTGATTTCGCAACTTTTTTATCTCTCCGTCATAAGCTCCACATTGATGAAATTGGTGTCAAAGATCTTGTTAAAGGTTAATAGGAAATTCTTAAGGCAAAACTTGAAAACAAATAAACTGGTATTAATCCAAACGAATTTCTTACCTTGATGAGCGCTGGATCTCTTAACACAGAGGATGTATTCTACTTGTTACAAGTAAATTAATTATCTATAATAAAAATCAATCAACATGTATTAAAAATTATGAGATCCTCTATCCAAGCAATAGAGTAATAGAAAATAAATAATTCAAAAATAAAAGAAAGAGGTTTAGAGATTAGTTAATTGGTGATTTTTCAATTAACTTTGTTGTTTATTTCAATATTTAAGATTATATTTTGATGATACAACAATTAATTTCTTTTCAAAAAAAAAGATTTGTTATTAATAAAATTTATTCACCTTTAAAACAAATTAAATAGATCTTTTTCTACCTTGATTTCAATAACAACGGTTTATTGGATGCTGATGAAATTTTACTTGGTTTTGTCATGCTCTCAAACTCCTCAGAAAAGGAAAAGCTTGAAGCCGCATTTACAATTGTTGATGAAGATGGATCTGGTACCCTTGATATTTCCGAAATGACTACCTACATGAGAAGTGTTATTCGTATGGGTGATGGCCGTAGAGTTAGTTAGGATGTAAATAATTTATTAATATTTTTTTCTGTTTGATTTAAAAAACCCCCACATTGAACAATTTTAATAAAATAACGAAATAGAAATTAAATTTATTAGCTAAATTAAATCTAATGACTTTAATATAAATTTAAATATAAGATTTTAAAGATTTATTTAAAAAAATATATTAATAATAATAATATTTAATCTAGATGGCTTTTGAACATGAATTCTTAATTGAAAAAATTGCTGCTGCAACCGCTTAGGGTATCTTCAAAGAAATGGATCTTAACTTCGATAATCGTATTTCATATGAAGAATTCATCGTATGGCACAATCTCCACGGAACAGATATTGAAGGAATAAAAGAAGAATAGGTACACGTCTAAAAAATTTTGGCTGAAGCTAAAAAGGATAGAAACGAAAAGTTGTTGAAATTCAATGCTTTTACGTAATACATCAGATTTATTTTTTAATTCTTTATGAAATATTTATTTATTATTTACTATTTATGTAAAGCAAATAAAATGAAGACTATCAAAAGATTACAAACGAAAGACTTTAAAAAGTATTAGATTCTAAATTAAACGAATCAAGCATCAATACTTTCAGATAAAAATTACAACTTTAAGATGTTAAATTTTTGGATGCAGTTCATTTCCTTAAAGAATATAAGGTTTCTGAAAGACTTGGTTTTGGTGCTTTCTTCTAATTTATGAAAGAGCTATACGTAAAGTGCTCTGTTAATATTGACTTAAATGCTCTTAAAAATGTAATAAATTAAATTTAATAGGCTTAGATTTTTAAAAATAACAAACAATATTTATAATAAATAAAAGGAATTAACTGACTTTTACAGTGCTATTGATATCGATAATAATGGATTTATTGACTGGAATGAAATTCTTGGTGCTTTCTCTTTACTTTGTACTGGTACAGAAAATGAAAAAGTCAGAGGTATTTTTGACGTTTTTGATCAAAATGATGACCAAATATTATAATTCAATGAACTCTATACTCTTTTCTAATCCTCCTTTAATCTTATCTTCATGAGAAATCCTGATTCTGAATTAGCCAGATAGGATCCTGCTAAATTAGCTTTCTCCATGGCTCTTTCTGCTTTTACTGATAACAATCTTGATCCATATACTCATGGTCTCGATTTAAATACCTTCTCAAACTGGTATAAGAAATTCGATATCATTTGAAAATTTTGTGTTTATTAGCTAATAAAATAAATTAATTTTTGTGACTTTATAAATTATATATATGTTTTCTATTCGTGTTTTCTTAAATAATTTTTTATTAAGAATAATTTCAGATTTTCAAAATTTTAAATAAATTTATTTGATCGATTGATTGATAGATAGATATATAAATTTTTTATAAGGTTGAGTTTTCTTAGAATACAATTTATAATTGTTTCTATTTATTTGAATCTATTTGTTTTCTGATAGAAAATTTATAATTTTAATAGAAATTTGTATTTAAGACAAATTAAAAATATGCTTTCATAATAATTGATATTAAAAACAAACTTACTTACGAATGCGTTAGAAACCAATAAAAAATTAAAATTATTTGTATTTTTTTAATCACAAATTTTCAACTTTTAACAAGTAATAAATTTTTCCATTTTTAACTAAAGAAAAAGTAAAAAAGCATTATTTTATTAAAAAATGTAAGCAAATACAATTTCTTTGTAATTTAGTTTGAATTATAAACAAAAACTAGAAATATTTAAATTTATAAAATATCAAATTTTTATGGTATTTTTATAAAATTTATTTGTTTTTAATTCTTTTTTTTGGTAGTTTTTTATTTTTAAAAGGAGATAAATAAACATCTTCCCAAAAGAGATTTATGAGTAAAAAAAATATCAAAATATTTTGAAAGATAAAATAAAAAAAATTATTTATCAATTTTGTAATTTGAAATAATTTTGCTTTTTCTATAAAGAATTTTAGAAAATGTAAATAAGCTATATATAGTTGGAAACTATTAGAGAAGGTGAGAGATTTTAATGTTGATCACACACAATTTATTTTTATTTAAATCTTACAAGAATCAAATAATTAATTTGTTTATAGATTATGTAAGTTGGTAGCTATAAGTAAGAGAAATGAAAGAAAAATAATAATTAGAAATATAAGAAGAAAATGTTTGAAAAAAAAAAAATTTGTTGATACAATTTGATGAGTAAAAATATAAAGCAACAACCAAAAAAATGAGATATATGGCTACATTACTTATTCTTATAAGCAATATTGAAGCAACAAATTTGTGAATATATAATATTAGTAAATTCTAACCTCTGAAAAAGATATTTAAAGGTTTAATTTATCAAGGAAAATAGTTTGTATGATCAACTAAATTGAAAAAAATAAATTAAATCAAAAAACAAATATTAAAAAAGTAAAAATAACTACAAAAGAAAAAGAAAATAAAAACTGCCTGCAACTTAAGAAGGCTGTAAATCGCTTTATATTAACTAAACTAAATTAACTAATACTATTACTATAAATACTTTCAACAGGAAAATAATAACTAATACTTATACTAATTCTACTTCTATTCTCTCTAAAATTGTGCTTTTGCTAAATAATACTTTAATTATAATCAATAACAACTAAGCCCAGTAAGTGTGAAGTGTAGGTAAAAACTGATTTGATTTATAACTTAAATTCATTCCAAATAGAATAAATAATAAGTGTTAACTCTTTGTAAGAATATCACCATCAATCGTAAATAATAATAGCTCAAATAATAATTTTAACAACAAAAAAAGTTTGAAAAATGGGATCTTGTGTGGGAAAATAAGATAATGGAGCAACCTCTATGAAGTAGCTCAACAAAATTTCTAATTAACTGCTCAAAGCAAGAAGAATTATGTTTAGATTTTTGAAGGCTTCTGATAAAATAGAATAAAAACTTGAAAAAATAGATGCAAAAGCTGATATGCAGCTAATTTAAAAATAAATGGAATAATATGAAGGATAATATGATTATTAATCATTCATAAACTCATTTGATATTTTGACATAAATAATATAACGTAGTAAAAATATAATATAAAATGCTTACAAGAATCAAAAGAATCTTGAAAATATTAAGGTTAAAAGTATTATAGAACAACTTAACTAGTATTTATCTATTTTTGTTTTGGAGACTAGTGAAGATTATTAAGGTGATGAAGGCAGACCTTGTGACTAAGATTCTCCTTAAAATAATATTAGCCCTTAGTAGCTAATATAGGAGTTCTCTAAGAATTAATAAAGTGAAAATTTAAATAAGCCGAGTCTAATAGCTTAATAAAGTATAAATGAAATACATGGATTAAGTAACAATACATAGTAAATTAATCCACGTATGAATTCTAAATCTTTAGGAGTTGCCAATACTACCTGTATTTTAAAAGATGATACAATGGCTTGTCCATAAAGAAAAAGAGGCGCTTCTACCAAAGCAAGTAGCAAGATAACCTAAAATATGGATCTTAATTCAATTGATCTATTAGATTATAATAAAAATAGCAGCATAATAAATCGTTAGCGTAATCCCAGCCGCTAAAAATCGTATACAGTATATGTTATTGATGGATAAATAAAAATATAGTAATAACTCACACGGATTGATTTAATTACTAGTGATAGTTAAATATACTGAAAGCTTTTCACTATTTTTCTATTTCTTTAAATTCACACAATTAAAATATTGTTAAAGTCACAATAATAAATAAATTCAATGGTACAAAAGAGGCAAATAATATTTTAATTTAAGTAAAATTACTATATCAATTAATTAATCAAATGAATAATAACAGACTATTATTTTAGAAATATTTATTACTTCTCTTATCATTTTCATTTGGTACAACTATCAAGCAAAGCGCTTCTTTAATCCTTTAAATGCTTTTAAAGGATGGATGCATGTTTAAAAAATATTACAAAACATAATTTTCTTACTACTTTCACAAGGAATGTAAACTGTAAATAATAAATATTGTTTTCAAAAAAAACTTAAGCCAACCATAAAAGATAAGCATTCATTAAAAAAGTATAATAGTGCAAATATAAACTCAAATTCTCATTCATACTAAAATTAGTAATGAAAACTGATGCCATTTCTAATCCTTTTTCTAATCCTCTTTATATTTAATTAAAGTCAAAATCAAACCTTTTTCTAATGCAAGTATGTATTTATTTATTTATGTATCTATCTATATGTCTATTCATTACTTAATTTTACAAGTATAAATACATTCAATTTTAATTACTTTTAAAAAATGAATCTGATTGGTGATTTTACCAAATTTGATTATAATAACCTGATGTAATTATAATTTGATAATTAAAAATTTTGATGAGCTATAATTTTATAAATTTCTATTAATTCTATATAGCTAGATATCAAGTAGAAAATTTTTAACAAATTATTGATCAATTTTTCTTGTTTTTAATTTCCTTAAGCAAAATAAATCAATACTCTCAAAGAAATTAAATTCCCTTTTAAATAATTTTTTATAATGCTCGATTTTTTGAATTTTTGTTTAGAATTAAATTAATTTATAAAAGTTAGCTTACTTGACATTTATTAAGTTAGATATAATGCTGTTATTTCATGAAAATTAAATGTAAAAAAAACAATAGTTTACAAAAGATAGTCTCAATTTATATTTATGAAATAGATTCAAGAAAGTATAATTTGTCTTACATTGAGTAAAGTAAATCTTTTAATATAGATAATTTTTATTAGGATGCTTTCAAAAAATTTTATTAATATCCTAGCACACGATAAATTTCTTTTAAAGAAATATTTGTAAATTACTTCCTAAATTTTCTGATTACACATTTTCAAAAGCAAGTTGTAATAATTCATTTTAAATATAAATAATTAAAGTAATACTTGAAATATATTCCTTCCATAAGCTAAGTAACATCATAGATAAAATTTAAACTCTTAAACTACATTTAAATAAAAAGCTATTTTAGTTTTCATTGAATTATAAATAAATTTATAAAATAAAAACTAAAATCAAGAATTTTTATGTTATTGATCATAATTTTTAAGTTAACTAGAATATATTCCAAATAATTATTAAGCTTTTAAATAATTTTGATTTAAAATATTCAAATATAGAAATTTAAAATATTGAAGAGCAATTAAATTAATTCATTTTAAATTACTAAAAAAAAGGTATATATCTAAGAAGTAGTATAAATTTAATGAAAATTGCTCAAATATTATAATAGAAAAAAGCTTGGTATAATTTTAAAAATATGTTACAAATGTTATTTTATTTTTACTTTATCAAATACTTCATTTGAGAGAACATATTAACCAAGAAGATATTCGTTTAACATTTAATATTATTATTATAAATAATATATAAATTAGTAAATTTTATCATAATTAATCAATTAATAAGTGTCCTTAATCATTCATTCAATTTTCTAAAATAACTAAATTTATTAAATAAAAAGTAAACTGGAGTTATACACAAATATATTAACAAACAATCATCATTATAGGAGGGAATTAAAGTAGAATAAAAAAGATTGATCATAATTTATTGATTTAAAGCAGTAAAATATCGTATATACATAGATACTTCACCAAATTCAAATGAATGATTACACATATACAGATTTTTTGGTAAAGAAAAGTGTTTAACCTTTCAGTTTGCGTAACTTATAGGGTTCAGTTAATTAATTTTAGAATTTGACATTGCATATAAACAAAAAAGCATTTCAAATTAGGTAAGATAGCAAAGATAAGCTTAACACCATGCAGATAATAAAATCTAAAAAGCTTTAGGTATAATAACTCCCTGATACTGATAGGTATTTAAAATAAATTACACATGCTAGGTAATTGAATTGGAGAAATCTATTAAAAGATTCTGAACACAAAAAAATAATGTAAGTAATTAGTAAAGATAAATATGTTGATGATGTTGTCGTTGTTAGCGAGGGACAAAAAAAAAGCCACAATATGACTGATTATTAAGTATAACTTTAAAAGCTTAAGAACGAAAAAGCAATTTGGACAGTTGAAAACAAGCTCAAGTTTGTAATGGATGATAAGATTAAGTTTGAACAGATAAAAAAGCTGCATCAGCAATATGTTACTGAAAAGTTAAAAAAAAATTTTTGGGAAGATAGATTTAAAAATGATAATTAATCTCCTAGAAATAAATCGCTAACCAATTCGTTATATTCAGATCGTTCAAACAGAAATTTTGAAGAAATAATGAAAAATGAATAAATTTCTAAATCAGAAAAAAAGGAAAGAAATCCAAACAATTATCAAATTTATAATTATGGTAATGTAAAAGAATAGTGTAATGAAGATGATTTAACAAATTCTTAACTGTGCTTATCAAAATCTTAGATTAAAAATGAAATTGATAGAAAAATTATGGGTGAAAAAAAAGGTAGTGCTGAACAAGAGTAAAATTAAAGTATAGGAGTCAAAGAATAGCAATAAATTTCAATAAAATAAACTTTGTAGCATTTTTTAGAATTAGATTAAAATATTCTACCATCGAAAATACAGTCAAATCTTACAACATAACCTAATTCCTAGAAATATTTAAAAGAAATTAATGCTGAATAAAAAAAAATAGGCAAATCTCTCAATTCTAGTTACAACTAATTAAATCAGCATATTAAAAATAACTAAAACAAAATTATAAAATCAAACTCGATTCATGCTCATTTTGAAGCTGATTTTGATAATTAAGCTTCTTTTTTTGAGGCCAGTAATAATCAACAAGGCAATATCAAATAAAATTTAATTAAATTAGAAGAGGAAAAATAGTACTCATATTCAAAAGTAGACTCTAAACTAAATTTTCCCCATTTTTAAGGAAATCATAAAAGTATGATGAACATCAATCCTTTTGATTGTGAGATTTTTATATAAGAAGAAGAACTCAACACTGAAAGGCAATCATAAGATTTTAATCCAGGAGAGAAATATGAATAGTTGAGGAAAATTAATAGTGAAAATGAGAAAAAGTTGATAGATTATATAATTAAAAAAAATTAGTTTGAATTAGTCGATCTATTTCCCAGTAATGTAAAAAGTAAATTTTTAATTTTGATTATTTTATTATGATTATTAATAAATTAATTTCTATAATAGTTCAGCCTCGCAAATATGTTGATTTTGATTAGATATAGCTTTCTGATTTTGATAAGGCAGCATATTAGCAGTAAATAATTGAAAAGGAAAAGCTGAAAAATAAGAATAACTTCAATAAGCCAGATTTAAATAATAAACATGAATAAAACTTTAACTTAAATAAAAAATATGAAAAGCATTAAGACGAATAAATGAACTAAAATAAATAATCTAATACACAGTTAATTCATATACCTAAATCATACTAATAGTCAGACTAAGTCATTGAGCCTTAAGTTTAGTTGCTAAAAAAATCTCCACTTAAAAAAAGAAAAACTAACAAGAACAAAATAAAGTCACAATGTATTTAACGGCTATCGAAAGACACAGATTAATTTAGTGTTTAATATCTAAGAAAATATGGTTTAGAAGAAACAACTCATTTAAAAGATGAATTTTCAAAACTGAGATCAACAGCTACTACACTTCCTTATTCTATGAAAACTGATGCCTCTAAATAGAATTCATAATGCTCTTCACCAAGAAACAATCCTTATTTGCTAAATAACAAAACTTAAATTTTGAATTAAAGTTTAAATAAAAAAGATTTAATTAAATTTGCAAATAAAGAATAAATTTAAATAAACGAATCAACAACAACAGGGTTTTCAAATACTGCCTATGGAGCAGGATTTTTGAGTTCTAGATCTGAAAATAGGAAAAATATAAGATCTAATTTAGAAAATCATGAAAAAAGCAAATAATAAATAGAAATAGCTCCATTCTTTAAAAAGCGCCAACTTTCAATTTCCTAAGCACTGAAATAAGATGAAGGAATCCAACCATAATAAAATTGTTAAACTTTAAATAATATGTTCTCTCCAGTGAGTATGGTAATGAGTAACAAATATACAGATAGAAAACATTAAGATTTTAAAAATACAAATTTGCAAATTTAATAGAATTAAACAAACTTAAAAAATAACTACTTATAAGATAGTTCCAAATAAAAAAATAATTAGAACTAAATAAATAAACTATTAAAATTCTAAAAAATGATATAAGAGAAGCAAAATAATCAATAAGATAATCTTTAAATAAAGGAAAATTTTATAAAATTTTATGATAATGTCTTAACTCAATCCAAATAGTAATCAAAAACTACAGGAAAAATAAAAAGAGAAATTAATAAATTGGTTAAAAATGTAGATAAAAGCTTAGCCTCTATACAATCTTCTGAAGGACCTAAATTATCAGCTTTTCATCACGAATTTAGAGATTTTAAGGAAATGAAGATATTTAAAAGAAAGCTATTTAATTATGCAATAAATAAAATACATCCAGATGATAGAAAAGGTCTTTTTGAGCTATATTCAATGACTCATAGACAAGAGGTTGAAGATTTATTTGCATAACAAATGAAGAAGTGATAAAACAATTTTAAAAATACTAAAAAGATAAATAAATAAATAAATAAGTATTCTCAAATTTTACTAAAAAATAAAAAATGTTAATTAATTAATTAATTAATAAATAAATAATTAAATAATATATCTCATCAAACAATTAATAAATTATTAAAGTTAAAAAATTTAAATGAATATAAAATGTACTTGCTTACTTACTTACTACTTTTATTTGGTTAATAATTTAAAGTAAATTAATTGCTGAAAGATCTTATTTAAACTAATATTTATGGATTTTGAGCAATCTTTTTTATATTTGAAAACTCATTTAAAATTTATTATAAATATTTTTAAAAAGAAAATATTAAAGCAAACCTAAAAAAATAAGTTAAGAAAATTTAATAACAACATTTTCTTAGCCTTAATCATATAAAGAGCTATAAATCAGACAAAAATATTAAACAAATTAGGTAAAAATAATTTTAGGAAATTGAAAATGAAGTAAATTTTTAAAATGATAGGGCTTAAAATTAATTTCACATTTAAAAATAATTTATTAGAAAAAATAGAATAGAAATTTAGCTCTTTTAAGTTTAAAAAAAAAAATTATTTAAATTTATAGTTAATTATTTAAACATTTTTTTTATTCAGCTTAAAATTATTTTTATCCAATGATAATTTGATTAAAAAAGTGAAATTTGCTTTGTTGATTTTTTGAAATAAATAATATAATTTTCAAATAAGTTATTTAGGCTTTTTTATTTTTATAATTTATATTGTAAAATACTAAAATTTAGCTATTTATTTTTTACATTGTTAATTCATTTCATTTTTAAAATTTTCTGAATTAGAATTGTCAAAGACATTTAATATTGATTGTTTTTTTGCACATTTTCTAGTATATTAAAAACAAATAGAGTCAATAAAATTAGTTAGGGTGAATATGATTAATCATGTTATATTAAAAATTATAAGGCTTTTGTTTGATTGATAGGTCATTCATGGAATCAGTATAATATTAGAAACTTGATTACTATTTTCTCTTTTTATATTTTTAAATATCTTCTTAATTTTTTTATTTTTAAATAGAAATTTAAAGATTTATAAGTTGAATTTCTTATTATTTTTGTTGGCTCTAGTGAGTAATTAAATTTTAAGTTTCTTAAATAGCTTCAATTTATTGTTTTATTTCTGATACTTCTTCTCCTATATATGTAAACTGTTTATCTAGTTGTTCATTCAAATTTGATCTATCAACTAGGCATTTATATTTTCTGTTATATTAGAAATAAATGTTAAAAATGAAATAATTTTAATTTAATTTTGCCTATTCACTATTTTAAAATGGAGAGCTGCCTTTCTTAACTTCCTAGCTAAAAATAAATTTCTAACCTTTCCTAAATTTCTCCTTATTGCTATCTTTCCAACATATGAAAACATTCTTACAGCTGTGTCTATTATATCTTTTCTAACTGATAGCTTTTCTAAAATCAAACTTGACTTTGACTCTAAAGAGTCTAATGTTAATATGATAATTAAAGAATTGCAAAGAACAGAAAACATAAACGTCCCTGATATAAATGATAAAACAGCAATAAAGCGACCATGATTCGTGGTAGGAAAGACATCACCATATCCCACTGAAGGGATAGATATCATCATACACCACATTGCAACTTCGTAAAGATTGAATAAGGCTAAGTTTACACCATCTGGAATACCGTTTCTTAGAAGAGGTCTTTCACATATTCTGATAGCATAACTATAAGTAAATAAGCAAACCGAGTAGCAAAACCAAAACACTCTCATAGGATTCATTTACATATTTACTTTAACTATAAATAATGGACTCATTCTTGTGGCATACAAATTGCTTTTTTAATTAAATATGAATTGTATAATTAATGTAATGAATCTAATTAGATAGGTTACCAAACGCGATTTACTCTCTCTGTGTACCATTGTGTATTTATCAAAACAATTTTTACCATGATAAGTATTCTAAGAAGCATAATTAAAAGTAGTATTTCATTTAAATAATGATACACTTCCATTTAAAAATAGTCTACAAAGAAATAAACTTTATAGTCTGTAAGCCAAGGATTTGGGAATATTAGATAAATGCTCATCTCAAGGATCATATATTTCCATTACCCTGTATTAAAAATAGTAGCTTCTTTGCCATATTGTTTAGTTGCAATGATAAACTGGTTTTAGGCTTCATATGAAAAATACGTCATTACAACTGTTTTAGTTAAATTAAAAAATTCTTTAACAATTTTTGAATTTAAGTTAATTTATTTGGCTGTGAGTGAGTATTGGATAGCAAGCATGTAAATTTCATTAAAAAAATATAATTTGTACTAAGACATATTGAGCATATCAAAGTGAGATAGAGAAACCATTTCGCATAATAAAAATTCAGATTTGAAAATTCAATTTCATACTTTTTTAAATAAGAAACATAGATTTGTAAGTTTATTCATATTTGCGTTTTTTTTTTATTGAAATATTACATCTAAAATTGCTACGACTTAAGCCATCACCATCAGAGTTAACCTACACAATTCGAGGCATCTCATCTTTTCAAAATAAAACTTTGATTCTGTTGCATCCTCCATTTTCTCTACTTTTTCTTCATCTAGTAAGAGTTTATTGATTTATCTAAAGATAATTTAAATCTTTTAAACATTTAAAATGTAAATAAATATTTAACTACCTTTTAAATTCTAAAAATTCTTTGTCTTTTTTGGTGTTTCCTTCTGATCTACTAAAAGAATCCTTATACTGAACTGATTTAAATACACTCCTTTGATATTGTTGCTAGTCTCCCATTCAAAATATTCTTTTTTAATCTATAAATCCCTCCTACTATTATATTAAACTTGCGTTTTTATAAGCTATATGTTTGTTTATAAATCTTTTTTAATATCCCAAAAGAATTAAAAATTTGTACACTTTATTAAAACTCAATGATTAAACTTACTTTCTAAATTGAAATAATTAGATCGAATTTTTTTAAATAATATTAAAAATATAAACTGCAATAGTGCAGCCAGCATTAAGAAAATTCGATTTCTTTTTTTGCTGTTTTTAAAATTAGGAATTATAAATTAAATATAACAAAGAATTGTGATAATTCATTTAAAAATAAAAAGGTAGATAATTAAATAATTTAACAAACAAAATTAATTATTTTTATTATTTTTAATTTGACAATCAAAACTTAATAAATATATTTTTGATCAGTAGTACTAGTTAGGGTTAATATGGTTTACCATATTATAATTAAAACCATATGGTTTATCATTTATTCCAGTATCAAACATATCAGTTGTAAAATATAAGCTCTGAAAGTTTGGATTTGTTTTCCTGTTAATTTCTTTTTAACTAACTTAAAATTAGCCTGCAGCTTAATTAGTTGGAAACTTGGAAGCCGATTAATTAACTGAGTTGATAACATTAGATATAAGTTATTATGTTTATTATGCAGTCTTCATTTGTTCCTATAAAATAGATATTTCTTCTTATGTATAAGTGAAATATCTGTCAAGTTGCTCAGATAAATTAGATTAGTCTATGATTGACTTATATTCTCTAAAATAATTATTTTAAAAATTTATTGAATCATTAATGAATTAATAAAAAATATATTTATTTACCTGTATGCTTTTTTATAATTTTGTATAGAATTTCTTAAATTAGCACTAATAGAACCAGTTTTCTTATTTTCTTTAGTTAATTTCCTTTTTTTATTGATGTATAAAAACATTTATGAAGCAGCCAATCTTAACTTCTACAATACTGACAGCTTACTTAAGATATAAAATGATTTAGCTTCAAGGAAGTTAATTAACAAGATATTTATTAAAGAGTTAACCATAATAGAAGTAATAAATGTTCCAGAAATAGCTGCCATAGCTGAAAAAAAACGTCCATGATTAGTCACTGGAAAAGTATCACCATAACCGACAGTAGGTATAGTAATCATAATACACCATATTGGAACAGCAATTTAATCGAAATGAGGTATATTAGGTCCGCCTTCTGCAGGAGGATCACGTATTAGTGGACGCTCACATATCCTCATTGCATAACTGTAAAAAAATAAGCTGAATATATAGCAAAACCAATAGACTTGCATGGGATTTGTTTGCATATAAACCTTTAAGATGAATAAAGGACTCATTTTAGTTGCATATAAATAGCTAATATCAATTTAAAATAAATTTATAAATAAAAAGTTAATTCATTAAAAATGAATAAAATGAAAAATTTATATTTCTTACCAAATTCTGTTAACCTTCTCGCTATACCATTAAGTATTCATCAAAACAATTTTAGCCATAACAAAAAATCTGAAAAGCATGAACAGAAGTAAAATTTCATTTAAATAATGATATACTTAGATTTGATAATAGTCTACAAAAAAGTAAAGCTTAATGTCACTAAACCAAGGCTAAGGAAAAACAACAAACACAAGCATTTCAAGAAGCATTAACTTCCATTATCCGGAATTGAATATAGTTGTTTGCTTTCCTGCTTATTTGGTAGCTATAATAAATTAGTTTTTAGCTTCGTAGGAGAAGTATGTCATAATAACTGTTTTTATAGAAAAGTAAAAAATAAATATCTTTCGTTACCTTAAAATGCTTTTTATTGATTTATCTATGTAAGTAACTAAGTAGGAAATAGGTAAATTCAGTTTCCTATAAAACTTATGAAGCTAAATTCCAAATAAATAACTTTGAATAAAAAAATTTACTTAGAATGATTGAGCATATTAAAATTATATAAAGGAACCAATTTGCGTAGTATTAATTCTTATCTTAAAATTCTATTTCATACTATTAAAAATATAATTTTATTATATCTTGCATCAAAAGGAATTATTTAATATAATAAATACATCTAATATTGCCACAGCTTATGCTTAAACCATTAAAGTAAGTCTGCATAAATCCAGTTGCCTCATTTTTTCAAAGTAAAATTTTGTTTCTCTTGCATCTTCTATTTTTTCTACTGTTTCCTCATCAAGAAGCATTTTATTTAAATTTCTAATTGGAATATAAATCACATATTGACTTAAGTATTATGATGAATCGTTGAAAAAGCTAGATATTACTTTTTAAAATCCAAAAAGTCAGATTTCTTCCAAAACTCTGACCTATATTCAGATTTTTTGTTTGTATCTTGTTTTAGTATTGATTTGAATTCAGATTTTTTAGCAGTTTCTTATTTTTCAAAGGTGGCTTTGTTATCACCTTCGCAATTGATCTGCTAATCATTTTCCTCCTTCATTCTTTTTTATATTGTTAAATTGGAGATTTTTAATTAATTTCTAACATCAAAAATAATATATTATTAATTTGAAATATTTCGCTTAATAGTAAATAACTTCATTTAATTTTAGAAAAATAGTGCCCACAAGAATTTTAATTTTTTAACAATAACCAATCCAATCTCATAACTAACTTTTAACATTCATTTTAATAAAAACCCCAAGCAAATAATAAAATGCATCTACCCCACTTGTAACTCTTAAAAGGTAGAATTTTCTAAATAAAAAAACATTTTAAAAATTTCTAAATACAAACTAATAAGTTCATTAGAAAATAGCTCCCAAAAAATAATTAAATTAAACTGTTATCTCATCTTTAAAAAAACATACATTAAATGAAATTAATTATCAAAAATAGGAGTTTTAACTAATCTTACCAATAATCTAATTATCTTTCTAAACAATATTTGCACGTAATTTTCCAATACATATTTTGATGATTATAAAAGATAAACGTATTTATTTTCTATTATTACAAATTTAACTTAAACTAAAATTGTAAAATTGTGTAATATTCTTCATTAAAATGTATAAATATGTATTTCTATATTTCTTAAATAAACGATTGAATATTTTATTTCGCAAAGATAAACTTTGGAGTGATACATTTTTAGCAGTTATTTATTATTTCCATTAAAACATTAAAACGTAAAAATGAACCTAGTAATAAATTTCTTCTTTTTTTAATGTTATTGCCTTTAAAAATGAATGCTAAAAATAGAAAATAGATTTAAAAGATAATAGTTAAAATTATTTTTTTACATATCTATAAATGATGTTTATATACGATTTTACATAACAGAAGCGACATAACTACATATATCAGGTTTTAATATGCTAAACTTGTGTAAAAATATGGTATTAATTCAATTAAAATTATTAATAAATTTTTTTTGAGAAAGGAAAAGAGAGTAAGGGAGATAAGTTCGAAGTAAATACATGGATTTATATCTAATTTTCTTTTTATTATTTTATATTTTTCTGTTTTTAATATAAATTATTTCTTAAATTATGGCTTTTATAATTATTATAATTCAACCATTATTGATTGATTTTATCTATATTTTTTGTGTAAAATAGTAGGTTATAATTAGAAAACCTAGCAGTGATTATAACAAGAGAGAGCAGTAAAAGTGTTAAAGAATTAATATTTTTATTTAATTGGTTATTTATATTTTATATTATTAAAATCTAAATTTTCTTTTAAAATGGAATGGAGTGTAATTTTAATTTGGTTAATATTTTTTTCAAAAGGGGATAATTGAATTTTAAAGCTAAAATTCCATCACTGATTTTTGACTGACACGCACTTTCTTCTTTTTAGCTTTCTTTTATTCAGATGAGTGCTGTTCCCTGAACAAATCATGTACTTAATCAGTTTTATTCAAAGCAGATGAGTCATTATTTTATAAATAGCTTTACTCAAAATTAATCTAATTTGAATCTTGGTAGTTAGAAGTATTTCTGGTTTGATCCAATTACGATAAAACCATTTATTCATAATGATTTGGTATTTCAAATTCTTACATAAATTCCTACTTTTACTAAAATTAAGTCTCTTTAAGATTAGATTCACTCACACTAGGTTCTGTTTTTGCAGGTGTAGTAATATCAATTATATCCATATCAAGTTCATTTTTACTAGACAATTCAAAGGATCCACGTATTCTTCCTCCATTATCTGATTTTGCCTTTTCATTTTCTTCTGTATCGACACTCTCTGGTCCATGCTTTTTTATTTTTCTCATTTGTAACCTCTTTTAGATAAGACTAAGTTGAGTATCTGTGTCTCTTTATATAATTTTTTTGTTATGGCGGATGTCTTGGCTGTGAGAATTAATTAGGGTCTTTACTGACTCTTTGGTATCCTATTATTATATGTACTTCATATTAAGTTCTAATTCTTTTTGGCGTTATTTGCTTATATTTTCATCGCAGCTAAATTCTAGCTTATCTTTCTTTAAGTCAAACTTTTTTATAATAGAAATAATTAAAAAAATATTTATATTTTCACATCTTATTCACCATTTAAAATTTCAATTGTGTTGTTTTTTTTTTTATAATATGCTTATGGAATTGTTTAAATCATAAATTTTATTCAAATTTCCGTTATTTTGTACAGAAGTGAATATTAATATTATTTGTTATCAATAAAATGAGTTATTCTACTAAGTTGATTATAAAAAAATACTCGCTTTTCCACATGTTTAATTTGTAAAACTCTCAAAAAATTATTGGCTAAAAAAAGTTGAAGCTAATTAGAAAATATAATTACTGGAAGTTCCTCATTAGGCTCAGATTTTAATTCTTCTTATGCCTTGTCTATTGCCATGTTTACATTCTATTTAAGCAAAAGAGATCTAGTTTTATTTTTAAAAATCAAGTATTTGTCACTTTTAATACTCTCGTAGTATTCGATTGCAATCTATTTTTTTATAAAAATCATTATTAAAAAGATAAATAGGCTATTTTTATCTCAAATGAATTTCAATTCAACATTTTATTTGCTAAACTGCTTAAAAGTATATTATTTTTTGCCTTTAATTGTATCAACAAAGCAATATCAATTTTTTCACTATCTTATACTACTAATAAGCTATAGGAACCAGCTAAAAAGTGTTATTTTTTAAATAGTATTTGATATTACAAAAATTTGGAATAACTTAATTCAAAATGGTTCCATTTTATTTTGATAATAATTTTTCAGATCTTATTGAAAGTTAATGCGAAAATACTTACTGCATATAGTTCGACTAAGCGATTAATGACTTGTATATCAACGTTAGGATGCTCTGCCTCGAGTTCTAAATTAAATACTTCATCTGAAAAATTTGGTGGAAGCTGAGGTGCTTAATTTTCTATAGCATCTTTCTTTTTTCCACTTTCAGAGTTTGTTCCTAATTTCAGTAAGCTTTTTAACATTTTACTTGCCCTATTTATTACTATTTAATCAAGGAAAATTATATTTTTTTTGTTTGCTCTTCTCTTTATCCTTTTTTTTCCTTTTATTTTTTTCTACTATTCAGGCTAATATTTTTTGTTTTTTTTATTAATAAATTGCATAGATTTTTTTACTTTCCTTCTCTTAATTTATTAATCAAAATGCCAGCTCTTCTCTTTTTCATGGCATCCATCAAAGCTCATTCTAAGTTAATAATAATTACCACTCTTCTTATTCTTTTTTGCCAAATAAATTAATACAAACCATTAGGAATTTCAACTGAGCTTTTATTTCAAGATGTTCAATTGCAAAATTATGCATTTTATTTTAGTTCATTTCAAGGAATGGATGATGTATATTGAAATTATTCAAACATAATTTTTAATTATCAGATCAGCAAACAAAAATTATTTATAATTCAATTTTTTTGATGAGTTAATATTATTTTTTAATAATAATTTTAAACTCCCTAATTTAACTTATTTTTTAATTTTATTGTGTATTATTTTTTTATTTACTGTTTTTTTTAATCCTTCATTTTTATAATTTTTTATTCTACATTAACAAATTGTAGTGATACTAATAAATTCTGTTAAATTTGTTTTACCATACAATTTAAATTCGGTAAGAAATAGATAATAAATAACTAAATAAATAAAAAAAGTATTCACATTATTGGTAAAATATTTTTTTTAATTGAAAAATATGATTATTTTAATTATTTTAATTTTACTTATCAGTTTTATTTTTAAGATAATTAAAAATTGCTCCAGTATAGGTAGAATCTTTCAACTTATTTTTTATTATTTTCTAATTAAATTATGTAACAATCAATTCTATGATAAATGAATTAAAACAAAATTAAAAAAACTCAAATTCATAATTAAAAAAACCAAACTAAATTTTATATATTCAAAAATTTTGTTAAAAATAATCCAAAAAAATAGCTAATTAATTTACATTTAAGTTTCATTTATGTAATTCTATTTCAATTGATAGTAATAAAAATAATTAGAAATTTATTAAAAAGCTTCTTTTATAAAAATAAGATTATTTGTTTGAAAGAAAAAAATATTTAAGAAATCAAAAATTAAATACAAAAGTTATTTCTATTTACTAATTTTATTATTTTTTATTTATTTCAAATATTTAAAATAGATTCATTTATATAGTTAATTCACTCAATCGCTAAGAAAATTATTTAATTTAAAATTAGCTAAAAAAGAAAACTAATTAAATTAGTATGTTTATCACTCTATTAAAGGCATTTAAAATTATTAGCTTTAACTTTTATTTTATTTTAAAGTGAACTTACCACAAAAAAAAGCAATAAATTGTTTTTTAAAAAATATCTATATTAATTCTCATAGATTTTTAATATTACTAAATTTAATTTATTTAACTATTTAATCTTATAATTTTAAGATAAGTTGGTAATGAAATATTATTTTTAATTAAATCCTGCTGATTCTGAAAAAAATATTTTCAATAAAATTTTATTTAAATAGCTAATATTTCTCCTTATAGCATTTTTAATTGTTAATTTAAATCAATAATCAGTAAATAAGCACAAAAGACAAAGTTATTATTTAAAAATCATATGCATATACTAATTAGGAGTCTACACTAACATCAACTAGTTTATTAATTAAATTAAATTCCATACAATTTTTTTTGAAATTTAAATATCGTCCTATATTCCATAATGGATAGAAGTAAAAATATATAGATATTAAGTTTAGTTTTCTAATAGAATAATTCATTTGTTTGATTTTTTGATTTTATTTATTTTTGATTTTCTACTTTATTATTTTTTTATTTAGCTTTTAAGTTTTATGGCTTTAGTTTTTTTGTATTTTTATTATTTATATTTTAGATTTAATATTTTTTAATTTTTGTTTATGTTTAATATTTATTTTATTAAATGATTGCTGGTTTATTATTTTATATTAAATTTTTTGATTTTATTTTTTAATTTTTTAATTTTACAATATTTTAATCTATGAATTATGCATTAGATTATTATATATCTTCTTCAAAATAGAAATGTTAATTTTAGACTTTGATTTTTCAGAAGGGTTAATTTGAAAAAAAATATTTTTAAAAATCTTTATTGTTAATAAACACTTAATTTAACTTTTTTTTTTTTCTTGATTTATTGAGATTTATAAATTGATTCATTTTTATAGTTGGGTTTTAAAAATTTACAGTGAAAAGGTATGCTTTAGATGTTAGTATACCTTAAATAATTATGACTATTATTTTGTTGCTAAATCAAAACTAAATATTAGCAAATAAGTTACAATTTTTAATTCTGTGGTAAATTAATGAGTTTTAATTCTAAGATGATATAGTACTACAATTTTTATTTTTATAAAGTTTAAAAGCAAGTTAATGAAGATTGTTTGATAAATATGTAAAATTGGTTTACTATCAATTTTTAAAAACTAATTTTTTTTGTGTTGATTTAGAAAGTGGATTTAGCAATTATTTGAAATATTACCCATTTTATCGAAAGATGTTATAGATTTTATAATGGTTAAGTAAATTTAAATTGAATATACTATACTTTTTTAAATAATAATATCTCTATTTTAGTTTTAAAATTCTGATTCTATAAAAATAGAAAAAATTTTAGTAAATAAATCTATGAATTTAGTACAGTGAAATCAAAGAAAAAAAAATTTTTGCTTATAAGGTGCCTTTACTTTTTAGCATATAGAATAGATTGATTTATAATTTGTATTTATATTTTTGTGATTTTTTAGAAAAGAAGAAAGTCAAAAAAATTCTAATCACCTAAATAAATAAGAAGGATTGTAATTTTATAAAGGAGATAGGAGATAGAAAATATAAAATGAAGAAGAACCAAGGAAGTGCTGGAAACGGAAATTAAAATAGTAATTTGAATAGTAATAGTTAAAGCTAAAACAACACAAGTAAAGGAAGGTTAAGTGCATAAAATCAAAGAAAAGTAGCACAGAGTAATACAAATATCTCCCATTAAAATAGTAGCGCTAGCACAAATAATAATAGTCATTAAAGTATATAAAACCAAGAGGAGAAAAGGAGACCTCAAACAAATGCAGATAAGTACAAGCCTAACTAAATATCGAATGTTAACAATTTATAAAGGCAAAGTGTACAAAGTGTTACAAATTTAAGAGAAAAAAAACAATTGGAAATGCATGCTGATTAGGATATATATTATGGAGATAATGATGACAATGAAGATAAGATAGCTAAAGATTCATAACCAGAAACTGAAAGGCAAATAGAGTTATCAGAAGATTAAGAAAGTATTGTCAAGCTAGTCAGTGGTTATTTAGTGAAGCATGGGTGTAATCGCTCAAATGAAATATTTCTGAAAGAGATTTACAGACCATAGAATCCTCAAAACAAAAAGCAAATGATAGTGAATTAATTAATAAATGTAATTTTTAACAAATCCATTAAGAAATTTTTAGCTTATTAAGTTAGATTAAATACCTGAAATATTTTATTTTTATGTTAAAATCAACAATTTTAAACAAAAATAATTTATTTAAGATAAAAATAAATAAATATTATTATAAATGCTTAATATTTCAATATTATTTTTTTAACAAATAGGCATTTTAAAAAGGTAAAAGAGATTTGTTTTTTGGTAAATGGACGTCATTCCCTCACAACAACAAACCAAATTAAATTGATAAAGTAAGCATTTGTGAAATTCGTATTTTTAAAATGGAATTTATTGCTAATGGTTGATTTATTTTATTATAAAAATAATTTAAAAATTTTAAAAAGAAAAAATTAAAATTTTTTGAAAAATTTTAAAAATCAAATCATTTGAAATTAAAAATTATCTTTATATCTGAATCAATGAATGAACGAATTAATTAATGAAAAAATTTTAATAGAATATTTTGGATTGAATACTTACTAAAATGTTGTTTTAATAATTATTGATTAATTAATTAATTAATATAGTTGGAATTCTACCTTCAAATATATTTCTTGATTTATGAGATCCATCCTCTTTTCAAGACTAAAGATAAAATAGGCAATGATAGAATTGAGTACTTTAGATCATATTTAGATTCAAAAGGCTCTGAACTATCTAAAACTACAGAATTACTCACTTTTTATGCACTTCCTTACATATAAAAACCATATGAACATTAGAGCTTTAAACACTTGTTTACATAAGAGTGGGTGTAAGATTTGCAAAAGAAACTTAAAAGTTCATTAGATAAACTGATAAATGAAGAAGATTAATACTGTAAATTGGAAGAATTGTATTTTTAAAGTAAAAGTAAACCAGATTAAGCTAAATAGTAATAGGCACATCAATAAATTTTAAGTAATTAAAATGTAGTACAATAGTAGCCTTTTTATCCAGCACCTTATGCACCTGCTTTACAATAATAAATGAATAACAATGGATAAAATATTAACATAAGCAACAATAATATGCAACCTAACAACATTAATGTTAGTTATTTGTAAAATGACATAAGCTACCTTCCAGATAACTCTTACATAACAGACAATAACTCTCTAAGAGCTAATAATGATTAATATCTTAGGGTATTGTAAGAGTTAAACTCAAGATATTCAAATCTTCATAAAGTTTATATTTAAGTCTAAGAATAAGCAAAGTAAGCTATTATGGATTCACATTAAAAGTGGTTTAAATTAGGATAAGATCTAGTTTATTTAGCAAAAGATGTAAAACTATTTATTTATTGATTAAAATAAAATTGTTTATTTGAAATAAAATATTACAGTTAATAGGTATGGTGGAAATGGCAACTAAGGGTAATCCTCCTTCGCCTCAAATATTCGAAAGTAAAAAAAAAAAGCTTGGCTAGTTTGAACATTTCCTGAGCTCAAATATAGAAGACTTAGTTTAGTAGAATCAGGATATATCATTATTTGAAAAATAAGTTAGTATAATTGAATATGATCAAAGTCCAATTATGCAATAGTATAAAGTGTAGTAGCATCCTTAGTTTAACGGTTAAATTTTAAACTCCAACTTATAATTTGACTAATCTCCACAGAATATACAATAAGTTGGAGCTGGCTATGATATAAATTTACTAAATAGCAGAAAAGGCTAAAATTCTTATGATTAAATGTCATAAGTGCAATAACAATAGCAATAACAATAAATTCATCAATAACATCAACAATATCAAATTCCTCATTAGAATCAATAGGCGTTATAATAAAATCATAATTTATATTAACAACATTAAATAGATTAAGATAATGACTTCCAGTCTTATGCACCAATAGATTTCAATAAAATAAAAATATCTTTAAAGTAGGAAACAAATTTTTAATTTAAAATAAGCATACTATAAGCTCTTCGCTGGAGAATTGCTAAAACTAGGAATGCTTATTAAAGAAGGGAAGTTATTATTTCTTACACAATAAATGATCTCTTAGGGTGTTCAAAAAATGATTAACTACTTTAGAATTCTATTTTTAACTCACCAAACGAAAGGCTAACTGAGTAATAAATAATACACATTATATAAACCTATTTATTAATTTTATTTATTTAAAAACAAGATTTGGTCTTAGATTAGTTAATGCATTAGCTTCAGATTTTGAGGGTCGTACATATCTAGTTGAAAGCGAAGCTCTTGTAAAACTCCTGATTGCTATACTTCGTCGTGAAGTAAAATTTAATTTCAAAAGAATTTGCTAAATTTAATCATTTATTTATTTATTTTACTAGAAAGAAGATTCAAGTACAAGAAGAAATGCCTTAGGGGCTCTGTAAAAGTTATCTTTAAGAAAAAAACCTCAAATTGTAATGATTTAGAATGATTTAATAAAATGGATAGTCGAAACTTTAAGAGAAGTAAGATTTTTTAATTTTTAATTTAAGTAATTAAAGAGGTTCACATTTTTATTTGACAGGAAAAAGATTAGCTAAGTGAATATAGCTATGAATATGCTACAGCCTTGTTTATGAATTTATCTTTAAGATCTCTAGGAAGAGATAAATGTGAAGATGAAGATTTAAGAGTTTTAGAAGTTCTACAGTAATTATTAGAGCATGAAAACTAACAAGTCAGAACTTTTGTAAATGGAACATTATACTCACTACTTAGCAGACCAGCTCTTAAGGAATAGTCAAGATAGCTCTCTTTATTGCAATATCTTGTTCACTTAAGAGATAATTCTGACGAAAGATTTAATAAACAATTACAGTAATTAATATAATAATAAAATATACATTTTCACATATCAGTTATAATAATCATTTAAACCAACTTAACACTCAGAATAATTTTAATCTAAAAATAGATATATAATTAACTAGCTAGAGAAGCCTGATGAAGAAGAGGAAGAAGAAAATACTAGTGATTAAGAAGAAGATAATGATGAAGATGATATTGAAGATGAAGAAATGGATGATGAAGATGACTAGGATGAATACTTAGACCTAATAGAGGTTCCAGGAAATGATTAACAACTTATTGGAGAAAATTTATTGATTTAATAATTTAGCTTAAGAGGCTAAGAGGCACTTAGATAGCATAATATGACAAGAACAGCATTAGAAGAAAGCAAGAAAAACGCTCATAACTAATCTATTCTGAATTAATCAAGAATAAACAATAGACCTGAGCCTTTTAATAGACCTGCCACACCATCTCTATCTATCAGCTAAATCTCACACTCACAAATGCAGGGTAAAAATAAATTATTAAAATGTTTAATGTTGTTTAAAATGTATTTTAATAAAATATTTTGTAGGCTACTAACAAGATACTAAGAGAAACAAGAACTAACACAATATTTAGCATTAAAATAGCTAACAAAAGTAATATCAGTAAAATATTTACACATAACAGTAATATTAATAAAGAGATAATGGAGAATAATTAAGTTAGTAGCAATAGCAACTAATGCTACTAAAGTAAAAGTAACAAATGCAATAACAGTAAATTTAGCAAAATTAACAATAACAACAGTATATCAACTAATATTAATAACACTAAAAGTAAAATCTGAATTAGTAATATATTCATTAATCTCCATAAATGTACAACGATGGTAATAATTACTCATAAAATTCTTCTGATAGCAAAACCTATATTCAACATCAACAACAACATCAATAGTCAGTCAAAAACAATCACAACTTGCCAGTTAATTAAAATGTAAATACGTTTAAAAATATTTTAAAAAGAATTTGATCAATACATTTTATTTTAAAAGACAAAGTTACCACATAACGAGATAAAAGTATCAGACACTAAAGAGGCATTTGCACCAAGACCTAAAATACCAAGAACACCACCATCAAATATAGATGAGGATAGTAATTGAGTGATGTTTAATTGAAATATAATCCAAGCACTTCCTATAAAAATAAATTATTTTCCAAAAACCAAAACACAACAAATAAAATTTAGGTGTATTTTGCTATCTTAAGAAGCCATAAATCTTTCTATTTTTTTAAGAGTCTTGGTAGAAAATTTTGAAAATATAAGTATATAGTAATAATAATAATCAGAGCAAGTTTTCACACACCCTTCACTAAATAAAATGGGTATTATTTTATGAATTAATTTATCTACCTAACTGTATATAAAACTTCCATTTAATTTATTATTAGAAATAAAATATATTTTAGATTTTATGTAATTTGTATATAACTAACTAACTACTGTTTCAAGTGGAATTCGTTAAGAATATTCTATTATTCTTTATTCTACAAAATATGTTAACTAAAATTTGTAATCAGAATCTTTCTAAATTTCTATTTATTAAATTTTAAATAATTATTAATTTGTGTTCTTTTAAACTTCTAAAGTTATTTTGTTTAGAAAAATAGAATGTTAGATAGATAAATAGAAGTAATTAATCTGATCATTCTATATATCTAATATTATAATAGATGCTTTTTGATGTATTTATCAGAACTCACTTGCATTCTTAAAAATCCATAAAATATAAAATTAACTCCCTGATCTTTCTTAGAAATTATTTAGAAATTATTGCAATCTTCTATTGTTTATCTACTTGTTTATAATCTTTATTTTATTTTATAATATTTTTTAAAAGAAATTTGTGGTTAAGTTGAAATATTAATAAAAATGCAAAACTTTGAAAATAATCTTGATTGGTTCTAGCTTGAAAAGTTTACAGGTTACTTACATAATTTATCATAATAAACAATATATTAAAATAAAATATTTATAAGAAAACGAGCTAAAGATAATATTCTTGCAGTGCTACGGGTAATTCAATATATCTTCAAATGACTTCAATGATACTCAAAAGATAGATTCTCTTTATCAAAAAACTCTTGATTAAATTTATGAATCTCTGTAAAGATAATCTTTTAAAACTTTGACTTCGCAGAAAATCTAAGAAAATTTACTTCAATTCCAAAAGCAAGTAATTAATTAATGATTGATTGATTGATGTCGATTATTGTTTTAAAATATTATTTTAAATAAAATAATAATTAATTATAGATTGAAAATCCAAGATATGATTTTAAAGGACTTGAGTTTGAAGTATATTTTGAAGATGTAATCAAGAGTGATTATAAAAGCTTAGCATTTTAAATTTCAAAGGCATTTTATATTGATAAGCTTTCTATGTTTTTCTAAGCGTGTAGGATAACTGACTAAAACATAAAAATTCTCTCGCTGATATTTACTTAGAACAAAAGTATTAAAAATTTAAAGCTTCATATTGGTAGTAACTCAATCACTAATTAATCAATGTTCTACATCATCTTAAACCTAGCTTTAAATAAGAGTATTAAAAGCATAGAATTAGAGTATAATAATTGCGAAATGTTAGTTTTAAAGGAAACTACGAGAATGTTATCAGCATTTTTACATTATAAAGCTAAAGACTGCCCACTAGTAGAAGTTAATATCAGTGGTGGTTTTGGTTTAACCAATTTACCCTTAATTCCTTAAAATCTATAAACACTTTAAAAAATAGATTTGCATGTAAGCAATAATATTTTCAAGGATGATTAATTATTAATTAATATTTGCTCAGGTTTGTAAAATAATCAAAATCTGGAAGTATTTTCGCTAGATTTCAAAAATAATAATCTTACTCAATATGGAATTTCTTAACTTGCAAATTTTCTTTATCCCACAAAATAAGAATCTAAATTAAAAGAATTGAGGCTCAGTTTAAGCGGAATTGAATAAGGCTGCAATGCTAGCTAAGCAATCCCAAAATTAGGAGAAGTTTTACAAACTATGAAATAATTATACAAATTTGAGATAAACTTGAATGACTTTAATTTAGAAAGCAATCATTTTGGCTAATTTTTAAACTGCTTAAAAGCTAAATAGGGATTGCCTTTCTAGTGGCTTTTTATTTCTTATTCAGGAAACCCCAATATCAAATTAGAAGATGAAGTCATTCTGGGAGAAATAAATGCTAAAAATTACTTTAACTATGGAATAAACGTCGACATAACAAATGACTAAATCAAAATAAGCAATAAAAAAATTGGTGCATAAGAAGACAATAGTTTAACTTATGGCTAAATTAAACAAATTGGAGAAAGTGTTTATAATTTTCCAAACTGTTAAAAACTCGACTTAAGTTAATTTAGAGCTAACTGGAGTCTTAAGCAATAAAGGCTCCTGAAGTACATTCACATAACCAGTGGATGTAATACTACATGCTATGTCTCGAATATTGAAGACTAAAGTATTCCTAAATGGGATTTACTTGACATTTTTCTCTCGATAAACAAGCTACAGATACTAGCAATTTACAAATCTTTGCAAGGTATTTTGCCAATTTCTTTGCCTTTAGCTATATATGATTTAAGAGAGGATATGGATTTGTAAATTAGTAAAAATTATAATCTTTGATCCTAGAAAAAAATTATCGTTAATTAAGTTAGTACATGTAAATGTTTAATATTTAACTTTATGTGTAAGATTTTCTTTATCCTTGCTAGAAAAAATTCAATAGAGATAGATAATTCATTAATTTCTAATTAATTTAGCAAATAAATATTAATTTGCTAATTTATAAATTTTATTTCTAATTTTAATCATGTATTAATTCTAATTTATAAATTATTTTATTTTTTTCAACTATCTCTTTTTTATTCAAGTTTAACAAATTATTAAATAAATTCTATACAACTCTATTGATACATTTCATAAAAGAATTTATAAATTTGGGTGTTTCTATAAGGTTAGATTTTTGCTTTTCAAAATAATTTGTTTGATTATTTATCTTGTTGCATATATTTGAATTGAGTAGATTAAAATTATAAAAAAAGTAAATTTTAAAGTTTTCCAAAAATAATTTTATTTTAAATGTAGTATGTGTGTTTAGTTGAAAAATTATTTTAAATAATTCATGTTAATTAAGTGATTTAAGAAAGGAATAATTACAAATAATAAATATCTATCAGTAATATTGATTTAATATTTAAATCCTAAAAATTATATCAAATTATTGAAAGAATAGAAAGGTTTTTTAGGTATAACTCACTCTTTAAAATACTATTTTATTTAAAACTATAAGAAATTGATGAATATTTTATATTTTCAAAAGAATGCTGTAATTATTCTAAATATTTAAATTTTTTAATTTTGTAACAAATTACATCAACATTCAAGTGAGTTGCTAGTAAATTAGAAGGCGAAGACGTCAGTCGTTTATTTATTTTAGTTACAAAATAATATTGAAAAAATTAAAATGTAAATAAAAAAAACATTTTTAAAAATATTTGTAAAGATATTTTTGTTCATAAAACAAATTTTCTTTAAACTAATTGGAAGTAATTTTTCAAATTTTTTGAGTATTTCAAATTTAATACAACAAAATATAAAATCTACTTGAAAATAGATTTAAAAAAACAATACATCAAAAATTTACATTCACTTTTTAAAAAAATTAAGCTGCTTAACTTTTAAAAAGATAGATGTAAAAGTCTTTGTTTCTATGATTGATAAAAGAAAGTTTTGTTTAAGAAAGATTTGATTTGATTTGCTTAATTAAGGTATCAACTATTGAGATACTAATTTGTGTTATTACTAGCAATTATTTTTGTAAGTGATGTCAAAAGATAAAAGTCATAGTTTTTTATAAGTTTTAATTTGGTGGTAATTATATTTTTAAATTTTATATGTTTATATACCATCATCATATGCTTTATTATTATTCAAAACCATTTAATCTTATGAATATATAAAGCAAGCTATTAATTTGAATACTCACTTGAAAATATTTGATTCTTCAAAATCTTCTATTTTAGTTAAATGATCTCCATTTTTAAATTTGAATTGGAATTTAATTTTGATTTTCTTATGAATGAATAGGTAATTGCCTAATAAATATTTATTTGAAAAATTCGTTAGCTATTAAAAAATGAATATAAAAGGTATTTTATCAGTATTTTTCATTTTCATAAATTAATTGAGAATGATTGATGTTTCTTTTATTAGATCTTTTATTTTTTTAGCAATTACGAGTAAAGATTTGTCTTAAATTTTCATATACATAGACAATATAAGTCTTATTTATTCATTAGAATTTTAAAAAGAATAGAAGGAGATCATATAAAAGAAATTTTACTATTCCTAGGTGCTATTTCTGTAAATTAGAATTTAATTTAAAAAAAAAAAACTTAGGGTAATTTACACTGAAATGTATCAGCTTTAGAATTCTTTAGCAATTTCTACTAATTCGAATGTAAAAGTTAAGTTTCTTTTGAATTTTGAGACCATTTATTTAAATGTATCATTATTCTTATATTTTTAGAAAAGATTCAATTTTAATTAAAAGCTAGCAAAGATATTCATAATTTTCATAATCTTTTTTAATCAAAAAAAAAATAATAAAAAGTAAAATTAACAGTTTGAGAAATTAATTGTAAAAAATTAAATTCTAATATAAAATCATAAATAAACAAATTAACTATTTTCATTTAATCAATATAATATTAAACTGAATAAATTATACATATAATAAATAAAACATCATGGAGAATTAAGAATCCTAATAGGAATAACTTTTTTTGAACAGATACCGATTAGGTAGAAATATTGGATAAGGCAGTTAAGGTCAAGTAAAACTTGCTCTTGATACTTAAACTGGTTTAAAGGTTGCTATTAAAATTTTTAAACACAGAAAGATGAATAACATGGATTTTTTGTATTTATAAAGAGAAGTCAACATACTTTCATAACTACAAGGCCATAGAGCTTTTCTTAAATTAATTGATTTTGCTTATAATATAATTTATGTCAATGGTCATGGCTAAAAAGAAGTCATATCTGTCATAATTATGGAATATGCTAATAATGGATGCTTATTTGATCTTGTTTCATTTTTCTAAGAAAAATACAGCGAAAATGTGATTAAAGTAATTGCTTTGTAATTAATAGACGCTATAGAACATATGTAAAAGTATAAAATTAGTCACAGAGATCTGAAATTAGAAAACATAGTTATAGACGCAAATTACAATTTAAAGATTATTGATTTTGGTCTCTCGATTTAGGAGACTTAAGACTGTAAACCTAAATCAAACGTTGGAACAACACCATATGCACCCCCAGAAAGATTTTTAGGAAAAGAATATAGTGGATAAAAATTTGATATCTTCTCATTAGGAGTCTTACTATTTGTACTTAGATTTAATTAATATCCTTTTACACACAGTAATCCTGAAAATTCTTAGGAAAGTGGAAGCTTCTTTCTTTTTTCCGAAAATAGATAATAATTTTGGGAGCTCATTATCTCAAACGAAAGACCAGAAGAATTAAGCTTTTTGGATATGCTGAACTGGATGTTATAGTAGGATCCTCAAAATAGGCCTTCTATTGAAGAACTCCGCTTGCATCCATTTTTATTCAATAATAACTCATGCGATAACAAAATTGAAAAATTTTTGTAAATGAGAAAAGAAATTATGAATGAAATGATGAAGAAATAGAAAGTTCAGAAAAATGAAATTTAGTTACAATAATAACAAAAGGAAAAACATCAAAGATGTACTGAATAAAATTAAAAATCTAATGAATAAAATTAGTCCAATCAATCTATATCAAATGAATCCTCAGTTGCTAATTAATAACCTCTTATTAGTTAAATTATTGAAAAACATAAAAATTAATAATTTCCTTTATAGTTTTACTCTAAGTAATGCTAAATGTAGATTTCTGATTAAAAGCAAGAAAGTTTACAATAAAAAATTATTAGTAACAAAATTAATCCAATAAAACTTGATAAATAACACAATCCCTTGGCATATTAACAAAAAATGGTAGGCTAATTGATACAATAGCCATAAGTTAGTTTTTTACTCAAAACTTCTATTTTTGATATGAAACACTTATAACTATTAAAATAGCAAAAGACTTAAAAAAATATTTCAGACCTAACAAAATAACATTTTAAAAAACATTTCAATAAACAAAACAGCTTAAATCAAGGAATTAAGCAGCAAAATCGTAATAAAATCATTTTAACAAATTCTTTAATAAATAAATAACAACTATTAATAATTCATAACGAAAAATATTTATCCTTCAAAAAATTATTTTTGAGATAATATACTTACGAATTGTCAAAGCTGTTAGGAATAGAAAAATAACACACAAACTAAAATAAAGAAATTTCTAAACAAATAAATCAAATGATTTAATTTCACTTTTTAACCAAAATCTAGTAATATCTCATAATATTTTTATTTTAATTAAATAAATTATATATCAAATTTAACCAAATTCTTTCAGTCCTAATCATTTAAACCATATAAACAATTAATAACAAAAATACAGAATAAAGATTTACTCACTAAAATAATTAATTTGAAATCTTATTCTGATCTAATTTATTTCATTTGTTCATATCAATTTACATGTAAATACATATCTTTACTAAATATTCATAATACTTACTTAACTAATTTATTAATTAATTAAAGGATTTATTTTTCCAATTCAATAATTCCTATCTTAGCATTTTATTTTATTCAATTATTTACAATCTAAAATTTACCTCATAAAAAAAATTAGATATTTTTTTTCAAAAATAATCTTATAATCAAATTTTTGGTAAGAATCATTAAAACCTTTTTTAATGATTTAAATACATTTTATGTGTATATTTCAGCTGCATTAAAAAAATGATGTCTAAAAAATAATATCAAACACTCTGATTTATTGAGGTAACTTTACCCCTCTAAGAATGGCGATTGATATAATTTTCAATAACCAAAACAATTTAAGAAAAATCAGTTTAGTTCTAAGATAAAAGACTTTTTGGAGCATACATATTATTTTTGATCACAAAAATTTAATATCTTAGTATTTTAATTAAAATCTGATATATTATTTAATTGAGAGAAATTGAAATGAGATACTTTCAAACCACTTGGAATTGAATGAATCAATTTTATTTTTTATTATTTTAAACTTTATTTAAATTTAAGGAAGAATTTATTAAAATAATTATTTGAGTAATATTGAATAAATATTCCTAAATTAAATTTTAATAAATATAAACTTTATTTTAAATGAATTTTTATGAGTAAGATTCATTATTATATATGTTTAATTATTTTTCTTTTTTAAAATAAAAAAATTTCTTTGTATATTTTTTATCTGTGAAAGAAAGTATTTCATTTTGATAAATTTTAGTGTAGAAAAAATTCTACTTTAATTGAAATTATTTAAAAAAGTGATTTAAAATTTAATTTATATTTTTAAATTGAAATTTTTATTAAATAGTTATTAAAACACAAATCTTTAACTTTTAAATTAATAAATTTCTTGTATTTTTTTATTTGAAAAAAATTACAAAATATAGAAAATCAATCTTTGTTTATTATTAGAAAATTCAAAATGTAGCAACAAGAAGTTTAACAAAAGTAAAACCAATTTTTTTGCGATATTCACTAAGATGAACCTATTATTGCTGTTTGTCTGAAGGATGATTGCGAGCTAGATAGTTAGCGCTTTTTATGCTTAAATTGTCTTTTAAATGAACATTCTATGCATCCTTAGAGCTGTGTTAAACTACGCGAACTTACTAAAAATTCAAATTAATAGTTTAGTAGTAGTTATAATATATTAAATTGGCCTTAAGACAAAGCAATCCAAAAAATAATGTAGCAAGTAAATGATGAAAAAAAGAAAGATGATTAGCTTTTTGTTGAAAATCTGTTTGACAAATTTTAAGAAGATATCATAAGATAAATTTAGATAGCAAAAAAGGAAATTATAAAAATTGTAGAGTCCGAAAAGCATTAGAGACAGCAATTCCTTCAGAACTTAGAGTAAAAAATAAATCAAATAATCGACTTGCGTCCTCTCAAAGAGATTATTTTTGACTAACCTAATCTTATAGAACAATCTGTTTATAACTCCCTCGCTCCTTCTCCGTCATGCAAAATAATGAATAAAGTTGAATCTACAGGTTTTAATTCAATCACAGATTCATAAGCATAGTTAAATGAGTCAAAAAAGTTGGAGCAAATTGCACTTTAAAATATTTAACAAGGTTAATGCTTAAAAGAGTCAATAAATATACTGAAAGACAGTATTTTTAATCAAATATAAACTACATAAGATTCCCTTAATAATTAAGTCTTACAAAATCAATAAAAAAATATGTATCAGAGTGTTTAGCTGCAAAAAAATAACTCTTAATAGGGAAACCTATTAGATGACTAATAACTAGATGATTAAGTTAACTCATAAAATAATTTGACCTAAACAATATACTTAGGAAATGCATCTTCTAGTGAAAATAATAGCAATAGCAATCTTCAAAGCAAAATAAGTGACTTAGCTATTCGCTCTAAAAAGCTAGGAGAGTATTTAAAAAATGATAAGAAGAAAAAATAAGCTGTGGAAGTTAAAGAATATTATGTCAAAAATAAAACGAAATTGGGTAGTAGTTTGCAGCTAAAAAATTTCAATGACGAAAAACAGCTTATATTAAGCTAAATTGAAGATATTCCTTGGGTATTATTGAAATTCTTTGTTTTAGAAAAGCAAAAAATAAACTTTAGCAATACAGATCTTCAAGAAGAAAGTACTTTAGCAATATTTCAAGGATAAAATACTTCAAATTTAGTTTACAGTGATTTACCATTTTCTAATGGCATTTACTCAATAAAAATTTAAGTATAAAATATTCTTACTTAGCATTTATTGATAGGTTTAGTGTAAGAATAATACAAAGATACTCTCAATTTTAACAACAACTGCTGGATCTACTAATGCCTTCTATGTAGAAACTAAGAACATTCAAAAAATATGAGAAGAAATCATCAGAACGTTTCAAGTAAAATATCTTCTTTAATTACAGTGCGCATAAATTTTGAAGAAAATCAAATAAATATATATGATATTAATGACAATTTAATCTCCTCAATGTATTAAGATATTGATTTAAAGACTCATATGTATAGATTTTTTATTTCTTCTATTTCTTAGCAAGCTTAAAATGTGTAGCTTAAGCTAGTTCAATCAATTAAGCTTTTTGATTGATAAATTAATATTAAATGTTTCATAAAGAGTGTAAAAATTATTTTAAACATAAAAATGAATGAATCAATCAAAAAAAACTTTTATTTATTTATTGATTTAATTATTTTTTATTTATTTAAATGCAAAATTAATTTTATTTTAATAAAAATTATAAAACAATATTTTATTACCTAATCAAATAAATATTTAAATTTATTATTTTTGTTTTTAAATTAAATTATTTAATTCATTAAATACATGCATTCATTTTCTAAAAAGAATGAAAATTATTTGTAAATTTAATGATTTAAATAAACTCAATTTAAAATTTAATTTTTAAAAATTTTATATCCAATTTTATTTATTTGCACGTAAATAGTGTTTTAAGGTCAAATTTTACTGAATATAATAAGCTATTAATTCTTTACACAAAAGTATGTAAATAATTATATATTTTAAAATTATTAGTTAAAATAATATGTACAAATAGAAAATAAGAAAACTAAGTTAAATTTTTTTATATTTAAGTGTAAATTTTCACCATAAAGCATATTTCAAAAACCATCTTTAGGTTCTAGCTAAATATTTTCTTGTCTCCTCCCAAGCAAGAAGAGTTATACTCAAACATATTCCTGGTATACCAAACAAGAAAAATGGGAGGGATCTTCCTCCAAATACATCTTAGACACCTGGGACATAGAGAAGGAATAATGCTATTAGTGTCTCAAAAATAACTCCTTAAACCATGGTTTTGTTAAAAGCAGATGTTGTAAAACTCATTTTTCTAGACTTACAGGCAAAAATATTTGACCATTAAATAGTTACAATTGATACAAAGTAAACTGATTATGCCCAGTATATAGCATCTATTGAATAACAAGAAGTTACTTTGACACTATCTGATTTATAACTTGAAGAGTTGACATTACAATGACTCCATTCAATTGCAGGGACCCACTAACCTTAAGAATTACATTTAAGTAATGATTTTCTCAGATCATAATTAACATCATTTAAATTTGACCAGTCAATAGTGTATTTAATCTTTTCAGCAGCTTTAGCATTTTTATTACAGTCACCCAAAGTGAGAGCATGTAAAGCTGAGTTAAAATATGGATCATTATTATGATAAGTATTGAAGTCATTTACAGGAGGTTTATATCCTTCAGCATTTGCAATACCAAATAAAGATTTAACAGGAAAGCCTAAATAATTAAAGCACACAAAATATCCAATAAATCCACCTGCTGATCCAATTTAACCTAACATAAGATAAGATATAGTTATTAACTTTGCTGAAACAAGATGTTCTTCCTTTGTACGTGGTTTTCTTGTCATCACATCTAATTCGGCTTCTTCATATGCTAGAGAAATAGCTGGCCAAATATCAGTACCAACACATATAACGAGCATAAATATACTGGAAAGAGGGAGAGGAATTTGGCAAACTATGAAGGCTAAGAAGGGAACAATTTCAGTCATATTTGATGTTAAAAGATAAACTACTGTTTTTTTAAGGTTATCAAAAATTTTTCTGCCTTCTTCAATTCCACTAACGATAGAAGCAAAATCATCGTCAAGAAGAATCATATCAGCAGCATCTTTAGTCACATCACTACCTGAAATATTCATTGAAATTCCGATATCGCCTTATTTAATAGCAGGAGAATCATTAACTCCATCACCAGTAACTGCGCAAATAAAGCCTTCTTTTTAGCAAGCATTCACTATTTAAAGTTTTTATGCTGGTGTAGTACGAGCAAAAACGCAATAAGGTTTATTTACCCATCTCCTTAGATAGTATAATTCATCATCTCTCCCTTCTTACGAGCATCTATCAATAGACTCTACTATTCTGTCTCCATGTACAACTATTGCTTCACATTTTTCACTTGCATCAAACCAATCAATATCAGGATTTTACTCTAGTATATCTTCATTTGTTTAAATGTCTTTTGGTACAATATTTACTTCTTTAGCTATTGCTGCTGCTGTTGGAGGTTAATCTCCAGTAACCATTATAACTTTTATACCAGCAGATCTGCATTCAAGTATAGCAGCTGGAACTCTAGTTTTCGGAGGATCCATTAAGGAAACTAAACCACAAAATTAAAAGTTTTCCAGTTTAAAGTTGAATTTCGATATTGATGAAACAGTAAAATGAGATCCCATAGGATATAAGTCAGAAGGAAGAGGTAATCTTGCAAATCCGAGTACTCTTTCGCCTCCCTTACCAAAAATAAGATTAACCTTTTTAAATTCATCTTTCCATTTTTAATTAATAATATCAGGTTTTTAGCCTATAAGTACAGAAGAGCAATAAGCCCATATTTTCTCAGGAGCTCCTTTAATATATACACAATAATTACTATTTTATGTTTTTTCTTCAACTATTGTTAATGCAAATTTCACTGAAGAATTGAAAGGCATTTTAGCTTAAGTACCATCAGGATTACGAACTACTTTGAATCTATCACGGAATTTGTTGACATCGGAAATATATTAATAGAAGCGAATTAAGCCTGTTTCAGTTGCATCCCCAATTACTGGGCATGTTAAATAATCTATATCTGTTTAATCGGGTAAGCTAGATGTGTCGAAACGAGCTTCGCTGCAAATCATAGCAGATTAATGAAGCATCATAAAGTTAGGATCATTCATATCATAATCAGCCTTATTTCCATTTAGCAATTTTTAGTTCTGAGCTATATGAATTCTATTATTGTACCACATATGCTTCACAGACATAACATTTTGAGTAAGAGTACCTGTTTTGTCTGAGCAAATACATGTAGTTGACCCTAAGGTTTCTACTGCTTCTAGATTTTTTACTAATACCTACTTTTTAGAGAGATTCTTAGCTGTAATAGCTAGAGAGACTGTAATACAGCCAAGTAAGCCTTCTGGGACGTTAGCAACTAGAATACCAATACCAAAAATAATACATGTAAGAGAATCATAATTCATAACAAAAAAAGCTAAGAAAAAGAATAGAACACCAAGAAAAATTGCAATAATAGTAATCATTAAAACGAAACGATCTAGCTCGATTCTCAAAGGAGTTTTAGCCTTTTTATCACTAGAGGTTAGATCCGCAATTTATCCAAGTGTTGTTCTATCACCAGTACAAATAACGATTCCCTTTCCTGTTCCTTCTTTGCAAAGAGTTCCAAAGAATGCAAGGTTAGAAGTTTCAAGATAGCTATCTGGATGAGAGCATTCTACTGTACGAAGAAGTGGTTCACACTCACCTGTTAGAGGAGAATTATCTACTTTCATTTCGTTAGATTCAATAATACGAATATCTGCAGGAATTTTTTCACCAGCTTTTACTAATACTATGTCACCAACAACTAAAGTCACTGCAGAAATATTTTTGATACTACCATCTCTAATTACAGTAGAGTTTTGAGGAATAAAATTTTTAAAAGATTCCATAATAGCTTCAGATTTAGCATTTTATTAAAAAGTTATAACAGCTGTAATACTGATAACAATTATGATAACAATACCTAAATAAAGATTAGAGGGATCTGAAGAATTTAAGCCATAAGTAATAAAACACAAAATACCACCCAGCCAAAGCATAATAGCAAACCCATTAGTTAATTCCTTGAGAAGTAAAACCCACCATGGTGTTTTATCTTTTTCAGTTAATTTATTTTCACCGTGTTCCTCGAGTAACTTACTTGCTTGGTCTGTTGTTAAACCCTTTTAAGAACTAGTTTAATACTTTTTGTAAAGCTTATCTAAAGCAATTTTATGATCTACTTTAGCTTAGATTTAGTTTGCAGCTTATTCAACCATTTCGTCATGGTTTTAATGGTTTTGTTAAACTTGCTCTATTAAACTTGTATCTTAAGTCTCTAGATCCTCATATTCCATAGTATATTTATTTGAGTGGGGTATCTTGTTTTCATAATGTTACTATTTTTAGCTGTAGTTGTGAAGGTGCTAAGTTTATTTTCTTTCTCTGACAGCATTATTTAATGTCACTGTTTATCTCAGCTCTTCAAAGTGCAAAGCTATAGATGAAACACGTCTACGATTATCGATATCGTTTATATGTTATTACATTTATCAAAAAGATGATAAAGAATGAATAAATACAATTTTTTTTTATATTATTGATTACAAAAATAAATTAAGAATTTTTGATTTTTAAATTAGTTGACTTGAGAATTTGTTAAGAAATTTACTTTTATTGCAATTAATTATTTCTTTCTCAACACTTAATTTAGTTTAATTGATTTTATTCTTTTTAATGTAAGGTAATGATTTACTGTTGCCAAAATCTTTTTTTGATCAAATTTTTTATAACCCATCTAATATTTTTATCTCTTACTGAGAATTTTTGTAATAGAAAACCAAGATCATTAAGCTAAAATAATTAGGTATTTTGCTTCAGAAAAAAATTTTATTTTGTAAGATAAATATAAATTTGTTTTCTAAAAAAATATTGGTTGTAAATTAAGGTAAGTAAATTTTTATTAAATTTATATAAGAAAGCTAAATATATAGATAGATATTTTCAAAATTAATTTACATTCCTATTTTTAATTTTAAATTTGTAAATTTAGAATCTAAATATAGTAAAAAGCGTGAAATGTATTAATCAAAAGATTTAATTAATATTTTCAGATATTATATTTATTTATTTCTGCTAAAAACTTTACATAAATTAGTAAACGATATTATTTTTCATATTAAGTTTTTAAGTATTTTTTAGAGCTTAAAATTTAAAAATTACTAAGTAAGTTAATAATTAATACTCTATTTAAGTAGGATAAAATGATCATATTTACAAGTAAGATATTCATACTAATTGATAAAAAGAATGAATAAGAAATTAATTAAATAAAACTTTTCTGTTCTAGCTTAAAATCAAATAAATACACCTCACATATGTTTGCTTAAAATTGAAAAACACGTTTCTGAATAAATATTAGATTGAAAGATTAAAAGTGAGAAAATAAAATTCAATAGGGAGCAATTATTTCAAAAAGTTCCTTTCAGAATTACTTATCTATTAACTTTTTGATTATTTTAAGATAAAATAAGAAGTTTTTTATCTAATAATTTTTGAGATAGAGTCATATTTTTCAATGATAACTCAAATTTTAAGAAAATCTTTATTCATTTAAAAAATTGAAATATTAATATTGATATTCTAAAAAAATCAATAACTTTTAATGCTGAACAAAATTTTTTGAATTTATTGAATTTGTACTTCTAAACTTTTTATAGTCGAAGCATTGAGTTTTAAGAGAATTTAAAATCTGAGCATCACCTATCCTTAATAAACACCTTGTTTCCTATTAATTTCAAGCAAACACGTTGCATCACCCATTTTTCCACAAAATTCATTCTTTTTTTTTCTTAAATGAATAATATAATATTTTTTAGGTAATTAATTTGAGTATGAAGGTCAACAGTAGTTTTTTTATTAAAGATTTGATTTTTTATAAATCTAAAATATTTGTATATACTTAACTTAAACATTATTATAACAGTTTTTCTATTTTAAAATATAATCCTTCTTAACTAAATGAATTAGATTAAAAATTCAAAATTTCATCTTTAATAACATTAAGATTAGATAATTAATTTTTGTTCGTGAGGTTACAATTTATCTTTCTTTATTTGAGAAATAAAAATTTTATTAAATATTTCAAATGAATGATGAAATTAAAGTTTGAAATTCTTAGAAAAATATTTTTTATTAAAACTCCACTACTTAAAAAGAAGATATGATAAATTTTTTTACTAATATGTAATAAAAAATTTAAAAACTAATATTAAAAAAATACTTCTTTTTTCTCATGCATTCTTTAAACATACTTTAAAAGGATTTTGTTTTAAATTTGAAAAATAAACAATAAAATATGATAAATTCTTTTTCTCAATAGAAAAAGGAATATATTAATCTGATTAGAATTAGATAAGTCTTTTTAAATTTATATGTTATTGAGGGTAATTAAATTTTACTGCATTGTACTAATAATTACAAACGAGGATTAAATTAAATTTGAGAAAAAAAAGTATTTTCAAAAAATAGGTACACTTTTTTAAATTTTTCTATTTATTTTTTTTGTTTTAAAATTCTGCTTTTTCTTAGTCTAAACGATTCTGATTTCTATAGGTTCTTATGTGAATAATCTTAGTTTTTAGAAATGAAACTGAATTAAAAAATAATAATTATATCTTTTATTTTTATACATATTGTGAAAATAAAATTAGAGGTATATCTTATGTCTATTAATATCATAATTTTGCTCTTAATATATTATATTTTTTTTGAGTTTAAATGAAAATTATTTATATTAAAGAACATTTAGTGCTACATTTTGTAAAACTTTAGCCTAAGATTAATTTAGCATTAAATTTTTGAATGTGATAGTAAATATAAATATTTTTTTAGATTTAAAAGAATTTATTATTGGAAAATATTTGAATTTTTGATAAAGTTTAGAAATAAAGCCATTTAAATTTAAACTGAATGATATTTTTTTATGGTATCTGTATTAAAAAATAATCCATTTATCAATTTATGTATAGAGATTGCCACTTAAGATTTACCATAAAAATAATTTTTTTTTTTTTGAGTTTAAATGAAAATTATTTATATTTTAAGGAACTTTAAGTGCTAGATTAGTAAAAATTTAACTTAATAAAGCTCTTAATAAAATTTTGAATATGATAGTAAGTATAAATATCTTTTGATTTAAAAGAAGTTATTATTGTCAAATATGTGAATTCTTAAAAATATTTAGAAATAAAGCCAATATATTTAATTTAAACTGAATAATATTTTTTTGTGGTATCTATATTAAAACATAAACCATCTATCAACTTATTTATATAGATTGTTATTTAAGATTGACTATATCAACAATTTATCTTTAAAAGCAACTATGATAATTTTTATTTTTAAGGATTATCTATTTTTTATTAAAAATTATCTTAATAGATATTTAAGAAAAAAATTTAAAAAATAAAGACTCGGTTAAAATCATGCAAAATAATTTCTTCTTAAAAGGCAAAGAAGTAAATTATTATTTTTAAAAAAATAAAATTATTATATGTTTGTATGAAAAAATAATCAAATTAAACATAAATATATAATATAAATATTAAAATACATATTATTTTATTACAAAGAATTATTAAATTTAAGAAAATTGGATATTTATTTATTATTTCACCACAAGGCATACTTTAGGAACCACCTACTTCTCCTTGTGCTAAATTTTCTCAATTCATCCCAAACTAGTAAAGTAGAACTAATAAAAAGTCCTGGAATTCCAAACATCCAGAATGATAGAGGTCTTCCTCCAAATACATCCTACACTCCTGGAACATATAATAAGAATGCCGCAAGTGCTGTTTCAAATATTACACCTTAGATCATAACTTTATTAAAAGCTGAATTTGTGAAACTCATTTTTCTGCTCTTACAAGCAAATATATTTGACCATTGGAGACAAACTATGCAAACAAAGTAAACCGATTAAGCCCATTTTATTGCATCAGTGGTGTAGCATGCAGTTTTTCCAGTAATAACTGAATAAGTGTGATCAGAGTTAACATCACAATCACTCCATGCAACAGTTGGGACCCATTTACCATTAGAATCACATTTTAAATAAGCTTTTCTTAAATCGAACTTTCCATCTTCAACAAGAGACCAGTCAATAGTATAAGATAATTCTTATGCAGCTTTAAAGTTTGCATTACAATCTCCCTTAGTAATGGCTTCAAGCTTACTGTTGTAGTATGGATTTCCATTATAGTCACCAAAGTCACCCTCAGGTGGTCTATATCCACTAAAAACTGCTTATCCGAAAAGGGACTTTACAGGGAAACCAAAATAATTAAAGCATACAAAGTACCCAATAAACCCTGCAGCGCATCCGATTTCACCCATTTGAAGATAGGCAATTGTTATTAATTTTCCTGATACTAAGTGCTCATCTTTCTTACGAGGTCTTCTAGTCATAACATCTAATTCAGCTTCTTCGTAAGCTAGAGAAAGAGCAGGCCAAATATCTGTTCCAACACAAATGACAAGCATAAATATACTTGATAAAGGTACTGGAAGTTAGAAAGCAATAAAGGCCAAGAAAGGAATAATTTCAGTCATATTAGAAGTCAAAAGATATACTACAGTCTTTTTAAGATTATCAAATATTTTTCTACCTTCTTCAACACCGCAAACAATAGATGCAAAATCATCATCAAGAAGAATCATATCTGCAGCATCTTTAGTTACATCACTACCTGAAATATTCATAGAAATACCAATATCACCTTGTTTAATAGCAGGAGAGTCATTAACACCATCGCCAGTGACAGCACAAATGTATTTTTCTTATTGGCATGCTTCAACAATTTATAATTTTTAAGCAGGAGTTGTACGAGCAAAAACGCAATAAGGTTTCTTAACCCATTAACGTAAATAGAAGTACTTATCATCTCTATTTTCTTCAATACATTTTTCTATTGATTCTACAATTCTATCTCCATGCACAACTATAGCCTCACATTATTCAGTGGCTTCAAACCAATTCATATCAGGATTCTTTTCCATAATATCTTCGTTTGTTATCATATATTGAGGAATAATGTTAACTTCTTTAGCAATAGCAGCGGCAGTTGGAGGCTAATCACCTGTAACCATGATAACCTTAATACCAGCGGATTTACATTCTAAGATGGCACCAGGGACTCTGGTTTTAGGAGGATCCATCAAAGAAATAAGACCACAAAATTAAAAGTTTTCTAATTTAAAGTTGAATTTTTAAACTGAGGAAACACTAAAGTGGGTACCCATAGGATAATCATTAGCAGGTAGGGGTAATCTAGCAAAACCAAGTACTCTTTCACCTCCTTTACCAAATCTTAAGTTGACTTTCTTAAATTCTTCCTTCCATTTTTGATTAATTTAATCAGGCTTTTAATTTATTAACACTGAAGAGCAGAAAGTCCAAATCTTTTCAGGAGCTCCCTTCACATATACACAATAATGACTGTTTTCACCTTCTTCCTCAACTACTGTTAAGGCAAATTTAACTTATGAATTAAAAGGCATCTTTCCTACAGTACCATCAGGATTACGTACAACTTTAAACTAATCACGGAATTCATTTACATCTGATACATATTAATAGAAACGAATTAAACCTGTTTCAGTAGCATCACCAATAACAGGACAAGTCATGTAATCAATATTTGTTAAATCGGCAATAGTAGAAGTATCAAAACGAGCTTCACTGCAAATCATAGTAGCCTATTACAGCATTTTGAAATTGGGGTCATTAATATCATATTCTGCAGCTTCTCCTGGAGTCAAGAATTTCTAATTTTTAGCAAGATAGACTGAATTATTATACCACATGTGTTTTACAGACATAACATTTTAGGTGAGAGTACCAGTCTTATCTGAGCAAATACAAGAAGTTGATCCTAATGTTTCGACGGCTTCTAAGTTCTTAACGAGGACTTATTTTTTGGCTAAAGTCTTAGCAGTAATAGCTAAGGAAATAGTAATGCATCCAAGTAAACCTTCAGGTACGTTTGCAACTAAGATACCAATACCAAAAATAACACAAGTGAGGATAGGATAATCCATAGCTAAGTAGGCTAAAAGGAAGAAGAGAATACCAAGGAATACAGCAATACATGTGATCATAACTACAAAACGATCAAGTTCAATACGAAGAGGAGTCTTTACTTTTCTTTCACCTGAAGACAAATCAGCAATCTGACCGAGAGTGGTTCTATCACCTGTACAAATTACAACACCTTTTCCAGTACCTTCCTTACATAAAGTACCAAAGAAAGCTATATTAGAAGTTTCCAAGTAGTTTTCAGGATGAGTGCATTCCACAGTACGAAGAAGAGCCTCACTTTCACCTGTTAGAGGAGAATTATCTACTTTCATTTCATTTGATTCAACTATACGCATATCAGCAGGGATTTTTTCACCAGCCTTTATCAAGACAATATCTCCAACAGCGAGATTAACTGCGTTTATTACTTTAATACCTCCATCTCTAATTATTGTACTATTTGAGGGTATAAAATTTTTAAAGGAATCCATCAGAGCTTCTGATTTAGCATTTTGTAAGAAGGTAATTCCAGAAGTAATACTAATAACAATAATGATAACAATACCTAGATAAAGATTTGACAGATCTTCAGGAGTCAATCCGTAAGTAATAAAGCACAATGCACCTCCAACCCAAAGCATGAGTGCAAATCCATTTGTCAATTCTTTGATAAGTTTTACCCACCATGGTGTTTTTTTCTTTTCACTAAGCTTGTTTGGTCCATATTCCTATAGATTTTGTTCTGCTTATTATGAAGTCAAACCACTGTCTAATTTTGTTTAGTATTTTGAACAAAGCTCATCAATTGAAATTTTATGATCGACTTTTTAGGTAAGTTGTGCTTTTGCTTATTCGTCCTTAGTCATCTTTTTATTGTTGTTTTTATGAGTAGTTTATTATTATTATTAAGGTGTAACCTTAATATCCTCTAATTCAACTGCATGCTAATGAGGTTATTTATTTCCATCATCGCCAACATATTTAGTTTAAAAGCTTTAATTAACGCTCTACCTAATTTCTTGAACAGAGTTATTTAGCTGAATTGATTGCCTTAGCTCCTCAAACTTACGGACAACAGCTGAAGTTTAGGAGTGATGAGACTAATTATCATCTTGATTTTTTTAAATATTTTTGTTATTTCTCATTCTTTTAAATGAGGTTAAAGATGAGATATTTTTAGAATTTATTAAAATTTATTTATTTATTAAGTGAATATATTCAATTAGAATTACCTATTTAAGCACCAATAAGTTAAAATAAGTTAGAGTCTAATTATCTTTTTAAAAAAATTATAGTTCTATTTGTAGACAAATATATTAATCAATTAAAAGTTTTGGAGTTTTTGTTAAGGCCATATATTTTTTTTAATACAGACTTTAAGGAAAACTTATAAATAGAATTCTGTTTATACTACAAAAAATGAACAATCTAATAAAAATATCTAATTTTTTCTAGAGTATTTTAAGTTATTAAGCTAACAGAAAAACAATATACATAAAATTATTTTATAAACAAGCTTCAATTTAGTGGAGTTTTACCAAATAGATAAATATATTTTCATTTTTATTTCAATACAAAAAGTTTATTTGAGGATGACCCAAAACTTAATTAAATTAAGTTTAACTGTTCTATAAATATCTTAAGGTAGTTAGTTTTTGTTTTAATCATTAAAAATTTCAATGTATTAAAATTAAATAATTGCTATTTAAAAATAATTAATCGCCCACAAGGTGAAAGCTGAAATGACGATAAGTTACTTCCCTTTCTATTTATATCCATTTTTTATATTTTACTTTTTATATTAGCAAAAGGTCCTTTTTTAAAAAAATTTGTTGACCAAAGAATTATTTTGGATATGATAATTTTTTTTTACTATGGAGATTTTATAAGATTTTTCAAATAAAAACTTCCTAGATGGGAACAAAAAATACTATAATCATTTTTATCTATTTACTTGAGATGATTCTTCTGTTTTTGCAAATAAATAAACAAGTAAGGTACTAAAAAGGAATTTAAAACTATTAATAGTACTAATTATTAATTGATTTGTTTTACATACATACGTTCGTAATTAGAAAATAATTGAAATTTTATCTAAAACTCCACTTTATTAATTAAATGTAATATAGGCTGCATTTTGATTAAGTGAGTGGAGTAATTGGTATAATAAAGAATGTAATTTAATACTTGATACCATACTTATTTAGAAAGCAAAGTGATTAGTTAATTATTATCAAGAGAATTTATAATAGTATAAAATATAATTAGCAAAAAAAAATTGAGTTTTATTTTATATATATTTTTATTTTGATCCATACAATAATTCATTCAGTAAAATAAATAAATAATATTTCCTGCTACTTTTAGAAATTATAAACGAGAAAAAGTTTTTCCTTTTAAGTTTTTAGATACAAAGAAATCACAAAAAAATGATTGGGAAAATTTATATCTTTACCCTAAATAGGGAAAATTAATTATTGCAATAAGATTTTTTTATGAAGAACATTTTATTTCCTGCAAATTTACTTTTTTTGAAGTCAAAACAATAAAAATTAGTTATTTCTAAATTAATCATTTGGTTATTGCAGATTTGGCTTGATAAATCTGATCAAAATGTGAAAAATTGACTTATTAAGTAAAGGAAATTATATTTAACATTCCAGTATATAGGTTAGATTTTATCATGAACAATAAATTAAAATTTAAGTCAAATCTTTAAAGAAATAAGAAATCTGATTAATTTTGACTTCGCAAATAGTTATTAATCAATATGATTTGAAACTAATTTTCACTAATTTCTCAAATAAAATACATTTTTCATCAATTCAAATCAAGCAAATATGTAAATATGCTGATAATTTAAGTTAACTAAGTTTTAGCTTTGAAAATTCATTATGAATAAGTAGAAATAACAGCTTTTTTTTGCAATAGATATTTATCACAATTTTTTATATTATATCACTAGAATTTTATTAATGCGCATTATTTTAGACAACCAAAAAATATTAATTTAAGTCAAGAGAAAAAATTTTTTATCAAAATATGATTGAATGATTTTCTTATATTTATTTGTAAAAATCGATTATGGTTAATTATTAATAGTAAAGATAGATAAAATATTAGATTTATCTGATTTAATAGATACCACATAGTCTTTTATTTTTTTTATATATTTTATCAAACAAAATTTTTATTTTTAACAAGTAATTCCTGCCTGTCTGGTTGGATAGAGAAAAAAAAGTTAATCAAATTTTCAATTTTACTTTTTCAATAAATCCATTTCTTCCTTCCTTATATGTAATTATTTATCTTCTATCTCTAAATTCCTCAATCTAAAAAAAAATCATCTAAATATACCAATATAATAAAAATTATGATATAATAATTTTTAAGAAATTTAAATCTTCTTAAAATAAATAATATAAATTTAGAGTTTTATATAAATATCATCAAAAAGCCAAACGAGCTCTGATTCATAACATAGATTAATAAAAATACATTAGATTTTTTTAAAACTAAAATTATAATATTTCTTTCTCTATTTATTTATAAAAAGTAAAATTTATTTTTTCTATTTAATATTTAATAAAATATATCATTATTTATCTATATTTAAAAATCATTTATTTAATTTTTAATTTTATTTGTTAAAAATAATTATTTTTTATTTAGATTATTTTTTTAATTGAATAAATATTTAAAATATTTTTTTTAAATTTAAAAATAAAATATTTAATAATTTTAATAAAATTGAAATAGTTTAAAATGAAAACTTTGAATGTTGATTTGAAAATTTAATAGAATCAGAATAAATAAATTGCGAACATATGAATTTATTATAAATAAATAATATTCAATTCTAATATGTTTGTGTCATTGGAATTTATTTTAATTTAAATGAAAAGTCAAAATGAATAGCTGTTATTCATTTAAATTCTCTGTTTAAAAAAAAAAATCTAAAATTTTTAAAAATCTGCATAGTATTTTATAAATCATAGATCAATCTTTTTTGTTAAATTTCTTTCACATAATCATTCAAATATACAAAAAGATAATCAATAAAATTAAGTTAGTGAAAGGGAAAAAATATTTTTTTTAAGATCTGTATTCATTAAATTAATAAATGTAGTCATCTTCCAAATCTCAGCTAGGTAGCAGCGATATGAAGTTTAATGTCCCTAACTCCCCATAAATAAATTTACCTTTGTCCATTTCAGAATTTTAAAACTCTATCCAGCAAAAATAAAAAAAGGAATAGATAAATTCAGTTTAAAACACTGCTATGGGTAATATTCATTACAATTCATGTTCCTTACCATTGTAAATGTAAAGTATTTTTACTTAAGAATACAAAGAAGAGCTATGCTAGCTATAATAGGATAATTCACTACCAAAATCGTAGGTTTTAGAATAATAAAATAGCCTGAACTGCAAAATTTTAGATAATGATGAGACAAGCACTAAATCATAAAACCTAGAGCAATCTTTAAGAGAATAGGTATTTTAAAATAGCTTATTATAAGGTAGCAGACAAATGAAAAGATTAGCCAGTACATAAAATAGTAATGATGGAGGTTATCATGGAAATATTCTCTAAATTGGAGTTTCTTTTTCTCCCTTATCTTCTACCCATAACTCTCAAAATTCTACTATTTAAGTAAACAATTTGCTAGCAAGCAGCGGTAATTCAAATAAAACTATTAAAACCATAAATAGTAATCCATAAATTTAAAATTCTCCTAATACCAACCCATTAAATTTAAATTCTCTTAACAACGGAACTGATATGCCTTTATTAATGAAATCTCCCTCTAATTTGCATTAAAGCAAAGAAAAATAAAGCTCTACTTAAAAAAATCTAATTAAGGAATAGAATGATAGTAATAAGTATCTTAAGCTAAAAAGAAATTCTTCTTATGGAAGTTTTTCAAATATTTAAAATTCTTCTCTAAGTATAGCTTAAAAAAGAAATGCATTTGAATTAGGAAAAAATAATAGGAGTAGAAATTTATAAATGACAGATCTAAGTGTTTAAAATGAAGGGTCTACTTTTTTGAATAACTCATTATGTAATAAGTAAATTAAAAATTCCTCTTAATCAAGCACTTCAATAAATAATACAAATTAATAAAATTCAACATAGCCATAAACTTCTACATAATAAAATAACCAAGATTTTAATTAATTACTTTTGGAAATATCTTGCTAAAATTCTTTGCACCTGTATAATAACAATTATCTAAATACTCAGATAAATAATTTAAACTAAAATTAAACACCTTCAAATTAGAATGCAAAATATTATATGAGCAATAATAATAATAATAATAATAACTACATAGTTTCTTCTAATTTAAATTTACCTAAATAGTAATCTGCTACCTAATTTGAAACAAATTAGAACAAATAATATCTTGAAAATAACTAAAGCTCTTATTTCAACTAACTATCCACAAATTCAGGAGATAAAAATAAAAATTAATTTATTGATCAAATAAATAGTAATAATAGTTGCTTCAAACCAAGTAATCTTTCTTTTACAGAGCAATCTAAGTAAATATAAGATTTTTAATACAAATAAGATTCTTGCAATTAAAATATTAATCAAACCTCGTTAAATTCAAGTAATAATAAAACTTTTAATTAAAATTTTAACTAATCAGCAGCTACCTTTTAAGATTCAGCTTCAGACTAAAAACTTAATAATAATTAATTACCAAATAGTTAAATTACTCCTTTTATCTTCAATAAGCCTTTATACTTAGAAAATAAATAATTTTTATAAAATTCAGCCAATCAAATAATTCAGGACAATCAAAATTAAAATACAGAAAATAGGAAAATTTAAATGTGCAAGAATCACAGACATCAAAGTGTAATTTTTAAAAAATTAATTTTAATTTTGCAATAAAATAAAACAATAGAAATTTATTTTAGAAAAAGAATTATTTTTATAATTTTGAAATTTATTTATATTTTTTAAAAATTATCTGCTATCTAATAATAGGCTAATCATTATGCGTTAGATGAAGATAGGAATCAATAATTTTACTGTTACACATGCGCAGTATTACTATATTCATAGGGACACTAGATATTTTCAATAGAAGAATCCCTAGAATTAAATGCTATGAAAATGATAGTAGAGAATAAGAGAATGAAAGAAATATAAAATAAAAAGGAAGCAGTTGATAAAATACTTTTTGCAGTTAAAGATCTCATTCCTTAAATAACAAATTCAATTTGTTCTATGGATCGAAAAGAAGGAGATATTTATAAGTTTTTGGAGACTCAAGAAAGAAATTTAGATTCTTAATTCAACAAGTTAATATTTGAATTAAATTAAAACAGAAAATAAAAATTAGATTAGCTACTTCAATGTAAATAGCAAATCAAAAAGTAATATCTACAGGTCAATTAAGTTTGCTAAAACAATTTACAGTAACTAATTAAAGTGCAAGAAGATATATTAGATAATTACAATAATATAATTTTATAATTTGAAGAGAATAAAGTAGCTTCTATCATTTAAAACTATTTTTCAATTTGGAATTAAGCTAACTTGCATCACGAGAGCATTTCTAATAATGACCAACTATTTGTTTACAAATCAGACTAAAATTAATTTAAGTAAATTAACGATTAAATTAATTTTTTATGTAGCAACACATTAAAATAGATTATGACGACATTTATTAAAAAAAATAATGATAATAATTAAATGAATTTATCAATATTAAGTTGTTCACCCAATAAATTATACTAACCCAATTATTAATTTACTCGCTCAAAATCTTCATAGATTTTACCAATATCTACTGATGATAGCTATAATTCGATGAGAAATTAACAGATAGCATCTTCAAGCACTAGATAAAACTCTTAAAAGTAAATTTATAAAAATGAAAGCTAGAATAATGATAAATCTTAAAATTTAACTCAAAAAATAAACAAAAATCATACAAATGGTTACAAATTACAAGCATAAAAATAATAGGTAAATTAAAACTAATGCACTAATTATTAAAGAAAAATAAAATCCCTCTAACATTCAATGGCTTTAAATAATAAATAAGTTTATATCTCATTTGATAATAAAGATGCATTTAAAAATCATTTAGATGCAGAAAATAAAGAAAATGTCAATACAGTAAATGGAGTCTAGACTAAATTTGATAATAGCTTACTAAAAGTCTAGTCTGCACATCATTCTAAAGCTTAAAGCCAACCATAACTGATTTACATTGACTTAAAAGATATTTAAAAAATGCCATCAATATCAACTCCATAAAATAATAACTATAATAGCAACATTCAAATAGACTAAAATTTGTTTTTAAATACCTAATAGTAAAATGATGTTATTTTAACATTAGATGATTGTACTACCTTCAGAAAAAAAGATACAATTTAAGAAATAGAAAATGAAACTCAAATAGGAGATTACCTATAAAACCTTATTAATAAAGCTAATTTAGAAAAATAAAAGTTAAATAATAATATATCAGAACAAAATTAAAATAAATTAATTAACACTTAAATAAATAAATAAGAATAAAATTGTTATCAACCAAAATTAGCTTAAAATTATAATAATAATTAACTCTACTAGAATTTAGATATCTATGGAAGCTTGGAAAGATAAAATTAGGATAAATTCTATATTGATGGAGAATTAGAATAAAAAGCACAAGGATAAACTCCAAACTTTTCTAACAAAAATAAATTAAATAATTAATCACCAAGCAACAGGAATCTAGAAAATGTACAAAATCAAGAAAACAATAATAATGTCCTGAAAGAATTTAGCTATTTAAATGATGGTTGTAAAGAATTAGATGACATAATAGAAAAAGAACAAAGATCAAGAGACAGCTCAATAAATAAAAAGAAACACTTCAATGAAATGATCAAAGCAGTTTAACATAATTAAATTCAAAGAAACTTAAATTGCGAAAATATATTAAGGAAAGTTTCAGATAATTAATTAGACCTTTCTTCCATTTCATGTTCATCTACTCCATAACATTTTAGATCTAATAGTGGATAAACATCAAATTTATCATGTAAAAATTCTTTAGTTTCCTCAAAAAATAGGTACTTTTTGAGAAGCGATGAACATATAACCTCTGAAAAGTATAATTAAGCAATAAAGAAATCCCCAATAGAAGAAATGTTATCATCTAATAAATTTGCAAAAATTGAAGATGTTGCAAAAATAGTCTAAAAACTATCATTTGAAAAGGGTCAATAAATTTAGGATTAACTGAATATGGAGTCTATTGTTGAAGAAGATAGTCGCATAAGTCAAACAATAGTAAAGTCCGGAGTAGATAACAATTATGAGAATATTTTACTTTTAAAAGAATTATAGGAAAATATATAAAGAGAAAAATACAATAATAAAAATTTAATGAGTGACGAAAATTTTATTCATAGATTAAATAACATTAATTTGGTAGAAGAAAATGATAATATAATTATTTCATAACAGTGAATTAAAATAATAAATAAAAATTGAAAGTAAATTAATAATAAAAATTGATTTAAAATCTTTTAGTTATTAATTAGATTTTTGAATTTAAATTATAATTGTAAAAAAATAGTTCATTAAAATAATAACTATCTATATTAATATTGTTTATTTTCTAGTTATTTTAGTTTTTATAATCTTTTTGTAGTAAGTATCTCTGATAAAATAATGAATGAATTTTATTTAAAAAAAATTTGTTAAAAAATATGAAATTTATTAATAATATTGATAGGTAAAACATTTTTTTAAATAATAATTATTTTTTCATAAAAATTTTCTGAAAATTGATAAAATAATTTAATTTATAATAAATTATAGACATTTAAATATAAATTAAATCTACTTTTTTATCTTTTTTTTATAATAATAATAAGCTTATTAAATATTAATTTTTCTTGTAAATTTAGTTGTTTGAAAAAAATAATTCTTTCATTCAAAGCTATTTTACATTAATTTTTTTTATCACTTTTTTATGTGGTAAATCTTTTTGCTGGTAGAAGAAATTATTAATTAATTTAAAGAAAATTTCAACCAATTTAAAAATTTAAATTAATTATCTCTACTCATCTATCACTTTAAATGGTTTGTTTTTTTGATAATTTTATTTTTAAGTTTTGAGCGGGATTTCTAAAATTGCGCTAAATATAGATTGGTAGCGCAAATTTCTAAAAAAATTAATTTTTTTTTAACACCAATATTTATTAATTGAATAAAAAAAATAATCTAAATTATCAAAATATCTTAGATTAATTTATCTCTCAAAAGTATTATTTAGTAAAGATTTTTATAGTTTTAAAATGAGTGCAGTTTATACCACACACAAGATATCCAATCATTTAGGTAGATTTGGATTCGATTTCTACGAAAATGAGAAGTAAGCAATTATAAGAGTTTATATTTTTTTGTAATTTAATTTTACTTATTAGAAAGCTTGTTTCCGCAGGATAAGATTGTGTTTTTAAGTTATACGATATTTAAGATGGAGATTTTAAGCAAATTAAAACATATAATTGCGAAGATGTATTTGATCTTTCAGTAAATCAAGCAAATAATGACATTTACCTTGGTTATTGTAAATATTTTGCAAGTTAGTTTATAAATTCATATTTTTTATCTAATAATTATTTTAAGATGAGAGCAAAAACTTAATTAAGGTTAACGATATTGATAATATCGATGAGATTATAGGAGAAGAGATAGCTTCATTTACAGGACCTGTTTATAATATATCAATTAGTAATAAATAAAAGTTCATAGGTGTTTCAACACAAGAAAACAAAGGTTATTTGATAAAACTAAATGATAATGGCACTCTCACTTAAAGATACTTAAATGATAATCATGTAGGAAGTTGCTTATTTACTACAGTAGACCAAGAAGGTGAATATGCATTAACCATTGGGTGTGATGGAAACATTCACATATACAATGTTAAAAATTTTGAAACTAGTGATGCTGTATTTGAAACATAATTGCATGTTACTGTTACAATGGTAACTGAAAAAGAATATGTTATGTAATGCTCATTCAACGAGTAACACTAAATAGCATTAGGAGGAAATTAAAGTTTGCAATTAATTTCCAGAGATGAAAATGGCAAATGGATTTTAACAAGAATTCCTGAAATTAATCACTAAAGAGTAAGATATAAAAATACAATTTAATTTATGTTAAGGTATTTATTTTATCGGAATTTCAATAGGATATTCAAATTTGCTAATGGGTAGATGGATAATCTAAGTATTTGATCACAGCAGGTATAGAAAAAGATGTAAAAATTTGGAATGTTTAGGAAAAGTTATGTATTGGAGTTGTAAATTGTGAAGAAAATATCTGCTCTATAAGATACAGCAAAGTTAATAAAGCTCTTTTCATTGGAGATACAGAAGGTAATCTCTACCGTTGGAATGATTTAGATTTTGAAAAAATGACAGAAACTGCTAAGGCTAATCAGCAAACAATAAAGCAATAACCCATATCAAAACATAAGGAAAGTAGCGAAATCACATAGAATTAAAAATTTGGTACACCATAAGAAAAGTCAGCTTAATCATCAAAAGAAGATGCCATTAAAAAATAAAAATATGCCTTGCTTATGGAGGAAGAAGATGATTAAATTGAATCTCATACAAAGTCTTCTGTTGTTAGTGATACAAAAATGTCAACAGAAATATAAGAGTCAAAGGTTGATCAAAAGTAACTGAAGAAGAAGAATTAAAATCTCTTAGAATCGCTTCAAGAAGAAAAAATAAAAGCAAAGGAATTACCATAAGTTAAGGAAAAAATAGCAAAGAATGAGCCTGTACAAACACCAACTAAGGAAATGAGCACATTGAGCATAAATGAAAGCGAACAATAGCAAAAAAGACATAAGAAAAATCTTAAAATCCAAGATATAATTTATCCTTCTTCAGTTTCAAAGCAATTAAATAGATCTTGTATCCTTTGGAATCTAGTAGGCCAAATCATTCTCAGAGAAGAAGATAGAAACCTCTTTTTAGAATTTGACTTTCCTGATAAAGAATTTCATAGTAGAATAACAATTAAAAATTTACACAATTATTCTATGGCTGCAATGAATCGTCAAGGATTTATTCTTGCTTCCAAAGCTATAAATTCCTCATAAGAATATGAAAGTGAAGAAGATTTTGAGAGATTTGATTTCCATCAAGATGCATATAGCTACTCCTGTATTTATTTCTAATCACTTTCCAAGTCTGATAAAACTCTTTGGAGCTTAAAACTTGGCTAAGATGAAAATGTAAAAATATTTAATAAAACTTAACTCTTTTCTAAAAATTATGGATTTTATATATATTTACAAGTATTTTTAATAATTTATTTTTTTATTTTTATAGGTAGAAACAGTTGCTATAGGAGACGGATGGTGTGCAGTTTAGACTGATTTATAATACATTAGAATATACAGCTTTTCAAGCATGGAACAGCATTGTTTTTGCATTGATAAACCAGCTGTATGCATAAGTGGCTATAAAAATATTTTAGCAATAGTTTATTTAGAAGGTGAACCAATTTATGGATGCTAATCAATTAAACTTAAATTCTTTGACGTAAATTCAGGCGAAATGATCAAGGAAATAGGCGTCCCATTAACACCCTTTACTACATTGACCTGGTTTGGTTTTTCAGAAGAAGGTTTAGTTTTAACTAAAGACTCTAAAGGAGTAATCAGAGCTCTTATTGGATATAGTAATTGGACTCCTATTTACGAGCAACCTCATAATAAAAATTTTTGGCTTAAAGGTATAAATTTAAATAAGCTTTGAATGAAAATTTTTGAAATTTATTTTAAATTAGGCATGGTTGACTATAAATTAGCTGGCTTTTTACTTCCAAAGGATGAATTAGAACCTAGACTTACTTAAATATATCACGAAAAATGTTTTGATATGCAATTACCCCTTCCAACTGGAGATTATTTTGAATAAAATGACGACTACAAATCAATGAGACATAACTAACTTATTTTAAAGCATGAACAATATAGATATCAAAACTTAGAATAAAAGTATTTTTATTTTAGCCAAATTTTTTATTGGTGTAGAATATGATCAATCTAATTAAAAATTATTTTAAAGTTAAAAATTAGAAGAAAAAGTAAAAGCTTTACAGAAGGATATTGATGTAAAAGTTCTTAGACTATTTTAGCACTGTTTAAAATATGACGAACCTCAAAAGGCTTTATAAATAGTTAAAAATAACCTTATAAATCTTCTTTATATTGATTCTTGCATCCAAATAGCATAAAAGTTAAAACTTAAGCAATTAATCTCAGATCTTTAACAATTATAGCAGGTAAATTTTTGCGTTTAATTAAATATATTAAAATTATTTTATTAAAAGGATAAAGAATCATAAAGTTAATTTATTTAGTCCATAGTTTAGGCATAAATGAAACCACATTAGAAAAATTTAATTATTGTCTCTTAATCAGAAAAAGATCATCTTAAGCTTAAAAATTCAAATAAGTTGGTCATCTCCAACACTAAAAATAATGTAATGCAATTTATCAGCAGATTCTTTAATATTAATATAATATAATATTATAATTAAAGGGGTTAGATAGTGAAGATGAAGAAGAAGAAGATAGCAAAGGTTAAGATGATTTGCATGAATAAGAAAATAAAAAGTAAAATTCTGAATCTAAAAATGGCAGCTCGTAAAAACAAGGATAAGCATAAAACCAAGTAGAAAAAGGAATTTAAATTGCAGAAAAAAAAATAATTGGAAATAATCCCTTTTAAAAATAAACAAAGCAAACAGTATCAGTAGAAGAAGGATTATTTAGTGTGAATAATAAGAAAAGAAAAGTAAATTTATTAATTAATTAATTTTATAATTTTTATATTTAAAGATATTAATTTAAATAATAATTATTGATAGGACGAAAATTTGCTCAATCAAAAACCAAAAGAAAGTAATAAAAAATTAAAATTTTGAAAAAATTTGAAAAAAAAGATATCATTTTTATGCCAATTATAAACCAATCAAATCACAAATTAAAATTAAATAAGAAAATTAATAAAAGTGAATTAATAAATAAATAAATTAATATAATTGTAATATAGAAAGATATAAAATTTGTATTGTTTTATATTTATTTTATGATTATGTAAATACTTCATTTAATCTATAATAATTAATAAGAGTAATTAATTCATCTAACTTTAAATTATTTTAATGACCAAAATTAATTTTTTTTGTTTTATTTAAAATATTTTAGTAAATCATTCTAGAGTATTTTAAGATATGTTGTTTTATTCGATTATTGTTTGATAAAATAAAATAAAAGAATTAATTTAATTTAAAATTGATTTATTTAATTGTGTTAAAAAATATTAAAATGGATTTTTAAATTATTTATATCTTTCTTCTTTAATTTTAAATTTAGGAACAAAGTTTAAATATCAAAAATTTTGTCTTTTGTTAATTGATTTTAAAATGTTTTCTTTACAGACTTTCATTTTTTTATGTTTATTTTTTTGATTCTTTTAAAATGTTTGAGTTAAATGTTAGCTGATTATTTTTTGAGCCGAATGGAATTTTAAAATTAATAGCGCTTGATTTGGTCAAGTGAAAAACAGAAAAATTGAAAATTTAATGAATACTTGAGAGATTGGCTATTAAATAATAGCAATTTTTTATAAATTGAATTTTTGAAAATAAGACAATCTTTTAAATTTTATAGCATAAAACCAATAAATGAATGAATGATTGAATATCTATCAATGTATTTATTTATAAGTATGTTATTAAAAGACTTCATTAATATATTCATATAAATTTCAAGATATAATTGTTAAGAATATTTAGAGGTCTTTACTTGTATTTTAACAAAATATTGAAGAGCCTAAAATAGTATGAGCAACAAACAAAGAAGCATTTGATTTGATTTGTATTTAATTGAGAAATCATGCAAAATTAAAATTGTAGAGAGTGGCAAGCATGTATTTATATATGCATGAATATATGAATGATGGTTTTGCTCATGTATTTATTTATTTATATATGTATTTATACATTTATATACGAAGGAATCAAGGAAAAGAAAGAAAAGATTAATAAATTACAAAGCTAATTCAATAGTTAATGTATTTTGCTATCAAATTAATTAAATGATAGCTAAAGTTTGTAATAATTAAAAAAGAGTAAAAAAAAGTATTAATAAAAAGCAAGAAAGAGAAAGCAAAAGGAATATCGTAATTAAAGGGAATATTGATCACAAAAGGAAAGAAGAAAAATAAAGAAAACCTATATAAAATTCACTTAAAAAAATTAATTAATTAATTACAAAAGATAGATCAGCTCAGTTAGTCAGACGACATATTAAATTACTTTTAATTCCATCAAAACTTCAGATGAGTGCACAACCCTCGATATCTCCCCTCAAGCAGCACTCCAACAAGCACTCACCTAAATCCACAGGTATTAGCTTCTTTATTTAATTATTTATCTCCCTTTTAACCCTCTCTTAATCCCTTTTGATTGATCTGACATATTTTTTTAGAAAAAACTAAGGCATCACCAAACAAGAAAATATAAAATGGAGAACTATCAAGTACTTCTTAACCTATTACAAGCAAAAGTAATAAATTATTATCCTTTTTAGGCATATTAATGTTCCTGGATTTGCAGGCTAGCCCAAATAAAGCAGGAAAATAACAAGTAAAGATCGATATCTTACCATAATTTTTTCTAATAATTAGAATAAAAAGTCAATTAATTTAGCGAAGAAGGAAAGCATACGCCCAAATTAGGTAGTAAATCTTAGCAATAGCCTGAGAAAAATGGAGTAAAAAAGGCTTAGGCATAGAAAAATGGCACAACTAACTCGAAGTCATAGCAATAAGCATTAAATTAAGTTGGAAACGTTAGTAGCAATGGTACTCAATAGGGTGGCTCAAGTAAATAAAAGAGCTGTTTTAATCAGTATTGCCCTAAAGATAAGAACATCTCCTCAGTACCCTCACCTTAGCAAGAATCAACTAAGAAGTAGAGTGTGAATGGATAATATAAGCAAGCAAAATTAGAAAAAACAGGCGAAAAAGTCACTTTCTGTGACCTCTGCTGTCAACGCTATTAAGAAAAGCATTTCTGCTACTACTGTTAGTAGGTCTACTTTGATGACTATAACATCGATGATAAAGAATGGATATTGTGTGATACTTGCGACAGATGGGTAATACTTTTAGATAAAAAAATTATTTTTTTCTTGACTAATTTAATTGCTATTCTTTAATAAGGTTTTTAGCCTTTATTTTGGATGGTTGCTTACCTCCATTTAGCTAAAAAAATTTGATTTTTTTTTTTGAAAGAGTGGAAGCAATTGTATATAAAAAGGGTTTTTTTCTTTTTCTTTGATAAATTAATAGTTGTTATTGCTCTCTAATAATTAAAGAGAATGTTTTTTTTTTTTTCATCTTCTTCTTTTTGATGATCAATTATCAAATTCAATTTTTTAATAGCTTTCATTCATTTTAGTACATAGAATAAGGAAAAATCATACAAAAAGCTAAGCAATTTTATTGAATTAGCTTAATAAAAATACATTGAAAATAATAAATAAATGAATGAATAAATAAATAAATAATACTGCTTTTGATTAGTATTTATCAATTTATGATTGTTTTTAAATTAAATTGAATGTATTTTAATTGTCTCCTTTCCATATATATTGAAGAATTATTGACACTTTTTATCGGAAATTCATACATTTCTGATCAATTATTAACAACAATCGTTTCTCTCAAACATATTTTTCTAAACATTAATTTTTTGTAACTTAAATTAGTGCCATTTACATTGTGAAGAGGAGAAAATTAAGAAAGCATTTAGTAGCTCTTAGTCAGAGAATGTATAGTATGACTGTCCTAGATGTAGATGCAAAGAAGGTAATTCTTCTTAGTCAGGCAATGGCAACTAAGTTTCTTAAGGTAAATAATAATAATAAGCAAATGCCAAAGCATCAAAGGAGAAACCTTAATCTGTATCAGCTGCTAATATTAAGCAAAAAAAGAATACCAAGAATAAGGAAAAAGAAGATAAAAAGCAAGATTAGGTAGATTAGCAAATAGAAACGCATGTAAAAGGATAAAACAATGGTTAAAATGTTTAAACACCATAAGCCCTTTCTTATCATCAACACTCAGCTTAATAATCCAGTGTTGTTCAAAATAATATTAGAAAAGGTAATACAGGAATTAATAGTACAAGTAGAGATCAAATACAGACCAATAGCTAAAATGATCAAGATATCGTCTACTCACTTGATAACTTCAAAAGAAAAAAGAATAAAATATTCTAAAATAAAAGTATCATGCAATTGTATCAACCTATACAACCTTTAGTTTTTCCAAACTATACTACAATCGAAGATCTGCTAAAAAGTGCAGGTAATTTTAAAGAACCTATAGTTATTTAATTTAATATAATTATTTAATAAATTAGGAATAAGTGTTTGTTTAGATGAGAATACAATTAAAAGTGATTTAAACGACATGAAACGCATGCTTATGGAATCTTCGGATTCTTCATTTAAAAGCAACTCCTCAAACTAACTTCCCAATGGAATTCATAATATATAAAATGGATAAAACTACAGCATAGTTGTCAATTAAGAGTGAGAGACCTTAGTTATATGAGAGAATATGTCAGAATATTTTTAAATAGTTATTCGAAGCTTGCTTGATTGAAATAAAGTGAGCAGATTCACTTATATTATAATAGCAAATTCTAGTTAATAGATAAAAATAAAAAATAATTGAGTAATAAAAATTTCCTAAAATTTTATTAAATTCTAGAAAGAATCTATTTCTACTTACCTTTCTTGTATATAATTACTTGCTTGACTGAGTCCTTCTTAATTAAAAATAAGCGATATAACCTGCAAATATTCTAAACAATAAAACAATAGAAATAATAATAATAAATAATAATGATCCTTTACACTTTAAAAAACTATATTAAAGATATAAATATATGAAACTTAAATATTAATTAATAAATAAAAATATAATTGCAACCTAGTTATCTCATTTACAAATTTTAATTTATTTTTATAATCTTCTTAAATATTAATCAACCCAACCAGACATATAAAGATGGACGGACGGACTATGTAACCTATCCTGTTAAGCATATTAACATAACCAGAAATACTACTTAGAAAATTTAACATTTACTAAAATATATTTTGGAAATCTAAAATAATAAATACTAAATTTTCTTAATAAAAAATATTTATTTTTTAAATCAGAGTACCTTATAAGATGTAATTAACATTAATTTAGCTTAATTTTTTAGAATATAATGATAGTGGTACTATACTATTGATAATTAAACCAAATATTTCTTAAAGGGATAGAAATATATAAATTAATATTTTTATTTATCGTAGTCCTATTTACTCTTCTTATTTATATAACTATATATTATTATTTTAAATTATAAAAAAAATAATTCTAATACGAAATTCTCTCCTTTCTTCCTTAACTCTTCATATTTTTAATTTCTTTTTTTCATTTAAAATATCAAAAATTATATTTTAACCTAATATCAATGAATAGTTTTTATTTTTTATTTATTTTTTTATTTTTCAACTTAATCGTCTAATAAACTAATTTATAAAATTGAAATTAACTAATAAATTTGTAACAAGAGTTAATTGATAAAGCTTTTTAAAAAATTAAATATAAAAAATAAATAATTAGTGTTTGTTGTTTCAAAATATTTTAATCACTTATTTTATTTATTTATTTTTATGTTTTATTTTATCTTATTTTTTTAAATATTATTTATTAATAAATCTTAAGAATTCATATTTTTTAAGTAATTCTAGATATATTAATGATTTATCTTTAAAAAAAATAAAATAAATTTAAATAATTGAAATTAACTAATAAATTCCTAACTAGAGGTTAGTTAATAAAGATTATTAACAAAATAAATATAAAAAATAAATAATATATTTTCGTTGAGTTTATTTCAAGATATTTTAATTAGTTATTTTATTTATTTTTATTTTATGCTCTATTTTATCATATTTTTTTTATAAATATTATTTATTAATAAGTATTAAGAATTCATATTTTTTTAAGTAATTCTAGATATATTAATGATTTATTTTTAACAAAAATTAATAAAGTTTAAATAAAATATTTTCAGTTTAAAAATGTAACTTAAAGATATTGAAATACATTTGTATTAGAGGAGACAGTATTATGAATTAATCTTAATTTTAAATAATTTCATATCAAAACTTATTTCTAATTTTCTTTTTATAGAAGAAACTCTATAAATAAAGATAGAGGAAAAGGGTTAAAATCAAAGTAGATGCTATAAAAAATTTCTCAGTAAATTCTGATAAAAATTCTTTTTCTACATAAACATGATTAGTAGAAACTTTAAGATATTTTGAGTTTTATATGGATGTAAGAATTTTAATAAAGATTATTATTGATATTAAAATTTACATTAAGAGATATTTAAAAACAAAAAAAGCATAAAAGCATTCAAATAAATAAATTAAAAAAAAAGAAACTTTTGATTGCTTATATACTAACATATTACATCCTATTTTAATAAAATGTCTGAAAACAATCAAAAGGAATAGTAAGAATTAAAAGAGTAAAAGGAGCTCAAAGAAGCGAAGGAATTAAAAGAATAAAAAGAGCTCAAAGAAATCAAAGATAGACATCACTAGCTAAGAAAATGCTGTAAAAATATCTTTGATGATCTCAAAACTCTAGAAGAGTATGAGAAATAAATGAAGAAAGAAAAAGCACAAAAGAAAAAGAAAGAGAAAAAGTAAGAAGAAAATAAGAAAGAAGGAGAGTCTAAACCTCTTGTCGAAGAAATCACTGAATAAAAAGAATAAGTTGAGGAAGAAATTCCTGAGAAAAAGTAGGACTTAGAAATAAAAGACAAAACTAAAAATGAAAATACTGAGAACAAAGAAAATGAAAACCCAGATGTTGAACACAAAGAGGATGAAGAAGAGGAAGAAGAAGCCCCTACGGTTGATTGTGATTTACTTTTTATCATGGATTGCACTGGATCTATGTCTTCATATATAAATATGTGCAGGACTTAACTCTTCTTAATAGTGGAATAAGTTAAGAAGCAATTTTAGAAATCAACTCTTAAAATAGGATTTGTTGGTTTCAGAGATTTTGGTGATAATAATCAATTTGAGATATACTAATTCACAACTGAATATGACAAATTAAAAAGCTTTATTAATAGTGTTTCTGCAACTGGTGGTAATGACACAGCTGAAGATGTAGCAGGTGCTTTTGAAAAGGCCTTAGAAATGAGTAATATTTTTAATTAACTTTTTTTTTTTTTGTGTTTTCTATAATTTAAGAATAAATCCGCTAATGTTGTAAAATCAATGATGGTATTTTATCAGATATAATTTGTCTTATTAATAGCGCACTTTTGATTCAAGAAAATTTAAATTTTAATACGCAAGCAAAAATCTCATAATAAATGAATGATAATCAAACTATTTAATAATTTTTTCATACATACTATTCTAAGAATTAAAGAAATAGTGCGCAATAACATAAAAATTTCATATATTCTCTTGAAGGTTTTCTGATAAAATTTTAATTAATTTGAGAAAAAATATTCTAATTACCCAAATTATTTATTTATTTAGTTTCTATTTTTAATTTAATAAATTTCTAATCATAAAAAATAAATTAAATAGATTGGACTTGTGAAGCTAAATATGCTATCTTGATTACTGATGCTTATCCTCATGGCAACAAGTATTGCAAAAGTAATAGTGGAGATAGATACCCCAGCGGTGATCCTAATGGCAGAGTCCCTGAAAATTAGATTATTTAAATGATTAAGAAGGGTATTACTTTTTATGGATTGGATGTTTCTAGCACTTCAAATTAAATGTATTCAATTTTCAACTAAGTTGTTCTTAGGTAAACAGGTAAGAATATGGACCGTATCTCTATGAGCAATAATAATAATAATGCTAACAATAATGGTGGAGGATTAGGTGATTTACCTGCTTTTGCTAAAGCTATTTCCACTTCTGTTACTGCTACTATTACTTAAACCATTACTGCTAAGACTTTAAAATCTCAGTCAGATGTTTTTAATTCTAAGATTATGAGAATTATAAACAATAATCGTAAATTCGGAACAAGATTTTCAAAGACAAATATGTCTTCTAAAACCGAAGATGATGCTCTTGAGGAGTATAATAATTTCCGTGCTCGCTATTATGACTACGACAGCTCTTCTAATTCTGATTATTCAGATAGCTTTTATGAAGATAGCAGTGATGAAGAAGAAAGTTATATCAGGATGCGTGGTGACTTTTCTTTTGAAAGAGTGACATCAAATAGTAATCGTGGAAATGTCAACAAGATAAATAGAGAGAATAATAATTATTATAAAAAATATGAGCAAGATTAAATAATTTAAATGAATGCAAGAAGAAATTATACAATAGAAAGAGATGAATACGAATTTAGTTCTAATATTGATAAATTATAGTAATAAAAACGTGAAGATAGAATAGAATTAATGACAAACATTATTCATGAAGAAGATGAGGAGGATATTGAAGAATATGATGACGAGGAATACGTAAAAAGACGTAAAAATAGAGTTCTTGCTCGTTCTAACTTATCCATCAGTACAGCTTGCTCCTATTCAGATTAAGATTTACTTGAAAATTTAGAAAATATAGATGCAATTAAGCCTTCAGTTAGAACAGGAATCATCTATGAAGATGTCATTGAAGAAGTTGAAGAAACAGTACCTGCTTTCAAGCATAAAGAAGAAGAACTGGATAAGAATATTCAAATTCCTATGAAAGAAAAAAAGAGAGTCTAAGACGAAGATGCTAAAGAAAGAAGGGTCGATCCTTATATAAAAAAAGTAAGAGAAGACGAGAAGGTTAAAGTATTTTAAAGTATCTGCTATAGTTTTTAAATCGATGATTCGAAAGAAATTAATTGGGAAGAGCCTTAGTTAGTATAAAATCAGATCAAGACAACTTTGACAGTAAACAAAGAAAAGTTTTCTGAAGGAGCTATGAGAGAAGCCTTCAAAGCCTCAGATTAAGATTTCGATATCGAACTTGTTGCAAAGCTCCACAAAGAAATCGAATTAAATAGAAAATATAATTTTTTGAAAAATGAACTTACTGCATTAATCCTCGCTCAATTCTTTTTAACTGAATTCAACCAAAGAATCTTGTTTACAATGGATGAAAGTGAACTAGTAAATAATTCTTTTTCATTTTTGTTTGACTCAAATTTAAATTTATTTTAATTCAAAACATTAACTAATTTTAACTTTAATTAAAAAGCCTCCATAGATCTTAAGGTTTGTTGATTGTTACATCTATGAAGTCAAAGAAGAGGGTGAAAGAAATTCATATTTCTACTCAGTTGAAAATTTCATGAAAGGAGACTTTTAAAAATATAATAATAATGCTGGTTATGTTATTGATGGCGATATGAGAAAAGAGTCCTAATTGAGTTAAGCCTTTTCCCACTTTACTTGGTAATATTCTTAAGGTAATTGTATGGTTGTAGATCTTCAAGGTACTGAAGATGGTCAATTAACTGATCCTTAAATTCACACTCTCAAAAAAACTAAAAAATTCGGTTAGGGTGATCTTGGATATGAAGGTATTTTAAGATTCTTTAGAACTCATACCTGTACTGCTTTCTGTAAAAGTCTTTAGTTGATCCACCCTAAAAATCATAGAAATGTTGCTGATGACTATAAATTTGAAGATTTCCATGCTTTGTAGTAGTAATAGAGAGAAAAGTAAAAGAAATTGAGATAACAATTTAATTTTGATGACGAAAGTGATAACGAAGAAGATGACGTTGAAGAGGAGGAGGAAGTAGAAGAATAAAAGGAGTAGGTTAATGAAGAAGTAAAAGAAAATGCAGAAAAAAGTTAACCAATAAGCAAAGACTTTGAACATGAAAAAATTGAGGAAATCAGTAAAACTATTCCTGCTATTAAGGCTACTGAGATAGAATCAAAAGCTCCTTTAGATATTACATTGGTTAAAATGGAAGAAAAAAAATTTATTCATTTTGAAGAAGCAGAGGATGGTGTCTTTGGTATTGATGAATTCTTCACATTGAAGGTAGATTAGAAACTAATAGATTCTTATGTTCCTCCTGATCCATCTAAAATTTCAATCAAAATCAAGGGTCGTACAGTTCCAAAAGCAGTTAAGGCAGTTGATCCCAATAATTATGACTACTCAGAAGTTAAGAGAGATTGTACAAAGATGATTTGCTCTCTTTGTAAAAAGGTTGGAGAATATAACACTAAAAATTTACTATAAACTAAGAAAAAACTAAATTAACTCATCTGCAATAAGTGTGAAGAGCTATCTGCAGAAGCTCCTAAAATGACCTTCGATTGCTAAGTTTGCAAAGATGTATTTGATATATCTTCATATGTATTAAAGATGAAAAGAATCGATAAGGCATATAGATGTGAGAAATGCTCTTTATTCTGATGACTCAAATAGCTCGTTCAAATAAAAATTTCAAGTGAAATCTTAATCTTTTATAATTCTAATTTAATTAATTACAAAATCTATAAAAAATAAATTTATATAAAATAATAATATATTAAAATATTTGTTAAATAATTTACATACATACTAATTAATATAATTTCAAGTACTGTTTATTTATATTCCATATAGTAAATGACCTTATTATCATTATTAATGTATAAATATTTTTTAATTTACAATTAAGATACTACAATAGTTAATTGTTTCTAAAAATTAAAATTCCATTTTAAATATTTTTTTATTTAACTTAATTTTAAATAAATTTGTAATTAATATAATAAAAATGCTTATTTATATTTTCATGATATTTTAAAGTACTTCTTAAAAATTTAGATTCTATTTTATTTTAAAAACTTTTTTTATGATTTTTTACTCTATTAATTTTTAGAGTTAATAAAACTATAAAATTCAATTTTGCACAACAAACAAATGCATTTTTTCAATTTAGATTTTAATCAAAGTGAGCGAATTCAATTAAAATTTTTATGCTTTAAAAAAATTAATTTAAGGACTTTAATTAATTTATATAAAAATATGTAACTTTTTTATGTTTTAAATAGATTTTAATTAAGATCTTACAATAAATCTCCTATTTATTTAATTACACAATTGTTTTTCTTATTTTAAAATATTTACTTAATTAAAAAAAGAATGTATTTATTAAATTTATTTATTTATTTACTTAAAAGATTTTATATATCATATTATAAAAAATAAATTAAAATAACTATAATTAGCAAATTATTGTAAAAAATATCCTTTGTAATAAATATTATTTATTTCTAATTTAAAATTATTATTACAATAAAAAAATTTAGTTTATTGTTTCAAACAAAATTCTATTAAATCATCTTGAAATAAAATGTATTTTTATGATTAATTTTATTCAATATATTTTTTTATAAAAACTTTAATTTGTTTTTTTATTTGTTTGTTTACTAATTAAAATTCAATATTTATTAATAGATATTATTTCAATTAAAAAATTAAAAATAGCGATTATCATATTTTAGACTAAAATGCCACCTAAAACCAAAAAAGAATTAGAAGCAGAGGCTCTACGTTTAGCAGAAGAGTAAAGATTGCGTGAGGAAGAAGAAAGAAAGAGAAAAGAAGAAGAGAGAAAAAAATATGAAGTAAAAACACTAGATACAGGACTTGAATGCATTTTTACTGATTATTATGTAACTGAATGCTTTGAAAACAGCAATGATCCTAGATAATTCACAAAAGAATATCTATAAAGTTATTATTTCAGAGATAATAATTATTCTTAAAATTTCAGAGAAATAGACTGGATTACTTTGATAGAATATACATTATATAACCTAAATTTTGCTAAAAACGAATTGAATTTGACTAATCAATAGGCTAAAATTTTTATAAATATTATGTTTGATGTTTTAAGACTAAATGATCTTAAGTACACAACATTTACTTTACCTAAAACCTAAAACGAAAGAGGGGAAGAGGTGGATTTAGAAGAAAAAGAAAGAGAAAAGTATATTTCTTCTAAAGTTAGGTTATAAGGTTAAAAAACAAAACAAAAAGATTTCGAGCATTTAAAAAACTTATTAATAAATCACAGTGTAGACTAGCCACCTAATAAATTAAAATTTTTCACTTCTGACTAGCTTTAATAAATGTTTATTTATGCAAATAACAGTTATTTTGCTCACTATAATCTGTATTCTTATATTCAAAGAAAAGAGCAGCGTCAGGTTGATATATTCTAAACAGTATATGTTGATTAAATGGTAGATATTCCTCCACTTGAGTAGGGTCTCTTTGTACCTATTGATAAAAAGGATGAAGAGCAATTAGAAAGAGAAAGAAGATAATTCTTGCAACAATAATTAGAAGAAGAATAAGCTTTAGAAGCTCTAAAAAGAAAATAGGAAGAATAAGGCTAAGAAGAGGAAGAAGAACCTCTAGATCCTATCGCCTTAGAAATTATTAGAGAAAAAGTAAAAGAAACTGAATAAATTATGTAACAAAAGCTCATAGATAGGCAGAATGCTCTTAATGAAAAGTTATAAGAATTAGATAAGCCAAAAAAACCAGTCAAAAAATGAGCATAAAGTATTATTGGCATTTAATATAGTAATTATTAACAACATGTTCTGCCTATTCGCTTTTATTTTACTTAAATAACATAAATAAATAAATAATTATATTTTTAAATTATTAAACTTGTAACTCTAATACATAGAAATATATTTATTGCTGTTTGGCATAACTTCTTTATTCTGTCTGTATTCAAAAAAATGTTTTAGTTTTTCTATCAAAATAATAATTTTTGGATTTCTAATTTTTTATTTTTTTAATGAAGGATAGATACTATTTAAAATTTTAAACCATCAAATCAAAACATTAATAAAATTCAAAATTTAAAATATTAATACAAAATATTTTTTTCTCATAAAATCTTTTTATATTAGTTTACAAAAAAATAAATGACTAAAATAATATAAAATTAGATATAAATAAATATCAAATTAATTCTAAGATTCTGAAAAGAATAAAGAAGGATTCAAACATAATTTCATAGCTATATTAGTATTAAATTTTCTATAAATAAAAAAATAAAAATGATTAAATAATTAATTATTTTACTTTTTTATTTTTATATCATAAATAATTTTAATGCTAATATTTACAAACTAAATTGATGGATTATTATCTAAGTATATAAGATAAAAACAAACAAATTAATAAAATGAATTTATAGATTTTAGATAAAAATTTATTTTTAAAGTGATAAACAATATAATAAAACCTATTTTGTTAAGATAGATATAGATTGTATGCTCATTTTTAAATTTAAATTAAGGATTGTATTAAAAGTTAATTATATACCATAAAATACAAGCTAAAGCATTTGCTTGTTACTGAAATATTAAGATTTTTTGAATTTAAAAGTGAGTATCATTTATAAAATAATAATTAAATTGTTAATATTGATATAATTTGATTTTGCAAAAAGAGTTTGCGATAATAATATTTGATATTCTATCTATGTTTTTGTATTTGATTTTAGTAATTAATTAAATATTTGAATTTTTTATTAGATAGTTCAAGATAAAAACTTCAGGATTAGATAAGATAAAAGATATTTAACATGATTACAAATATAAATAAATCTATAAATAAATCTAATTCAAATTAATAGTTTAGAAATTTCAATAATATAGGTAATAATTTTGACAAATTTGTTTATTCTTTCTTATTTTTCTAGACGTTCATTATTTTTTAATCTTATCAATGTAAAATAAAGATTGGAATATTATTGAGAAAATTATTAAAAGCTCAAATGAAAAGTTTTAAAAAGAAAAAGAATTTAATGCTGAAGGAGAACTTAATTTAATGCGAATATTAGCTTCTTATAGCAATATATTAGAGTAAAATGGTAAAATAAAACACTTTTTATAAGTTTCTTAATAAATTTTTTACATTATTTTACTTAAAATAGATATTAACCCTAACTAAGATACTGATTATTATAATTTTTTTCTCACAGTTTCTAAATACATGTAAAAAAATGGAATACTTAATTGGATGGAGGCCTCAGCAGCTGTTCTATAAAATTCTAAAAGTAATAATAATACCTCATAAAGCTTTGAATAAAAATCAAATTTATGTGATAGCAAAAACTTTTTGTTAGGATAGCAAATGAATCAAAAAAGCCGTACTAATTCTAAACAATATTTAACTAGTAATTCAGGCTTTGATAGGATGAGCTAAGATGAATTCTACAATCAAAATTAAAGCAATTCTGTTTTAAATTTTAATTAAACAAGATTATCAGAAGATTTGCAAATGGAAAATAATCCTCACATTTAAAATAGAATAAGTTAGTCTCTTTAAACATAATAAGGATTTATTAGCACAAATAGTAATTTTAATGAGACATTAAGCAGGGAAGATAAAAAAAAATAACGTAAAAATGCAAAAAACAACTTGATTTAAACAATAAATAGTAATCTAGAATTAATAGAAAATAAATTAGTGGATATTGAAGAATCTTAAAATAACATTACTAGATTGAATATTAGTGATTTAGATTTATCAAATATTTCTCATGCAAATATAAATAATAATACATTAGTCAGTAATTTAAATGCTCACCTAAATTCAATAAAATATGTTAACTAAACAAAAAATGAATTAAAATCACAACTAGGATTTGATAATTCATTTTTGGAATAAGCACTCAATTAGACAACCTAGGACTAAACTAACACTTCTCACTGGTAATAAAATACTCAGTATATTAGCATCAAAGAATAAGAATAAGAAGAAGACGAAGATGAAGAAAATGGTAATGAGTAATATAATGAAAATACCTAGTAACATAAAAGCTAAGAAATAGAAATCAATTATAAAAATTATGATGAGAATAATCTAAAGTACAATTAATAAAATGAAAAAAAAAGCAATAATTTTGCTCATTCAGTTAAAACAAACTATGGAATTAAAAACAATAATCATTCAAATACCTCTTATGACAATGATTTATATTAGAATGTCCCATAGCAGGATACTTCAATCAGCTATGAGAAACTTTTTTCAAATTAAACTTTGTTAACTGGTTAAGGAAATCCTTCTCCTATTTCTCATAATAATTCAATATAAAATCTAACATAATATTAAGGGGATTCATATTTCAACAAGTCAGCAACAAATTAATTTTCAAGAATTGAATAATTAGGAAATAATTCTTTTACAAATTCATCTTTTAAGCAAAAATATTATTAAAAGACTCTAGGAAATAATATTTCAAATAGCACCAATAATAATTTATATTCCTCTAAAATTAATTTATCTTCACATTTAGAGAAATTTAATAAATTAAATAACTCAAATAATAATAGCATGAATAATTTAAAAAGTAAATTAAATGATTAAAGCAAATATTTGTAGCCTTAAACAACTGATTTTACAGAATATGCTAAATAAAGCAAAGATTAATTTTAAAACTCAACTTTGAAAGGAATGTCTTCATTACTGTCTTTCAATCCTTAAAAATCATAATTACTAGCTAGCTTTGAAAAATAATTTTAGTAATTAAACAGGAGATAAAGTCATGAGTCTGAATTAAATCATACCTTAGGAAAAAGTGAACTAAATCAATTTAATACTAGCCAGCCAATATTGCTCTAAAGTAAATAAAAACACAACGTAAGCTTTGGAGAGAATTCTATTTTCTCGTTAGATGAAAATGAATAAAATTTTAAATTAAAATCTCAATCATTTATTAGGTGGGTTTAATTCGTGAATAACAGGAGACAGATAAAGTAAAGACTAAGTTAAATTAACTTTCATTTAAATTTATTTTTATTTTAATAGATGGGAAAAAGAAGAATAAATAAGAAAAATTATTCTTGCATTAGACTACTACTAAAGTATGACAAAACAGAAAGTTTTTATTCTATTAAAAGGGTACAATATGTTGATGAAGGAAAGAAGAAAAAAAGAATAAGTTATTTAATTAAAATGTCAAAGAAATCTTAAATAAAAATATTTTCAGCTCTACCTTTTGAACTATTGTAATATTTCACCTATTGAAAATTAATTTAACTATTTTCTTTTAAAAAAATAAGAATTGTCATTAATAGATACAAAGCAAAATCAAAAAGCCATTAAATTTGCCAATAGAAAAATAAAAATGAGATACCTGGTCTTGCTATAAAAATATAAAAATAAGTAGAAAGAGAAAAGATAGCAAAATCCTAAAAAATAAGTTTTTAATAAAATTTTTATCGAATTTGTTCTAATGCTAGCGTTAGAAAAGATAAACATGGATATTTAAGACAAGAAAGAATTTTGGTTGAGGATAAAAAGTTTTTAAGAAGAAAAAGCTTGCAGTATACTTTAAAAATATATTAAAAGCTCGAATATAACAGAGTAGAACATATAAACTTAGTTAAAACCTCACTTGGAGTGGTTAAAAGTAGATGCCAAATAAAAAATTTTTAAGTCTTTCATAGAATATAAAAAATTCATGGAAGATTCTTAGTAATTTAGGAGCTGTAGAATTAAATTTTACATTTTTTAAACATGGAAGAATAAACTCATTAAGAAAAAGGAATAGGAAAATTTGCTTCAACAACACTTTAACTTGAAATATACCAAAATTTTAGAAAAAATTATTACTAGCTGGAGAGATATTGCAACAAGGAATAGTTTATTAAAATAACGATATAAATATCTAAAAATATAATCAAAGTTCAACATGTTAGAAAAGTACTTTTCTAGGTGGTATGATAAGTTTGAATATTATGTTTAAAACAAAGAGGAGATAATAAAAGGCTAACAAATTAAGGGATATTTAACTATTAAGAGGGTATTCTAAGCAATGATTAACTTCTAATAGTAGTAAATTCAAAAAAAGGAGTACTATCAATATGCATTTACTCATTATTCTATCAATTTGTGCAAGAAGACATTTAGAGGGTATGAAATAATTAAATAAAAGAAGGAAAACTATAATAGAGTTGTAAACTAGGTCGAAGATTACTTAAATTCAAAGATATTAAAGAATTTCTTTAAAAATTGGAAAAAGCAAATAATTTAAGAAAAAATGGTAAATAACTTTATCCGATAAATGCTTTACACAAAAGTTATTAAAGGTTTATAGATATATTCCAATATTATGAAAAATATCAATAATAAAATAAATATATTAGTTGAAAAGAGCAATCAAAGATATCTAGTTCAAGGATTAAATGGATTTATCTAAAATTACATCTAACAATAAAAAAATATTTAATTGGCTTTTTCTCATAACTATATGAAAAATTTAGCTTATTCTTTCAAATAACTGCAAAAAAATGTGGTAAATAATTAATTATATTAAATTAAGTTAAGTTAAAGATTTATATTACAATGTTCTAATTTCTTTTTTAAAAAAAATAGTTAAGAAAAAAGAGAAAATATGTTTATCTTGTTGAATATACTAAAAACAAGAGTAAATAGTTCATACTGAAGTGTTTTGAAGGGTGGAAACTCAGATCTTAAATAAAATAGAGAAAAAGAATGGCAAATAAAATTGCAGTTAACAATTTTATACATAATTTATTTAAAAAAATGATTAAAATATTTAGGTAAAATGTCGAAAAAAATTAAATTAAATAAAAAATCTATGAAATGATGGATTAGCAAAATCAAAAAAAGTTTTTTAATTACTGGAAAGAAGCTCATGCTAGTAACTTATCAAACAAGTTCTACTAGAAAAAAATATTATCAAAAATATTTTCCTTGTGGAAATAGTAAATTGAAGAGAAAATTATTAAGTTGACCAAGAGAAAGCAAGCAGCTTTACTTTACACATCAAAACTTATGCAAATAGCCTCTTTATTTATAGAATGTTTAAAAATAAATAAAGAAAAGGCTTTGTACAAAAAGCAAGCTATGGAAAGAGTGAGCTAAATTTATAAACAAAAATAAAAGAAAAAGACATTTTTGCTTTTTAAAAATCAAATTTAAAAAATACAAAAACATCAATAAAATTTCAAAGAAATATAAAAAAAATGTACAATATCAATCCTAAAAAACCATTTTTAAAATTGGCGTTAGACTTAAGATAAATCAAACAAAAAGTTTGAGTGTTTGAGAAAAATGGAAAAGTAATTTTATTTGTGCAATTAATTAATAATATTTTTAATATATTAATTAAAGAATTAATAGAATGAGTAAAATTAAACAATCCTTTGAAGTTTGGCAGTAATTTGTAAATTTAATGAAATATGATGAAGCACTTTACTAAAAATCTCAAAGTTTTAGGGATTACTTGCTAATAAAGAGATTTTATAAAATAGTCAAACAAAGAAGTATTGCTAGGCAAAATGAGATTGAAAAACTAAAGGCTGCTGATTATTACTATAAAAGATGCTCGTTTTATAAATTAGTGAATACTTTCTATAATAGTATCTAAGAGAAAAAATAGAAAAGAATTTCACTTAAGCACTATGCAATAAAAGTAATAAAAATATAATTTATTTAAGTTTATATTTTTTAATACCAAATTTTAAATAAATAATTAAATAAAATTAGATTTTGTCAACTAGTTTCTATAACTGGAAAAGATACACATAAGAAAAGTATGAAAGGTAGTTTTATAAAATAATGAGTTCTAGTAAAAGAGATAATATGCTAGATAACAGTATTAGCAACTATGTATCAGAAGAATAATCACCAGAAACAATAATACAAGATAATTAGTTAGCTGCAAGTAATTTAAATATCAATAGTATCGGATATGATACTTTAAGCAAAATATAATAATAAAATTTTAATAGCACTATTTCAAACAATAACAGTTCTATTTTGATAAATAAAGACGCTTCTAACTTAACAAACAATCTAAGTAATTTATTCAAAAACTCAGTTAACAAAAAATCAGTCAAATTTCAACAAAATTTCTAAGATGATTTGCTTACAAGTAATCTAAATTATACAGGAGTTTAAAACGACCTACAATAATATTAACTTGAAGCTGAGGAAAATCAAAGTAACTGATTGATTACTCTTATATAATTAAATTATGAAAATATATCTCTATGTGTAAATAATATCTATTAATAAAAATAATAAAATTAAATATTAATTATAATAAACCTTATTTTAAATTAAACGATTTGGCTTTTTAAATTGAATACGTTTAAAAAACGATTGCTTAATATATTTTTTTAATTTAAAATTTACCTTCTTTGGTAATAATTTTAGCTTTTTAAGCAATTATTTTCCAAATTAATAAATATATTTAAATAATATTTTTATAATTATCACAAACAAGAGAGACATGATATTTGACTAAAATAAAGTTAAAAAATAAAACTAATTTCAATAAAATAGATAAAATATTAAATAAATTAAATTTTTTCTAATAATATATTAAGTTTTACTAAAAAATAATATTATCTTTAAGTTTTTATTTTATTTTTAAATGCTTATATTAGAATTATTTAGAATAATATTAGAATTATAATTAATTATTTGATAAAAGTTTTGATTTCTTTGAGTTTAAATAACTCTAGAAATAAAAACTTTATTTACAATCTAATTAAATTGTTTTCAGTAATTATTAATCAATTAGTAAAAGTATTGATCATAATAAATACAACTTGAAGTTTAAAATCAAAGAATATTAATAAACATTACTTATTTTTACAATTTAGATATAAGTATACTTTATATTTTAAGATAAATAGTCATTACAAGCTAACTAAGCAAATTCAACGTGAAACTCAAAATTATAAAAAAAGTACCATTCAATTTACTAATTATTGAAGGATGTCAGAAATAAAAGGATAAAGTGCTCCATTTACTCCATAAGCTGAAAGCTAACAAAGTGAGGATTATTAAATTGTTTGTATATTCTTAAGTTTTAATAATAAATTATAAAAATAATTGTAGCTTATGCTTAGAATTCTTAATCTCCCTTCTAATATGATTGGGTTGATGTTGTAAGGTAATAAAATTCAAGGCTAATTTAAAATGAGGAGCGACAAAAATAGCTTTAATAAATAAGAAAGTAGAAATACAGGTACATTTAAATAAAAAAAATATTTTTTGTTTTTGGCATTTAGCTTTTGTATCATATGTATCTATTTATTTTAACAGAGAGATTTTAGAGCAGGAAATAAATGAAAAAGAAGTAAAAAAAAATATAGTAAAGGATATAAAAAAACAGGAATATGAAGAAATTGAGAAAAATATTTCAGTAAAATTTTATGATTAACTTAATTGGCAATTTAAATCAATTTATAATTATAAAATTTTAAGATTGTAGACAAATACGACTAAGAAAAAAAGATCCAAAAGAGGCTTATTGAAAGATAGATTTAAGAATAAAATAAATAATTAACATAGGAAAAAAAGTAGAATGAAGTAATTAATTAATTATTATTTTATTTTTTAAATTTTATTTTTATTTTTAGCATCTTAAATTTATGTTTCTATAAATAGAAATAGGTTAAGAATCTACAAATAGAATAAACTTAAAACTCTTACTCAATAAATAACTTAAATATTTAAAAATAAGCCTAAGATGAAATATAATAAAAAATACAAAGGCAAAAAGATTTTTTGAAAGAGCTTGAAAACCAAAAAAAAGTATGTACAACTATACTAGTGGTTGAATTACGTTTAATAATATATTTTAGTAAAACTAGGCAATAAAGGATGCTCAAAAAATGAATTTATAGTAAGAAGATAGGATTTTCGTAGATTAATTAGCATCTTAAGATCATTAACAAAAAGTAAAACTTTAAATTATTTATTTTCATTGACTTTAAAATATATTTTTATATTAGGATAATTATAGGAATGGGTTTTTCGAGAGTAAGCCAAATGTATTCTAGTAAATAGATTAGGCATACAGAGAGAAGGAGCAAAAAATAATAGATTTTGAAAATCATCATGTAAAATAAGGATATCAACAATAAATTGAAAAAGAAAAGAAAATGCAAGATTTAATTAAATAAGAGAAGAAATAGCTTTAAAATTAAGTTGACTCCATTGTTAATAATTAGCTTTAATATAAAAAATAAGTTTAGGTTTACAATAACAACAACAAAAATGAAGAAAGAAGTCAAATTGATTAAAATTATATGAACTTTAAAAATGCAGAGATCCAAAGAAAGAATAATCAGAGAGAGCTGTATGCGAGATAAAATGTTATAAATTAACAGCAAGTAAAATAAAAAGAATTGAAAGAGCTTTTCTAAAAATATTTATTTATTTATTGTAGCAATAACTCAAAAGTTAAATAAAAGAAAGATAAAAGCATATGAACGAAAATGAAATAAAGATAAACATAGACAAACTACCTGTAAACTTTAAATTTATTTTAGTTAATTTTAAATTTTGAAATAAATTTTAATTTAGGAAAGTCCTATCATACCGTAGAGTGCAACTAATTTTACTTAAGAAAGAAGTTCAAATCAACCAAACTAAACCAAATCGAACCTAATTTATATGGGTGACTATGTTTCTTTTGACAGACAAAAATAGCTTCAGCAAGTGGATAAAGATTTATTAGAGAAACAGCCTGCCTAGTAAGAGTTATATAAAAGGACAGTTATAAATAAATCAATGAATTCTCTTCCCTAATTAAATGATTCTCTCTAATATAACCAATTTCCTAAAACATTATCTCCAGACTCTTATTAAAACTAATAAATAAGTAATAGATCCAATAATAAAAACAGCTATGATCTTTATTTACAGTAAACTAAATTTCCTAAAAATCATGCTTTTACAAGTAACAAATCTCCTCCTTTGCTAACGAACACTTTACCTCATTACCAAAATAACTATCCCCCAAAAAACATAGATAATAGCTAGTAATTTAGCTAAACCCTTGACTATAATTAAAACTATAGACAATCAAGCTCACCTTAACTAAAATATCAGCCAAATCAGTAGTATTAGATAGAAACAAAAAATATTCAGCCTAATTTATAATATCCCAGTTAGAATAACTAATAGGAAAATTAATTTGTATCTCAAAATAAAGATTAAAATAAAAATATGGAAGATTAAATTGAAAAGCTATAATAATCTTAGTAACAGCAGCAATATTTATAAAATAAATAGATTCAATCTCAAATTAAAAATCTAGATTAAAACTCTTCAAACTATCAACCAAACATCAACAGTAATGCAAATAATAGAGTGCAAAGCTAAAGTTAAATGAAATAAGCAATGTCTCCAAATAATTACTATCAGAATTTTAATTACAATGTATAATCTAATAGCAACTTAAATAGCCAGCCTTTACATAGTTAGAGTACTCATCAATAAGTGGTATAAGTACCTATAAGTAATACAGCCAATTAAATACCAAATTCAAGAAGCAATAAGAAAGAATTTAATATTAAATCCATATAATACAATGCTCCAATAAATGATTAGATCCCTAAAACAACAAACAATTATGCTTCCTCTGATAATCTAATTAGAGTTTATAGAAGCCCTTAAAATATGCAATTATCTAGTAATAATTAGTAATAGAATTACCATATTCCCTAATAGACTAGAAATTAAAATATCTCTAATTCATCTCTAAATTAACCAACTTATAGCAACCATAGGTCTGGTACAAATACTGGTATGAGCAACAGTATGAATTTTATAGATCATAGATCAAATATTTTATCATCCTAAAGATAAGATTATAATTAAATTAGGTAAAGTAATGCTAATTGGGCATAAAGAGGTTTCAACATTATCACTGGTGCCACATGAAACTATTTTTTTAAATGTATATTATTAAACTAAAATATCTATATCTTCATATTATGCTTATTCATCCACAACTTTAACAAATCATTTAGAGAAATTTTTAATTCCATAAATCTTCATTAACTCTTACCTATAAATTTTCAATATATTCTCTAAAGTTTTATAATTTCTAGAATTTTAGGAATTTATTTTTTAAGAATTGATGAGGATTTATGATATTTTATGGTTCCTTACTTGCAATTATAAAAGTATTTTAAATTTAATTGGTTTATTCATTTTGATAATTTATTTGCAAAATTTTGATTATTTTTTATATTATTTAGAATTTAACTTGTTCATGTTAAGAATTATTTGAATATTTAATGTCTATTACTTTTTAATTAAAATAAAATATTTTGTTTATTAATTAAACTAATTTTGAAAAATGTTTTTTTGGAAATTAATTTAATCAAAAATAAAGGAGAAAATTTGTTAAGACGAATAATTCAAAATTGAATTTATTTATATAATAAAATAATGGTATTGAGAAATTTTATTTGTTGAATGTATACATAAAGAAGAATGCTAATAAATAAATAATTAATTAATATGTTTTAAATTTGCTAAAGACTAAAGAAGTATATCACTATTCTTAATTCAATTAAAGAAACAAAGATTAGTTTAATGTTTAAGTAAAAAAATAAAGAGATATAACCAGTAACAGATAATATATTTTTTAAATATACCTTTCAAAAAATTAATATAAAACTTGCAGCTTTAGAAATAATAATACAACTATATATTCTCATTAAAATCTTAAATGTTTCATTATAATTGGATATATAGCTAATGCTAATTATTTTAATTAAATAATTGAAGCTGCTTAAAAAATTAGGTAATAGTATTGAAGTGGTCTTTTATTTTGTTAAAAATTAAAAATGATACAAATTAACATTTTATTGAAATATGTATAATATAATTTAAATTAATAGGTTTAGTTAGTATGTGAATTATAGTAGTTGGTGTTTATAAATCCAGGTATTCAATTTTAATATCCTCTATTCCAAATTTTCTAAATATTTTTAGAGGTTATCAAATTATTTTATATTATTTAGTTTTTTCTTCATAGTAATAGTATTTGTTAGATCAAATACTAAATTTTATTTTATTGACCTTAAGTTAGTTATTAAAGTAATAAAACTTCTCAGTTTTGCATTTTTTAGACAAGTATTTATTATTCAGCAATCTTTTATAGCTCTTTATATTTTAAAAGTAAATTAATATTATTTTATAAATAAATTAATAAAATTAATTACTTGGGTTAGATTTATCTTGGACAAATAGTTTGCTTCTTTCAAAAATTTAGTTTGCTTTGTCAAAATTTTTTTGGAGCATTTCAATATATCCTAAATTTAGGTAAGCATCTAACACTTATTTTTAAAAAAATTAAATGAATAAAATAGACATTTTAACAAAGCAAGAATTTACTTAAATCTACATTGTCCTCTAACAAAAGGAACTCCTAAAACTATCTCTTAGAGTCTTCTAGGTTATTTAGTTCTAAGTTGATTTTGGCTAATTCTATAACAATTTATGATTAGAGTTTATCATTTTTGACACCATTTTTCTTTTTGAATTGCTTTAGCATCCACTCAAGATTTTCTTTAACTTCATTTATACTTTTACCCTACTTTAATTCAGTGAGACTAATCTTAAAGTTAGTTTCTAAAGCTATTTTTATAAATTTAGTTAGTTAAGTCTAAATTTAATGTTATATAATTTATTTACTTGAAAAATGATCTAGTGAGTAATAATTTTGTTCGAGTTAAAGAGCTTACTCATATAGAGACTAGGCAAGTTGATACTTTTCTTATCTTACATATAGATCAGCTAATTATTTTTAATAATAAATGACATCTTCGTGGAAGGGACCTTTTCCTTAGATCACACAACTAAGGGCTCTCTCAAAGTAAAATTAAGCTTCAAAAAGTCTACCTTATATAATAAGGTGTTATCCAATCAAATCTAAGCATTAATAAACTTTAAACAAAAATAATTAATGTTTTATTGTTTTTTTTCATAATTCAAATTACAATCTTAATGTGTTGAGCCTCTCAAAACTTCAGCAAGTTGTAATGCTCTTTGCACATATTAGAAAGATCTAAAGTATTCTTTCTTCTTCCATAGTTTTAGACTAATCTAATAGTAGTCAGAAATGGCTTTTTATTAGTTTTAATTATAATTTAATAATTCAACAAATCTAAATAGATATTACCTGAAGGAACATCAAGTGAATTCTACTTATGCTCTTAAATAATAATTTAATCAAGTTCTTTAGAAACTTCTTAGAAGGTTTCAAGAGATTATAAAGTAAGTCTCTTTTTTTATGCAAACTTATCTATTTTATAATTTTATATTTGTAATTCAATTACTTTAAAGACTAAATATGCAAAATTACAATCAATAGAAGTTAGTGAATCACTTTCTAATAAAATTTGACTACATAGATTCAATGCTTCTTACTTTTAGCCAATCTTTTCTAGTATCTGAGCTCTGACTCTAAGAGCTTCCATTTCTTTTAAAAAGTAAAACTTTAATTTTGTAAATAAAATATGATAATTTTACTTAAACTATTGTTGTTTTTAAGAGAATTCAATAGTGACATTGATCTTTCAATATAGCTTAATGCCTATTGTAAATCTTAACAAGTTTCAGCTGCTTTGTTGAGTAGCTCTACTTCTAATTTAAATTATTATTAATTTTTTTATTTCACTTCATTAAATACTGAATTTAATTTTACCTTCTTGTAAATTTTTTTCAGGAAGACTTTGCAATTCTTACAAAGCCTGTAAGTAATTTTAATGGGATTAAGCGACTTTGTTCATCTTTAAGAAAGAATCAGCCATAAATTTGTGAGATGTGTAGACTTTTATTTTTATTATAATAAATTTTTTTTAAACAATCGCTTTCACTGAATAAATATGAAGTGAAATTATTTTTTAAGGTATTACTTTATCTTGAATCGACGCAATCAGAGTTTTATAGAAATTTTTTGTAGTAAGAAATAGCATTTGAGTAATGACCAATGCTTTAAGAAATTTAAGCTTATTGCAAGTATTCTGTTAATAATTAAAAGAAAATTAAGATTATTTATTTCACTATAAAATGATAAAACTATAGTATTACAGGAGTTAAAATTTACTAATTTAAGATTAAGGAATTTAGGAAGCGCAGAGATGGTAATCTTAGAAATCATTTTAATTATAGTCTTTATTTTGTGTGCTTTAGAGTGTTTAGGGTAAAGGTAAGTAGAAATAGTGTTTTACTTTTTGTTTTTTTAATTTTTGATACTTGTTATTATTTAATTAATTATTTAATAATATTTAGTCAAATAAATATTTAAATTAAAAAGGATTGTTTGATTAAATTCTGATTAAGACTAATAGATAGATATTTTGTATATAATTAGAGTCAATCATATACAAATAATCTAAAACCTTAATTAATATTAAGTATTATTTCTAATTTTAGAATAAATTACTATAATTATCAATCTATTTTTATCTCTTATAACAATATACAATAAATAAATCAATTAAATACTGTATTTATAAAAAATAAGCCAAATTTAATCTTAAAACCTTAGACCTTAGAGCGAGTTTTAAGAATTTAAAATATGGCGCTTTTAATACAGTTTTTAGAAGACTAAATTAGCTACAGAAATAATAATCAAAGCCATAACTAAATTTAATTTAAAACCATACAATTAAAAACCTCTAATTTAATTCGGATTTGAGTAAAGAGCTAAAAATGTAAGAAAATAAAATAAAAAACTGGCAGAAAATTAAAAAAGGAATCTAAAATCGAATCTATATACAAGTATTTTATGCTGATAAATAGTCATTCAATTAAAATTTTTAGAATTTTTTTTATTTTTTCTCAATAATCTCAAAATCGTCTCCATCATTGAATTTTATTGTTACCATTTTTTATTTATGGTAAAAAGCAATTTGATAATTAAATTGGGAATTATTTGAACTGTTTTGTATATAATTTTTTTCTGATTAAAACTAATAATTAATTAACTCATTCATCAACTTTCTAATGAGACACAAAAAAAACTATCCTTCTGATAAACAAAAATCTTAAAATTTTTTATTATTTGATAAAATATTATTTTATTTTTTTTAAATATGAGCTATCTCTTTACATTTATTCTAAATTAATCTAATATATATTTTTTCATTTTATATTTTAGAATCTTTTAAGTTAGTATTCATAAGCGATGATCAAATGATATTTCGTATTATTTTAAAAGTAACATAAATAATTTAACAAATATTGGGGAGACGACATATTGATAAAAATTGTAAACTCAAATGTCTAAAAAAAGATTGTAATAATAAGAATTTAATAGAATTAAGTATATATCACATATTTGGAATCAATAATCTTAAATCAAATTGAGATAGCATTAAGACATATGTGGAAATAAATTAATAACTAAAATTGTAAAAAATCTAAATTTGTGTGGTATAACTAACTCATTTTGGTTTTGAAAATAAATATTTTGATTGAATGATTATTTATTTAACCTATTTTTAATGCAAATTAAAATTCAATAAATTTTAATCCACAAACTAAGTTAAAACAATTAATTTAGATGAAACTAAAATATTGAACAAGTAAATAATTTTTATTCTTTTATCTTTGCATATTTTTAAATAAAAAGTATCAAGTTATGTTTATTTATTTAAGTTTTTCCACAAATAAAAAAATCTTTTGTTAAGTAATATTTAAATTTCTTTTAACAATTCCTTGGAATTATTGTTCCTATTTAAATACTTAAAAAAAAAAATTATAAAGAATAAATATCTATTGAGATGGAAAATTATATTTATTTTATGAATTTAATATTATATTTTGGTAATCTTATAAAATAATATAAGATCTTTTAAGATTTTTTTCTAAATTGAATATAGTCTTTTTAGATGAAATGTCGATTAATTTAACTTAGGTTTATAATAAATCCTTACAATCAAACTTTACATAAATTTGGGTCTTCTTATTTTGATAGGTAATTTATTAGTTAAAAGTGATTCTGCTTCCTCACAATTTTTTTCAAATATACTTATCAAAACATATTCTTAAACTATTATAGCATGAATGAAGCTATGCTTGTGGGATATTTTTTAGAGTTTTGTGTTTAAGGGAGAATTTTTGTTCAACTATTACTTGTTCTAGCTCTGATTATACTAAATTAGATTAATTCTAAAAATAGTGTCAAGAGATACATATTTAATATTAGTACATTATATTAGTATTAATTTTTAAAAAAATCTATAATTACACTTTTTATGCAATATAATAGATTATATAACTATTATATTCTTAGAGAATATTTACAAAGCTCTAAAGCTTATTCAATTTCCCTTAAGTTATATACAAATAAGCAAATTATTTTTGAGAGAAGACAATTTTTTTAAGATGATTATCTTAATAAAATTTTTCCATTGATTTTAATTATAAAGTTACCATCTTAATGAAGTATTAAATTAAATAATTTAAGCTCATTTGTTTGACAATAAAATTCTTTGTTGAATCAAACTAAATATTCTAAAGAATAAATTATTTTATTTTGATTCTTATTATCATTTACATTTTTAAATAATTTAATTGAATATTTACATTCATTCTTTATGGATTTTAAATCTATAAAATTCAGCTAGATAGAAATCTTTTCATATACTTAAAATATCTATTAAACTCGTTAATATTCGATAGTTTTATGCTTATTAAAAAGTAGTCATTATTTATATATACCTTTTTGAAATCAAACAAAAATTGGATTATTAATTTTAAATTATAATAATTAAATTAAATTATATAGAATGTGCTTTCTACTATACTGCTTGAATTCTATAAATAGTTTTATTTAATAATTCTGTCTAATTCAAATGGTACTTTGTTATAATGCTAAAGATATTATTTTGTTCTTTTAGTAACATTAATTTTTTACAAAAACATAACCTTAAATATAATTAATTAGTTAAAAATATCTACTAATGAACGATGCATTTTCTAAAATGATTTTTCCCATATTAAAAATCTTTATCCATATTCTGAAAATAATGATTTTTCGTTTTTTTATATTCAAAAAATGTTAAGGAATCTAATATTGAGTATTTAGATCTTATTTTATATTTAATTTAGTTAAAATAGATTTATTGTTCATTTTAATATATAATGGAAGAATATTTTATAGTTCTAGCCAAAAAATAAAATAAAATTCCTTCAATTCTTAATAATCAACTTTTTTCATGTTTTTATTTTTGGGAAAACTATTAAATTTTAACTCAAAAAATGTTTATGGGTGAATAATAATATAAGCGGATCTATAATCAATATTATTCTAACAAAAAATAAAATAAGATATTCTTTTAAATATACTTGAAAAAGCTTTTATAATATTAGCGGTTTGTTTCAAAAAAAAGATAGAAGAGTGTATGAGAAAAGTATTTAAAGTTTTAATGAATCATCTACAAATTTTGAAACTAAAAATTGAATTTTCAATGAATAATTAAATTATTATTACTAATTAATTTTATAAATAAAAATAAATCATCTATAAAATTCACCTTCTATTTCATAAATTTTTGCGTATTAAAACAATACGTCATCAAAAATAAAAATAAATTATAATGGAAATAAATTGTATTTGGAATTAAAATTAGAGATTGCCAATATTTCTAATATTAAATAGCAACTAGAATGCTTTTATAATTTTATAAAATTGATTAACTTAATATTAATTAATTAATTATGTATTTATTTATTTATAATTTATTATAGAATTAAATTACTTTATTTATATTAAATGCTAAAATACTGTCTATATACATATATAATAAAATTAAGAATAGAAATAGCTTTAATTTTATTATTCAATTTTATTTTTTATTTAAAATCCTCTTACAAATATTTTAATGTATTTACAATTAATTAAAGTATTAATTTTGATAAGATTTAAAACGTTTTTTGATAATTTTTATCTAGTTTTATCAAACTATTTTTTTGATAAATTAATAAAAAAATCAAACTATTTTATTAAAAATTCTAATTTTTCCATCTATATGACATGAAATTAACTTTTCTTTTTCTAAATCTTAAATTATATGGGTCACTCCATTATCTATTCCTTGAACTTTAAATTTTCTATTTTCTTTTTCCTGAAGTATCCAAATATGCATACTTCCTTCATCTTTTTGTCCTCCACTCCATAAACCTACAGCTAATTTTATTACATCACCTTTTTAATTGGTTATAGAATTACTATTTTAACTTTGTTATTATAAATCTTTTTAACTTTATTTTTATTCATCTTAAAGCTGCTATTACTAAAATTATTATTGATCAGACAATATATTTTAACGAGAATTATTTTATGAATCATTTTATCTTTTTAAATCCTCAGAATCGTAAAAATATTCATTCCCTAATTTTGTTTAATGTTTAGGAGTAAGATATCTTGACTTTCTCTTAGGTGTTTACCTATTATTTTGTATTTAATTTTATTCTTTTTGTTGCTTCTCAGTATCATCAAGAGTGTTTTGGTTAGATTAATTAATAGAGATAGAGCCCTCTGTTCCACTGTATGAGTTTCTTCTGGTACTTCGAATATTTTTATTTTAAATATATTTTTCTTGGTCTTTAACTTGAGTTGATAGTCCTTAATTCTTAAATTATTCTTATTATACTTGCAGCTTTTAATCTTAAAATTCTTATTCTTAAATAAAACAAACAGTGTAAACATCCATATCTTCTTTGAGCAGCTTGATTAGTTCAAAACTCAAAGAATTCCATATTTTTACAGTTGAATCTCTAGATGCTGTAGCAATTAGCTAGTTTTATCTATCATAAATAATTTATTAAATTATACTTTCATGAGCTTCAATAACTCTAACTGGTTCTCTTTGTTTTTAATATAATTCCCAAATATTTATGTTTGTTCCATCAGCACTTAGAAAGTGGTTGAATTCAAGCTCTACTAAACAATTTACCACATGATTTTACTCAAAACTCTAAACTTTATTTATATAAATTATATAAAGATTTCTTTTTCAAAAATTACTCTAATTGAGAGCCTGAATACTCCATATCCTTATTACATTATCATATCCTCCTGAAAGTAAAATACCATGTTACGTTAAGAAACAAACGCTCCTGACACTTTCTGCATGGCCTTTTAGTGTAGCATAATTACTCCACTATAAATAAGTATTAATAATAACTTTTAAACATCTCAACAACATATTAATAAAATTAATTATACTTGTTTTCCATTACTGCCTTTTTTCCAAAGTTTTACAGTCTTGTCATTCGAACAGCTTGCAATGATTCCCAATTTAGGAAAATAATCTAACTAATTTACTTCTTTTTCATGACCTTCTAATTCACAAGTTTGATTGCCTGTTTTAAGATCCCATATTTTAATCTAATAAAAATTTTTTTGATATAATAATTAATTTATATTTAAAAATAGGATTTATTCTGCTATGTAATAAATTTATCTTTACATTTTTTTCTTAGCTTGCATTTGCTATGAAATCTTTTCCTAAACTTACTATATCTTTGATAGCTTACTGATGTAATTTCCACATACCAGTTTTATATGGATTTATTGTATTCTGTTTAGAAAAAAAAATTAATAAAAATCTTATTGTTTTTTATTTACTTTAGAATTACTACGACTTTAAGACTCGCTGTTTTGTTTAAATGTATCAATTTGTTGTTAACGAGGAGGACTATTTTAAGGTGAAGATATATTAGGCTTTTCAACTAGAATGGACTGAAAAAACTCAGACACTGTTATTTTTATTTTTTTTAAGTGTGTTTTGAGGTTATCATACAAATACTTATTACTTATTTCAAGCTAATCGTTACTTGTTAATTCTTTTTCGATTTATAAATTTCCCAAGTCTGTTAAACTATTTCTTTTATCTTACATTTATTATTTAAAGTCTTTTATTTACTTTTATGTATTTAAGTTTTTCAAGTTTATATTATTAGGGTTATCATTTGAAAATAGTGTTGTAAGCTACACTGTTGGTGTATTATTTTATGGAATACCATTTTGATTAAATCCGTTTTATAAGGATTGATTATTAAACTACGATTGTGAAGAGTACTAATTGCTATTGCATGTAAATTAAATATATTTTTCTGTTAACTTTTATAATATTGCTTTAGCTGTTTACGGATTTTGAATTATACGGCAATCAATCATATCAATTAGTTTATTTGGGTCGTTTGTGTGTTCAGCAATATTTTAATAGTCCATATTCGAAATAATTTATAAATTATTAGGCTTCCAGCCAGAAATAGGTGCTAAATGCTTATTCTGCTAAAATACTAAATTATCAGGGATATACTTACTAAATAATTCATTCAACTTTTCTTCATATTTAAAAATTTACTCTTGCAGAGCTTTCTGAAATTTTTATAAATTTTCAATGATAGAAATGTAAATTAATTTCTTTTAATATGAATCTTTTAAATCTTCTTAGCTAACATGCCTATTTAAATGCTTTCCTTTATCAGCCTACTCTCTTTAAAGTAATCTCATAGCATCTAAAAACCCCCTATAACTCATTACTTCATGGCTTTGATGCAAATTTTTAACACATATATGACATACTCCTCCTTTTTTGCTACAAAATTTATCAACACAAATTGATGTAATGGGCTGATTTTCATGGCCTTGAATATCACATGTGTAATACTTTGACAAAGAAATCTTCCCTTTAGGAGAAGTAGAATTTCCATACTTTAACCTAGTTTTCATTCAAACTAATCCTATCTATGTACGTACTTCTTGTTATTTTTAAGTCTATATGTTATAGGATTTATATTTTGATTTCTGTAATAATTTTTTCAAGTAACTGTGAATGGAATCAATTAAAAAATATCCAAAAACTTTATTTATTGGTTGTTTTTATGCTCACAACTGATCTATTTGGAATATTAAATATTTTGCACAGTAAAAAGTTAATTATGTTTTTGTACTTTTTATTAATATTTTCGTTAGCTTTATTTTTTATCAAATAATAAAAATGTTAAAAAAAAATCATTTTAAAATATGATATTAATAAACTTATTTTATTCAGATAAATATTTTTATGATTCAAAATGAAAGTGCGATTTAATTAATATAGATTGTTACATTAATTAAACATAAATCTGACTATCAATTAATTATAGCTGTTAAATTGTAGATATTTAAATTATGAATTTATGTAGAAAAACTTCAAAAACTTTCAATTTCATATAATTAACAATACCTCAAAAAAAAATTATATTTTAAAGTATAAATCAAGGTTAAAGCAATTAAAATAGGATTTATTTAATCTAAACATAATTTAAAATGATGATAGCAGATACTTCATCTATCACTATTTAGTAGTATTAGAAATAGATAGAGAATCAGCACAAAGAGCAAAAAAAATAAGATACTGGTACATTAATTTCATTTATAATTAGATATTAACTATTTTTTTATTTTAAAAATGAAGAGATATATGTGTGGGGAAGTAATTAATTAATTAATCATTCCATTTATATTTGAATTGAATTTTAAACTTTATCTATAGCGGATAAATATGGATAATTAGGATTAGGGCATAAGCACTAAGGAAAGAATTATACTATTCCAAAAATATGCTGTTACAATCTTATAATTCGTACCGTATCATGCGGAGAAGAACACTCGGCATTTATAACATGTGAGTTAGTTTGAAAATAAAAAGGAAATTTATGTTTACATTTTTTATAGAAAGAGGCCATATTTATACAATCGGAAGTAATGAAGATGGTAAGCTAGGAATATCTACAAAATCAATAACTTCTTCATCTACACCTTGTTTAGTAGAAGATTTATCAAAGATAAAATGTTTAAGCTTGAGCTGCGGATAATCTCACACTATCGCAGTTATGTAAAACGGAGAAGTTTATGGATGGGGAGATGGATCTTATGGTTAACTAGGTAACGGAAGCCAAGAATCAAGATTTGCTCCTACTAGGATTGTTTCTGAAAATAATGAATTTATATAAGTAATAAATATTCATTAACTTCTAAAAAGTAAAATAAGTATAATATTTATTGATAAAAAGGTCTAATGTGGATCAAGACATACGATTTTATTGGATCTAAAGAAAAAAGCATATGTTTGTGGAAGTAATGAAAATGGATAACTTGGTTTAAGAAGTACTAAAATAGAGTTATTTATCAAAAAATTAGATAATAAAGGGTTTATAGAAGCTGCTTGTGGATAATTCCATTCTCTGTTATTGGATGAATAGGGAAGAGTTTATTCAACAGGGGCTAATTCGTTTGGATAATTAGGAATTGGTACAAAAAATAATTAGTATGAATTCACATAAATCAATAGTTTAGAAGGAGAATAAATTGTAAAGATAGCTGCTGGTAGCCACAGTGCAGCTTTAAATAAAAAAGGGGAGATGTATATTTGGGGAACAGGAGTCTTTGGAGAATATTTATTTCCCAATAAAATAAACAGACATAGTTCAGGGTATATATATATATATATTTATTTATAATGTTGATGTTTTATTTTAATCAAATTATTTATTTTGAAATTTTAGAACAACTTTCTCTGATATCTCAGTTGGAAATTTTTTTGCGGCAGCTGTAGATATTAATGGAGCTGTATGGACTTGGGGTGCTAATTCTAATGGTGAGCTAGGTTAGGGAGATTATGAACCTAAAACATTACCTTAAACTCTATAAGCACTTAAAGGAAGACATGTCCAAAAAATATGTTGTGGAGGAGGTAAATAATTATTTATTTATTTAAATTAAGCTAAATGTAAAAATAAAAATAGGTTTTGCAATGGCATTAGGCTACAAATTACCAAAAGAAAATAAATAATAATAAAATGTAAACGATAAAACAATTGATAAAAGCATTATAGATAAAAGTACTTTAGAAAAGAGCAATTATTACTCAACATAATCACATTAAATGTTATCTATGAAACATGATGATTTAAGATAGTAACATGATTTAAATAATATTTTGAAAAACTACTCTTCTGTATCTAATCATATTTCAATAAAACCAAACTTAAACTAAAATTATTCTATGATTGTAGAAAGAACTGCTCCAAAATTAAAAGAAACGTCACATTCTCCTCTATAAAAATCACTATACTTAGAGAAAAGGACAAACAATTCAACTTCAACAACTAAAAAACTATAAAAACCAGTAAGTTTTTTTTTATCGATTTAAATAGATTTAATGGTTTTTTTATTATAAATAAGAGTGTCTCTCCATCAACTTCAAGCTAGAAAGTACTTAAAGAAAATAATGGAGCAACAGTTTTTGATAAAAAGAGAAAGAAATCTGTTGAGCGATTATGCTAGTATTAAAAAGAAAACTAAACTCTAGATTATAAGCAACTCTATCATGTTCCTTCAAATATAGATTAAAGATCACTCTCTATGTCTAAATCAAGAAAAAAATCATCGACAATTTCAACTTCAGCATCTATTAATACAAATAAAATTAATAATCATCAATTTAATTCAAATGTTAACAAAGAAAATATTGGTGATGAATGCATATCATCTAAAAGAATAAGCAAAAAATCGTTACACTCTACTTTACAATTAGATGATGTAAATTATTTAATATTTATATAATCTAAAAACAACATTTATTTTTATAGGATTAAATAGAAAGATACAATAAAAAAATAACAGATTTAGAAAAAAAACTTTCTAAAGAAGTAGCTGAGAAAAAGACATTAAAGTAAGAGATAAGCATCCTTAAAGAAAACTTAGATGAAATATAATTTGGTTAATAAGGCTTGAATGAGATTAATGAAACAATGCAAAAATAATACACCAAGCTCTATAATCTATAAAACGATTATGATAATTTACTTGTGAAGTATTAGGAAAAGGAATAATATCATGAAAACAGCTAAACAGATTTATACAAATGCAAAGAATAGATAAATTAGCTCCTTAAAGAGCTTAATTATGCTAAAGAAGAATCAATCAAAAAAGAAAAAGAAATATTTTAACTAAAAGATGAGATTATTCTTCTAGCTGATGATAAAAGGAATAGCAAGCAATAGCAAAACCAGTAATATGAAAGTTTGATTAAACAGTTATAAATTGAACTTTCAGATTGCAAAGCTTAGACAGGCTCATACAAAAATATATCTGATACTTATAGGTAGGAAATAGAAACACTACGTAGAGCTATAGAAAGTTACAAGTAAACAAAATAATAACTTACATTTTTTTATTTTTTTCATGAATTTTATTTTTTTTTATTAAACTTACTTTTGCTAATTTAAAAACAAACTCAATTATTATATAGAGAAACAGAAGAAATAGAAAGAAGACAAAGAGAGGAAATTTTTAGATAAAACGAGCTTCTTAAAAAAGAACTTGATACATATAGATCCAAATTAGATGACTCTCATCGAGAGACATAGGAATATATTGCTGAGTTAAGAAGAGTAAAGAAAGAAAAAGAGTAAAATAATATAAATTATATTTAATTAGAAGATACTATAAGAGATTTAGATCATCAAAAAAAGAAGCTTTTGATTGAGAAAAATTAACTAGAAAGTGATTTATTGAATTTGAGAGAGAAGATTGAGGCAACTGAAAGATAAGAAGTGGTTGCTGAATAAAAAATTAATTAATTAGTTTAGATTAAATAGACATATGAGTTCGATAACGAAAAGCTAAAGCATGATTTAAATGTAAAATATTAAAACATAAAAATCCTTCCTTATTAACAATCATTATTTAATTATAAAAGCTTAAAATAAATGAGTTAAATAATTTAAATGACAGAGTCTCTTCTCTTACTTAAAAACTTTAGGATATGGAAGAAAAGAATACTTAATTAACTGTCCTTCTTAACTAAGAAATAGACAAACAAGCTATGCAATTTAAATAAAGCATGGATAGTTAATCTTAATTGCTCAACTCAACTGGAAAAAAGCCAATTTCAACTACAGATTTAATTTTAAACAACTAATTTAGCCATTCAAGCAAAAAATCTGCTAATAAACCAGCTGATAATAGCAACATTCTTATTAAATCGCTCATTTATTCTGATTAAAAATAATTTGAGAATTAAATTAGTGATCTTTAAAAGTCATTGAAACATCAAAGATCTAAATCCATAGACTCTTGTTTTAATATTACTTAAAAAACAGGATCTAACTTATATAATTAATAAAATTAAATTAATTTAAATAACTAATTTGGTTAAATTAATACTTAGCCTTTTGACTCTAATTTAAAAAATTCTTAAAAATCTTTAGAAAATCTTCATAACTTAAGCAACTTTTCAGGAGATCCATTACCTACTTTTAGCGAATATGATTTTTCTAATACCAAAAACAAGGATTTAATTTTTAATTCTGCTAAAAAATCGGTAAACAGAAGTGATGAAAAATACTCATTTACACCTGAATAAGTATAAAAGAACCACATTTATATGTAATTAATAGTTTTAATAAAAAATGTTAATTTTTAATTTAATTAAAATATTTTAGATAGGAGAATTACGAGTAAAAGAACCAATAGCAAAATTAATACAAAGTAAGAAGCGCTTCTGCTTAAAAGCTACTAAATTTGATAGAAAGGACAGGAGATTAAGTGAATAAGAAAAGAGAAGTATCTCCTTTCAAAAAAACACCTGAAAAAGCTGTAACCTTTTCCAACATAAACCAGACATCCCCCTTTACAAATCATCATCAAAATTCGAAGAGCAATAAAAAATAATAGTTAGAGTATGAATTTTAAAAATACCGATATTAAAAACTAACAAATTTTATAAAGATAAATTTAGGAAGAAAAACCTCTTGAAGAAACTTATTAATCTAAGGATTTGCTTGAATTAACAAATGTACGCTAGAGATTAGCAGAGATGAGAAAAACAAAAGACATGGTCTTTTCTCGTATGATGGATTTTGACACAAAAATTAAAAAATTTACTGAATAGTAAGAAAAAATACTAAAAAATAATTGATTTAAAAGATTCATTAATTAAATAAAGTATATTTAGCATTAAACTATAATAAATTCAAATTATAAAATTAAAGATAATTATATATTAAATAGCTTGTGAATAATTAATTAACTAACTGTATGTACATATTTTTCTATCCATTTACATCTTATGTAATATTTGTTATAGATTTAAATTATTTATTTTCCATTTTTCAAAAGTAAAAATAAATAATTGAACTAAAAATGAAAAGTTTGAATAAAATTCTTTTATTTATGATAATAAAATTAAAAAATTAAATAAAATATAATAAGATTATAGTGAAAAACATATAATCTGATTTTAAATAAGTATTTCATATATTGTAGGATAATTTAAATTCCTTCAAAAAATGTAATTTTAAATCTATTTTTAATTTCTTTAAGAATAAAATTTACAAGCAAGTAAGGAATTTCCTTAAAATCTAAAATCTTATTTAAATTTTATTTAGAATTTTGTCTATTTGGTTGAAAATAACAAAAATCTCTTTATTTTAAAATTATATAGATTTAAAATTAATGAATTTGTAAATGCAAGAAAAAAATATGATAAAATAATTTTCGAGCCCTTATTTTGAAATTTAAATTTAGAGAACATTATTAATTATTCAAAGATTCATGATTAAGCACAAAAAAGGATAATTCAAATGAAAATAAATAAGCAAAAAAAATATGGATATGTGATTAGAATTATTATGAAAAAAGAATAATAGACACAAATATCATTAATTTTTGTTACTTGAAGACTAAATAATAATTAGTGGAATAAGTTCTATGAAAAGAGTTAAGTAAAAATAAAAATATAAAATCTAAATAAAGTATGTGATTGAGGAATCAAAATTTATGAGCTTAATTAGCTATTTATTTTCAAAACATTTGATTAATATTTTTCTTTATATTGAAAAAGAAAGTCATCTATTTATTTATTTGTTAATTAATTTATTATTTAGTTAGTTAGTTAATTAATTAATTGTGTTTTTCTTTTTTCTTTATAATTTTTATCTTGGCTACCAGGCAAAAGAAAAATCATATAAATAATTAAAATTAGAAAGAGTTAATATCAAAAATCTTATTATAAAGAGCAAGTTTTGAATATAAGTAAAACAGACATAAGAGATAAAATGAATACCAACGAATACATAGACTAATTCGATTGTAAATAATGAAATTAAAAAAAAATTTCTAACTTTAATTTACTTAACCTATGAGGAGAATTATCTTAAATATGTTTTATAATTATCAAATTACATAGAAAATAAAAATATGGGAGCTTATTACGATAGCAATGGTTATGCTATGTAAAACTAGTAATAAATGGATTAAACCTACCAAAACCCTCAAAACGAAATTAAGGAAGGTGGTGATCTACTTAAAATTAACAATGTAAATTACTTAGCACTTTAATTTCTCTTTATTTATTTTAATGGACTGTATGATAGAATTATAATAACACACACACACATTAAAATCTTAATAAGAAAAAAATAATGATCATATAGACCATCTTACAAATAAAAAACTGAGAATAATTTTATTATTTTTAATTAAATAGACTTAAATTTTGATCCGTAGATAGGAAAATACAGTCGATTTAAAACTCTTTGTCGGTTAACTACCAAAGACATGGTAAAAATAAAATTAGTAAAAGTTAAGTATTTATTGACTCAATTTTTAAATAGGGAAAAAGAGCAAGTTAAAGATTTCTTTTCTAAATTCGGCAGAATTTATGAAGTTTAGATTATTAGAGACAATAAGGGATAACACAAGGGTTGCGCTTTTGTTAAATTTGCTTCAATGACTGACGCAGAAAAAGCTATTGAAGCTGTAAAAAACACCACCTTTCCAGGAGTAAATATTAATAAAATAGATTTTTAGACAAATTTATTTATTCTTATAAAATTAACTAGCAATATATATCTATCTATCTATACATTTATACATCTATTAATTCATTAATTTCTTAATTAATTTTCTTTTAAATTTTTAATTTCATTAGATGAAGAATAACGTTGAAATTAAATGGGCTGACAACGAAGAAGAAAGACTTGGTGTCAACTAAGACTCTGACCATAAATTATTTATTGGTTCTCTTCCTAAGTCTTGCACTGAAGTAATAAAATTTAGGACTAAGATTTAAGGTTTTTAAATATAATATTTTAATAGTAAAATATTAAAGATATCTTTGAATTTTTTGGTGAAATTGAAGAATTACACCTTATGAAGGATAACTAGTAAAACACAAGATAAGCATTTTTAAAATTCAAACAAAAAGAAAAAGCTCACCTTGCTATCAGAAACTTAAACTCTCAAGTCTACATCAATGATGCTGAAAATCCAATTGAAGTTAGATTCGCTAAGAAATATGTTAAGCAAGAAAAGCCAGTAAAATTTTTTATTTAAAATATTTTTTATTTTAGTGATCAAAGCGGCTTAAAGATTGCCGAATAAGGGTGGGTTTGATTGATCATGTGAAAAGGTAAGTTAAAAAAAAGTAATAAGGAAATTTTATTTGTTTATTGATGGATAAAATTGGTTAGCCTTGTGAAATTCTAAATCTAAGTTCTAGATAGATAAATGATCAATCTTTGAATCATAATAAGATAACTAAAAGTGAGGGCATCATTAATAACAATCAATCAAGCAAGTAAGCAGCAAGCAAACAAAAAAAAACACAACAGAAAATAGAATCAAAGTCTAACATTAGAAAGAAAGAAATCAAATTAACAAAATAACTAAGTAACTAAGTTACTAACTAACTAACTAACTAACTAATTAACTAATAACAATCAAACAACTGATCAACCAAAAAATTAGAGAGGATGAAGTAGATTGAAACGAAAAAGAGATGAATCTCGTCTTATTAGAAATAAAATAAAAGCAAGTTATCTATAATTAATAGAATAAATTAATAAATAATTAAAATATTATTATGAGTAAGTAGTCTACATAATCTAATAGTAAGTATGTGATCGCATGTATCGTGTAAATTAATGTTGTAGTTGTTGTTTAAATAATAAAATAGTAATAAATTATGTTGTTGTTATTGATGTTCCATCTTGTTATAATTACTTAAAAGCTAAATTATCAAAATCCCTGTTTACTAACAAACAAACAAACTAATTAACTAATAAGATCATATATCATCTATCTATCTATCTCAATCAATCATAAACAAACTACTTAAACACATGCATCAATCGATTTGTCTAATAGTTATATATTATCTATTCAACAAAAAAAAAATAAAAGCAATTTTACAGCTTTTCAAACCAATTCTTTTAATATTTTCATTTATCAAACTAAATTTAAAATTCAAAAATAAATAAAAACTTTATTTTTTTAAATACAGAATCCTACTCCAGCTCCTAAACCTGACCCTGCTCCTGCTCCTTAGCAAATCAGCGTAAGGATATTTAATCAAAAAATTTAATTTTTAAGTTTTAAAATTTAAAATTTAGTGGTAAAAAGTATACTTCAAATACTACACTGAAGAGAATGAACCTTACTACTTCCATCCTCTTCTAAATACTAGTGCCTTTGACAAACCTGGTCCTGGAAGCTTGATTTTAGATATTGATGGAAATCAAGAATACATAGATAACAACCCTAGACCTACAAGAAACGAACCTGTTGTTATTAATGATAGAAAGGATGTTTGTAAATATATTTCAAAATTTTAAATTAATAAAATAAAAATTAAAAAATTAATTCACTTCCTAAAATAAAACATTTCATTTTTTATTTTTTTTAAACTTACTTTTTAAACTAAATATTAAATTATTTTTATTAAAATAGATGGTAAAATATTATTTAGATGATTCTGATTGCACAACATAGTTTTTATTTACAAGCTAATTATCTAAATCATTTATTTTACTTTTTTCTATTAAAATTAATAGATGGCAAAAAGCATGGACCTCCTGGAGCCAATCTTTTTATATTCCACTTGCCCAATGACTACAGAGATTCCGATTTAGAAAAACTCTTTTCAGAATATGGTGAGGTAATTTCTGCTAGAGTCAATACAAGACCTGATGGAACAAGCAAAGGATTTGGTAAATATTGAAGCTCTTTAAGTTAATTTTTAATGCTTAAATTATTTTAGGTTTCATTAGTTATAACCACCCATCTTAGGCAGAGGCTGCAATCACTGCTCTCAACGGACTCTAGATTAAAAGTAAATAAAATATTAGAGTAAATATAAAATATAAATAAATTTTAATATAAATAGATAAGAGACTAAAAGTTGAAATAAAAAAAGAAGGAATGGATAACAATGGAAACATGAAGCAATCCAACCCTGGATCTTTAAACCAAACTTCTTTCCATCCATTCTGAATTATATTAAAGAAAGGACAATAAATAAAATAAAATTTATTTTTAATATCTTAATTTAAGCTGAAAAATGAACAAAAAATAAAATAAATAAATAATTAAATAATTAAACAAATTATGTCTTCTAATTTTTTCTAAAAACCTTATTATATATTTTATTATTATATTATCTATGCTTGCTTATTTCATTTATTATTTCTATAGCATCATGTATATAATTTTTTTTTACTTATTAGTTTAATCGAAACATTAAAAATTGTTTTCTTCCATTTATTTAGTTTTTAAATTCATTTTTAATCACTTTAATAATTTTTTTAATAAATTTTTAATCCAAAAATTTGAATAAATTTATTAAAATTTTGAAAATAATTTTTTTTAATAAAAATTAACAATTTATCAAATGATTTATTTCATTTAAATCTATATTATAATTGTAACAAATAACTTATACAGCATACATTACTTAAAATGAACTTAAAAAATCTGAAGGAAGATTAAAAAACGTTTATTATTGTATTAAATCACTTTTTATTTATATGCAATAAAATATTTTAACCAATTTATCCGCAATAATTTTAATTTTAAATAAAGAACAATATGAATTTTTGTTTAATTTGTCTTAGAAATCATTTCAAAAATAAAAATTTTATTTAAGTTCATGTTTTGTTTCTAACTAACATATTTATTAAGTTGATTGAAATAAATATAGGTGGGGATATTGGTTATAAAGTTTTTTATATCGTTAGCAATAGAAGCAAAGATTTATATACTAAGGTTTAGAGAAAAAAGATTAAGCGCTTAAAAAAAAAAATAAAAATTAAATTACTTAATTTAGAATAGTAAAAAAAGCTGAAATCTCTTAAAAGAAAGGCTGAACTAAACAAATAGGAAATCTCCAATATAAAATACTTCATCATTTTGTGATCATTGTTTTGCTTTTAAATATCGTTATTTCATGAGTAATTTTATGATTTATGAAATTTATGAACCTCTTTTAATATAGGAAGAAATTTTATATACAAAAAAAGAAGAATATTTGATTGATTGACTCAGTATTAATAATTGTTACATGCATGCTATTATTCTCTACATTACAGCAATCAAATTCATTTTATATTATATTTCAAATGCAATTTTAACAATGTGAAATTTGATTTAATCTTCATTACAATAATGAGGATATTATTTTACATGCAAACATTTTTTATGAACGATTTTAACTTATTATTCAACCTAACCTTCCTTTTCTATTATTTGTACAATTCTTAGATTCAAGTTCCAGTAGCAAATCAAATAAATTGGGAGGTCAGTAATACTATCATCAAGAAAAGCATTATAAAAACGCTGAATAAGAAGATTCTAATTCCTCTCTTGAAAACAAATCAAAAGGCGGCTAAAAATATGTGCGAAACAATCATATAATTTATTTATTTATTTGCATATTTTATGAAAGTATCTGCAAGAGATTGATAAACAATTTCAAAATTCTCAAAAAAAAAAAAATAAACTCATTTGAGAAATTATTAAAACTTAGAAAGCAGATACCAAAAAAATTTGATGCACAAGCTCATAGACTATAATAATATATTGATGTATTTTTCTTTTAAATATAGAAAAGAAAATAAGTTGAAATAAAGCTATTTGTAGGCCAAATCCCTAAAACATGGTATCATTTTCTTTTTGCATTTCTATTTTATATTTTTATGTAGGATGACACTACTAACTAACCTTGGGTGATGCTGCAAAAAATTAAGATTAAGAAAGAATACATTTCATTTCATTACATGCATGAATCAATCAATCAATAACTTATTTTTAATTATAATCAAAAATAAATAACACAAAATTTATTTCATTTGCTCTATTAATAAAATATGTATAAAATTTTATTAATAGACACATATAAACAATTAATATTTAATCAAATTCTGTACTGCACCTTTTTTACAGTTTAATTAAATTTTGATTCTTTCTCTTGTTTTTTTTGAAAGCTATCACCCTAGCAAATAAATTTTCATTTATAATTAATTATTTTTTGATCTTTCTTTCTTACTTACTTACATTTATTTTGTTTGTAAACTTAAAAAATTTCATTTATATTTGATTTAAGGGAAGAGAATGATTTGAAAACATTTTTTGAGAAGTATGGTGAAATTGTGAAAGTTTAAGTAATCAGAGACAAAAATAATTAGCACAAAGGGTGTGCTTTTGTTGTTTTTGCCTCTATTTTATGCGCCAATATTGCAATTGAAGCTCTCAAAGCAACTAAATTGCCTGGAGTATATTTGAAATTATATATAAATATATATACATATACATTTTTTCAACCAATATTTTGTGAAAGAATAAATTCTATTGTTGAATGGCAAACCCATTTTCTATCAACATTTATTGAAATTATGTTTTCAATAAATTAATTCATTCACTCATTAACTGTTTATTTATTTAAAATCCCATTTTTTTCAAAGGTTTGTAGGCAAACAATTTTTTTTTCAATTGTTTATTGAAAATCCAATTTTGTTTATATTTTTTTTATGGGCTTTTCGTTTTTTGTTTGTCAAGTTTTATTTGAAACTTACACACCAACCAACAATAAAAATGTTTTAATCCTTTTTAAGATGTAAAACAACATACAGGTTAAGTGGGCTGATAATGAGCCTGATAGGCTAGGAATCAGACAAGACCAAGACTATGTCTTATATGTAGCTCATATTCCTAAAAATGCATCAGAGGTGAGCTATTTATTTTTTCAAACTTTGAATTTATGCTCTATCTATTTTAAAAATAAATCAAGTGATATTTTTTACATTTATATAATACTAGCCTGAAATAAGAAATGTTTTTGAAAACTATGGAATTGTTAAAGAAGTTGATATCCCTAAAGATTAATCTGGAACAAGCAGAGGATTTGTTTTTGTGAAATTTGAAAATATTGAACAAGCTATTTTAGCCAAATAGGCTCTCCATGAAAAATAAGTTTTAAATAATCAAACACAGTCCTTAGTGGTCAAGTTTTATGATCCTAAAAAGAAATAAACTCAAGGAAATTAAGGACCATAGTAAGGTCAATCTGGCAATTCTTCAAACAGTAAATGCTTTTTTTTTTTAAAGAGATAAATAAAATATATTATTTAAAAAAAATAGATTACAACAACAATGGACAGGGATAGCCTCATCACTCAAATAGGGATAACTAAGGACAGTCTAATTATTATCCATCTTCTTCATAGCCTTAAATGTACTCATAAGGTTAATAGCCTAACCAAAGAAACTCTGACAATTATAATTACCAAAGAGAATAGCACTCTAATTATAACTAAGGAAGCTAGTCATAAGGATATAGAGGAGGATAAGGAAATTATCACGGGCATCATGAAAGCAAAGGGTCCTATAACTAAAATAATTAAAATTACCCAAGAGAAAGTGCCAATTTAAACAACAGTGAACATTATGATTAGCCAAGCTAGTCGTTCGATAGCTTCTAAAGTCACTCTTCTAATTTTAGAGAGTAATATGGCAATCAAAATCTCCAATAATCATAACATAAGTAAATTTTTTATTTTTATTTTTAACTTGTAAAAAGTATTTAAGTATTTTCATTTTTAATTAGTAACGGTTATCCTCACCATAATCGTAACAACAACAGCAACAACAATAACAGTAATAATAGCAGCAACAATAACTTTTAGTATAGCAGTAGCTACCCCTCTAATTAGCCTGCTGGAAATAATTTGAGCAATTAGCAATTTAATTAAACTTATAATAACAGCAACTAGAGTAATGACTATAACTACCAAAACCCTTAGTAAAACGACTATGTTCCTCCACCACAAGGACAAAATAACTTTTAGTTTAATGATTATTAACAGCAGCATCACAGTAATAATAATGGACCTGTTCCAAATAGTGCTAATAATAATTAAATTTAATAGTTTAATCCATACTATAATAACGAAAATTTTGATAACTATAACAATCCTTAGATTCACAACGAATAGCCCAGCTTTACTCCAAATTAACCTCCATAATAAATACCTTAACATGAAATAAATTAACCTCCATTATTCAATATGCCATAATAATAACAACAACCAATAAACCCATAGCCTTCATTAGACATTTCTTAGCCTAGTAGTGGTTACTAAGAGCCAATCCCTGCTGTAGAACCTAATTAATAGCCAATTTAAGTAAAATCTTTGTTTCCAATTAAATTATTTATTCTTTTTTATTTAATAGCAAAAAGCCTATATTAAGTATTACACTGATGACAAAGTCCCTTATTACTATGATACTCAAACTTAATCTACATCATATGACTAACCTCCTTTAGGATCGATAATATATAATCCAGATGGAACACAAGAACATGTATAACCAGAAAGCATCGAACAACTGCAAAAATTTTAACAAGAAACAGGATTAGCAGAAAATAAAGAACTTGAAATTTTATGTAATAAAAAGTTTTTAATTAAAGTTAAATTAAATTAATTAATTAAATTTTTTAAAGCCTAAAAAACAACAGGACCTCCAGGAGCTAATTTATTCATTTTCCATCTTCCAAACGACTACCGTGATTCAGATCTTTTAAGACTCTTCAAAAAATTCGGTGATTTGCTCTCCGCAAGAGTTATCACACGTCCTGATGGTTCTAGCAAAGGCTATGGTAAAAAAAAAAATTAAAATAAATTTAATTTAAACATTTAATTTTATTTGAACTAGGTTTTGTAAGTTATACAAGCCCAGATGGTGCTCAACAAGCTATACAGTAAATGAATGGCCTATAAGTTGGAAGTAAATAAAAATTAAAGTATGAGTTTTAAATTAAATATAATTTACATTAAATAGAGAAAAAGCTAAAAGTAGAAGTAAAAAAAGGTCAAGGTGATGGAGATTTACCACCTAGTCTTAGTTAAAATGGATATTAACCCTTTTGATTTGTATATAAAAATAACTAAAAAAGCTCAGCAATTATTGATTAATTATCTAAAAATTATCACTATAAAAAAGAGTAATTTTTAATTAAAACCTTAAAAAAGTTTGTAATAAGAAGAATGAATGCTGATCATTCTCATCATGATCGTCTTTACAATTAACTTAATTTTTATATTGCATTCAATGTTCATTATTATTGTCAATATTTATATTCATAATTAATTATTATTAATCAATCAAATTAATCTCACTTTTTCTTATAAATTTACTTAAAATAAATTCCTTTAATCATTTATTCACTAAATTATTAGGAAAGCTTTAAAAAAAACTGGAGAACCTGGGCATTGATCCCAGTGCCTCTCGTATGCTAAACGAGCGCTCTACCATTTGAGCTAGATCCCCTTACAATTTAATTAAAAAAACCACAAATATATATTTAACTATTTTCATAAATTAAAAATCTAATCATTTTATCATAGAAATATTAGTTTCATTTTTTCCAAGTTTGGAGCATAGAATGTCAAGCAAGTAAGTATAAAGTAATTATGATTAAATGACTCAGAATAATTATTATCAGATATTAATTAATTAATTAAAATCTTTAATTATATAACAATATTAAAACCAAATTTTAATCAGAGAATCTGAAAATAAATAAAATAAACTTAAATAATCAATATATACTCATTATTTGTTTATTTTATCAAAATATGTTAATAAAATATAAAAAATTAAAAAATAAATAAATAAATATTTTTATAATTTTAATTAAATCCTATCCTTACTATTTATTTACATTTTATTTTTATATTATGTTTTAGTAAAAAATAATATTTCAAGTTTTTGAATAATTTTATAATGTTTTTATAGGATAAAATTCTTAAACATTTAAATCCTTTTAATTTAATCTTTGATGGTTTATCATCAATCAATCAAACAAATTTATAAATATCTTTTTGATTTTTAATTAATTAATAAATTAACTTTTTATAAGATTATCAAAATATTATCTCTAAAGTTTATAAGTAGATATATAATCTGTAATTTCTGAGAGGCATTATTACTAAAATATGAGATCATTAATTAAAACAGCTTTCAAATAGGTTTCAGGATTGAATAATTATAAAGCAATACCTTCAGGCTTGAAAAAATATTTTTCAACTTAGCAAAAGGCAGATTTAAAAGACATACCTATGCTTGATGAGTTTATGAAGCAGCAAAGTATTATTACTAATGTTTAAAATAATAATATAAATTTATTTAAGATGCAAACAAATGCAGAATTTTGAATAATTTTATTTTAATATTTAATTAATACAAAGGAGAGCCTATTAAAGAATCAGACTTAGAAGAAACTTAAATTCCCTACTTAAATAAAACATAATTCGATAGTTAAAAAAAATATTTTATTGAGACATATGGATGCTAAATGAATGAGTCTGACACAGAAATTATTAGTGGAATTTTGTAAAAAGCCGGCTTTGTTAGAGAAAGTAATTTAGATAATGCAGATATAGTATTTTTAAATACTTGTGCTATCAGAGAAGGAGCTGAAAATAAAATTTGGAAACGTTTGGAGAATATTCGTGCCTACAAACGCAAAGAAAAAAAGTAGCTTATAACAGGAGTTTTAGGGTGCATGGCTGAAAGATTAAAAGATAAATTAGTCGAAAAAAATAAAGTAGTAGACATTATTGTAGGTCCTGATGCTTACAGAGATCTACCACGTCTTATATAAAGTTTAGATGTAAAAATTTTATAACTAACTAACTAAATAAATAAAATAAATTGTTATTAAAATATTTTTGATTTAATTTGAAGAAATTAAATTTCTACTTCAGAATATTCTATCTATCTTTTTAATTCAAAATTGTTTATTTTTAAAAATAAATAGCCTTCAACTGATGATTATTCTATTAATGTTCAATTATCTTTAGAAGAGACCTATGCTGACATTGTTCCTGTAAGATAAAATCCTGATAGTTGTTAGGCTTTCGTCTCTATTATGAGAGGCTGTAATAATATGTGCTCTTTCTGCATTGTACCATTTACCCGTGGTAGAGAAAGATCTAGAGATATTTAGAGTATTGTTGAAGAAGTAAAAATGCTTGCAAACTAAGGAGTTAAAGAAATCACTTTACTAGGTTAAAATGTTAATAGCTATTTTGATAAAGAAGCTGAAGGATATGAAGATCTTGATCATTTAAATTCAGAGGGATTTAAAGAAACCTTCAAGCTTAGAAAAGTAATTAGAGCTTTATTAAACAGTTTATTGGTATTTTATAATTATTGAATATAAATTAGGGTAAAGGTGCAAGATTTGCTCATCTTTTAGAAGAAGTTGCTAAAGCTGCTCCTGAAGTCAGATTTAGATTTACTTCTCCCCACCCTAAAGATTTCCCAGATCCTGTACTTTAAGTTATTAAAAAATACCCAAATATAGCCAAGAAGTAAACAAATTTTTTACTTATTCTCATATTCTATTTTTGATAATATTTTTGTTTAGTTTACACATGCCAGCCTAAAGTGGAAATACCGAAATGCTTACTCGTATGAGAAGAAACTATTCAAGAGAAAATTACATAAATCTTGTAGATCACATCAAATAAACCATTCCTGGAATTACACTTTCAAGTGATTTTATTTGTGGTTTTTGTGGAGAAACTGACCAAGAATTTTAAGACACCTTAACTTTATTAGAATATGTTAAGTACGAAAACGCATTCTTGTTTGCATATAGTTTGAGAGAAAAAACCCATGCACATAGACATTATTAAGGTATTAAATTTTTAGAATAAAATAGATTTTATTGATTAAAATAAAAATTAGATGATGTGCCAGAAGAAGTTAAAAAATAGAGACTATAATAAATGATAGATGTTTTCCATAAAAATTAAGAATTAGTTAATAAATAGGAAGTGGGAAGGTGAAATTTTAATTTAATTTCTATTAAAAGAATTAACAATATTTTTATTATTACTAGAATTCATCTTGTTTTAGTTGAAGGAAAAGGCAAATTCGAGAACTAAATTAGAGGAAGAACTGACACTAATAAAAGAGTTATTTTCAACTCATTAACAACTTGCTCTTCAGAAATACCTGAAGACTTATCCCATAGTGATGAGCAATTAAAGGAATTCCTGATGAAATAATAAATAGAATAAAGCATAAATTAAGGAGACTAAAATAAAATTTACAATGGTGACTTTGTTCTTGCTAGAGTTGATTCTGTTTCAGTAAGATCTCTTTTCTGCACTCCCATAGCAAAGTGTTCTATTTCTTAATTTGCTAAACTATCTAAAAACAACCCTTTTATTTAATTCTGATTTCTCTTAATTTAATTTAACTGCATTTAATTCTAAGCTAGTATATTTATTTGTATTTGATTATAAACGACTCAATTTATTAAAAAAATTTAATATTTTTTACTTTTTATTTTTAAGCTGAATTTAAAATTATTTTTTAATTTAATTTTGAAATTTTATAAAAAAATGTTTTTTCTTTATAAAAATATTTTGAAAAATAATAAATTTATTCTGTAATATATATTATTTTTGATGATTAAATTGTTAATTTAAGAGAAAATATATTTCTTATTATTAAATACACAAATATACTAATTACTCAATTGGAAAACTTTAAATTAGAAAATAAGAATAGATTTTTAAAAGTTAAATAATTAATTATATTATCATTAAAAAAAGTTTTATACAATCTGCTAATCTATATCTTAAAATTCAGTCGACTTCTATGAATTGTTTGAAGATCCTTCAAGAATTTTCTAAAAGTTATGCTTTATTTCTATTATTGAGTTTTAATTGTTGATTATCTTAGCTAACTTGTATATATTTATAATTTATAAAGTTTTTAAAATGGTAAAACAGTATTTTGGATTTGTAAAATATCCTTTCAAAACATTCAAATAAACTTTTTCTGCTATTCTTAAATTTGTTTGTTTAATAAACTCAGTTAAAAGATTGAAAGACCCAATAAAATCGTAAAAATTAAAGTGGATAAAGATGTCGGCCTAACCTTTAAGCCATTTTTATAGTTAGAGATCACCAAAAATAATATAGTATCTTAGCATGTAATTCATTATCATATCTTCTTCAAAAGAGTTTTAGTTACTTTTCAAGAAAAACATACTATTTTTCTTATATCCTAGTACCTCTTCCTGTAAGCGCTTTGTAATATCGTTTTAATTTATCTGCTTTAAGATTACTTCGTCAACTTTGCTTTTGTTGCTATTTAAGCGCAAAAAAGATTCTATAAGCTAAAGCAATTAATGGATTTTTATTTTTTATTAGTAGCTTTAGCTCTTATTATACTCTTAGTAAATTACAATTATGATAATCAACCTCAATGTCTAAATTAAGCAAGAGTATTCTTATAAATTATTTAGTTGTTCACATTTCTATTCTAACATTTCTTGAGCTATCATACTAGATTATTCTTCTTTTTGATTTATATCTTCTTGCAAAATAATTTATTACTAATTTTAAAGTATTTAATCAGTAATTTTTTACTTTGACTTATCAATTGTCTTGCTTTAAACTTTATTTTTTTATTAATCATGGCTTTGATTGCTCTGATTTTCTTAAATTTAATAGTGTAAGTCAAAATTATTAAATTAATAGTATTCTTTCAGATAAATTAATTTGGTTATTTCTTTTTCGCTTACTTGGTATACTTTTTTTTTATTTGATAGGACTTCGTTTTAGACTACTGGTAAATATATTTATGGATATATATTTGTAAAGATATAAATGAAATCATAATTAACTCCACCTTTAACGCTGTATTCAAGTAGTTCTAAAATTTTTACTTCAAGATTGCATAACTTGTAGTACATCAGAATTAAACTAAATACAATTAGAAATCTTTATCTTTTACTGCAAGAAAAAGGATCAAAAGCTAAAAGCATTTACTCTTTCTTTTTAATATTCTTTTTCTAAAATAGATAGCTATAAGATTTTTCCATGTAAGGTAAATTATCTCTGTTCAAAAAGTATTAGCAAAAGATATTGTAATCGTCTTAAACAGAGGTTGCTACAGCACACTCCTTAAATTATGAATATTTCAAAGTTAAAAGGACATCTTTTATTACTAATCCTCTCAATATATCAGTCAATATTTGCTGTTGCTCTTTTTTTAAGCTTTTTAAAATTTCAAAATGGTTGTTATAAATTTTATAATAGTTGCCCGAATATTCTTGCAAACTTAGTTCTTCTTGTAAGAATATTTTAACCCCTTTTGATTAAATTTATTGTAAAAAGTTTTTATTCAATTCATCTTAATTAGTATGAATTATTGGAGTTGTATATTAATAATTAGATCTGGTACTCTTTTAAGAAGAAGTAGGGCTTAAAGGTTCTCTTGAAGATTTTAAGCTATTGAAACTAGAATCTAGGTTATTCTACTCACTACTTTGATTGTTGAAATTTTATTGATCTTCAAATTAAAGCTAATCAGTTTATCTAATGCTTACTTCAAAATTAATATTTTAAATCTCTTCATTTTGTATGTTTTAAAATCTATCTGTAAAATTAAAATAAGGTTAAGCTAAAGATTGCATTGCAGGTAATGATAAATTTAGAATTGGATTTAAATTGTTTTGTATTTTGTTAGCAGGATTTAGAATTTAATTTTATTAGCTTTCTTTAGAATAAGATTAAGGTTTATTAGAAGGTTCAGCTTTAAGGATATTCTTTTCTTGTACTTTATTCTTTTAAATGGTTAATTATTTATTGGATTCTTCTTACAAAATTTAATTTTTTTTAGTTGCAACTAACTAACTTAATTATTTTAAATCTAAATCATAGTCTAAATCTTCATCCTATTCTTATTATACTTAATTTGGATCTTGAGTAAACATCAATTAATTATTCAAGTTCATTTCTTATTTTTACTAAATTATCTAACTTTACAAGATATTTTTTTATTATTCTGACTAAGGAGCTACCTAATAGTTATATTTTTTAATTATTTCATCTATTGTAGATATAGATTTTTTTGGTTTCTTTTTAATCTTAATGTCATCATCTTATTCAGGATCTGTTTCTTATTTGTTTTGTAGTATTAGAGTATCTTTAATTTATTTTTATTAGTCTTATTTGTTTTTTCCTATCAATAAGTTATTTTTTTAAGTTTGTGGCTAATTTTAAAGCTAGTTGTTTATTACTTACTTTGTTTATGTATTTTTTATATCAAAATTGATAAGTTTTTAATTTTAATTTAACTTTAAATTTGCATTGCCCTGTTTAACAAGCTAGTTTTAAATATCTTATTTTTATTCTTGCTTTTCTTTTAACTTTCTTTCTTTTCTCTCTTTTACTTATTTGATTTCTTTCAAATTTGTATTTAAATTACTCTTCGTCTGTAAAATTTAATCATCATTTTAATTTTTAATCAAACCAGAAACAGTTTGATTGAGATTTTCTCTTTTATCATCTTATTTTAATCTTTCATTTTCAGTATCTTATTTCTACGTTTTTATAATTTTATTATTTTATTCTTCAATAATCATTAGAGATTTTTAGTTTTATTTGTCTTTCTAATTACCAATTACAAAGTCATTTTAAATAACTGTTTTGCTTGTTTATTATTATTCATTTATATTCTTTTTTTAAAATGAATTATTTAGTTTTTCGTTTGTTTAAAAATCATCTAATTATTTTATTTCACTTTGGATTTAAGATTTTTAATTTTCTATTTAACAAACTAAACTTTCATTTTTTTCTTAGATTAGATCTTCATTTTTCATATCTTTCTAGCATCTTTCTCCATCATCTTTTTCTTAAGATATATTCGTTTTTTAAAATGAATTATTTAGTTTTTCGTTTGTTTAAAAATCATTTAATTATTTTATTTCCCTTTAAATTTAAGAATTTTAATTTTCGATTTAACAAACTAAATTTTCATTATTTTTTTAGATTAGATCTTCATTTTTCATATCTTTCTAGCATCTTTCTGTATCATCTTTTTCTTAAGATATAAAATCAGTTGCTATTGTAGTATTATCATTCATTTTTTATTCCTAAATTTATTACTAATCTATTTCAATGTCTATTTGCTAGATTGCAACTTATTCATTATCCTAAATATCATTACTAAAGCTTTTATTAATAGGAGAAGTATTATAATCATAGTTAAAATTTTAATTTTGATTCTTTATTTCATGTAGCTCTTAAAATTAGCTTTGGTTCAGTGTGTTTGGATGAAGAATTAAATTTGTTTCACCTTTCGATATAACTTTTTGCATTTCATCTGAAAATTATTGAGACATTTTTTACAAAATTTTTTCTTATTCTTTTAATAAATTAGATTAGAAAGCTTGCAGTTATGATTCCATAATCTATTTTATTGTTTATTATTAGCCATGCATAGATTCAAAAAATATTTACGTTTGCTTTGAGCTTGCTTATTAGTTGCCAACTTATTAGTTTGCTATTTCTAAAATTTTATCTTGTTTTGTTATTAAACTAGTTATATCAGAACCTTAGCTATTTATATTTTCATAAGTCTTTTCTAATATCTGTGATATATTATCTATTTTTTTCTTGCTTTCAAGCAGAATCTCTTCATTTAGTTTTATTTTTTTAACAATTTACTCCTCATAATGACTATTTTAATAACCTACTTGAGAATTAGCAGTATTAGAAAGTTTTGTCTATTCTATTTATATTTCCTCTATACTTTCCTAAAATTATACCTATTTTTTTTACTATTTGATAGCTTTTACCTTGTTATTTAGATCTTAATCTTAACTTTTTACCTATCCAATTTACTATTAAGAAATAGCATTTTATTTTTATTAATTTGAACTTATTAAAATTTCTTACTATTACTTGCTTTCTTAATATTATTTATCAACCTAGTCTTTGAATACCTGCTCAGTTTAAGAATCAAAATTGTCTTAAAATGCATCTAGCATTTCATCTTTTTCAAGACTTGCTGATTTAGATTTCTGATTATTTTCTAAAAATTTACTAAGTTCAATAATTCTTTTGGTTTTTTTATCTATCTCATCTTACTATTCTCTTATTTTTTATCTTAACTCTTCCATAATTTAATTATTCTAAGATTTTAATTCACTTTTGTTTTATTTTATTTTTAAATTTTGCTATTTTAGCTAGCCTTCTAGAGCTACAATTTCTTATTTATATTTTAATATTTCATTATTCTTATTTGATAATTCGCTTTAATATTTTTTTTCCTATTCTAGAAAGCTTTCGCTCTAAGCTTTTAAATTTCTGATTTGCTCATCTTATATGTCTATTTGCAATTTATATTTTTTATTCTCTTTAATCAAAGTATCAGTATCTATTATTTGAAGTTTCAGCTACTTTATATGATCAGGCAGATTAAAAAATTGATTGTTTATTTAATCTTAACAATGATCGCTTCTTATTTAGTACTATTACTAATTTATTTTGTATTAATTATCCTAATAATGGTTTTAATTAATGTTTTAGTTATCATCTTAAACATTATTGTATTAAGAATTAACTGTGTTAGTGTTTTATTGTGCACTATACTATTACTTAGAGTCTTCATGAAATTCCTAATTTTCTTGTAATTAGTTGTATTTTGAAGACTGATCATAATAATTCTAATCCTGAAACTAAACATTTTCTTCTTCTTCCTCTTCATCAAAGTATTGGTATTAATTATCTCCTCCTTCTTAATCAACATGATTATCTTTGATTTTGACTTGTTAATTTTACGTATTGCTTTATTGCATAATGTTATTTTACTAAAATACTTAATTAGGTTATTAGTAATTTAAATAATAATTTTAATTTGTTGGATTATTTTAATTGCTATTTATAATATTATTATTATCATTTATCATAGTAGGTATATTTTCATTGTCATTTTCATCTTCATTCTAATCATAATCCTCCTATCCGCTGTAAATATTTTCTTCATAATCTGTTTATGCTTGTTGACTTTCTTAGACTTCATGATTATTTCCTGAAATGTCACTGTTGTGGGTTTTTTCGTTCATTTATTCATATATTTTATCTTACTCTTAATTGAAGGGATGATCTAAATTTTGAATTTCAGGTGACATTTTAGTAGTTAAGTTGAAATTATTATTTATTTCCTTTTCAGTTTAACTTTATTCCTGCTGCATTTCTTCATTTGTGTTATTCAGCTCATTCTAAAATTTTTAATAATGAGATTAGTGATCAAATCTTATTCTAAAATTATCTTACTATAATGACAAATAATTATCAGATAAACTAAAAACATTTGTGCCATTTCTGTACTTATCAAAAAATGGCTATCCTAATTTTACCTAATCCATATTTTCTTGAATGCATGTTTATTCCCTTTAATTTTCAACTTCAGCAATTTGAATTTTATCCATCCCTCCTAACCTTGGTCTATTAATTGTTGATAAAGCTATCTACGATGATAAAGGAGGCTATATATACTGCTATTCTTCGTTTTAAATATCTACCTAATTATCTATCATAGAATATCTCAATAAATTATTTGAAATCTAATTAAAAGTTTTACCCTAAGATTGAATTTTATTAGACTGGTTCATTGTAAATAAAATCAGAATATTAAAACTCTACCAATCTTTTTACTTTTATATTTTAATGTGACTAAAATTTATAATCTTAATTGTCTAATAAATACAAATTAAAGCTCTTACAATAAAACAATTCACTAATCTAATTTTGAATAATAATATTAATTTTTCTAATTATAACCTTCCTACCTACCTACCTACCTACCTACCTACCTACCTACCTACCTACCTACCAACCAGTTGAAAAGCTATTACTAATATAATTTTTAATGATATGATTAAATAAATCTAACTAATTGAATCGCAAATATTCTCCAACAAATTATTAATTAATATTTATTTATTTATTAATTAATTTTATTTACCTCATTTCAACAAAAAACAAAAGCGAGAATAATGTGTTTGAAAAATGTATTAAAATGTTTTAGATAAATAAATTATAAATCAAAATATTGAAAGACTAAAATATAGGCTAAATATAAGTAAGTAAGTACCTTAATAATATTCATTTATACGCACAAGAAATCTATCCGAAATATTAATATTTTCTTACAATTTTTGATGTATAGAAAAATTAATTATTTTTATAAATCAAACTCGCTTCGGCTGGGTTAGCACATAATTCAAAGCAAATTTTTTAACAAGATTTATTGATCAGAGAGATGAGAGGGAAAAAAAAATTTACTAAAAGAAAAAAGTACAAATTTCTGAATCTATTAGAATAATTGTGAAAATTTTTGAAATTTTCTATCATAACCTTATTTAACTTATTTCTAAACGATTACCTTCTAAAAATGGCTAAAATGAAATATATTTCTATTTCTAAAGATTGAATAAGATTTAATTCATCAAATAAAAAATAATTATAAGATGAATTGCTGGTAATGAGAATATATAAAAAGTATCATTTTATATTTGGTCTCAGTAGTTGCTACACAATGTGCTATTTGATTAATTTCAGAAATCATTAGTATTATCTCAAAAAGTCCTAAAGATATGATACTCTGATCATTAAAGGCTTAGCTATCAGCAGCAAAAAGAAATAAAAAAATTTATTAAAAAATATCATAAAAAAGATAATAAATAGTTAATTAAATAAGAAAACTTTTTAAATGGATACCCTTACTACCAAGATCACTGTTAAGTCTGCTACTGGTGATGCAGTTGAATTCGATGCTAAGATTTGCGAATTGTGTGATTTAATCAACAACATGCCCGACAAATCTTAACCCCTCACCACTGATATCTCCACTGAACTTTTAAATCTTATTAAGTCATTCGCTGAAAAGCACAGTTATGACAAGAAGTCAATGACTTACTGCTTCCCTACCATTAGCAATTCCATCAAGGCAAACATTAGTGACAAGTCTTATGAACTCCTTAAGGATCACATTGTCGAAGGTAGCATCTCTGAAACTGCCAAGAGACTTGCTCCCCTCATCAATGCTGCTGATGTTTTGAGATTCCGTAAGTTGTACACCACCTTAAACATCGTTTTGGTTACCCCCTTACACATCGACGAATCCGAAAAGGCAGTTAAGGAATTCATGGATAACCACAACTTGAAGGAAGATGAAGACTTCAATGCTGAAAAGATTAACCAAGCCATTCAAGAAAACAACGAATTATTCGAACTTGTTGTTGCAAGATTTGCCAAGAACGTTGAAGAATTAGATAGAATCCAAGGTGTCACTGATTGAAAATTTTAATATGAAACCATAATTTAAATGACTTTTTTTGTGAAATTACTCTAAGATAAATTTAAGAATGTTTGTATATTCAATCAACATTTTGTGTTATTTTGTATTCATTAAAATGTTTACTTATTTTAGATAGCTTTCTCTTTTCTAAAACTAACATTTGATTTTCATAATTCTCGCTCTCATTCCCTTACTTTTTTTGTTAACATTGTCCTATTTTTCTAAAGCAATAAATAACTTTATTTGTTTTGTGAGCAAGCAAGCCAAAGTAATAAAAAATTGTTAGCAGCCATATAGCTCGAATTAGAATTAGCACGCTATCAGTATCCTTACCATTTTAGAAATCTAGCTTTACGTCTTAAGTAACTTACATCAAATATTTTTTGACTGATTTTTTCATATTTAATCAGTCAATAAACTTAAATAAAAGTACCACATATCTTTTTAAAAAAGATGAAAAACATAAATTTTTGAGTATTCTTTAAAGGAAATTTGATAAAAGTATATACATATTTTAGTATGGTCATAATAAAAAGTAAATATAAAAATTCCTGTCTCACTATATAAAAGAAAACATGTATAATTAATTGTTTTATAAGGAAGAAAATAAATATTAGAGTATCAAAAATAAATAAAGTATATTAGATATTTTTTTCTCAAAATTTTTGTGATTTAGAACCGCTGAATAAGTTAGAAAAGCTATTCATTTAAATAGAAAAGATTAAATAAACATTATCAGAAATAATTTGTTTATAAGATAGATACCCATATTAATTATATAAAAAATCTTCCCCAAAAACTCACAAAAAACAAACAAATAAAAAAAGAAACTAACTAATAAATTAACTAACTACTTAACCAACTAACAAAATATCTATAGAGTTTAAAATTCTCTATTTATAATAAATATTAAAGCAAGCTGTTTATTACTTTAATAGTGCCAAAAATGGTAAATAAATCATATATGGCTTAATATTGATATCAACTTAATCATAATAGTATCTTCTAATTCTAATGTATTACACTCATTAGCTATCATTAAAATTACCTTAAATATGTAAATTAAATTTTTTACTTTCAAATGTTTAGATTAAATGAAAACATTTGGGATTACTAATTTTTATATGAGGATTGCTACTATTTTAAAAATATGATACATATTATTAAATGCTTAATATTTTATTAAAGAGTAAAATAAAATATAGCAATTTTACTTTGAACAGAGAGAGAGACTTAGATTTAAAATGTAAATATAGCTGATCCTCAAACATCTTATTTACAAGTGAATTTCATAAAATAAATGGATGAATCAAAATATTTAATTAAGATCATATTATAAAAAAAATCAAAAAAGAATGGAGGTTTTTACTTATTAAAAGAATTAATTATTATTTTTGATACCAATTTTATTTGGATAATTAAAAGAGAGTATCCCACGAAATAATAAAAAAATCAAAATTCTTAAAATTACTTAATTTATAAACACAATTTATCTAATAAGATTTTTATTATTATTTTATAATTTGAATTAATTATTTTTAAGCTATTTTATTAATAAAAATGAAAAATTGTTTTTTAAATTCTAAATTAATTTTTAGAAATATCTTTTTTTTATCAAATAATATAAAAACAAATTTTTATTTTTTTTTTTTGTGAGAACAAATTATTTTTTGTTTTATATTTCTTTCTATCGAATTCAGCAAATGAATAAAATATTGAAATAATCATAATGAAATAAATAGTTAGATAGATAGATATATAATAAGTATAAAATAGTATGTCAAAAACAAAGAATTTTCCTTCAAATAAAATATTTGATGAAAAATATACATAATTGAGAAATCAAAACTGAAAATTTGATATTAATTATTAAGCTTTTATTTGTTTTTCATGAATAGAAAAAATTTTAGTTGTTATTATTGTTGTTGTTGTTAGTATTACTATTTTTAATTAGTTTGTATATAGCATTTACATGAGATAAGCCTCCTTTGTTTAGGCAACGAAGAATATACTCTCGAGAGTATCCAAATCCTTCAATCTATCCAATAATTTTTTCATCAAATTAATCACTAGATCCCGCGCTAGTTTGAATATCAAAATTCTATTAACAGTCTAATTATTATTATTGCTATTGCTTATAATGAAGCTATTTATTCTCAATACCTTCTGGAATTTAATAGCCTCTCATCCAAGCAGAGTTGGCTATTCCTTCAAGATTTATTCTTTCCTTCACTTTTAATTTAAGTATCTTTTGGAGCAGGTCTTGTGCTTCTTGGGAAACGTTCGTTTCTCTCATCTCATCGAGAGGTAGTACACCGTTAAGTATGTTGCGATGCAATTCTGTCAAGTTATTACCTTTAAAAGGAACTTTTCCAAATAAGAGGATGTAAATTAACACTCCTAAGCTCCATAAATCACTACCAAATCCCTCGTAGCCTTTGTTAGCTATTATTTCTGGAGCAAGAAAGGCAGGAGTACCGCATTATTCCATCATCTTTTGGTCTTTTAATATAATTCTTGATATTCCAAAATCTATTATTTTTAAATTTAGCTACGAATCAACAAGTATATTATCTAATTTAATGTCGCGATGCAGGACCATATTTCCATGGATATACCTTAAGCCGCTAATTATTTAGGTCAGCATATAACGCACTTAATTTTCTGTGTATGGTTCACCATTACGCTCTTTCATCATTTTCATTAAATCTTAGCCTCTGAAATACTCAGTAACAATAAAGATGAGCTTTCTGTTTTCAAAGACTTCTAGGAGTTTAAGCACGTGTTTATGATTATTCAGTTTTTTTAGGATTTAGACTTCTTGCAGGACCCTCTTCTTTGCACTTTCACTTCTCAAAATCGATTTATCTATGAGTTTTATTGCAACAAATTTACCAGTAAGTAATTAAACAGCTAAGCATACTTTAGCAAATGCACCTTTTCCAATTACATGCAAAACTTTATAGTATTCTTAGCTTGTAGATAAAGCTTTATTTTTTACCTTGAAAGTAGAGGTAATTTTCCTTATAAGCTTTTATCTTTCTTTTTTAAGTTCTTCAATATTTAAGTTTACTCCAAATACTTACTCTAAATTACTTTCAAAATTGTACTAATATTATGGTGTTATTGTGTTCGGTCTTTGTTAATCTTAATTGCTAGCATGATGCTGTTTTTTAATATAAAAAATTTATATTAATTAAAAAAAAACTAATATTTATGTACCTAATGGATGGGTTAATTTATTTGAGTAAGCCCTTAGTCATGTAAGAAGTGCTGCTAAGTACCTTAAACTGGTATAGCTTTGCTACTGTTGTTGCTTTCATCTGTTTGACTATGAACTTCTAGCTCTTCTTCTTCATCTTCATTTTCAAAATCTTCTATATGGTTTTCCTCATCAAAATCTTCATCCTCTACATATTCCTCTTCTCTTTCTAAATCTTCGTGTTCTTATGCTTTATCTTTTTAAATCAAAATAGTTTTTAATTTTAATTTTTTTAATTCTATTAAAATATTACCAAAACTTGCATGCTAAGAATAGTTGTTTTCGGAAAATCTATTTTTATTAATTTAAGAAATTGATGGAGCATTTATTATTTGTGATTTTTTAATTTCGCTTTTAGTTGAGTTTTTGCTGTTTGCTTATGAGGAGAGTTAAGGAGAGAATGTCTACTTTTCTTGCTTTAAACTATTAATTTAAGGTGATATTTTTATTTTTTGTTATTGATTACTTGGGTCAATATGAGCAGAACCTCTATTTGATTTTTTATTTATAGTATGCTGCTATTATTGCTTTTGAAATGCATTTGAAGACGTATTCGGTTTGCTTAAATGGTTGTTAGAGGTACTTTAGAATTTGTATTTATTGGTAGAATTTTAAATACTAAACGACTTTGTATCAGTTCCTCCTGTGTGTTTATTAAGGATATTTATATTGTCAGAGGCATTTTTATTTTTATGAGTTGCTTTGGTCTTTTAATTTCTAGAAGAACTGATTTCTTATGAATCATTAAATCCTTCTAATATAAAATTACTAGAATTTTTTTTTTTACTATTTGTTTTACCATCCATATTTAACTAGACGTTACTTGATATTTTTATATTCTTTTTTAATCCTCCTCCCTAAATTTCACCATTAATACTAGAATTGAGATGTTAGCTTCCGTTCAAATTCCAATTGCTCTATGAATTATTCATTGATCTCATAACAGAAAATGATCCATATTTAGAATTAAATTTGGAATTATTTTAGAAAGATGTATTTTCCCAAGGCTTATCAGTATATCTAAAACTAAATCTTTTTGATGCAGATTAAGTAGATTTAGATGGAGTAAGGAGGTTATTATTTAAATTTATATGCTTAGTATTACTACTAATAGGGTTGCTTCCTGTGATATCACTACTTTTATTATTATGAGAAAGGATATTTCGCTTTTGATTGCTTACACTTCTTTAAAGAACACGTTATTATGATAAAATTTCTATCATGTTCAAATTACTGTTGTTTTGCCAATTCCCTTTTCTTGAACTTGTTCTTTTAATAGGGTCTTCTTCATCTTAAGATATTTATTAGTTGTCAGTTTGTTTATTTGTGCTTTCACTAACTTGTCCATCATTTGAGTTATTCATGTAATTGCAAAGATCTATAATTAATTTTTTTGTATATTTTTCATTAAATTTATCAACAACTGTGAATCTCTTTTTTTAATCTTTTTTATCTTAGCTTTTGCTGCCTTAACTCCCAGTGCTACTTTATCTCTTAGTGCCTGCAGAAAGTACTTTTTGTTAAAGTTCTTTTTGCTATTGTAAGTATTACTATTTTTATTGGTCATTTATCGGAAGTGCTTTGCCATAGTTCTATGAATATATTAATTGCTATTGAGGATTCTCCACTGCTCCCACATTCACGGAGGAATTTATATTTAATTATGAAGAAGCAAAGCTCCCTAAAACACTCCCACATTTAACACTTTAAATTAATTCAGCATTGGCTGAATTCTCACTATTAAGTACTGAAGGTCTTTTTTCTTTTAATTGATTTCTCCTTATTTAAGAAGCTACTTTATAGTAGCTACTTTAAGAAACTTACTATTAATGTTATTAAGGTGTGGTATAATTATATGAAGAAGGACTATTCGAAGGTTTTGGTTATGCTTAAGTAAACTATTAATTATTATTTTAGTTACTATAATTATTTGAAGAAAGGTTTTTATCTCTGTTTTCAGGGGATTGACTCTCCTTGCAAGGTAATTTTTTAATTGCATGAGAAGAAGAATTAGCAGCATTGTATAAGTAATTTGGTGATAAATAGTTGTGTTAAGTTTAACCAGTGTTTGATGATAAATTTATGTTTGACTACAAATTATTTTGTTGATATCCTAGTTTACTAAAAGAAGGTGATGTTTATCCATAATTTTTTGAAGATTTAATATTATTAGGACTTTAAGATCTATTTTTTTAAAGAACGATACTCTAAACTAGCTATTGCTAAGAAGGCAGCAACTATCCTTATTATTAAGTATTTCCTATGATAGTTAAAGCATTAGAAGAGGTCGAGACTCCATTCAGACTTTTTTAATTCTATGAATGTCTATTTGAATTTATTTTGTTGTGTTCTTGTTAATCGAAATTATTGTTTGCAAAACTATTTCCGACTTTTGTTGAATTTAAACCTAATCTACCAGGCGACTAGGCTGGTTAAATGAAATTTTTAGAATAAATATCATTTTATAGATTTAATTAATTTGGATTTTTTATTTCAATTTTACCTGTATTTGATTATCCTGATATAGATTGTTTGTATGGAGTATTATTAGCTGTCACTGAAGTTTATTTATTGGAATAGCTATAATCTTGCTTTTTTGATATAGAAGTGGGTGCAGGTGAAAAAGACTATGGTTAAATATTATTACTTTATAAGTTGTTGCTATTATTTTTTAAATTTTGCAATATATTTTATTCATTATAATTCAAATTTTGATTGGTTGTCGTTTTTATTTGACTATTTTAATGCGAAGTTAGAGTTAAATCTTAGAAATTAAAATAATTAACGTTAGTAATATTCGACATATCTTATGGAGTTATTATAGATAAATTTTCATTCGATGGTATTATTTATGGTCCCTAAGACTGTCCTAATATGGTATTGCTTGCTAAATTTGTATAGCTACTATCTAAACTAATCATGCCAACACCTGGACCTTGCCCTAGTACTTATGTTCTTGTATCAATAATTGTTTAATTATTACTGCTAGCTCCTTAGTTGCTAGAAAAAGTTTAAGATTGACTTTAGGCGTTATAAAGTAAATTTTAATTTTATTAGCCACCTTAAATGTTAGCGCTATTCGTAGAATTAATTTTTGATCCATTTGAGTTATTTACTCCAGCCATACTTACTTCTATTGAGGCTCTTTAATTATTTTATAATTGCTATTGACCTATATTTGAAAAAAAGGAGCTATTACCTTGTTAAGCAGACTATCCTATTGTTGAGTTAGAGCTATTAGGGCTTTTAACAAAATTTACTGAATTAGATGACCCTTGATTGAAATTGTTGCTGCCCTATACGTTTTAGTTGCTAATACTAAAATTTGTATTACTTTATTGTACTAGTGGATTCTACGTATAACTCATTTATTGAGGTGTCTAATTTAATTCATTTTTGACATTCAAACTATTATATTATGGTTGTTAACTTTATATGGCTTCATATTTTAAATTGCTTTCTCCTGGTTTCTGTAGTGCAGGGTTTGCTATTTAGCTATCTTTAGCACTTTAAAAGGAATATTATGCATTTATAGAAGGGTATTATTATTATTAAACAGGCGTTTGGTTGCTGTAAGAATTACCTCCTAAAACTAAATTGTTAGCTTTGCCAATATTAGGAGTTTTTAAATCATTTGGTGCTAACGATATTTAAACAGCTTAATTTGTTTACAGATTAAATGAAAGTATTGTATTTGGATTGATTCCAGAGTACATATCATTTGAATATCCTCCTTTTTATGGTGACTATAAGTTCTTCTTAAATTAATATTAAGGAAATAGCTACGAAGTCTACTTGATAGACTAAGCCTCCTACCTATTTATTAAATTAAAATTTTAAAGCACTCATTAGAATATTTAATGCATTTATAACTCTTAGATTAATTCATTTAACTGTTTAACTTAAATAATGATTTTAATTTTGCATAAATCTAGATAGTTAAAATATGGTAGAGAAATCAAAAAACTAAAAATAACTTTTACACGTTTTTAGACGCTTCCGACTATATCTAATTCATATTGAAAATGAAGGATAAAAGATTTGCAACAACCTATTTGTAATTCCTTAAATTGGTATTGTACTTTGCTATAATTAAAGTAAATACTCCTAGAAATGCTGCCTGCCTGCTTGATTAGATTTTATTTACAAGTAAATAGTTAGTATATATAATATATAATTTTTTTTGCTTTTCTCTTAACTCTTTTTTCTAAATTAAACTATTTATTACTTTAGTAGTGTTTATATTTATCAAAAATTTTAATATTCGCTTACCTCTCTCTTAATTATTCAATTACTTATAATCTAAAAAAATATACAGTGTAAAAGAGCTTGATAATTTTATTTAACAATCTTTAATCATTTTATTCTTAATTATCAATCATTTGATTGAAATAATAACTAATTAATTGCCTAAAAAACAAGCAAGCCAGCAAGCAAGCAAACAAGTAAATAAACAAACAAACAAACTACCTTGCATATTTTTTTTTAGGCATCATAGTAGATACATAATTAAAGGCTAATATATTTTACAAAAAGCAACGATAGAAGATTATATAAATAAATAATTTTTAATTGGAGTTATGGTTTTATATTTTCCAATTTTATTGAAGTAATTTAAAACTAAAAATAGTTATCAAATATAAAAATATTAACTTATTTTTTAATTTCCTTATTCGAATACAAGAACTTGAATATTTTAATTATTTAGAAAATTTTTGCTATTTGATAATGCTAATTCTAATAATATTTTTAATTTTTTGTTGTACTAATAGATTAATTTATTTTCTACTGCTACCATCATAAAAGTTCTACATAAATACATTCAATATATATATCAAAAATTAGAATTACTAAATAAAAATAGATATTATTTAATAAAATTTATTTAATTAAAATTATTTTTAAATTTGCAAATATTTTTATTATGGTTATGACAATTAAAGTTACTAAGTTTGTGATTATAATTAATTTTCATAAAATAGTAAATCAGTCAGGATAGCCTGATAATTGATAAAGTAAAAAAATTAAGAGTATTTGTTAATTTATAAAAAGCAAATTATTAGGCACACATAAAATTGTTAATAGTAAACTAAAATACATCTGGTTATTGAATTTTATTGGATATTCATTTATGGTTTTATGAGAAGAGAAAATTTATCATATATTGGATCTATTTTTTCTGACGAGCAAGCTGTAAATTAATAATTTCCAATATTAGAAAAGGGCAGAGATTTACTATAAACTGCAATTTAATGGAAAATATCTAAAGACTACTAATCTTTGATATAAATTAATTTTATTTTCAAAGTAATTGATATTGAGATTTAAGAGTTTAAAGATAATAAAACTTAAACTGAATAATATTGTGCATGCAGCTAGATGACTTAGAGGTTTTTACAATAATTCAATACTTTTAAATCATAATTATTAATTGATGAAAATACGAAATGCGTAGATAAAATAAGCGTGAATATAAAAAAGGAAGAAAACCCGTCATTAGAAATTCATATTCCATGTATAAATAAATTTTTAGTGAGTATTGATGGATTATTACTGTCTTTAACAAATTTAAAATTTGATATTGAGGCAGATTATTAATGGTCTGATTTTAATTTTTAAGAGATACTAGTATAGGCATAATCTTTGGAAATAAATGATATATACTCCTACTTTCCTCTTTCCAATTATAAATATCCTATGCTCAAAAGAATTTTAATCAATCCTGAACCTTCTCAATAAAATATAAGTAAGTAACTTGCCTAAGGTAAAGATGATTTAGTCTTTTAATAAAAATTATAAGAAAGTTTCTCTGAATTTCTATCTTGCATAAATTTAAAATAAATTAATTTTATCTTAATTGATGGTTGTTAATACCCTGAATTAATTAAAACATTATTAAATACTTTATTCAACACAGATAAATCAAACATTAAAAGATTGGAATTTGATTTGAATATTGATTCTTAACAATTTCATGTTATCTTTAGTTTGAGTAACTTACATAAAATTTATCCGTCCTGCTAAATATCTGTAAATTATATAATCGACTTCTCTCCTCTTTTAAACTCTAAGAAAACAATCTATGAACCACTTGATAAACAGAGTTAAGATAAATAAAATAATTAATAAGATAGAACTGACATTAACTAAATCTAATCAGTTAGTGATTTTCCTTATTTGTTTAAGGAAATATATAAAAATTTTGAGAATATTTGCATAAAGTTGGTCTTCAAAAATTTAAAATCTCTAGATTAGCTAGAGTTATTTGATAGAATAAAAAGTAATCATGAACATATTTTGGATTACTAAAATTAAAATTTAAATAAATTATTCAGTAATATGAAAGTTAATAATAAAATTAACTAAAACAATAAAATTTTTGCATAATTAACTAGCTTAATCCATAAAAAAATTACTGAGATGCACTAGTAAGAGGATTCTATAGATTTAGCTTCAACTATTGATTAAAATTATGTAAAAGAATAAAGTGGAAGTAAAATAGGCTCGCTTATGAAAAATTTAGGTCCACCGCTTCTATCCTTGTTTGGAGTAACATAACCTGCTATAGTTATATCAACAATCACTCATTTTATGATAAATAAATAACGAAATCTTGCTCAAAAAAACCAAGAAAATAGCTAAAAAGAAGAATTCTTTCAATAATTATTCCCATCTGAACCTTTATCTCTATTTAAAACAAAACAGAACTTTCGTTGCTAAACAAATGATTCCAACAATAATTAAAATGCACTTTAAAGCAAATAAATAGTTTAGTAATAAACTAATCAAACCAATTAAATATTATCTAAATACTTTTTACCTTATTAAACTAATGAAATTATCACATTAGAGCTAATTTTAGAAAATACTGTTTTTGGAAGTAATTATATAGAGCTTTTTGATTTTATTTCAAAATGTAATAATCTGAAGAAATTTACTTTACTGAATTTCTGTCTTTAAGATAACTTTGGATCTTAATAAAATATATCTCAACAAGTATCCTAGAGACAAAAAACTGATACATAACAGGCTATGCATGTATACTCCTCAGTTTTTTCTTTATAACCAAGGAAATCTGTTGAAAAAGTAATATCAGAATTCGTTTAATCACTAAGAAAGATCTCTCTTGTAACATTTAAATTTTCTACCAACTCATTTTTTAGCTAATAAATAGCATTCAGATTTCTATAAACTTAAGAAAATATTGTTCACTTCTATCTCAAAGATTTTAGTTCAAATGTGTCGATTTCTTCACTACAAAATATTTAAAGTAATAATAATATTTTAAGCTAAGATTTCTCAGAAGAAAAACAGCTGCTATAGGAGCAAATATTCAATTCATTTTATTAAACTATTACTCTTAACAAGTATCTACTTTCTTATCATTTTAAAAATGGGGATGCAAATTGCATTCTATAAAACAAAGGATTTCAACAAATAATTAATTTTTACTTTCTTTTAAAAAAGATTGTTATATATTAAATCTATGCTTCAAAGCAACTGCTGCATTCGGAAATAATTAAAAGAAAAGAAATATTTAATCGCTTAATAATTAAATTCTATTTAAACATTTAATCATAACTTAACCAAAAAATATTATAAATTTATAACACATTTTGAACTAAATTAAATATTCTATCTTTTGTAATTATAAATAACATCAACAATTTTTGTTGCTTAAAAATTTATAGTTTTATTACTTACAAATATTTTTATATTAAAAACAATTTTAATTGTAAAATTATTTTTGTCGCCTGTTACTATTTATTTGTATTTTAAGCAAATTTGAGCTTATAAAAGTATTGTATTGAAAATATATTCAGTATTTGGAACCTATTAAAGAAATGAAAATAAATGGAAAATTATGTCATTTCATTTTGGTTTTATTTTTTAACTTTCAAAAATATTCATAATAAAAATAATATTAATTGTTGAAATTATAAATTATTTTATTAGCTTGTTACTAATTCTTTGTAATTTTAAGCAAATTTAAGCTTTTTAAATTTATCTTGAAAATATATAACGTATTTGAATCATATTAAAGAAATGAAAATTATTGGAAAATGATATAATTTCATTTTTTATTTTATTTTAATAATAATAATATTAAATACTGAAATTATAAATTATTTTATTAGCTTGTTACCAATTCTTATATTTTAAGAAATTTTAAGCTTTTAAAATTTATCTTGAATATATAAAAAGTAAAAAAAGCCTATAAAAGTAATGAAAATTATTGGAAAATGATATAATTTCATTTTGGTTTTATTTTAATAAAAATAATATTAATTATTGAAATTATAAATTTTTTAGCAAATTGTTATTTGTTTTATAATTATCTTGAAAATAAATGAAGACTTTGAATTTTACTAATGAAATTAAAATAAATTAAAAATGTTATTATTTGATTTATAAAATTATATATTATTTAGTTATATGATATGTAAAATTTGGAGCCAGTTTAACTAAAAGATAATTTTGCTTTTTTATGTAGCCTTAACTATTCCTTAACTCGAATGAATATATGACAGATAGATAGATAGATCCATAAAAAATAACTGGATCAAAAAAATTATTCTAACTATCTATAGCTTTCACAAAATAAAAAAATACCATTATTCAAATAGTTCAGTGATTTTAAAACCCTAAAATTAATATACAGATTATTTTGTTATATTAATTTAATTAGTAATTTACTATAATTATAAAGATAAAAAAAGCAGAAGAGATAATAAACTATAAGAGTTATATAAATTTTTAAAATGAAGTAAGCAGGTGGTAAATTTAGAACAGAGTAGAAAATCAAAAACAATTGCCTAGAACAAAAGAGTAGAGAGGGTGTTATTCTCTGTTTTGCAAATGATCAAAAAACTGATGGCACTAAAGTATGTGACAACTGCATTTCGGATGTTAAATAAATTTAAATCAATAAAACAAAATTGCAAATTTCAAGAAATCTGCAAAATCTTCTTGATACAGAAGTTATAAGACTATTTGATGCGTAACTTTCACTAATTACTTTTAAAATAATCCAATAAATATTTTATATAATTTTAGATTTGGCGCTAAATACGAAAAACTGTATTCTGAGTTATGGTAAGATAATTTAAAAAATAGTCTCTAAAATAAATTGACTTTATTTATTTGAAAATATCCTAAAATAATTTTCCTAAATATATAGTTTATCTGAGGTTTATACGATTAAAGTAAATTTGAAGTAAACATAATAATTAAAATTTCTTACAGTTCTTAAAATTCTCTTTAAATATAGAAAAAGCATACTTGAAGATTTTGAGCAATTAATATAGCAATTGATATGCTTGAAAGAATTAGAAATAACAGAAGAGTAAAAAATAACTTAATGCAATTAAGGTTAAATATTATATAAAATAATAGTCCAGAAGAATAGTTTGATGCTGAAACATTTCAGGTTTTATGCCAAATCTTATAAAAGCTTAATTTAGTTAGCAACGTAGATCTTCCAATTTTGTAAGTTTTACATTTTTATTTTAATATCAAAAGATACTTTTATTATTGAAATAACACTTTAATTTAATTATAATTAATATAAAATTCAGTTCTATTTTATGAAATACTTATTATTTTTCTTTAGCTAAAATTAGGATATTTAGAAAGTATAGTTTGAAAGAATGATTGTTAATCATATAGAAGAAATGCCTTTGACAAAATTCTAAATTAATTTGAAGTAAGTCTAATTAAACTAAACTTCTCTTTAAAATTATTTTTATTATAGAACTAATAGAATATTAAGAGACAATAGTTTAATTGAGTTGTCGTAAGTCTTGTCAAGACATACATAGCTTGAAGATTTCGCAATTAACTTAGAGTAAAATACCTATTTTAAAGAAAAACCTTATTTTGATAAAATAAATCAATAGAAATAATACAGCAATAGCCTAGTAAGGACTAACCGAAGTCGCTAATATTCTCAAAAATTAAAAAAAAATTTAATCAGTTGACATCAACTTTTTGTAAGTTTATTGTTTCCCAACATTAATACCAATAATATTAAATCTATTTTAATCTAAAAAAAGAAATAACCTCAGCTTTTAGGATTAGCAACTAATTGATTTAGCAGAAGCACTTCATAAAAAAAATGATTTAAAATTTTTGAGTCTTAATTTTCAGTAATTTATTTAATGAAAGAAGTCAACTAAAATTTATATCTATTTAATTTAGCAAAAATGATAATTTCACAGACAACTCTTTGTAAAAGCTCGCTGACAGTCTTGCTGAATTTACTAAAATAGAAAAACTTAAATTAGATTTCCAGTAATAAAATAAATAAAAATGAAAAAAAAATAATAAATTAACACATAATTTTAATTTTGAATATTAGCTATAATACCATCTTCTCCGATAAAGCTTTTTATAGTTTAACAAGTTCAATGAATAGAATGAAGGGTATTTAAGAAATGTTTTTAAATTTTTGCAAAAATAATACTTTAACTGATGAGTCATTAGCAAATCTATCAAGAGTACTTATTACAAAATAAAAGATTACACATCTCTACTTAAATTTCAAGTAATTTTAATAAAAATAAATCTACTTGTTTCTTATAAATATTATTTACATTTAGTTACAATGAGCAATTTTAGTCTTAGTCTTTTACTGACCTTGGAGTAAGTATCGGATAAATGTCTGGATTGAAATATCTAAGTTTAGAATTTGAGTATACTTTTAAATTTATTTATTGAGATTAATTTCATAATCATTTTATTATCAAATACTCAAAGGAGAAGCAAGAACTTTGATGATTAATCCATAGTTGACATGATCACAGGAATTAAAAGATAAGTCAATTTGAAACAAATATAATTTAATTTGAGGTAATTATTTTATATGTTTATATTAATTTAGATTAAATTTTTGGGTAAAATTTAAGGTAAAATAACAACCTCTCTCAAACTTCTTTAAGAGAAATGGTACCTTGTTTCTCAAGCATGAAAAAGCTTAAAGACTTCACTCTTTACATTAAGTAATCAATTTTTGATTTATATTTAATTTTAATTATCAAATATTTTTATTAAGTAATGGGTATTACAAAGATGTAAAAGACTTTTTATCAAGATACCCTACTGATGAAAACAAAGAAGATGGAGAACATGAAGATTCTTCTTGAATCCTAAAAACTAATATTTCTAATAAAACAAATATTTTTATCAATCAAAAAAATTTTCATTAAGTTATTTTATTCAAATATATAAAGAAGTAAATTCTATAATTTATATTTCTATGTTTCTTTAAATAAAAAATTTGAAATATAATCAGCACTTTCACCACTAATTATTAGTAATATTTATTTTTCATTAAATCAAAATATTAATACTTTAGTTTTCAAAATGTACATTGTTCTTAATAATAATCAAGCTACATCTACTTCGAACTAAAAATATTTACTAAAATAAAGTTTATGAGTAATGCTATAATTTACATTTATATGAATACTTAAATTAATTGTTGATATATAATTTAAATATTTACTATTTATTTATTATTTAATTTAATTAATTAATTTTTTATTGTATTTATTGTCATTTACAAATATGTAACATGGATTTGTGTTACAAAATATATATTTTTTCTTTTATTTTAATATATATATATAATTATAATTTCAATTTTCTGTGCTTTTGTGATCCTCACTTTCTTTTCTTCTATTGTTTTCTGGTAAAAGTTTTCATATTTTCATATGAATTTGTTCTTTTTGGTATTAATTAATTTTTTATTTATCCTTCATTAATATTTTAATTTTCAAAATTTACATTTTTACTTAATAAAGTCAATTTAATTCAATTTTCAAGCGAAAAAAATAATAATTACTTATTTAATGTGTGGAAATTATGCTATAATTTACATTATAGCATATCTAAATATCAAAAGTTTGATTTATGATTTGCATAATTAACTATTTATTAACAATTTATTTATCCTTTACTAAATTTATAATTTCATAATTTAGTTTTCAAAATTTATATTTTACATTATAAAACCAAGTTAGTTCAACTTCGAACCAAAAATAATGATAAAGTAAATTTTTAAAGAAGATATATTTCTTTAAAAGTGCTCAAAATAATAGTGTATTTTAAAAGGATACTTATAAACCTTTACTATAATTGATATGTTAAATATTTGAAAAGAAAATCATTAAAAATCTTTTTTATAATTTGATAATTTATATTATATTTTTATTTAAAATATCTATTTATGTTAGAATAAAGAGTGTGTACCTTATGTTTACATATAATTTTACAATAAAAGCTCTATTTAAATTTAGTTTGCTAGTTAAAATATTTGAAAATTCATTAAACTTATCTTAAAATTAACATTTCATCTAAAAAATTTTAATAACACTCAACTAAATCTTTTGCTGTCTTAAATTTTATCTCGCTGTCCCAAAGATTTACTTCACATATAACTAAATACTGAGTGGTTTAATGATCAATCTTTTCTTAAAGCCTATTAAAAATCAAAGTATTTTCATTTTTTTTAAATATGTCGATTTCTTCAAAAGAATTCCATTTTTGAGAAAAGTCGGACATCATTATTGAAAGATACTGGTTGCATTTTCTAAGGCATTCTGTTTTTAAGTGTACTATCATCTCTTCTTTTTTATTACTTTGTTCTCTAATACTTTTACGCTACTGCAAATCTTGAATGGACAATCTTAATTTTTCACTCATTTGCAAACTATTTTTATTTATTCTATTTAGATTCTACTCATTTTCATTGTTTTCTTTATCTGACAAAGATTGAGATGATGAAGTGTTGATGTATTTACTTCTTTCTTTTGAATTCGACTTATTTTATTTTTCATATTTCTCAAGCTTATGAATTAACTCCTTGTTTTATTTATCTTTTTCCTTTAACTATTTTTGCAGCTAAGCTATCTACTTTTAAAGCTCCTCGTTTGCTTTTTTAACCTATTATATGCTCCTTTTTAATAAATTTTAACAATATAATACTTTTTCAACTAGAAAAATGAATATACATGCTCTGATATTATTAAAAATATTCACTGATATTATGTAGCTATCTTATTTAGGATTAATTTTTTTGTTATCAAATTAATTATTTATTTTTATCAAACATTAGAAATAAAATTAATAAAATAAGCTTAAATCTAGAAGATATTAACCAATAACATTTTGGTAGTTTATTTTAACATGTAAATAATTTAATAAAATTTTTATATAAAAACACTTCTTAAATATTCAGCAAAAATACTGTTTATTTAACTATCTATATTTATTTATTAATTCTTTTAATTTAAGCAAGTTACCTCATTATTTATTCTTAATTTATTGCTATATTCTATCAATAGAATATTAATAATAAGATTTTTTATTTATTTGTCATGAACAAGATTTAAAGATACTTAGATTCTAATGTATTTTACTTTAATTAAATTATCATAAAGCAGACATACTTCATAAAAATTATGGATACATAAAATAGCATTAAAAAATTAAATATTCCTTAAATAAATTTTAGAGAAGGTGGTTCTATACCTTTAATAGGTTTTGGAACTTATTTGATGAGAGGTTAAGAGTGTAAAAAGGCCGTTGAACATGCAATTTTATCCGGTTATACATAAATAGATACAGCTGCAATGTATGGAAATGAGTAAGATATAGCAGAAGTTATTCATTCAAAAAAATTAAATATATAAAGAGAAGATTTATTTATAACTTCTAAAGTTAATTACAATGAATAAGGATATGAAAATGCTAAAAAATCTGTTTAACAAATGCTTAAAAGATTAAAAGTAAATTACTTAGATTGTGTTTTGATTCATTGGCCTGGTGTTAGCCATCTAGATGACGATGACCCTAAAAATGCCACTGTTAGAACAGAAACATGGAAAGCATTGATAGAGTTAAAAAAGCAAGGAATAATCAAACATATAGGAGTGAGCAATTTCAATATAAATCATTTAGAACATTTAATCTCAAATAGTGAGTATGTTCCTGAAATGAATTAATTTGAAATCCATCCACTTTGCCATGATCTAAAATTAGTGAAATACTGCTAAGACAAAGGGATTATTGTTTAAGCTTATTGCCCTTTAGCTCGTAATCATAAAAAAGTAATCACAAATAAACTTATATTAGAATTAGCAAATAAATATAAAAAATCTATTGCATAAATCTTGCTTAGATGGGGATTTTAAAATAATTATGTCATTATACCAAAATCTAAAACGCCTAAATATATTGAAGAAAATTTGTAAATTCTTGATTTCTAATTTACTTAAGACGAAATGAATAAACTTAATTAGCTTAATTGCAATTTACATGTAGATTGGGATCCAATATGCATTAAATATTGAAACCTAAATAAACTTAATAATAGTCATATATATGAATAATTTATGGCTTTATTTGTTTTATTGAAATAGAATACTACAAAATGCATGTACTTTAGTATGCTGATTATTGTAAAGTGTGTCTCTTTTTTTATAAATAAATTCCATAATTATCAATAATTTTTTTAGTTTTAAAAATTAAATTTAGTATTAAAAAATTCTCTTTATCTTAATTAAATACTCTTAATCAAACATCAAAAGAATTCCATATTTAAATTATTTTTTATGTTTAACTCATAAATACTTATATTCTTTTAAATAAACTAAGAAATAATTACAAAGATTATAAAAGTTAACACTTATAACTTTATAGATTTAAAATAGAGTTTAAAGAATAACTAAAAATCTTAAAATAAAATTTTTAAAATACATGCTAAGATACTTTTGAAGTTTTATTTTAATTATAAATAAAAACATTTACCCTACTATAAAATTGAATAAACTAATGTGAATAAATAATATTTAAGCTAAAGAAAAGCTTGAAAATGTATTAAATAATAATTACATAATTTATTATATATTTGAATTAAAGCAAACAAGGTGTTAAAGTGATATAATTTTTCTAAATAAGGCATTTCATTATTTGATGCTTAAATAAAGGTTTTTATAACACATCAAATTGTAAAAAAATAAAGATTTACATATCATTTTTGATGAATAATTTGAAGCAAATATATTTTAATTAGCTAGCTTGTTAGTAAGTGAATATTTTTTTAATGATTTTATAATTAACATTTTGATATAAAAAAGGATACATTCAACTAAAAATACTCAGATTTCATAAGGAAGAGTTTTATAAAGATTTATTTTCTTTGAAATTGTTATAAGCTAATGCCAAGCACATTAATTTAGCGTCTTTAGTTTGAATAACATTTTTCATGTTATATTCTTAGATTTCAATAGTTATTTATTCATCATGCTCTCCATGAATTTTGCTTGTAATTTCTTTTAATTTTTCTTCTGATAAGTCTTTTTCAACTGCAAACATGAGTAACTCTTCATCGCATCCACCTGGAGAAGGATAGAATCCTCCTAAATCAACCAAATCTTTAATATCGATATCAATTCCCGTTTCTTCTTTAAGCTCTTTGGCAGCAACACCACTAAAGTGTCCACTTTCATCGATCATTCCTGCTGGAGCTTCAATTAACCATTTACCTACAGGAACCCTATATTGCTTACACAAAAGCATATACTTTTAGTTTACAATAACAAGCATGCAGACTGCCTTTCCTCTCATAAAAATGAAACCTTAATTAAAAAAATAAATAAAATTTCTATATTTTAAAAATTTTGATACCTGGTAGTTTGATATTATGCGACTGAGTTATACAGTCAGTATAAAGAATCACAAACCCTACATTAGGTCCAAACATAAAAACATAATCTATTTTAATAGACTTTACAGTTAATCCAGTAGTATCGAATTCATCTATCCAGTCTTTAAATTTTTTAGATTATTAAACCTTTTCGAATATTTCTTAAGACACGTTATCACCTCTTACAAGAGAAACTTCAACTTGGTGTTTTCCAAGTTTAATTGTTTATCCTTATTAATTCATAGAAAGTATCTTTTTAGTATTTTTTAATATTTATTTTTTGATAAATAAAATTCGCAAACAAATTTTTGATTAACTATTCTCCTTAATAAAATAACTATTCTCCTTAATGAAGAATTAATTATGAATGAAGAAAATATTTATGAAAAAATTATTTTATTTTTAAAAATAAAATAAAGTACAAATAAAAGTTATTAAAAATCAATTATGAAGGGAAAATAATTATATATATTTATCTTTAAAATTTTTTTTTATGGTTTAAACAAAAATAATATTTTAAAAACAAACACCAAATTATTTATAAAATTAAGAATATTATAAAATATACACAAAAAATTCATTATATTTTTACTTATTAATTATTAGTTAATGTATTTGAGCTAACAATGTTATTTAATGCCTTTTTTTATCTTTTAAAATACAAACTTCTATCAGTTGAATAAGGTTAGTCTTATTATTAATCAAATTTTTAGAAATCTGCTTAGTTTTAAAATTAAACTTTAGTGTCAGGCTACTAATTCTCTATAAATATTGGACCTTTATTTTATAATTAATTATCACTTTTTGGAGATATATTTAAAAATACTTAATTTTATTATTAATTTTGCTAATTTATGTTAAAGCTTTTTATTGTTGAATTAAGCTAATTTTATGATTTATTATTACTTAGTTAAAGTTATTTTTAAAATTATTATTGTTACTATTACTACATAAACTAAAATTAGTTGACATAACTACCAGTTTCTTTCATAGGTTCATACTAATTTGCATGTTTTTGAGTATCATTGTAATTATAATAATGATTAACGCTATCTCTCTCTGCAATAATTATCTCTTGTAAAGGAAAAAGTTTCTTTTATGATTCTTAAAAATGTTTATGACCATCATCTATATGCTAGCTTTGATTTAGATTAAATTCTTTAGCTTCTCTTAATTAAGGACCCTAATTATTCACCTTTTATTCTTCTAAAGAAACAGTTTTTTATGTATTACTTTATTTATCTTTTGTAAAAGGAGTTGAATGAACATCATAAAACTAACTTGTATTTTAAATTTAATTAGAACTATTATCAACTATTTATTATTGAATATTTTTCATAGGAGTTTAAAACTAATTAATTTAAAAATCATTCCTATTATTTTAACTATTTTAAGCTAAATTTTAATTTTTTTACATATTTTATTAAGAGTGGTATATTTATTTTGGTGAAGATGCCTAATAATTTTATTTATTTTAGTTTTATGTCATTTATTATTAATTTACTCTACCGAATGACTAATGATGAAAAAATGGTATTTGTTAGGAATTATTAAAGCTGTCATTTGATTTTGAAAGTTAATGAATTTCTTATTAGAATTAATTATTATTTTTACTAAAAGTACCAAATAAGTTTTCATCAACTTACTAAATACCAAGCTACTAACTTTGCTCTTAGTTTTATAAAGTTAAATTGTAATTTTATTAAGAAAGATCTTTATTTTAAATATTTATCTACGAGTTCCTAGGATTAGCATAAACCCTTTCAACACTTGGTATTTAATCTGTCTTTGAAATTTTGTTACTTTAGTGTAAATTTTCTTAATAATTATTAATATTATGATTAAATTAAGTTATATTGATCATATTTTAAGTTTTTAAATTGTTTTATTGTTCAAACTAATCTGTAAGTAATACTTAGTTTTTTTCTGTGCTATTTTCAAATATTTGATAATTATCTGAAAGTTTTACTTTATTTTTTTATAAAGTTGACTAATTATAAGATTGTTAATCATTAAAATTGTGTAGAGTTTAGTTGTGTTAAAAGCTGTTTTCATCTTTTTTAAATGGTGAGTTTTCACTAATAAATATATTTTGATCTCCTTGTTAATTTTGTTAACTTCTTGTGTTGATTGTAAGGTTAAAAGACTTCCTTGATTAATAATCTTTTTCATTAACTTCAACTTTTCTGCTTAAATACTGCTAACTTATAAATCTCCTATTGCCTTAAAAGCAGAAATCTTTTTAAGTATCCTAAAAATTGTGATAATTAAAATTTAAAATATGTAATATTATCCTTCCTTAAAAATTTATTTTACATCAATTCTTTCCATAAAAAAATCTTTTAAAACTTCATTTGAAAAAATAAGTTCTAAACTATTTCTAATATGCTCTTCAACAGTTTAAGGTTTATATTTATTGTAAAAATATGGCTTAACACTAATGCCATACTCATCAAATGTGAGTTAAATGAGATTTGAAATATTATTAAGAGGTCTTCTAAACAAAATTATTCCTGATCTTGTAAATTTTAAACAATTATCAATTGTAAAATAAAGACTATATTTCTTAATAAAAATTTTTTGGCGTAAATGTGATTATATTTAAATTTATGTACATCCCACTCCGATCTATCAAATGATTGTGTTAAATTTTCGCCAATATTGTATATGTCAAAATTATGAATGATTTCTTATCTTGCTTCTGATTAAGCTGCAAGACATTAATTATTGCCCATCTCTAATTACTAATATTCTTTTTTAATTATTAAATCTTATTTTTTTAATAAAGATAATTAGTATCATTAATATTAACCGTAAAAATTAATAAATTAATTAAATAAAAGTAAAGAAACCAAAGGATATATTATTTTAATAGTGAAAGTAGAATTTGATTTTATGAAAACTTCTAAATGAGCCATTTAAAGGATTATAATTCCATATAATAAATGCAATACCTTGTTTAATTATCATTCTAATAGTTTTTAAAATATAAATGTTATTTTCTCTATTTTAAATTGCAGAAAACATAATAAAAAATAAAATCAATCAATTCAGGGATTACTAATTGCTTTATTGTAAAAATGAAAAATGTTTTTAATATAATTTTCTAATTTTTAAAAAAAATGTTTAAATTTTAAAAAATCTTTACAAATTATTTAAAATATAAAATTTTTTACTTTATCATAAAAATTAAAATAAAATAAAATTACAAATTTCATGCTAAAGAATAGGCTTTTGCTTTCAAATAAATATTTTTAGAAATTAAAACGTTAAAATTTAAAAATGCTTTAAAAATTAAAGATTGGTATTTTTTATTAAATGAAAAAAATATAAATTAACACTAAATTCTTATAATTCGCTTTTTTTTCTGCGAATATTTGTTTTCTTAATGAAGATACTTTTTATTAATTGTTTAATAAATTAGTGGTTGTGTCTCTAATAATTGATATTAATAATAAAATTAAGAAATTACAAATAGTTGCTAAGAAAGATAGAAATAGAAGTAATTCCTAAAACAATTTAGACAAATATAAGAAGATTTAATAATAGAAATTATTAAACGAAGTGTCTTAAAAATTTGAATACCACTACCAATATAACAAATAAGGCAATATCTAATGTCAATAAGAGAAATGATGTATCAGGCAGAGGAAGATGATGAAGATAGAAGGGTGGCTGATTAAATGAAAAAATGCAAAGAAAAGATGATTAACGAAAAAAGAATGAAGCAAATAAATTAAACTTTTAAATAATAAAGAGAAAAAGCCTATTTTAACCCAAATCAAGCTTAAAACTACGGAGTATTCTAATAAATGTAACCAGCTGGATATTATGAACCTAACAGCTAGCAAATCTTTTATCAAAATTACATTAATTAGGAAATGATAAGACGTAAAATATCTAATATTTAACATAATCTTAATTTTTATTAATTTTAAAATATGATAGAATAATAATCTGAGGGCTACAACAATTATGACTTAGCTATACCTTAAAGGCACATCTATGATTTTAATTAAGTGCCTCCTTTAAATTTAAATTTTGAGCAGATGCAACCACTACAACAAATGATGCAATATTATTCAACCAATCTTAGCAACTCTCAGCTCCCTTATTAGCAGTAATAAAGAAATAACTCCCTTAATTCATATGAATATTAGAATATTTATAATCATGATGAATCTACAATTAAAAAGCAGTAAAATTACTAATAATAATATACTATTTATGAGGATTTTGATAATGAGCAGGAGGAAGAAACTCAGGAATGTTATTTTTATGAAAATAAAAATATTTATTAATCTAAGTAAAAAAGTAACTATTACCCTACTTACTAAGATAACTACTCAGCATTTAAATAAATTAAAGATAATTTCAATAAAGAGAATTCCTTCTCATCAAAAAAATCTCCTTATCTTAGTGATTTGTAAAGAATAGAAGATTCGTTTAATAAAATAAATACTCCTTAAAAATTTTTTGCTACAGATAGAAGTAATTAACCTATCCTTTCAACTCCATCAGCAACTTAAAAAATTATTAATAATCTAAATAGTATTTAATTAACTCCTAGAAATGAAAAATATACTAATGCAAAACCTTAAGATGGATATAAATCCCATCAAACAAATATAACAAAATACAACAGTCTGTTTGAAAAAGAAACAATTATTGATTGTCAGTAAGATATAAGATAAAAGTACTAAAACTCTAACCAACAAAGCAAAAGTAGAATTTTTTAAGGGAAAAAAGAACAAAAATAGAGAGTTTAAGAGAGTAATTAAAAGTATGAAAATAATAACTAGAATAAATTTAATTTTGATTAATATGGTTTCTAGAAAAACGGTGAATATTAATCTCAATACAAAAGAGTGACTGAATATAAAAATGCTGCAATAAACTTTTCTTAGAACTAATTAATCACAATAAAGGACTACTAGTTTTCAATGAATAAAAAGATAGGATAAGGAGCTTTTAGTTAAGTATTTTTGGGGCATAAAAGATTAAATCCTAATTTTCCTGTTGCTGTAAAGATAATTGATTTGTAAAAGTAATCTAAATTTCAAGAAGAAATAGAAATATGTCTCAAAATTAATGGAAATAAAAATATTCTCCGCATATATGATTATCATCTTGAGAAAAGTAATAATAAATGTTATTTATTCTTAGAATTTTGTGAAGGAGGAAACTTAGAAAGTATAAACAACACAATAACTAGGAGACAGGCAATAATTTACTTTAGATAAATTTTAGATGGAATGAAAGAGCTTCTGAGACATAAAATTATTCATAGAGATATTAAACTTGAAAACATCTTAATTAATGAAGGATAGATTAAAATTAGTGATTTTGGACTTTCAAAGCAAGTTTAGAATAATCTTTTAGATGTTAATAGCATCAAATGTGGTACACCATCAACTATGGCTCCAGAAATATTTTTTTCCCATACATCCTATCCTTCATACAACAACAAAGTAATTTAAAATATTTTTTAATTTTATGTCTTTTTTGAAATTTTCGAAATTAATTCATTAACTATTTTTATTTTTAATATAGTGTGATGTGTGGTCTCTTGCTGTCATTTTGCATGAAATGTTTTACAAAGTACACCCATTTAATATGAATAAAGAAATGCTTAGAAAATTTTAAAGGATTCAGGTTGAACATAAATGTGATATTGTAGAAGACTTTTTAAGCAAAAGCTTGGTTTATAATTAAAAAAAAAGAATGAGCTTAGAAGAGATTTTCAATCACAAAATTTACACAGCAGATATTTCAGAATTCAAATTGTAAGAAAATCAAGTTTATCTAGCCTAAGTAGCAGATAAGAAAAGTATTCTGCAGACTGAAACAATAAAATAAGTTTAAACATAATCTAAGGTTTTAAAGTCTGGTGAAAAAAAAGATTAAATCAAGTAAAATAAAAATGGTTCAATTCAAACTTTAAGTTTGATTAAATCAATAATATTTGAATCTTTTACTTAAAATAACTTTGGGCTTGCATTATTATTATTGATTGTGGTAGGGTTGATAATAGCAATAATTTTGCTTCCATTTTTTTCGAATTGATTAACATGCAATAAACTTAACTTCTTTCTGAATATGATTTTTATTTCTAAAATAAATAATAATAAATATGTTTATTTTCCAATATTCAAATCAGTAAATTAATAACCAAAATCAATTTCAATTATATTATTTTGTTGTTTATATAGCCTATTTATTAAGAGTCTTCATATGTAATGTTTTTAATTTATTATAAAATTACATTTATGTTATTATATACCTCAAATAATATTATTTAATCTTTAATATTTTTATTCTTTTTACATTTATGAGGATAAGAATATAGAAAAATAGAAAAACAAAGCATAAGCATAATTAATTAATATATACTACTTAGTCTAGACAATCTAAGATTCTATTATATTTTTAAGTAACCAAAAATAATTTATTGATAGTCATCTCAAAAATAAAAATTGATAATAATTATGCATGAGCTAAATATTAATAATGATGGCAAATCCACTTTTCTATGTCTATTATCATACTAGATTAATACCATCTATCTAATTAAACTCTTTAATCATTTTAAATCTATTTTTACCCATTCTCATCTGATGCTCAATCTATTTTTTTTCCCATAAAAATACTTCTTTAAAATGTACATTTATTTCATCAAAAAAATAGATTTATTATATAAAATTAAATTACAGATTAAAAATTTTTTCTGGGAATTTAGGCGTTAGTTTAGAACTATTTTTGTAAATACTATTTTAGATTTGATTTGGTTGGCTATTTATTAAATGTTTCATTTATAAAAAAAATCATTAATTAAGAGTTTTAATGATTGAAAACAAAGATTAAAAAATATTTGTAAAGGCTATGCAAATTTCAATTTAAAAATGATGCAAATAAATAATGTAAGAACTTCTTCTTTAGTGTATGCGAATTTAAGTGTTTCTCTGTAAAATCTCAATACTGAGAGCTATAGTTGAGAGTAACGCTTTGGCTTTGACATGAATAAAATATGAACTTTTTTTACTTTTGCTATATTAAATAAGAAATAGAATATTGATAGAAATAAACTATGTTGAATTAATTAATTTTATAATCTTGCTATTAATTAAAAAGAATAATTAACTTGTTATAAAGTATTCAATTAAAGTAAAACATAAATATATATATCAAATAATAAAAGATAAATCAGAAGTTTCTAATTTATTTTAGAAAATTATGGCTATCTTATAACGGAATTAAATTGTGAAGATTCTAGAAGATTTCTATTTTTAATTTAAATTTACTTTTTTAATCTAAAATATTTTCAAAATCATATAGAAAAGGCATTTGATTATCTTTTTTTCGCTAATTGAATAAAAATTCTAATAATTTTAAAAGCCAAAATCCTTTATATGCTTAAATAAAAGCCCAAAAGCTATAAAAAAAATTAAAAAGAAAAATCAAAAAGAATTTTACTTTCAGATTTTTATAAAAAAATACAAAAAAGTCTAATTATAAAAACAAAAAATGGATATTGAAGAAGATAAAGTCAAGGCTGAAGAATTCAAAACCAAGGGTAACGAGCAATTCAAGAAAAAAGAATATGCTTCCGCAGTTGAAAGTTACACCAATGCCATAAGTACGAATCAACATATTTCCATCAATTTTTAAATTACATATTAATTATCTTTGTCATACAAAGAAAGAGCATTTGATTTTCTTTTTGAGCACATGAAAATCTTTTAGATAAATTAGTTAAAGATATCATATTCCAAATTAATTTATATTATTAATAAACAGGTTATGGAAAAAACGAAGCTAGTTATTATGGTAATAGAGCTGCTTGCTATTTAGCAATGGAAAAATACTAACTTTGTATTAGTGATTGCAATAAAGCTTTGGAAATAGATTCCAATTTTGCAAAGGCTTATAGAAGAAAAGCCCTTTGTTAGATTTAAATGCTCTAGTTCGAAGATGCTTTATTTAACATCAGAAAAGGTATTTAAGCTGATAGCAAAGATGATAACTTAAAGCAAGATCTTTAAGACTGTGAAAGAGTAATTATTTATTTAAATTTTCAAATATAAAATACTAAATTTTGCTTATCTCCTAAATCAAATACTTAAAATTTTATTTTAATAGTTAAAAAAATAATATGAAAGATTCTTGAAGTATATGGAAGAAAACTCCTTCAATGATGCTATGTCTGAATTAAACTAAATTACCCAAAAGATTCCTAAAAACATAACACTACTTGTCAAAAAGGTTATGTGTCTTGCTATGAAGGGTTCAACAGAATAAGCTAGATAAATTTTAATTTAAATTTAAAACCATGAAGAAGTAAAGAATGACTTGTATTACCTTCAAGGTATTTGCGAACTATACAGCGGAAAGACGTAATATTATTTACTTTTTATCAAAACAAATAAATTAAAGAATTTTTAAAGTGATAAAGCTAAGGTTCTTTTCAGATAAGGTATGCAATTCGACCCAGATAATAAAAAATGCAGAGAAGCCCTTAAGAAAGCATAAAGAGTTGAAGAATTAAAGGAAAAGGGTAATGAAGCTATCAAGGGAAATAATTTTGATGAATCAATTAAAATTTATGATGAAGCACTTTAAGTAGATCCTAATAATAGAAAATTAAACTCAGTCATCCTCTCAAACAGAGCTTTAGCTTATGTTAAAAAGAAAGAATATAAAAAAGCTCTTGAAGATGTTAACAAGTCTATTGATTTAGACGAAGCATACTTTAGAGCTTACCTTAGAAGAGCAGATATTAAAATGAAGATGGGAGATTTTGAATCAGCTATCTTCGATTACCAAAAAGTTAAAGAATTAGATGCTTCTTAAAATGTAGATTAACTCATTAAGGAAGCTAAAATTTAAGCTAAATAAGCTAAAAAGAAAGACTACTATAAAATTTTAGGTGTAGAAAGAGATGCCTCTGATAAAGAAATTACAAAGGCATACAGAAAACTTGCCCTTAAATGGCATCCTGATAAAAATTAAGATAACAAAGTAATTTCAATTAAAAAGATATAAAAGACACAATTTTAATTTTAATTTTTTCAATTCAAAAGGAAGAAGCTGATAAAATTTTCAGAGACATCAATGAAGCTTATTAAGTTCTTAGTGACCCCGAAAAGAAAAGAATGTTTGACCAAGGTGTTGATCCTAATGACCATGAATAAGGTGGTATGCATGCAGGTAATTTATTTTTTACAATTTTAATTTCGATTTAAAACAAGTAAGATATTTAATATCTTTTTAATCAATAATTAGATTTCAATCCTAACGATATCTTCAAAATGTTCTTCGGAGGCGGCGGTGGCGGCGGTTTTGATTTCGGAGGCGCTGGTTTCCCTGGTGGTGGTTTCAGTTAAGGAGGTAGAAACGGTTCCTAAGGTTTTACCTTCAGATTCGGTTGAAAAAAGCTAAAATACTAAAATAAATTTATATTTATAATAAAAAAACTATTAGAAAGAAAGAAATAGATTTCTAAATCATTTAAAAATAAATTATTAACATAATTATTTATATAAATCACATTTTAAAATTAATAAAAATGTATGTATATTTTGTAACTTAATTTGGTATTATGCTAGTCAATCAATCAACTAACTAATTAACTAAATAATCATCCTCATTTATAATTTCTTCTATTTAAATTTTATATTATTTTAACTTATTTTAAATAAAATAACGTTTTTAATTAAGGCATTCATTCTCACTATAAATTAAAAAAAAAGATTTTATTTAACACTTTATATACAAAAAATTTTAAAGTATTTGCACTTTTTTATGCTTAAAATTTTATATATTTTAAAATCTAACTCAGGTTTAATTTGCATAAGCTATAAAATGAAAAATAAATTGTAGATCCTCATATATTAACACTTATTCCACTCCTCAATATTTTAAAAAATAATTATTTCATTGGTACCTTATTAAGGGTTAATAATAGGAATAAAGAATGCCTTAAAATATGAAACTTTACTGTATATTGTGTTTTTTAGAATTAGTAACTAAAAATAATAATTTTATCAATTTAATAATAATAATTTTTAAAATATAAATTTTAATTATTAATAGAAATTAATAATCATGAATAAAAAAATATCTATTTTTAAAATAAAATGCTTGATATTTGTATGTAAGTCTTCAAAAGTAAATAAATATATATTCTATTTTGTTAAATTAAAAACTTAATGTTTTGTATAAAATATTAGACTAGTTATAAAAAATGCTATGATGGTAATTATAATTATAAAAATAATTAAATCTTAGAGATAAATTACAAACTATCATTTTTATGAAATATAGTATAATTGAAATGATTAGACTAATATCATATTTAAACTTAAATAATATACCAATTAGGTAATCAAATATTTATTTTTATTAACTTTAGGTATCACAAAAAATATTTTTTGTTTTAGGATAGCTTCTTTATATAAATTTCTTTAAAAATTATATCAAACATTTTATTCTAATCTAAAAATAAATAAAAAATTATAGAAAATAAGATATTAATTGAATATTTTTCAATAAAATAAAACCTTTTCTTTGATTGATACAAAATAAAAACAAGTATTATGGTTTCATTTAAAGTCAATTAATTCTACATCAAACTTAAGGGTAGCTTTAGGAGGGATAGCTCCAGGAATTCCTCTTTCACCATAGGCGTAATTGTAGGGACATGTTAAAATGGCTCTTTATCCCTTTGATAATTTTAAAATACCTTCATCCCAACATTTAATAACCTATTATACACCAACAGTGAATTCAAAGGGTTTGCCTCTGTCTCTGCTTGAATCAAACTTAGTTCCATCTAAGAAAGTACCAGTATAATGGACTTTTACATAATCCCCTCTTTAGGGGAAGTTCTTTTTGTCACCTTCTTTTACAGTTTCTATATTGAATCCAGACATTTTCAGGATATTATATACTTTTATATTTATTTTAAAATTGATAGAAGTTTCTTAAGATTTTCTTAAAATATCTTTATAAGATTTAAAGGCTATAAATCAGTATTTAATTGCAGTTTCTGATTTATTATTTTGTTTAATAAAAATATCTATTTCGTAAAATAGAGATGTTTCAAATATTGAGAAATTAAAACATTTTTATTAAAAAGTATTTTACAAAAAAATTGATTTGCTTGTGAAAATTTAAATTAAATTTTATTTTAGAGAATGTTTTCAAATATGATGAGAATTTTTAAATATTCTAATTGGATATTTTGGATATATTTTAATTCTTAAATATACGTCTATTTCTGATCTAAATAATTCAAATAAATTAAATAGACTGAATAATTAGATCTAAATATCTATTTTAATAATTAAGTTTATTTTGTTTTAGTTAGTTTTAAGTTGTCCTAAAAAAAATTTTATGTGATAGAAAATTTCTTAATTATTATCTGATCATATATTCATCAGGCTCTATCATGTTTCCTTAAAATAAACGAAAACTAGAAAATTAGGTTAATAGAGAAAAAAAAATTTTGTAAATTTAACTTAAAAATTAAATATGCTTTTTTTTTGGCTATTATTGGTGTAAATTGTAATTTAAACTTGTAGAAGGAATTCCCAAAATATAAAAAATTGAATAAAAAATAGCTAAATATTTGGATGCCTCTTAATTCGAACATTTAGATTATTTTTGTCAATATGTGTAAATACTTCAAAAAAATATATTTGACTGGAGTATATCTCTATATATCTATATTATGAGTATTAAAGTTGAGAATAAACTAATAATTAATCACAAAAAAAAGAAGTATAATGGCTATCAAACGTTCGTTTATTTTGATTTGTTATTAAAAAAAATTATTAATATAATATAAAAAATTAAGCAAAGATAAGAAAATAATTAGAACATTATTGTTTAGGGTAATTAAATTTTTATACTACCGTATAAATCATTCGCATAAAGGATTATATAAATAATTGATGAATTTTTTAAGATAAATTGTATCTGGACCAAAAAAAAGATTTGTTGAGGATGGGTACAATCTTGATTTAACATATGTTTGTCCTAGATTGATAGCCATGTCTTTTCCAGCCTCAGGATTAGAGACACTTTACAGAAATAACATTGATAATGTAAATAAATTTAATTTAAAAGAAATATTAATTACTGACAAAATAATCAAAATGGTTTAAAAAATTACTGCCTAAGGGCTAAAAAACAAATTATAAATAAAAAGGTATCTAAGATGGTCAAAAGTAAACATGGAAGTGATTATCTTATCATTAATTTATCTGGAAGAAAGTATGACTACTCAAAATTTTAAGATAAAGTAAACTTTAATTAGCATAATAATTCGCAAGCAAAAATAAATTTAGATAGCACAAATAAATAGCAAATTTAAACCTTATTTAAATATTTTTAGGTTTTAGATTACGAGTGGGAAGATCACCATTCTCCACCTATAAATACTCTATTTATCATTTGTGAGAAGATCCACCAATTTTTAAAAAGTAAATTAAGCAACTTAATTAATTGTCAATCAAGTTTACTGAAAGAAAATAAATAATACCAAAAACATTTTTTTGGGATAAAGATTATAAATTAATATTATGATTATTATTGAGCATTGTTAAATTTATAACAGAGAAGAAAGAAAATGTAGCAATTATTCATTGCTTGGCAGGAAAAGGAAGAACTGGAACTATCATATGCTGTTATATGCTGTATTCAGGAAGATTTGGAACTCCTCAAGAGGCCCTAATGTATTATGGAAAAAAGAGGTAATATAAATAAATAGTTAAGGTTTTGATATTAAGAATTTGTTAATTGTAATAAAGGTTCCTTTAAGAAGGTTTAGGAGTTAATTAGCCTTGTTAAATTAGATATGTATACTACTTTCACTAAATCTTGACTGAGAGAAATATTTACCCTACTCTTAAATATATAAAATGTGTTGAAATGTATACAAGACCTAAAATTAGTGATGATGGGTGCAGACCTTTTGTAGAATTAATAAATGTTCACTCTAAATAAAAAATATTCTCAACTTAAAAAGGCCACTCCGAGTAGGCTAAGTTTGTTGATGGAGAGAATTTTAAAATTGAGTTTGAATAAAGCCAACCTATTAGTGGTGATATTCTTTTAAGAGTGAAAAATAATGGTAAATGTTTCTCTAGGGGATAAAATTAATTAATAAAACTTTTTTGTTTGCTATTAGGTGCGATTTCAAATAAAAATATGTTTAGAGTTTCTTTTAATACAGCATTTATTAAGCCAAACAAGTAATTATTTTAGAGTTTGTTTTAAATATTTTTAAAAAACCTATTTATAAATTTCTTACAGTATTCTTGAATTTGGTCTATCAGAACTATCACCGAGCTAAATTTTTAAAGATGAAAGATTTTCAAAGGATTTTTACATAAAAGTATTCATTTTTCTTCTTTATTTGAGAGCTTAAATTGGAATAAAATTTTTTATATTTAGATTATATTTGGAGATTATTGCAAATGCAACTGCTACACTCCATTTGATAAAAAGTGTTCAGGATGTAAAATAGAGTTGGATAAGGAGAAGGATTCATGGTCCACAATATATAATATCATAGCAGTAAATTTAATAAAATTTACAATCATCTAAAATTAAAACTAAATATCAATTATTTAAAAGCACTATTAAAAACCCTCAGCTTAAGAGTAAACTGATTTGCTTTTTGGAGAGGAGCCTGAAGACGTTGATGAAATATTACAAAAAGAAAAAAAAACCTTTGGTATGTTAAATTTAAAATGAACTTTTTAAAATCTTTTTATTTATTTTTAAAGTTGAAGCAAAGGGTATTTTATAATAAGGAAAAAGCTCTGAAGAAAATAGCTAAAGACTAAGCAACTTTAATTGCTACTTGCTACAATAAAGTGAAAATTAGGGCCAAGATGTTGTTTAAAATAATTCTAGCTCTGGTGAAGAAGGGTATACTATAATAAGAGGTTAAGATGATATATAATATAATAGACAGAGGTTATAAAATTAGCCAGATTATATCAAAGAGGAGTAAAAAATTTAAGACATTGATAATAGAAAAAGGTCAGACGTCTAGTATAATATTTATGATAATGATATAGTACCTAGCCATTAGGCTTTATATAGCATCCAAAACACATATAATATTAACAACAGCTAACCTTCAGATTTAAATAGTTTAAAAACAGATGATATATTAAATGAAAACAATTATTAACTTAAAAACCGTCATCAAACCGATAAAGATGTAGATTATAAAAAATAAGAAGCAATTGAACATCAAAATTTAATAGATTAAATTTAAAAGCAAGGTCAAGACATTCAACTATTTGACCAAGATGAAGAAAAACCATCCCATCAAAAAAACCTTAAAAATAAAAATATATGATTGTCAAGCATTTATAAATAAAACTGAAATTATTAATCAAATTAAGTTAGTTAGTTAGTAAGTTCGTTAGTTAGTTAGTTAGTAAGTCAGTGTAAATATAATTATATTAATAAGCAATTAAAATTCATATTAAATTTTAAAACTCTCACAATTTTATTTATAATTTATTTTCTATCTATATTAAATTGTATTCATTCATTTATTCTTGTTATTTTTCCATTTTTAGTAATAAAATTTAGTACTATTCAATCATCATTAATATATTCAAATATTTATTAATTCTTAATACATTATTACATTTATTCTTAGAAATATAGTAATGGATTCTTGTATTAGCTTTTTATTTTAGTCTTTAAATGTACCTAATATTTTCTAATTTCAATTATATAAAAAATATTGCTTTTAGGTAAAAAATAAACAATGATAAGTCTTCTAATTTTATATATAAAACTATACTTAACTCAAATTTATGCAAAAAATTCAAAGTGAAGACAATTTCCTTTATCAATTATAAATCTATTTAATATTTTCAGAATTTAATTATCACAGATTCATAATTTTAAGTGAATCTGCTAAAATATCAGATTTTATAGTGAAATATAAAAATTTTTCTTTAGAAATAATTGGTCATTTTATATTTTTTTTCAATTTGTTTATTTTTAAAAAATTTCAAGAATGGATCTGTTATTGCTAATAAATCTTTAATCTGAGGTAAAAAAAATATTATTTTTTTACAATTTTTTTGATTATTTTCTTTCCTGATTGCAGCTAAGAAATAATAATTAATTTATTTATTGCTAAAATTTCCAAATAAAATAAATATTATATATTAAGTTATATAGATTTTTGATAAGAAATAAAACTGAATTGTAAAAAGGCTTCATCTTTTTAATAGTAGAATATGTAATAGAAAGTAAAAACAAAGTATGTAAATATAAAAATATATAAACAATAGACTGACTTTAGGTAAATTTATTTAGATTTTGATAACTAAAGTTATTTCTAAGAGGCCTAATTCTATTATATATCCTATACTTGTAATTATAACTTGATTAAAAATGAGAAACCTTTAACTAACAATAATTTTTAACTCATAATTAATTATTCTCTTTAATATATATCTAATTTTTCAAAAAATTTATTTTATTAAATCTTTTCTTCACTCAATCTAAGACTTCTAATTCATCGAGAGCCCAATCTTCATATTCTTTATTGGGAAGATATCTTCTAATAATAAAGGGGATCTTTTTCTAGACAAACTCTTTTTCGGCAATAGCAATAGGATCATAGTCCTCTGTTTTATTTAAAATAAATAAATTATTTTATTTATATTCAAATTAAAATCAAATTTTTGCTTGAAATAAAACTATCTTTGTTCATTCCTTTTAAAAAATTTTGTTTTTTTTTATTATTTATTTTCATCATTTTCATATTTGTTCCATAAATTTAAATTATTTTGCTATCTCTTGCAAATAAATACTTAAATTGTTATTTATGCTATCGAAATAAGGAAAATACTTAGCTATTTTCATTAAATTGCAGTTTGGTATTCTAAATATTCTTGTTTTCTAATTTCGGTAATCTATTTCTGTCAAGCTTAAAAAAAAATAATTTTTATATTACTGTCATCTGTTTCTACATAGATTGGAGAGTTTTGAGCAATTTATAAGGCGCGTGTTCCAATAATTCTGGCTTTTTCATATTTTGTGAGGAAAGGAGGTGTTACTTTGGTTTTACTTGCTTATTAATCTCTATCTTAATCTTTTATGATAACCATTTCTTCAGGATATTCGTCCTTATCGACTTCAGATTAACTTTCAGATTCAGTTCCAGAGTGATCAGAATCATCAGCTGAATCACCCTCATCTCCGGATCTGGAAGAGGCTTCTTCAGATTCTTGATCTCCATCATCCATGTCATCTCCCATATTATCCTCATCAAAATTACCAGGATCAGAGTAATCGTTATCACCGTAGTCGCTCATATTTATATTTTTATTTAGTTTATCTTAAATATTTTTTGCTTCTTAAAAAATGAATTATTCTTATTGTTTAAAATTTTTAGTAAATAATTATTTAGCTTATTATTTTATATTGATGAATAATTTTAAGCAAATCAATTAAAAATATGAATTTTACTTAGATATATTTTCTCTTCTTTTTAATTAATAACTTTATTGTTTGTAAAATCAATGATAGAGCAAACAATATAATACATAATATGCAAGCGCCTTCACATCGATAATTAAAGGTAAATTAACATAGAGACACATAAAAAAAAACATGATTATGTATAATTTTATGAATAAATTCAATGCCTAAATAGCCTATTCAAGCTACTTCTAAGCTAGATTAAATTTTATAATAATTGTTTCTACTTAATCAATAAATAAACAAAGAAAAAGTATAAAAGTATTTAAATAAAATATTTTTTTAACTTTGTTAATTTATTTGAAAAATATTTATTTATTTTAGAGCATAATTTAGTTAAAAATAGTAATAATTTTAGCTTATATTTTGTGTTTAATTATTAAATAAAATAGTAAGTAGTATCATATATTAGTATTAAATATTTTAAATAAATTTTATTAGAAAGTAGTTAGCTAGCTGAAGTAATAGTAAATATCAGTCGATAAGAAGATCCCAAATACTGTACTTTTGTTAGAATTATAGGCTATTTTTAATTATTTTCTCATAGGAAGTCAATATTTGTAAAGTTTGTGATATTCTCAAGTATTTTTCACTTAGTAATTTGTAAATTGAATAGTAAATTTATCTCTTGCTTGTCAGAGAATAATCTACTTTTGTTGTTTCATCCTTCATTTAATAATATATGGAATTTATAATTATGTTATTATTTAAACCATTTAATATCATTTTTTGCATAAAGCTTTCAATTCTTTAAACAGGTATTTAAAATCCATGATCTAATACAAAACTTGCTATCAAGCTTCTATTTTTATTTTAAGTGTTTAAAATAGATTGTTCAAATACATCAAGGAAGCCTGTGTAATTTTGCTTTTGAAGATAAATCTTCATTATCTACTTATATGAACTATTGTAACTTTTGTCTTCAACTATTGATTTCTCAAAGCTTTAAAGTGCATTATCTAACTGATTAAGCTACAAATAGCATAAGCCTATATTGTAATATTCTATATTACACCTAATAAAATCTTTACCTTTGCTAGTATCCTTAAGTTTTTTTTCTATACCTGTCTTAATTGATTAAATAGCTTTCTCAAATTAACCTAAACCAAAAAGAGCATTTCCTGAATTTACGTGACCACTAAATTACTCAGAATCAATTTTAATAGACATTAATGCATATTTGTAAGATATCTCAAATTAATTTAATTCAAAGTAGCATTAGAAGTACAGCTAGTAGATGTCATAGACTTACTGATCTTGAGTAAATTTAGCTTCGATTTACGTTATAATCTTCAAAGCTTCATTGACTTTGTTAAATGATAGTAAAAAATAAATATAAGTATAATATAATTTGAATAATTCAGGATTTAATTCAATAGATCTCTTATAGTGATACTCTGCATTTTAAAAGTCTTTAATATCTTCATATGCTGTAGCTATGTTAAAATGAGCTCGATAGTAATCTTCTTTTATCTTTAATACTTATTTTAGAATCTCTATATATTAATGTTTTTATTAGGGGTTTAGCTCTACTATAATACACGCTAGTGTGTTTAAAGCCTTATAATTTAATGGATTTACTTCTAAAGACCTTTTAATATATAACTCAGATTCTTTAAACTTGAATTCTTAAAAAAGACCAAGGCCTATAAAAAACATAATTTCTGAACTATTATTAAAACAATCATTTCCTAATGGAGTGACATATTTTTCAAGGAAGTCTTTATATTCAGATTTCAAATCAAGCTCATAATAAACCTAAGAAAGCCTCTCTATTACTCCTACTTTCTCTTTTAATTAATCTATTTTCGCTTCCTTGAGCTAATTTTCTAATATTTACTTCTCTTGTTACAACTTTCTATTTTCAATTTCGTCGTTCTTTAGCATCTTCTTTTACTTATTTTTTTTGATTCTGACTTTTGATAGTTTAGTTACTAATCAAACAAATTTTGATTGATCTTTCTTAATTAAATAGAGTAGTATTAATTTACTTATTATTTATTTAAGGTAAAAATTTAAATTTATTGTATTCAAAAAATAGTTTTTATAGAATAAAATACAAAGATTTTTTGATAGTATTTAATCAAATATAATTTTATAATTTACAATTAAAAAAGAAAAATAAGATAAATTAATTTTATTGATATTTCAACTATTTATTTTTATAAATAATATAATAGAAAATTAATAAAAAACATTTTGCTCAATATTTTAACAAAAAGATATAATACATAGATATATAGAGATAATAAATATTAAATACTTCAAGGATAGACGACCAAGTAAAAACTTAAATCTAATATTCACTAATTAAGAAAGAAAAGTAAGAAAAACAAATTTAAATTATTATTTAGCATAAGTAAATATTCGAAAATAATTAAAAATTGTTGATAATATAACAAAAACTTGAATAAATATTTTAAATATCAATTATTCCATCATATTTATGTAAATAGATTATATATTTTAATTAATATACCTTTGTAATTTAGAAGTAAAAAACCTTTATCTGAAATATATAATCTAAAAAATAAAGGGTTTTATTTTATAACATTGAATTAAAACATTTTTTTCAGTATTTTTCTCTATCTTTTTTATTACTTTCTTTTAATTATTTATTTGATTTTTTCTAATTTTGTATATTTAAAAAAATTTTAAATTAATACTTTTTTTGTTGATAAATAATACTGTAAAAGTATTTACTTTTATCATAATACAGAATGATTAAAAGCATTAAACTTTCCATTTCAAGAAACAAATTTTTGATAATTTTTGAAATTAAAAAAATGATTAAATACATAAATTTTCTGTTATGATTGTATTATTATTATAATTGATAGAGAAAAAAGATTATATATTTATTTTAAAAATTTATAAAATGATGTTTTACCATAAATGAGTAGATATTTTAATTATTTTTTACAAATCTTATTTATATATTAATAATAAAATAAATTGGATTTAAATCATTAAAAATAATAAAATTTATTTTTAATTTGATTTGCACATAAATAAATTAATCAATAAAGTTCTATTTTTAAATGTATTTTTCTCTTACTGTATTACTGTAGTGAATTCATCTTTTTTGTCTCATTGCTAAGTAGTATTGTATCTTCTTTCTGATAGCAGCTTCTAATAGAAAGCTTCATTTTCATTATATTTTTAATCAAAATAGTCAAATTTAGGAATATTAATTCCTTATTACTTAGGATCAAGCTCAAATCTAACAGATTTTCTGTGTTTTCTTACATTTTCTTAAGATTAATTAGTCTTTAAAGTTGACTTATTATAGTTTGGGGAATTAGATTTAGAAGATGGAGACTTAGAATTTCTACTTTAGTTACTTAAAAATCTTGGGCTTCTCGAACTGTGTTATTTTGTTTGTGAATCCATGGAAATAAAATTATTCTGCTTTAGCTCATCAGTACTTTCATATTATTATTGTTCTTTGAATTAAGATTGATTTTCAATATCTTTCTTATTTAAGCTCTAATTCTCATCATTTTAGATTCTTTGAGTTTGTTAATTATAACTTTTTAGTTATATTGTATCTTTGGAAAATACTTAATCAGATAATTATCTACTGTGTTTAGATTTCCTATTATTATGCAAATTATCTGTAGTCGAATCTATTTTATTTTAATATACATTTTGTTTTGATGAGTATCTATCAAATACAATATCTTATTGTTCTTCTTCTTCAAATTAGGCTTAATTTTTTAAAGATAACTTTTAATTATATTTATTTTACCAAGAAGTAAAATATTCAATCAATATTTTTCTATTATGGAATTTTTAAATTCTTGCTTAGATAAATTTAATACTCTTTTATTTAATAGCATAAGCTCTCCAGTAGTGAATTATCTAAAGAACTTCTTACAATTTTGGATTTAAGTGGGGGTCAGTTATAAGTCTTTTTAAATCATACTTCTTTTAGTATTAAATTGCTTTAAATTCAAGAGCCTTTTTGTTTTATATAATTTTTAATCTTGATTATATCTTTCTGAGTTTAAGTGAATTGAATGCCCTTTTTTTAATGTTTTTTTCAGAATACTTTTAAAGTTTTATCTTCAAGAGCTTTTTACTCTTCTTCTTTTATGTGTGTTTTTGCCAAAGCAGAAGGCAAGTTTGCATAAACTTTTTAATGTGATACAAAAAGAATTTAGTTGACTTTTCTGTTTTAGCTCTCTCTTTCATCTAAAGAAGTTGATGGTAAATAATTGAAGTAAAACTTTTTTTTACTAATTTTCTACTATAAAAGTTGCGGGGTAGAATTTCCTAATTATGTTATTACTAAACTTTCCAACTATAGAAAAATTTCTTTAAAAAACAGTTTTCAACCATCTTATTTTATAAATATTTAATTTTCAAGCAATGGAAAGCCTTAAATTTAATATTCATATTCGCTTTCCTTTTAAATGTAGAAATTGCACTTTTTTATTCTGCTACAGCACTCTTCCAAGGTTGTAATATTTTTTTAGCAAACATCTTTTAAATTACTTTGCTTTCAAAAATCTTTGATAGCTTTTTTTTAATGTTTAGAAAATTGACCCACTAAAAAAAGGCTTTTGTCTTTTAAACAACTGCCCTGTGATTAACTGCAGATTTTAATGCAAGTTTTTGCTTCATTGTGTTTTCATTATCTATAACTATACCTCTCCAAGATTTCAAAATATGTTTCAATAGATTTTTTTTATTTCCATATTTCTCAAAAAGAATTTCATCTGGGCTGTAGAGTATTTTTTTCCAAAATTTACGTAAAAACATGATTTTTGAAATATATTCAACCCAGTTATTGAAATAGCGTCTTACAAGAGCATTTTTGTGTTTCTTTCTAACAACTTAATTGCTTTTAGATATTTTGTCCCATTAATTTAAAATTTTCTTTTGAAGATTTTTTCTATGGATGCCATCAGCTACTCTCTGTATCTTTTTATATGTTGAGTAGTAAAGAATTCTCCTAAAACATAACTTTTTATGAAATATTTAGAGCTTTTCTTAATTTGCTTAGCTAGTTTCAGATGCCATAAATGACCATGATTAAAATATTTCACTTTTTATTTTCTCTTCTCTTATTTATTATTTTAATGTACAAATCTCATTATTTTCTCTGTATTTTTTTTTAAATATTTGTAAAATCGATTTGCACTTTTTGAGAGAATTTAGTAGAGTTATTTCTGCATTTAAAGTTCTCTCTAAAAAGACTATTTTCCAGTGATAGAATAAAAAGCTTATTGTCTTCTTTTTTTCATTCTCTTCAATGCGTTTAATCATTTCTTGATGTTCTTGAAGAGGGTGTGGTATATTCTTTTACGATTGTTTTCCGTTCATTTATTGTTTGGATAAATTATCACCTGAAGAGTAGAAAAATGAATCTTTATTCAGTAAAAGCTGAACTGGATTTTTTTGTTAGAATATTGTCTTCTTTTTTGAAAGCTTTTTTAATACTCGTATGATTTATTTAATATGTTATTCAAGAGTCACTATTGACTTACAATCTTCTTCTAAAATATTTTGATCATCAATTAAGCTTTAGTCGAAATTTTTAAGTTCTTTATTATAATTAATATTTTCAGCTCTTAAGATCTCTTCCTTAATTGGAGGAATTTAAACTAAATTCATCTTAGTATCAGATTCTTAAATATTTAATGGTTTTTCATTGGAATATTCATAATTTTCTCTAATTATTTCCTAAACTTTCTCTTTGTTTTTTTAAAGAAATGAAGATTAATCTTCATTTTATACACTCTAAGCTGTTAAATGTTTCAACTTATCTAATTTATCTAAAGCAATCTATCTCTTGGTATCTAACAAATTTCTTGCACTGCTTAAGAATTCTTCTTCACAGTAGAAATGCTTTTAAAATTACTTACTATCGTATGAAACATCCTCTTCACAAAATTGGTCATCATATTCCTAAAAATTTAGCTACTTCTTAACTATTTAAGATTTATTTTCTGATTATTTGAATTATTAGTTTTCATCAATAAATTAATTATCTAAAATATTGAATTAATTTTATATAGTAGCTTCTTGGTTATTGTATTCTTCTCCATCATCATTTCTTTTAAATAAAAATTTCAATTTTATAAAAATAATAAGTCAAAACAAATAAATTACTGTCCAGATAAAATATTCTATTGTCGGTTTTGATACATTTTATGAGATTTTTCTTCAAAATGTTCATCTTATAAATTATAATCTTACAATTCTTATCTTACTCTGAAAGAAGAACCGGCTTGCAATACTACAGATTTTAATTCAAGAATATACTAAATGGAAATATTTTTAGCTGTCATAGTTTATATGCTTGTATTATTTTTTTTTCTATTACAAAAAGCTTTTAAAATTAAATAAGACTTAGTAATTAAATGAGAGTTGTATATTTATTGGCTCAGATAGAGTTATTTCTTTTCACTTTTTTTGCTTTAACAATATTCAAATAGAGCATAAAGTGAATTTTGCTTTAAAACTTTTCTTCTATTTGATCTGATAGCTTAGATGAAAGGTTTATAATATATATTTTTATTGCTTTTTTATTTTATAGCATCAAAGATTTTCTTTAGTTTTTTTAGCTGTATTTCTTGCTTCGTAATTTTTTGTAGTTAATTTTTATAGGATCTAATTTTGGCGAAGTATTTAATCATGTTAAAAGTGAGAGTAAGTCTTAGTTCATTTTATACCTTTTCAAAGCTATCTAATTATTTAATAATTTCTTTTTTGTATCCAGACTATACTTTGAAAAGATATATAAAAAATATTTTTTAAGCCATTCTCATTTACATATCTTTAAGTACCTGTAATGTTTAGAGCTCTTTTTCTTATTAAATTGTGGTTTTTAAATGCTTTCTATTATTTTAATTAGCTTATATTTATTGAATATCTTGAGTGATAGTTTCATATGAGTCAGTTAGGTCTATTGTTTCTTTTATATTTGAGAATATGTCCTTAATAGATAATTTATTTACAACTTAAATTTTTTCTAACATGTTCATATCATAAAAACTCATTATCTTATGTTCATTAAACAAATCTTTTAATGTACTCAAATAGTTTTGTGTTTCATTAGAAAACTTAACCTTTTCTATTAAAAATCTGTACTTCTAAATAATGTTTTATTTTATCAAGCTGATATCATATTTTTTTATTTTATTTTCAAGCGCTTAGAATTAAACTGGATTTAGAATAAATATATTGCTTAAAGATATAATTTACTATGATTCAAAATCAATTGATAAGGCTGACCCATTTTAATTTAAAAACCTATTATTTGCTTGAGTTGGTTTTTTTAAAGCATTCTTTTGTAATTAAGTAATCTTTTCATATTAAAGCTCCTAAGATTTTTTAAGTTAGTTTTAAGATTTAGTTTGTATATTTCCTTTAACCATCATAGTGTTAATATCCTATTATTAATGTTCTTAGATCTCTCCTGCTTAAATTAACTAATTTGGTAGATCGGTTTAGTTTTCTTGATTCTCATTCAAGGTATCTGCTTTACTGATTTAAAATTATTAAACAGATTTAGAATGATTTTCATCTTGGTATCTCATATTTTATTTGACTGTAGACTATTTATCCTATCTTGGAGTTTTATTTTCTCCTGCTTTATATGTGCTAATTACAGATTAAGAATTTTGTAAGATCCTATTATCTGATTATTATAAAACCTATTTATTTTATATAATGTTATTTTATGGTGATTTCTTTCTTAAACGAGAGGTGCTACTAGATTTTCTAATCGGAGAAGGAGAAGTTACAATTGATCTATTATTCTGATCCTCCTTTTTCTTAACAGCTAATTACCTATAAAAATGAGCTATTTCATCTAGCAATTTTTTTTATTTTGAGGCTTTTATTTTTTCTTCAGAAAGCTATCTTTATTTTTGCTTGAGATGAGCTATTTCGCCGTACGTTAGTTGAACCATACCCAAACTTTCAGGTTAAGGAGGAGGATTGTTTCTTTGCATTTCATTGTCTTCAGATTAAAAATTTTATAACATTTACGAACCTTCATAAGCCGACATAGCACTTGGCTAAGAAGTAAAATTATTAATAGAATTTTCAGTATTTTTTAAATAGTTAGTGTTATTCATCATTTACTAAAGATATGTCTGAATTTTTGAGTCTTTCATAGGATTTTACCTATGAGATCCTTTATAATTTTTATTTCTAGAGCTGTTAGCATTTTACTATTATTGATACTGTTATTATTCTAAGATATATTAGTTTTATTGCTATAGTATTTATTGTTGGTGTAAGGTGTCTTCATTATATTCCTATGATTTAGAATAGAGTTCATTTGGATTTTAGATCAACTCTTAATTAGCTTATTACTATTTATACTAATAATTATCAATTATATTATCATATGATTCATCTCTCTGGTTAATATCATCTTTAATGATCATTTCTGGTGAATAAACATTATTGTATATCCTTGGTAAGTCTTGATTTTTTTCTTGCATTAAAATATTATTATTATTATTTTTGAGAAGATTTTTAAAACCACCTTATTGCAGTTCAGTCATTCCGAAAGATGCAGTGAGATGATTCAAATCTGAATTTGCAGTTTCTTGTAATTTTTACATTGTGCTTCTTTATTGCTAAGAAGAAGACTCAAACTAAACTGTTTTCTTTGGAAGAGATTAAGGAGACTAAAATTTATTCATAACGCAATCTTAAACTCAAAGAATTATCCTAATTATCTTTCAAATGTGAAAAACTAAAACAATATTTTATTTCAATCTGATTAAATTTTTAAACAGTATTAAATTCAATAAAATATTTGTTTCTTTTGCTACCAATATGTCCTAGATTTGAATTTTATTACTTTATTTTGAGATAAACTATATGGTAACTTAAAAGATAAATAAATTAATTGAAGTCTTTAAATTTTTCAATAAAAATTCAATGTTTTTAAATTAACATTCATATAAAAAAATTTTGACTGATTCAAAGATTTAAGAAAATCTAATAATTTTTATTTGAAAATATCCTTATTCAATTATCATAAGCTGTATTCATAAATTATTACCATATATACAAAACCACTACACTAATTTTAAATTCAAACTGTTTCAACTACTATTTCCTTAAAAATATTTAAAAATATATAGTTTATTAAAAAAAAAATTTTTTCCAAAAAATAAAAAAATATTTTATATTAATCTATTAAAAATTAGCTTAAATTTACTTATTTAAAAAAATGATTTAAATTGGTAATCAATCAATTAAATAAGATAGATTTATTAAATTTAAAAAAAACAAGAGATCCTATCAAATTTATCCAAAAGTAGCATTATTTCCTACTACTACATATTCTTTCCTAAATTTATGATTTTAATTAAGAAAAGATTAAATTATTAATAGAATTTTGTATTTTATTATTCATTTTTGTATTTAATGGAAAAACCAAGCTAATAAGGAACATATGTTTCAATATTCTAGTAACTACAAAGCTAAAAAAGCTAGACAACAGGAAGCTCATCAATATTTAGTGGCTTAATGAAAACATAGTCTAGTGATATTATATAAACATCTTCATAAAAGTCTAGCAAAAAAAATAAAAAACCTAACTTATAAGATTTAGGTAGAAATAAGTTAAAAATATAACGAAATTAATATATCTTTTTAAAATATATAAGAATAAAGCTCAACTACTCTGAAAAAGATACAAACTAGTTAAGATCAGGCACCAAAAGATGAATGTGAAATATCTTAGGAATCAATCAATAATAAATAAACAAGCAAATAGGAGATAAAAAATAAAATTGAAATAGTTGATCATGCTAAACCCCGCAAATAAACATCAACAAGAGTATTTTAAAGTTTACTGTAATGGTTATTTACTAAATAAGGAATAAATCCACTTTGGATTATGATAGAAGTAAATCATATTCGAGAGTTAATTTTTATTTACTTATTAATTCTTAATATCTAAAGGATAGACACCTAATTTAGAATTTTGTATATATTACATTAACTGTACCTCCTGATTTTGAAAAGCGCTTGTTAGCTAAATAGGATTTTCCTTTTTTAGGTTAATATTATGATTAGAAAAATATTGCAGTTTTTAAAGAAAGAACAGTTCAAAATGAAGATAATTATTGGCATTCCCTATTCTAAACAAAGTTAACAGAAGATATTTCTCTTCCACTCTTTAACAAAAATACAGTCTCTCCCTAATAATAAATAAACTAAGAGTAGTATTAAGCAATGACTTATGAAGAAAAACTATATTATAAATATTCATAATTTTGTCATTCTAAATAGACTCTTAAGAATAATTTGTATCCTACTGAGAGTGAAGACTTTCCTAATTATGTTAGCTCAACTGAGAGTACATTAAAATTTGACACAGTTAAATTTGAAAACAAAATTCTTGGATTAGATTGTGAAATGGTATTCGAAAATTATTATTAATAATAAATAAATAAATATTAAAGTGGGTTAATTAAATATTAGGTTTCAACTGAGTATGGTTTAGAGCTTGCAAGAATAAGTTTAGTTAATTTCGATGGTGAAGTTTTGATAGACTAACTGGTAAAAACGCCAAATAGGATTATAAATTATAACACTTAATATAGTGGAATAACATAAGAAATGTTAAAAGATGTAAAAGTAGATTTACAGTAAGCACAGAAACTACTATTTTAGTATGTTTGCTAAGACACCATTCTCATAGGACATTCTTTAGAGAATGATTTAGTAGCTATGCAAGTATTTATTTAGTTATTTTTTAGGTCATAATTATATATAAATAATCTCATGAAAAAATTAAAGGTAATTCATAACAAGGTTATAGACACAAGTATATTATTTTTGACAAAGAATGAAAGAAAGCTAAAATTAAAGGATTTGGCCTAAAAATTTTTGAATTGCAAAATTTAGTAAGGTTCTCACTGTCCTTCAGAAGATGCAAAAAGTGCATTAAGCTTAGCAAAATTGAGAATTGAAATATTAGAAAAGTTTGATAATTCTAAAATAATAAGTGGAACCAGCTAAATTACACTAGATTTACTCGATTAAATTATAAAAACAAATAACACTATTTTAATCTTAGACGAAACTGACTAATTAATGAGGTTACTTTAATATGGAGTACATTATGATGAGTTAAAGCAAAATAGTAACGAATAAAGTATTTTACACTAATTAATTAATGATATAAGCTAAATAAAATTTTATTTTAAATTAGGATTAGATAAAATTGTTAAATGGGTGAAGAAGAAAAAGAAAGAAAATTGCATCATTCCAAGAATAATAATGACATAATTAATAAAAGAGAAAAAATAAATGAGCTATAAAGACTTAGATAGTAAATTCAAAGAAATAGTAGATAACTCTCCTTAAAATTCAGGTATATAAATCCATATCTGATTCATTCATTAAATCTTAATTTTATTCTAAAAAATAGTATTTGCTTTCAATTTTGAAATAGAAGATGATAAATCTTTAAACAACAGTTTAAATGTATCTAACCCATTTTGCATATTTGTGTCCATTTGATTTTGCTATATTCTTAAAATTTAGCATACAGTCAGTATATAGTGACACTCTTAAATTATTATTATCATTTATTTTAGGCTTATTGTAAAATTGTAAAACATAGTTTATCCTAAATTTAATGAAATAATACTTCAAATAATTAATTTAATTTTAATTAAGTTTATAATTAATAACTTAAATGTAATGACTGATCCATGTTTCTTGCATAATTATATCCATTTAATATTTATTATAAAAAATGATACAATTGTTAATTACTTTATCTTTGGTATTTATACAAAATAAATCAGCTTTTATTTATCAAAAATATATAATTAAATTTATTAACCAATTCAGAGATTTTAAATAAGTTTTGGCGTTTTAAAAAATTAATTTAAATCTTTACAAGATTACTCATAGTATATTTATTATACATTAATTTAAAAAAGATTTTAAAGTTAATTGTAAAATACATTCTTAACAAACCAACATAGACAGACTATTATTTTATAATCCAACTAAAATTTTGAAAAATGGGTAATTTTCTAAATTAGTTGAAATATACTCCATAGGCTAACCCACTGTTAAAAAGCTCTTTATCAAAATTAAGAGAATATCATGGTTCGTTTAAATCAGTTTGTGATACATTCTCTATAGATTTAACAGAATATGAATAAATTTTTGGATCAAATGAATAGATATTTAAGATTTGGGATACTGATAACAATGGTTTAATAGATGCGTTGGAGCTGTTTTCTGGACTTATATTATTTTCTGACGCTTCTTTTGATGAGAAAGTTAGATTCTTGTTTGATATTTTTGATTTTAATGAATTAAATGTACTTACAATTATTGACCTAGAGTTTATGCTCATATCTTGTGCAAACGCAACACTTAAAGTAAAAAATAAATTTCAATTACTAAAACTAAAATAATATAAATATTTTATTGGTGTGTATCAATTTTTAGTGTCATTTATGAATCTGAATGTATATTAATCTATGTTTAAAGTATTTTTGTTTATATAAAGATAGTTAAATAGAACTTAGAAATCAAAGAGGATGAAATAAATGAATTTTTAAATAATTACTTTAGCGATGATTCTAAAATAGATACTAATTAGCTAATAAAATGGTGTAGTAAAGTTCCAGAAATCATCAAGTTCTTAACAATTATAGAATAGAAATCACCTGAAACTAAAAAACCCTATGAAAATTTGATAAAAACTATAAGTGTTGAGCACGAGCCTAATTACATAAAAAGACAGACTTATTTTTTTAACAAGAGTTTAGGTGATATAATAAATAATTCTTCTTATTAAAAGAAAATTGAATGGATAGCTGAAAAATCAAAAAAAATATTTAATATGAATCCATCAGATCAAAATTATAACACTAAAGATGTAAGCACTAAAATAAATTGGGTTTATGGCTTTTGTAGTGAAGGTGTTAAGAAGCCGTAATTTTAATTCTTTCCATTACTTATTTAAAATTTTAATAAAAAGTTACATTTTAAATAATTAGTTTAGAATATATAAAAACTCCAGGAGAAAAGGCTGCTAGTGAAAAAATTTTATATTTTACAGCCTGTATAGTTGTTATTTATTTTCCTAAACTATATGAGTAAAAGCATTACTTAGAGCATGATGCAGAAATTTTATCTTTAACTGTTGCCAAAAATGCTTCTCTTGTTGCAACTGGAGAGCTAGCTCCAAAACCTGCAATTCACATTTGGGATTCCAACACACTATAAAATTTAGGTGTTATAAAAGGTATTCACTAATAAGGTAAATTTTGTTTAATCTAACTGGGTCACTTCAATAAATTTTTAATGATTAAGGTGTGCATCTAATGAAGTTTTTTAAAGACGATGAATATTTAGCAACCTGTGGTATTAGGGATAATTCGCCTATTTTAATATATAATGTAAAAGATTCTACACTTGTATTATCTACCTTTATGACAGAACTAGCTGTCGAATTGATTTCGATTGATAACCACTCAGATGAGCTTATTAAGAAAACAGATTAAAATAGTCAATTAGATATGGATTATTTTAATTACGATAACACTTTTATTGTTTGCTCTGCAAAACAATTAATATTATTTCACTACTTTGATGGCCACTTTATAACTTATGATATAAATTTTGGCTACTTTGATATTGAAGAAGATTTGACTTGCGCTACAAGTGTCCGTATACCCTATTCAAAATATAGTAAAGTTGAAGATAAAAAATAGTAAAATTTTATTTTAAATAGTTTAAAAGCTTATTTATGATTAATACATAAATGAATTTAAATTCTCCATAAAATTAAATTTTTTATATTTAACATTTTATAAAAAGAGAAAATCTTATTCTTATCATTACTGGTCATTAAAATGGAAGAATCAATATTTGGAAAAACTTTGAGAATTAAAATTAATTTATTAAAAAATACGAAGATGACATAATAAGCATGGTAAATTTTGTTTTTGGTATATTAGTAGCTACGTACAACAAAGTGTACTTGTGGGATATTGGTATGTAAAACTAATTAAAAGAAATCAGCTTTGCCTAAAATGAAATTCACTTCAACTTAATAAGCTATGACATTGTTTAGATAAAATCATTCAATACTAAGGTCTTAGCTGCTACTAAGGTATGCTTAATTTAATTTTTAAAATTTAATTATAGATATTTAAAAATTATGTAAAAATTTAGGAAGGAGATGTTATTTAGTTTGAATTCGTTACCTAAAAACAACTTTAGCAATTAGAAAAGCTAGCTGAAGAAAATTTTTTCCCTGAAAAAAAGAAGAAAAAGAAAAATACTTCTTCAAGTGATGAAGAGGCAGATGAGCAAGGAGAAGATGGAGAAGATGATGAGGAAAATTCAGAAGAGGAAGAATTAAAACACATCGAAGTTTACAAGAAGACCTTTTAGAGAAATAATTACATTTCTAAGCTAAAAGGAAATTTAAATGCACTAGCTCTTCTTTAAAAGGCTGACAACGATGAAAAAATTTTGTATGCTGGAGGCGATGCAGGTATAGTTTATGCCTTTTCGTTAGAATCTCATGAAATAATAGACATGTGGTAATACGATGGAGAAATATGTAATTTTATCATTTAATTAATACAGATTTATTTAATTTAATCTATGAATTATAAAGCTTCCCTTGACTATCTATACTCTGAAAAGCATGGAAACATATTTGCAATAGGTTTTCGAGATGGTAGAATAAACATTAAATACTAGAATAAAATGAAATAAGAATTATACACACCTGAAAAATATTAAAGTTTTGATTATAGAAATTAAATTAATGATATAAGATTTTCTGGAGATGGTAACACTCTGATAGCTGCTTGCAAAAATAACTCATTGTCTATTTTTTCATTTAGTGTTACAACATAAAATTTTTAAGAAAAAAAAGAAATTATAACGTCTTTCTTTGCATAAGATAAAAAAGATATATTTTTAGCAAATGAGGAGCCTATTTCTATCGAGTTTTCTGATGATAATAAAAGCTTTTTAGTGAGCACAGCATAAAACTTATACAAATTTGAGCTGCCTGATTTAAAAAAGAAAAATTTAATCTCAGAATCTGATGAATAAATAAATTGTACTATTTGGAACACAAGGTAAGTTTATTTCTGTAGAAATCAAATTTAAACAAATTTTATTTTAGGTATTGGTAAGAAAGAGAGGAAAATTAAATCGAAGACTATTATTTACCCGTAATTATTGGTGGTGACATTAAAGTAATCAAATTTATATTTTAAACTTTTATTTGAAAAAATTGTATTTAATTACTAGATATTTTTAGCAGCTGGTGTTAATGGATATATTCATTTTTGGAAAGATAAATACTAGCTAGAATAAAACTGTGGTGGATTTTTAAGAGGTCATTCTTCAAGAGTATCTCGTTTATGCATGGCAAAAACACAAGATTTTTTCTTCTCATTAGGTTCAACTGATAACACACTTATAGAGTGGAAAATAGACTTTAGCTAGGAGTTTGAATAAAAGAATGTGTTCGGTAATATGGATAATATGAAAGTATAGCTATTTGATACTAATATTTAACAGCTCAATGGTTTATTAGACGAGAATTTAGTTAGAGAAATAGTTTATAGTTATACAGCTGATTCTAAATATCTAGAATAAGATAAAGATTCTTTCATACTAGTTAAGGGAATTAATAATAAAACAATCTCTTAAATTTACTAAGTAAATAATAATATATTTAAAAGTTAAAAGTACAAATTGCAATTGATTGATTGATTTTGCTTAATTAAGCATTTACTTATTTTTATGAATAAATTTAAGTTAATTTTATCTCTCTTTAAAAATAGGAATATATCCCAAAGTTTGAAGCCTCTTCATATTTGATGAAGAGACCTCCTTCTATAAGCATTAGTTTGGAATATTTATTTGGATTTTAAGCTTATGACAAAAGAAGAACTCTTTGCTATGTTCATATATATTATATGGGTCTCCCTTAAAATAAAAAGAAAAAAGATAAAATGGGGAAAAAGAATAAAAATGATTAAGCTAATTAGAATAAGAGTATTCTCATTCCAGTTTAGTATTAAAAAGAAATGTTATTTTCCAAAAGATAATTACTACCTTACGATGAGGTATAAATTTTATAAAAAAACAAATATCATATTAAATCACTTTATTTTCTTGTTTTTATAGGTTCATGAAAACTGTTAGAGACATTTTGTATACTTCTGTGGAAGAATTGGAGTTGTTTTTAATCCATTAACTAATCAATAAAAATTCTATGAAGGCCACTAAAATAAAATATCTTGTATTGCAATACATCCACTGAAGTTTTTTGTTGCAACTGGCGAGAGTGCTTAAAACCCTAAAATTCATATTTGGAACGTTTTTAATCCTGAACCATTTAAAATTCTTAAAACATATCATAAAAATGGTATTATACATATGACTTTTTCAAGAGATCGTGATTCTAGCTTGCTTATATCAGTTGGTGTGGATGTTTAATTTTCAATTTAGGTAATGAACTGGAAGACAGAAGAAATTGTTGGAATAAGAAACACAGGATCTTAATAGATTTTCGATATTATATTTAATCCTTACAACAAGTAATAAAAATAAAAATTTAAATTAAAAATAATTTGAATTGAATTATTTAATAGATATGAGTTTGCCTCTTGTGGATATAAAAATATTACCTTATGGGAAATGAGTGGAAGAAATCTATTAAGAAAGAAGGTTGTGAATGTTCAAGAAGAGACAACTTCTACTTCCATTTGCATTACATGTCTTTCTTATATAAGCTACAGTTTGGGTGATTAAATAGAATCTGATATTATTGCAGGCAATAACGTTGGAGACTTAATATTAGTTGCATGCGGTAACACTTGTCTAAAAATAATATCAATTTATATGATTATTATTTATAAAAATCAAGGAAAGTATATTGTGGCAAAGGAAAGAGCTCATTCGAAAATGATAAACTGCTTAAAAATTACAGAATTATTTTAAGACAAAGTCTTGATTATTACATGTGGTGAAGATGAAATTGTAAAAATTTGGGATACTAAATTTAATTTAATTAAGGATATACCAATCAGACACACGGGTCATTTCAACGATATCCCTTAAACAAGAAACCTTTCAGCTTAAAGTTTGGACATCTTTTGTTGTAAATATCCGAAGAAGGCTGATAACGAAAGTGCTCTAGGAGATAGAGATAGTGATGTTGTATATCCTATTATTCTAATAGGCACAAGAAATGGAGATATTCTTGAAGCTTCATTCACATTAGAGTAAAAATAGTTAATTAGAAAAGCTTCTAAAATTTTTTAAAATTAAGATATCAAGGAACTAAGAAGTAAGTAAATGTTTAGAATAAGATGAGTTATGGAGAGTAAAGTGCCAGTAGTAGTGAGTCTAGTAGTGCATCAAGTGATGAAGACGAAGATATTAAAAACAGTAACTCTAGGAAAGGTGATCATTATGGTTAAACAGAAAGTTTTAAATTTAGTTATGAAATCTGCATGAGAAATAGCTCATCATAAAGATTTACTAGTAAGTAGAATACTAAAAAATTATTCTTCTCCCTCCATCCATTTGAAAATTTGATGGCAACTGTTGGTGAAGATTAATAGATGACTATTATAGATTTTGAATAAAATAAACTAATGATATCTAAAAATTTAGAAGAAGGAATTCCTACAGCAGTTAGGTTCTCACCAAATGGCAATCTTTTTGTTATTGGGTTTAATAATGGTATGTTAAAGCTTTATTTCATAGAGACAGGATCAAGCAAATCTTCAAAAGAGCATAGACCTATACCTACTATAACTGAATTTTAAGAAATCCGTGATCAAAAAACTGCTGTGTTAAACATAAAGTTCTCAATTAAAGAATACCTAGAAGCTAAAGAAGATAAAGAATTGCTTAATGATAGAGATGATATTTTTGCAGTCTCTTATGAATCATAATCATAATCTGGAGACAGTCAATCGGTTGATAAAGAGTAATCGTATATAGGAATCTATAGACCATAGTAAACATCCTTATTTAATTATTATTTAAATGAATAAAAATTTTTTTTATTAGGCTAAATCAGCAAAATCAGTTAAATTATAAGCTGAAAGAAATTCTTAGAAATGATTAAATAATAAGAAACGAAAATAGTATTAATCTAGGTGCCTACTTTATGAGTTTTTCTGAAGATGCTAAATACTTAGTAGTTTATTATTAGGAAATAGAGAATTAGTCAATTAGGATAACAAATTCAAATCAAGGCTTATTCTGTTTATGGGATGTAGCTTCTCAAAAAATACTTTAATAGTATGACCCAACCAGAAATTGGGTTGACCTTATTTTCCCTTGTGCATTGAATTGCTAAGATATTCCATACTTTTAATCATTAGTAGATTAAGATTAAAAGAGGGAAGTTATTGCCCCAGCAAATAGCGATCCTCAACCAATTATTATGACTTTCATGAACCAAATTAAAAATATAATTATGCTAGGTTCTTCAAAGGGAAATATACACTTTGTGAAACATTTTTCATTATCATCTGATTAAGAGCATAATGACTACAAACTTAAGGTTCTTATTTTATTGAATAAATGTACAATTTAAAAAAAATATTTTAAATTAGGAAAAAGATATGTGTTATGCAAAGAGTTATTCAGCCCATATTTCTTATATAAGCTAGCTTGAATTTGATAGTTAATATAGGTATTTGTTTTCTTCTAGCATAAACGATGAGTGTATATTAAAATGGAAGCTTCATATAGAAAGACCATTGTCAGACTATGATAATTTAGATTATCAATTTATTGATGAAAATCAAATCAGCTTAAAAAACTAAGAAGTATTAGCTGAAATCTTACCTAAGGATTAATTTGAACAGTTTATCAAGGATGTTCTTCCTTTAAGAGATTAAGTTGCAGATGCAATTTAACATGTTGATGAAGATAAAGATAGAGAAAGTGAACTCAAATTAATAAATATAATCGGACGTAAAGCTCACAATAGACACCAAAACTTATTCTATGACTTCGATGAAGTAATTTTTTAAATTTTATTTATTTTTGATATGTAATTCTTTCTAAAAATTATAGAGATTTATTTATATTGCTGGAAACAATTTAGTAATACACACTATACAAGATTCAATCGAAGATAAAGAAGAAGAAGATTAATAATAACAACAACATGATTAACAAGCAGAGGAATTAGATGATGACGATGAGCCTTTTGTTAAATAAGAGTTTATTAAATTAGATTAATCTCCTACAACGATAAATCCAGAAATATCCTGCTTTGTATTGAGCAAAGACAAAAAATTGCTATGTGCAGGAACTTGTTAAATATAAGCTAAGATCATTATATGGGATATATGCAGTTAGACTTGTTTAAAGTAAATGATTTTAACTAATTCAAATTACATTCTGCATATAAAAATGGCATATGATAACCGCCATGTGGTATGCGTTGCTCTTTCTAACGATTACACTGCTATCATATATTTAATTGATAGTCAAGAATCAAAGGTCTTGGGTCAAACTAAGCTTACTAATAGTGTACCCTACAAAATTAAAGATATCGAATTTTTCCCTAATTCAATTTACAAATTTATTACCTGCGGAATATAGCACATCTCTGTTTGGAATTTGAAAGGCAATATTCTAAGCTACTAAAATCTTGAAATATAAATACCCTAGGATCTTGCTGATAATGAAAAAAGTAAAGGCACTTAATCATCTTCAATTAAGCAAAAGAAATAATCTCAAAGGAATTTAAGCTCTCCTTTTAGGCAAAAAAAAAAAGGTGATGATGCAAATTTCGAAGAGGCAGATTATGATGAAGCTAAGGAGTAAATTAAAGTCACATTCGTATCTTTGATTTTTGTGAACGAAACAATAATAACAGCTGGAAGCGATGGATTTTTATATGTTTGGCACGACCTAAAGATAGTAAAAACTTAAAATGCTCATCCAATCCTGTGTCTTAATACAACGAAAGACAGTAATATGTTTGCTTCAGGTAAGCATTTAAATATTTTATTGAAATTAAAATAAATAAAATAAAAATATAAAAGGTGGTATGGATGGAAAGGTAATTATTTGGGAATTAGGAAGTAGTGAGTATTCGTTCATGCTTGAAAAAGTTTATGAATATCACATCAATCCAGAAGGTGCAAAAGAGCATTACCCAGAAAGCTGTTATATTTAATCAGTCTGCATAGGATCTAAGTATATATTGGCAGGAACAAAGAGTGGAGATATTTATGAATTAATTAGACCTAATGAAAATGAAATTAAAAATCCAACAAGCAGCAACAATAAGCAAAAGCTTAGATATAGTTGCCATGATTAAGAAATAGTAAAATCAATTTAATTCAATGGTAACAGCGACAAATTATATACAATAACTGAAAATGGTCTTTTCTGTGTATGGGATGTAAGAAAAATTAAGAGAATTAAAATGATACACTTCCATTTGAAAATACATTCTATTATTGTACTGAAGAGATACCAAGTGATTGTTGTTGCATCAGAAAAAAAGATTTAATTCTTTAACTAAACTGATTACACTGAAAGAAATAAAGCTATCATTTTTGATAATAAAATAGCTGATGTAAAACTATCTTTTAATGAAGAGATGCTTGCTGTAGCTTTAGATCCTAATTAAAAAACAAATGCAAAAATCATTATTTATAAGTATGTGGGAACTGACTAAGATGTTTTTATTGTAATTTTTTTATTAATTAATGAATATATTAAACATAAAAATAATAAAATTAGCATTATATTCCTGTTCCAATCTAATCAACATCCCTAGAATTTGTTGATTTTTCAACTGATAACTTCTTCCTTCTCTACAAAGATAATGTAGATGATGTTGAAATAATAGATTTTAGAAATAGAGAATTCAAAAAAGTCATCAAAGGAGAGGTAAATTGTTAAATTTAAAAATCGAACAAAACTTTAAGAAGCTTATTAATTAATATAGGTTGAATTTAACATGGAATGGTGCACAGATGGTATTAAAGTATCTCCTAATATGAAAGGTGTGTTGCACACTTATTATTCAGATGAAAATAATATATTAAAAGTGCAGAAAATAGGTGATAGGTAAATTGCTGTCACAGATGAAATGGGGTCAATTAGATTATTCAGCTACCCTTGCACTAGCTAATCAAAAGGCTATTTCAAATGTTACACTGACCATCTTAATTTCATTAATTAATGTATACTAAGTCCTGATAAAAAGTATCTTGTGACGAGCTCTTAGAGAGATAGGTGTATTTTGATATGGAGAGTTACATATGAAGATATCTATGAAGGGGAAGAGGATGAAGAATAAAGTGAAGAACATTAAGATTGATCAACTTTTAATAAAAATGAATTATTTTTTAATATAAATAAAATATGAATGTATTATTTGTTAAATTTTTGTATATTTTTAATGTTCAAGTATTTTAATTAAAATAATAATAGGGTTTTATATCATAAGTATTTAAAATATGTTTTTTAATTTATTAAAACAAACTTGATATTTAAAATGAAAATTAATGTTAATGTAATATTTTTTTTCATTTTTTAAGATAATATGGGATATATATTTTAAATTTCAATCTTGATTATTATAATTGTTTAATTGGCTATTTTTTATTGTCAATACAATTTAAAAGCAATAATTTTTAAACTTAATAAAGTTTTTAACTATGATGAATGTCATGTATTTTTATAAAATTTTTAGTATAAAATTCAATTTAATTGATATTTTGAGTGTTATTATTAAAATAATTTTGATGAAATATTGTGGGGTTGGGGTTGGGGTTGGGGTTGGGGTTGGGGTTGGGGTTGGGGTTGGGGTT